TATATCTCTCTCTTTAATATATATTATTTATTTTTAGGAAAAATAAATAAATAAATCAGAGTTAGATTCAACAATATAATGCACTCAAATTCCTTAATCATATTGAAAATGGTAGCTAACAAAACCTTAGCTCTCAATCTCTATCTGAAAAGGTTGATTTTAATTAATTAAGCAACCCATGTATCTTATTATTATTACTCCCTCCGTCCCGTCCCATGTAATATAGGTGTATTACTGTAGACACGATAATTTAGGTAAAGTATAATTAGTAAGTAATTAAGAAGTGGTATTAGTAAAAATAATTATTATTTAGTAAAAATAATTATAAATTAAGATTAATATAAGTAAATAGTTTAATTAAAATTAAGAAAATTATAAAATTTAAAATGAAATTAAATGCATAATTATATTTCCAAAAATAAAAAAGATAAGTCATGTGGTACAGACAAAAATAGAAAATGGAATGGAAGGATTATTATTATTATTATTATTATTATTATTATTATTATTATGTCTAGAATAAGTTGAATAAATTATCAATTATCATTGAACGTTATCACAAGACATGATATAATACAAATATTAAATATTACAATATGCTACCTCCGTCCCAAAATTATAGTTTTAATTGAGTTGAATACGAAATTTAAGAAATATTGATATTATATTGGTAGTTGGTACAAAGTATATTTAAAAGACTTTTTTACCCTTACGAATGTATTAGTGTAAAAAGTAGTGACAATTGTGTAATAAAAAATATATATATATATAGATAGTTTTACCGTGATATAATTATTTATGGTAATAAAACTATTATTTTGAAACGGACAAAAATTGTAAACAAGACTATTGTATTGAAACAGAGGGAGTATAATAATCCACACATTATGAACTATTTCAAAATAAAAATATATATGGTGCCTTTGTATTGTCAGATTATTGGAAAGAATTTTTCCTTTCTTTTTTACGTGAAGTATAAGGAATTGTGTAGAGAATATAAAAATAATAAATGCGTGCAGTGTATTATTATGATTATTATTATTATTATTATTATTATTATTATTATTATTAGAGTAAACTATTTTTTTGACTCCTAACTGGACCCCCTTATCATTTTAGTCGCGTAAGTGGAGCCTACCGCAAATTAGTCTCATAAGCGGAAAATTTTCGTTGTTTTAGTCCTCCGGTGCCGGAGATGTCCGCGTGGCTCGCCGGAGGTGACGTGTCCGCCAGGTCTGGCGGACGCGTGGATTTATTTATTATTTAATTTTTTAATTTTTAATTTTTTTAAAATTAGACTAAATAAAAAAATTAAAAAAATGCAAATAAAATTAAAAATAAATTAAAAGTAAGTTTTTAAAAAAAAATTAAAAAATAATAATAATAAAAAAAAATCCACATGTCTGCCAAGTCAGCGACATCTGGCAGACACGTCACATCCGGCGAGCCACACGGGCGTCTTCGGCGCCGGGGGACTAAAATAGCGAAAAGTTTTCACTTGTGGGACTAGTTTGCGACTAGCTCCACTTACGGGACTAAAATGATAAAGGGGTCCGGTTACGGGACTAAAAAAAACAGTTTACCCTTATTATTATTATTTTATTTTTTTGAGAAAACATGTAGAAATAAATAAGTGAGGGAACAAATTAAAGCCATAGTATTGAATTGATAACACATGATTATATTTTTTATTTTATTTTTGTGAATTTTCAAATGTAAAAATGTTACACAAATAGACCTCTCAATTAATTTACGTCTATTTTCGATTAATTTGTTGAATACAATGCATCCCACTTATTTTATTTTACTTTTTGACGAATTAAATATATATAATTTGCAAATTCACATGATATTATATATATGCGCACGTGCCAGTAGAGTAGAAGACATCTTGGCTTTCACGAATGAAACTAATAAATATTGGATTTATTGATCATAATAATTTTTTGAATGTGACATAACATATATAATTAGTTATGTTATTTTGAAGTTTGATTTCTTATTATTTATTAAAACAATAATCATGATTTTTTATTTTTAATTTTTTTGTAAAAATATGTAATGTTTTTTCTTTTATATAAGAAAAAACAAACATACAAACTACTATTTAAATAATAAAAAAAATCAAATTTTTAAATAACACACTCAATAAATATTTTATTTTCCTTTTTAAATTACATTTATTTATATTTTTTCTTATCATTTCACACTATATAATTTGTACTTATTTTTTCAGCCAAAAAATTTATTACCTCTAATTTTTTAAATATTTTTTCTCTAAAAAAAAATACTAATGATTAATGATTTAGAAGTGATAGTTTATGAAATGAAATAATGAGTTTTTACATAAAATCAATTACATAATAAAAAATAAAAATAAAACAAAACTTTAAGTAAATAATTAATATATATATATATATATTTATGTACACACATTTTGAAGTTTCAAATTAAATCACACAAAATTCACATTTGATATACCAAACTTTTTATTATTTTTAAAAATATACAAAATTTTAAAATTTTCGATTTTTTTTTTTTTATCTAAATAAAGCCTTATATTATTAGTCTACAAATTTCAAATAATGGACCACTTAGGCAAATTTGACCAAATAATTAAATTAGATTTGAAGTTATGTTTGTGTATCTTCTAAATCTTAACTTTTTTGATTTTATCATTTGGAAAGTATATATCCACTCATTATTCTCTTGTGTTTATCCAAAAATTGTGCTTGTGTTATTTTAGTGTTCTAAATTTTGTGAATATTTTATTATTATTATTTTTATTATTTATTGAAACTTATGGTGTTATTTATGATAAAATAATATTTATTATTTTAAAATATTTTATCAAAACATATATACTTATTTAAACTGAATAATTTTAAATATTTATATATATTTTTAGAATTTTATACCAAAATATATGAACTAATATAAATACGAAAAATGAATACATTAAAATATGTGTATATATGCAATTTAACTTTTAAAATTTCTTTCACTTATATACGTTGTGCATTGATGTATTTCTAACTAAACACATGCCTTTTTTTAGCCAAAAATAAAAAATAGAATAAAATAGTTAGATACGATGATCAAAAAATATTATTGTAGATTTTTTGTTACAACCTAATTTATATTTTGAAAACTTTAAATATTGTGTATATTTGATTTGAAAGTAGTTAGGTAGTTTGCCAAATAATCAAATTGAATTAAATAAATTAATTTTGTGTATAATCATATATTTATAAATTATTTAAAAATTAAAAGGTGTTTTAATATTATATGTCACCATTTTTACTATAATAAAAAATTAATAATCAATAAAAAATCAAAAATAGTAAAAGAAAATACTTGTGATGAGTATGTACTACGGTGTGTTTTGTTTGTGGTTTGGATTTTGAATTAAGATTTAAATAGTAAAAATTTTAAATTGAAATAATTGTTGTAATACAAATAGAAATTGATACGATATTTTGAATAAAAAAAAAAGTAATTTTTAATATAATATAAAAAATAAAAAATAAATATTTAACTTTTTTTTTTAAAAAAAATTAGTGAATAATAAAAATTATAAAAAATCCGACAAACAAAACACCCTAAGTTGACATGACTTAAATAACGACGACAATTGACTTGACTGTTTGACTATATTGGCCAATTAGCGAATTGTATATTGCCAAGTGTCCGTCTTTGATTGGGTCTAATAAAATCCCATCTCGGTAGCCAGCTTATTATCGGCCTACGCACAGCCTAGTCCGACCCGATTAACCCGGCCCTAGTATGGATCCATTTTTTAATATGGATCCAGCTCAGATAACTGACCCAATTAGAAAAGCCCATAATATTTTCAATTAATTAAAAGTAGCCCGACCCAGGTAGACCAGTCCTTATAGGCAGCCCATTCGTTACGGTCGGCTGGGCTTCAGCCCACTATTTAATTGGGCTGATCTTAATTGGGCCTATTACAAAAGTCCAAACGTTTGAAGCCCATTTTATTTGGTCCTATTTAGGCCCACTTGGACTGATCCTCAGATAAGTCGAACAGCCCATTATAATCGTGTGACGTCGTTTTGGCGGGTGTGATGTCGTTTCGTCGATTTTCTGAACTTCCCGGCGATATGCCGGCGGAGGACGGTGAATCGCTCTGTGTGCTTATCCCTGCGAGTACTAACCCTACTGTAGGTTTGGTAAGTAGTATTTCGAAGATGTCTTAGAGCTTTGGTTGAATTCGATTCGAGAGAATGGCTGCGGGAAGCTATGGTCATCGGCATGTGATGGTGCGTAGACATAATGCCCTAATACATATATATATATATATATATCTTCCGTTTGGTGCTTTTTGGGGAAGAATAAATTAGGTTGAATTACTGAAAAAGCTTCATCCAAAAAGTTTTGTAAGCTTGAAGTATGAACTACCTTTTAGTGTATCTTACCACTAGTTTTTCCGTATTCAAATTCGTGTTGAGAATCGTAAGATACTTTGAGGAGCGTATCCCGTTGGAAATCAGCGTATGCATTGTAGACACTTTGTGAAGTTAGGCTGTGGAATGCTTACATTTATCTGTGCAGTTTAGTGAGTTTTGTAAGGCCACATGAGGTGTTGTTTCAGTCCTGTGATGAAGTATTTAGTGCACGCTTCCATAATAGATTGAGACTATTAATGTGGCAGGTATATGCTTTATACCTCTATTCGCTTGCTCAAAAAGTGCAGTCAATCATAGTCTTTTTCGATGAAGGATAGAAATGCAACAGGGTAGGAACTAGGAAGCTTCCTGCAGGTTGCAAAGGAAAAGCAAGAAGAGTTATTAGAATCAAGTCAATGTGGAAATTTTAGTGGAAAGAAATAATGAAGTGGCTCCTAATTCTCCTACAATTTGGCTCTTGCAAACTCAAAGTTGTAAATTGGGTTGCAAATCAACCTGTTCTTATATAATTATATTCCTACTTCTCATAATTTCTATGGTTTATAACATAGGAAAAGGATTTGAAGCACCATGCTGCCATATCTTCTTTCTTCTGCTACCCTAACACTTTGCCTCCTCTTTTCATTTGCAGATGCTAGCTGCAGTGCAAGTGACCAAATTTCTATAGACTGTGGGTCAACTGCAACCTCAATCGAGCTTGATGGCAGAGAATGGTTAGGGGACCATGGATGCCCCAGATCTTCATTCTTATCTATCAAAGGGCAATCCGCTGTATCAGCAAGCGCCACTGGAGAGTTATGGCAGAATATTGATTCTGTCCCCTACAGGTCTGCAAGAATCTCTGTCTCCCAGTTCTCATACTATTTCCAACTCAATCCAGGTCAGAAATTCATCCGTCTTCACTTCAACCCGAGTTCATACTATGGCGACAAGAGATTCAAGGACTTGTTTACTGTTGAAGCTGGTCCGTTCATACTTCTCAGAAACTATAGTCCTTCAATGACTGCTCATGCTCTTGGCCAAGATACTTTTGCCAAGGAATTCTGTATTACCATACAGGAAAATCAACCCCTCAGTATAGTGTTTACGCCTGCAGCTGCAACTAGTCCATCGCGAGATAAGTTCTATGCTTTCATCAATGGCATAGAAATTCTCTCCGTACCTTCTGCTTATCAATGGCAGAAATCTATTGTTTATATTGACAACACTACTGGACTTGAATTGGTTCACCAGCATAGCATTCGAAGGGATTTTGATGATGTTCGAGGCATGTTTGGGATGTGGGCAACTATTCATAAAGAAAAAGAAAATGAGAAAAATATTACGTGGAATGTAACAGTGGATGTGGGGTTCAGCTACTTGGTGAGGTTTCATTTCTGTGAGCTTGGAATGAAATTAGCTGAGGCCCTAAGAAAGGACATTATACTTGGAATCAATCATGAGATTTTCATCACTGGCGCTGACATACTCGATGACAGGGAAGATAAAGGCATACCATTGTATAAGAACTATATGGTGACGGTCAAAGGGAACAAGCCAGAGGTTAACCGCAATATCTTGATATCCCTGCATTCTAAGGATGTGATAGCCTGGGGTGGAAGTGGCATACTTGAAGGATTTGAAATCTTCAAGTTGAGCAACGAAGCCAATAGTCTTGCTGGTCCAGCTTCAAATTCATGGCCTCCAACACAAGAGTCACCATCCTGGACTTTCCAAAGTTTATTCTCATTCCTGGGATACAGAAACTCAGTTGCAACTGCTGCCATTGTCCTGATTTGTCTGCTAAACATCATCACCAACAAGCTGCTACGAACTTGGGAATTTAATAGTTGTGAAGAGGAAAACAGGTTACCAATCAAGGGTAAACAACCCTTGTGTCGCTTTTCACTACGTGAGATCCTGTCTGCCACAGATTATTTCTATGAAGGATTTGTCATTGGAAAGGGAGGATTTGGTATAGTCTACAAAGGATTCATAGATGATAGGAAACAGAGTGTGGCTATCAAGCGCTTAAAAGCAGACTCCAGCCAAGGAAAGCATGAGTTTTGGACAGAAGTCGAAACTCTTTCTGTACTTCAACATGTTAATCTTGTCTCGCTGATTGGCTACTGCAATGAGCTAAGGGAAATGATTCTGGTTTATGAGTACCTGCCCTCTGGAACATTGGCTGATCATCTCTACAAATTTGGTAGGAAAAACAAAATTTGTTTTCCTCTCTCTTGGAAACAGCGGCTTAAGATCTGTATTGGAGTAGGCCGAGGACTGGACTATCTTCACACAGGTCATGGGATCATACATCGGGATATAAAGACTTCAAACATCCTGCTGGATGAAAATTTTGTTCCTAAGGTTTCAGATTTTGGTTTAGCGAAGATTGAAAGTCAAGGGGAGTTGCAAAGACAAGCAAGCATAAAAGGCACAATTGGATACTTAGATCCTGATTATTTAAAAACTTGTGCACTAACAATGAAAAGTGACACATATTCTTTCGGTGTTCTGTTATTGGAAGTATTGTGTGGGAAACCAGCTGTGGATAATGGCGCTGATGAAGATAAGAGAATTCTGACCATGTGGGCTCAAGATTACATCAGCAAGGGAGAATTTCATGAGATTATAGATCCATATCTCACCGAGGAAATTTCACATGATAGCCTGACAACATTTGTTAGGGTTGCAGAAAGATGCTTGCATGACGAACCAAAAAAAAGGCCAGCAATAGCACATGTGATAATTAACCTGGAGTTTGCACTCGAGCAGCAAGAGAATGGAAAGACTTTGTCATTGAATGGCTTAGTCTGTGTTCCCAATGCGTTTCCGTGTACTCAAAAAGCTCAGCAGGATGATGCAAATGCTTTGTTACAAAATGTTAGAGATAGTGTTGCTGATGATAAAGCTCAACAGGGCGATGCAAATTCTATGTTACCAAATGAAATAGCAAGTGTTGCTGATGATGTAGTTCAGCAGGACAACAGAGATTATTTAGAACCAGACAAGATAGCGGGTACTGCTGATGCATTGCCTTGTACTGATCAAATTCAGAAGGAAAGCCCGAAGCCTTTGCTACATAACATGATTACTAATATGTTGACTTGCAATGATAAAACCATCGTCTTATCAAGGAGCACAGAGCACAGTACATATCTTGCAAAAGAACATCTTAGCAGCAAAGTGATTAGTGCTGGGAAAAAGGATGGGAGGAAGACCATAACTAATAATCTATTACGAATGTGGCCATGGTATGCATTACGTAACACTGCTAAGCAGTCCAAGGATACAGGCAGCATCTCAAATCCAGGTATGAGCTATTTATTAATCTTTTTGGGTCCTCTGCCGCCACAAAATATTACCATTACATTCATTAGGAATCAGGAATTTCTTCAAGTTACATGTAAGAACTTCAAATTCTTTCTTAAATTACAAAATCTGTTTAATTCATTTTTAAACTGTTGGAATATAATTGCTTTGAGAAACCATGTACTTTGTTCAATTACACTATTGGTTTGGGTTTACTATATTCATGTTCTTGAATGTGTCTTTTGCAGTACCAACTTTGCATGGGATGAGTACCATGGCCTTGAAAGGCAGTGCTTCCTTTAGAAACAGAATCAATAGAGCAGATTATGATTTTAGGAATGCAAGAATACCTACCTTACATGTCTTCGCCTTTTCTGAACTGAAGACAATCACAAAACATTTTAGTAATGTTATAGGAGAAGGTGGATTTGGGACAGTTCACCGAGGATGTTTTGATAAGAAATGTGGTGGTGGTAAAGGTAACTGTGGGTCTTGTGTTGCTGTTAAGAGAATGAAGGATAATGCCTATCAAGGAATTAATGAATGGCAGGTAATTACTTTTTAAATATTTGTAAACTGGATTTTAATCTAGTTTGTTTTTGTTCAATGTTTCCAATTTTATGGTTGGGATCTAACTGCAAATATTTGAATTGAGTACAGAATGAGGTGGAGTTCCTTGGACTGTTTTCTCACCCTAATCTGGTTGAGCTGTTGGGCTACTGTCAGAAGGAAGAGGAGCGATATCTCGTGTATGAATACATGCCTAGAAGCAGCTTAGATTTGCACCTTTACAAAAGTAATGGAGGGACTTGTGTCGAGCCACTTGGATGGAATGATCGGATTAAGATATTGTTTGACGTGGCTTGTGCTCTTGCATATTTACATGAATCAGGCAACAATGTTATTCACAGAAACGTAAAGAGTGCAACCATATTGCTTGATCAGGTAACATGATACAGAGCTCGCCGCATATTTATATTTCATTGATCTGATATTCCAGTGTCTCCTTGTTGTAGTGTGTTTTACTCTTTCCTTTGACACGGTTTACTCATTTTCGGGAATCAGTCAAACCATGCTAAGCTTTCGGGTTTTGGTTTCGCAAAATGGGGTCCGGTGGATGATTTCAGCCATGTATCAACGAGGGTCATGGGGACGAATTGCTATGCTGCTCCCGACTACGTTTCAACAGGTAACCCTGCTACAACTCGTAATGTATTTTTGAACCTGAAGAAATTTAGCTTGAAAGAAGTAAATAGAGCAGCAACAGCATGAAGAAGAGAATCAGAGTAAAGGAAAACTGAAATTATATTTTAATTGATAGAAGAATGAAAAACACTGTATCAATTACACTAGCTTAGGAGAATATAAATACAAGAAGCATAACTAACTGTTCTCTCAAGCTGTTGTGTTGTTATGCCACATGTAATCACAAAAAAAAAAAAAAAAAACTTAATCTGTAACCTGTTTTTAGAATTATCTTTTGCGCCTCCATCTTCTTTTTATTCTTGGACTAGGATTCATCATCCAGCTCTTCATTCAACAGCACCAGAAGCATGTACTTGGAAAAATGGTAGGTACCTAAACACCTTACCATCCATCTACAGGAAAACTATACAAGACAAGCGATGTATATGCCTTTGGCGTAGTCATATTGGAAATGCTAACAGGATTAGCCCGCTATGGCCCGAAGGGACAACAATATCTTGTTGAGTGGATCGGGCCGCTCTTACCTATGGAGAGAAGGGTGAAGAAGTATATGGATCCAAAGCTGAATGGATCATATCCTACCAAAAGTGCATTTAAAATGGCTCAGCTGGCCGGAAGATGCGTCGAAACTGATCCGAAAAAGAGACCAGAAATGAAAGATATTGTGGAGGAACTCAAAATTGAAGTCTTAGGCCAAGCAAGCAATACATGCCTAGCACCGCATGCAAAGTGAGGTAATTGATCCATCTCATATTTTTTGGTATTCTAATTATTTATGTTCTTGATAGTATTTGTATATTTGGTAATCTGGGCATGTATGTTGTTGATATTTGTTGGTGCAATTCATACCTTGAAGAAAAGATCCCATTGTTCGAATGAGCACAAGAATTCAGATCTGCGATCTTGGAAGCCGCACAGGTATCCTCTTTCTTTAATCTAAAAGCTGAAACCTTTAATTAAAATAATGCAAGTAGTTTTAAGATGTAATCATTGTAATTGTAACCTACCTCCCCCTCCCTCTTCTTCATTTTTTTTTCTGCAAACCCTAATTCTTCACCCAAGCAAAAATGACTGCCCTAATTCAATCTTCACCTTTCCCTCACCCCCTAAAATCCACGCCCTTCAAATCCCAAACCCTTCCCCGGAAATCCTCATCCCGCATCGCCGCCGTTCCGATCACCGCAAATCTCCGCGCCGCCGTGATCGGAGGCGGTCCGGCAGGATCCTCCGCCGCGGAAGCTCTGGCCAACGGCGGCATCGACACTTACATCTTCGAACGCAGCCCCGACGCCGCCAAGCCTTGCGGCGGCGCCGTCCCTCCCTGCATGCTCGACGAGTTCTCAATCCCCTTGAGCCTCGTCGACCGGAAAGTTACCAAAATGAAGATCATCTCGCCGTCAAATCTCGCCGTCGACTTCGGAAAGACCCTCAGGTCCGGCGAGTTCATCTCCATGCTCCGCCGCGAAGTGCTCGACACTTTTCTCCGGCGGCGTGCCGAGGAGCGCGGCGCAACGCTTGTTAAAGCGTTAGTGACGAAAATCGACCTCCCGGCGACGGAAAATTCTCCTTACATTATCCACTACGTCGCCGGTAACGTATCTCAGAGACTCGCCGTCGACGTTGTCGTCGGCGCTGACGGCGCCAACGGCAAAGTCGCGAAGGCGATCGACGCCGGCGAATACACCTGCGCCATCGCCTTCCAAGAACGGATCAAACTGCCGGAACACAAAATGAAATACTACGAGAGTCTCGCCGAGATGTACGTCGGCGACGACGTCTCGCCGGATTTCTACGGCTGGGTGTTCCCGAAGTGCGACCACGTCGCCGTTGGCACCGGCACGATCCGTTCGCGCCAAAACATAAAAAGCTTCCAGTCGGCGATCCGAATCCGCGCCGGATTCAAAATCGCCGGCGGCGAAACCGTCAAGGTCGAGGCTCATCCGATCCCGGAGCACCCCCGGCGGCGGCGAGTCCGCGGCCGGGTGGCTCTGGTCGGCGACGCCGCCGGCTACGTCACGAAATGCTCCGGCGAGGGGATATATTTCGCGGCGAAGAGCGGGAGGATGTGCGGCGAGGCTATCGTGCGCGCGTCGGAGGGAGGGAAGAAGACGGTCGGCGAGGAGGATCTCCGGCGGGAGTATCTCCGGCGGTGGGACGACGAGTACTTGTGCACGTTCAAATTTCTGGACGTTCTGCAGCGTGTCTTCTACCGGAGCAACGCCGCGAAGGAGTCGCTGGTGGAGCTCTGCGGCGAGGAGTACGTGCAGAGGATGACGTTCGATAGCTATCTGTACAAGCGGCTGGCGAAGGGGAAGCCGTGGGAGGATCTGAAGATGGCGATGAAGACTGTAGGAAGCTTGATTAGGTGCAATATTCTGGGGAAGGAAATATTGGCCGCCATTGACGAATCCGCCATTGATGATCACAGAAACCTTCTTAGACTGTAGAGTGTTGACTAGAAGAATCCCTAATTCTCCCAAAATAAGAATGGGTAATTTTTATTAGAAGGGCGTGAATGGTTTCTTTTTTTTATTTTTTTCATGAAGGTTTGAATTTTTTATTTAAATAAATTTAAATATTTTATAAAAAGTATATATATATATATATTATAAATATAGGATGAAAATAGAAAAAAAAAAAAAGAAAAAAAGAAAAAGAAAAAAGAAGTAAGTTTGTAGAAACTAGAAAATACAAATCACTCATTTAAAAATGCTTTGGAGTTTTGATTGTAAATATGTCTAATTATGCAAGTGCAAATAAAATAGTGAAATGTTTTAAATAATTTTTTTGTAAATATATCTTTAATAGTAATTTTTATTTATTTGTTTTATTAAATATATTTAATATATTTCAATTTTTATTTGCATAACTGGGAGAATATAACACACAGAACCTATAGTCAATTTTTATCTGGTTGAATTTCTTAAATGGGTGAAATCAAGTAACTTTAATTCTATTATCTGTATTGGTTGATCTGTATACAAAATTAAATCAAAAAATTTTCTGTATCAAATTATCTTGTCATATTATATTAAATTTATTTTATATATAATAAATTAATATTAATATGTTATAATTGAATTTATTTTCGTATTTGATTTGTATTGATCATTATATAATTAGATCGAGATCCTTCATCCACACTTAATTATTTGGTTGTCGGATTTTAAAATCGGGTTACATTTTGCCAATTCTACATATAATCAATTATTATGCAGTTTACCTATAAAAAAAATTTATATTATTGAAATGTTCGGAGAACTAATATGAAATATTACCAAACTATAAGGGTGCAGTTGCAATTTCTCTATACTCAAATTGGGGGTATATATGTAATTTACTAGCACAAGAAGCATTGAAAGTTGTACTCTACTGTACAAGTGTCTGCGTATCTATATATAGGTCTTTCGAGTCTGAACTCTTCGAAGTGCGATCTGTTCGTGTTCGAGACTCACACATCTGCTCTGAGGTTTTCCCTCGTGTAATTGTGTTTGGATGGGGAGGTGGAATCGGAGATATTTTCCAAGAAGGAAGTGGAGGAACTACAATTACGCAGATCCTCCGCCCTCGCCGCCGGAAATATATGAGACACAGACGTATGTTTCGAGTACGTATTGGATTTCTTCCTTGCTTTTGAATTGATTTTAATTGCCATTGTTGTCCTTGATCATCTGAAATTATATAGATAGATAGATAGATAGATTTTCTGTATATCTGTGTGGAATCCATAAATCGGAATGGGGACGAAAATCCGATGACGAAATGAATGAATTGCAATCCTTTTTATCGGTTGCTTTGATATGTTAATTGCTTGTCCGTAGGTGGAAAGGAAAAAAAAAAAAAATTAAAATGTAAAATTAGAGTTTGTGTGGTTTTGGGTGAGGATGAAAGTCTGTGTTGTGTTTTCTCCGCCCAATCAATGGCTGTTGCTTTTGAATGAAATCTAAACAAAGTATAAATGTAATATAAGATGATATGTTGCAATTGTTGGATTGAGACACATCCTATTGTTGTTCAGTACAAAGCTAATGATTCCGAAACTAGGATAATTATTTTTTGTTAGAACCCTAATTTGTAGCTCATGGTGGAAGGCAATAGAAGTTTATTATTAGCTAATAACTTATAGAATATGAGTTTTGTTCCTTATGTTACATATTCTAATATCTTTTCTGTGCGAGTTTGTTTCAAAGAAGGCGAGACGAATGGGGTGCCGCCATGGGAATTAGATTACTGCCATTCCGTAAGAGTTTCATGGCGCAAGGTTTTGGCGTCGAAGAAGTCTTTTCACTGCCATCCCAATGTGCTCAGTTGGGATGATTCTGCCGGTAAAGAAGCATTACAGAACGCCAAGCAACAGTACTGGGCGACGATCAATGGCCTTTACTGCAACAACCCTTTATCCAATCCCGACACATACATAGATGAGATTGATTGGAACTCATACGTGGATCCGGAACTGATGGAAGATCTGGACCTCCAAGCATTTAACCTGGACGACGTCCAAGAATCTGACAAGTTGGAAACTATAAATGAAGAGGATGGCGATAACTCATGTGAAAGGCCTCTAATGCAACACACTGATGAACATTCGAAAAATGACGGGCAGCAAGGATGGGGTAAGTGGGAAGACTCTGCAAACACAACAAACGAGAACCCGTGGGAGCAAAGATACAGCAGCAATGCTCGGCAAAGTGGGAAAGAATCTTGGGGTAACACCTCGTGGGAAAAATGTCGAAGCCAAGCTGATGATCCCTGGAAGGGCGACGCTTGGAGAAGTGAGAACAGGTCGTCTGGTTGGCCTCAGGGGTTTTCTACTAGAGGAGAGGGGTGGGGGGGAGAGCTGCGAAATAGTAATAATAATTCAAATAATGATTCTTGGGGTTGGAATGGTGGTGGTGGGGAATATTCCGGTGGAATGAGAGGATGGAGGGACAACAGGGATAGTTATCGGGGCAGAAATGACTGCGCGATTCAATCTTCTTACGGGTGGAGGGGGAGGGCTTTGGGGGAGTATGTTGGGGATACTCAAGGATTTGAAAGAGGCGGGAGATCCTCATCTCGAGGGTATGGGTATAGGAAGAGGGAAAGTTCTATACAACACACTTCTAGATTTAAGAGCTCTAGGCACCAAGGCAGAAATAGTGGCAACTGGTTGTAAAGTGATTGGTTACATTATGCATTATTCATCGTGATTTAAGCTGCTTACAAATGCCTTTGGTTTGATTGTTTGCTTGTTTCTTGATCATTTTGATGAATATAGTGTAGTGTAGGTTAAAGGAAGTTGTGTGAGGCAGGCAGCTTTTGGTATGTGTATCTGAATACCAACGACAAGAGAGGTTTAAGTTTGTTAATTTTGCAATGCGATACATGTATTTCCTGGTAATTGTGGAAAAATGGCTCTTTCCAGCAATATTTGTTATTCTTCTACTTTGGGTTGTTCTTTGCACGGAAAGCAACTACTTCACAACATATTCTTGAATTAAATTCGTTAATATGTATTATGCAGGATAGAGTTCTTCCTTAAAAATAGACAATTCAATAATCTGAAAAATAGGACATAGCTGACATTAAGGTAAAGTGAAAGTAGTGTCTAAAATCACAAGGAAGCACCAAGAAAATGGTGGATTGAAGAAATAGTTATGCTCTACAAAAAACAAATTGGGGTGCCGGTTAGAGGTTGGTTTTCTATACACATTTTAATGTCAATGTCGAATTTATCTCTAATAAGATCTCACAAAAGTCATGGAGCTGCAGAAAAATCTCCCCAGCCCACACCCTCTCTCTCGGCTATACGATGCTATTATAATATACACCTGACCTCACGCTTGGGTAATTGATCGGGAATAGCCCGCCCTTGCTTGCTCAAATCTTCCCTATGCCTAAAGAGGAGGACACCTCTAGAATGTCCTCTTCTTCCATCCATTTATACGACAGAAAAGAAAAAAGCAGCAAATAATGCAGGTAAGGAGAATCACTCATTGACCTTAGAGGGGGGGTTACCTTCCATGTCCATGGCTGGAGGAGATAATGGCGGTACAGCAGCAGCTTCTTCTTGCAGTACAAGGTATGAAGTTGTTTCCAGAGTTTTTCTGGCTGTTGCCTGGGACTCTCGGTTTCTACCCATTTTTCTCGATTTGAGTACTGCAGATGCGCCATTCCTGGAGGAGTTGCTGCTCTCGATGGATGCTAAGAATTTGTCTTTGGATAGTGTTGCGTTGGCTGAAGAAATGATTGATTCGAATATGCCGGATTCCCTTAAAGCTTGGACGATTGTCTAGACAAACAAGGGTGAGGAAACAATTATGTATTGTGATTATCAAATGGATGTTTGTTCTTCAGAAACCGGTGATGGCTTACCATAGGAGCGTATATGCGTGCTAAAATTCCCTTCCTCAGCAATTTCAAGTTGAGGGCTCTGTCATTCCAGACGACATGCTCGTTATACCTGTTGCAGCAAAAAATAGATTGTCAACACAACCTGAAGTTGTTGCAAAAGCTATTAGATTGGAATTGGTGCGGATAGGTAAACAAATTGATTGTAATATAGGCTTCAAGATTATACCAGGACAGCATCTCCTCCTCTGTTGCAGTTGAAGCGATAATAAACGCCTGCAAATGAATAAGAAATATTTGTTCATGAATTAATTTCCTCTTAACTCCTATAAACATTAATTTCAAAACCTGAACTCCAAAGAAACATCACATCCAAACATATTTTCCTCTTAAAAAATTTCACATCCAAAACAATCAAAACACACCCTAAGGATACAATGGAAGGGAAAAATAATTTGAGAAGCATCATAAGGAACAAAACAATAATTAGAAAATGATAAACTTGATCACTCTTTGCAAATACTTGTTTCTCGGAAGTAAATAAACAACTTAATCGACACACCAGCACACTGAGCCTATCCTTTCATCTGTAAGGGAGCTCTTAAAATCTTCTAAAGATTAAAGAAAGTGATGAATGAGCACCACATTTAATATCCTATTACATGACACTACCAAATATTTCATTTTTTCCTAGCACTTGGCATATCAATGTTTAGTGAATCTCAACACATCCATATATGGGTAGCTGTATGATTAAACTGGAGCCCTCTTAAAATCATATTGAATTAGTTCATTAAAAAAACTCAAATATTAGAGTAAATATTGAGGCTTCAAATACATAGGCATAGAAAGGATAAACCTATTCAAGTAAACAATATTTATTCGATGAATGGACATTATTAGCAACAGGTGCCAGTTGTGAAAGGACAATTGACAATTTTTAGACTCTGAACTCAGCACTTTACCCCGTTGTAATATGCACTATAATAATGTAATCAGCCACAAATGCCAATATATAGCTGATTAGATGCTCAATCATTTGGTAAAACAGACATGAATATTAGGCAGATCTTTCCTAGACCTATACAGAATGAAGAAGTAGATAGGGTTTCCTTCATTAAGATCCTCTAACCATAAATAAAAACGTTTAAACATCCCTTAAAGTCCTAAAATATTCGTAAGACAGTTCTCACTGCATATCATATGGTACACATAAATAAATTATCAACCATATAGATGAATGAAATAATAAGTGAATATGCGCAAGAAAAAAGCACTCACAGATCTATCAAATTCCAACATAAAGCATCGCTTCACATCCTCCTTTGTAGGCTTACAACCACATCGATCCCTCCTAGATGTCAAATCAGAGAACTTGGCATATGTATAATGTAAGACTGCTGCCTCTTCTAATTTTATCTCACTGTCATCATTGAGCAAAATTCTACGTCAAGAACTTGCAAAGAGAATAGCTGTGTGGTTCCATAACCAAATAAGAGATGTGATAACAGAAGGATGAACACGTGGGTAGATAAATAATCAATGAATACCATCACAGTAAAAAAGTGTAAAGTAATAGTGAAGCTAAAAACAAAAACATACTTTGGAGTTTTCATGTAGTTGTGCCATCTGTGTGCTCCATTAGGGCGAAGATGATCTTGAATTCGAGCCATTGATTTCCCATTTCCATAGGTCAGGAAGTAGTTTGGATTGCCACGGGTTGATTCCTTATACATACCAAAATATGTGTCTTTTGTCAAGTGGTCATAATTTTTCTTGAACATAGAGACCTAGACAAGATAAAAATGAATCACATCAGCCAATTTCAACAAACCAAGGACTATAAAATGTCATGAAAGAGGTTGTTGGCTGACTTTCATCTGTAAAGGCAATTGTAGACAGAGGCTGAAACTGTGGAGAATATCTTGTAATTTTGGTGTAACTCTTATATGATAAAAAGAATAAAACCATATTGGAGTCCTAATTACAACTTTGGTATGATGTCTTTCCAGTACGAATTCACGTGGAACATCTCTTGTCCAAACAGATCAACAAGTGGATCATAGAAACTTAATACCATGACCAGTATATAAAAGATGCTTTTTTAATACCTCTATGAAAGGATCCTTGATGTCATCTCGTTCAACACTGCTCTCCTGAAAGGAAATATAGTTGTAAGATTAGGGAAGATAAATTCCGGACTGTGATCATTTCCCAGAAAAATAAAAAGAGAATGCTTAACCAACTATACTTATTCAACAGTAATAAAATCACAGAAAAGATGGTGATGTGGCATTGAACTACTTACATAGTTGGGGAATACGACCATGTCTACATTCCGAGGCACATCCAACAACAACTGCCTCAAAGAATACTCCCTAGCACCAGCCGGATGTATTAATTCATCAGTATCCAAATGAAGTATCCAGTCCACACCAGCATCCTGAAATCATACAACCAAATATAGAGCTTCTCTTGATTTTAAAAAATATGGTTTATGTACTAGTAATGATTCATACCCTTGCCATAACTATCGCCATCTCCATATTTAGGGATTGCTTCACAAAAAGTTCATAATTGCAAGGTTTGTAAAAGAAACTTGACAACCAAGTTTCATTCCAGATCCGGCTGAAGCATCAATTGAAAAGGTAAGTAAGAGAATTATCAAAGCAAGTACATGAGATCAAAACCCTACAAGAAAGAGACTAATGTAGAGGGTAGATCATTATCTATCTATAGGGTGAACAACGAAAATGTATCTACAGATTTATTATTTCGCTTTATTAGGTCCTAGTATCTACTTCATCTTCATTGCATTGATAAAATAAAATTAAGAAGTAATGTCACCACATACTCATAGTTGATGCACTTTACCTTTTAGCTTGTTGCTCCTCCAGCTCTTTGGTTCTGTATATTACTTTCACTCCCTGCAGAGTCAAAATGAGTACACAATTCTAACATTTGAAAAATATATTCAGACTAACATGGACTGGAAGCTAGCAAAGTAGATTTCAAAAGACGCTCATTAATATTACTATCCCTACATTCACATGGGGAATACTGCAATAGTGTAAGATAAATGCAGTGAGTGTAGGCAGAGAAACATCTAATAGAAGATGAAGAATGATCAAGCCTGCATATGTAGTGAAAATTCCCAATTTGATGCTAAGAAACAGTAGAAAAATAATCTCAGCTCCTAGTGAGACAGACCAAAAACCACCCAAGCATCTAAGACTAGGCAACAATTTATTAAGCTTCTCCTCTCATACGGTAGCATGCGTGATCAATCAAAATCATTTTTAGTTAAGCACTAAAACATTAAAGTCTTGGTGGTATTATTATATATCAGATCTATTTTAAAGTAAGGAGGCAACATTTTACATCACTACAAAAGTAAAAGAAAACAGTTAGCAATATAAAACTCACTGGAATGGATTCCAAAACTTTGGATACTGCAGGAGATGCAGCCTTCCCTTCAACAAAGAGGAAAAATGTTGAAACCCCAATAACTTTATGATAAAACATCCATGGGAGGATCTGCTCCAAGCCAGCAGATGTACTTGTTGTAATACAAATCTGCACGTAATAAGCAAAAATGATTGCACACGTCTTATTAAAAACCAAAAACGCTATAAAGAAATAACAAATGATAAACATATAAATCATGACATTTGTCAAAAAGTAGCTATTTAAATTCAAATCAATACATAAGTCTTGAATGTTAGATCCCAACATGAAATATCAATTAGTTCCACTAGGAAAAGAGCATTTTAACGTATGGGCACATACAAGTGATCAACATTGTAAAACCTGCATCCAACCTGCAATAAATCATGGATAATCACTATCAATTTGGTATTGCAAACTTCAAATATACCTCCAGCCCAAGCAATTTGTTATCTATTTATAGAAGCTCAAAGTCATGATACTGTGATGCTTAAGCCATCAGCACAAGATTAGTAAAGTAATCTTCTCAAATCTGCAAAATTTTCAGTCACGCATATCACGCCCTTTGTGCTCTTAAACTAAAGTTGAATCCAAAAGCAGTGGGTATTAAAGGAGAAACTATGAAGATTTCTACGATGAATTCCATCAACCGCCGCGTTTAAACATCTATGAGCCCTAACAATAGGAAAGCCAAACAAACAATACAATATACAATTTCGTTTTGAAATGAATGTTCGAAGATCAAAATATTAAAAGATCAACCGCATAAAACACAATTCCACACACAATACAAACGAAAATCCCTTCCGCATCGGTCCAAACGAGCTCCAGAAGCAGATCAACGCCAAAAAGTAAAAAAAAGCAGAGGAGAAGAAAAACCTTGGGTTTAAGATCGGCATCGAACTTGTACTTCCAGTCTCTGAAATAAGGAAACGCCGCCTTGTTGGAGTTTCCTACAAGCGAGGAGCAATCGGAAGAGTGCGAAGAATGGTGACCGACGGTGGCGAGAGGTGACGGATCCATGCCTGGGAACTTGTGCGATTCATCGGGAGACCAGCGCGCGATTGGATCATCGACGCCTCCGCCGCGCCACTGGAGGAGGAAAGCGAAAAGTGCGAGAGAGAGGGGCAGGACGGTGAGGAGCAGGAGAAGCTTGGCGGTGAAGGTATGGTGGTTGGAGGCGGAGGAGGGCGGTTGGGGGCGGAGGGAGGTATGCAGACCCGCCATTGGTGGAAAGGAAAGGAAAGAGACTGGTCCCCGACTGGAATCTTTGTAGTGGATTGTGCTGCTGCTGGGAATGCATATATACATTATACATACACACATATGCTAATTACGGTTCCTTTTTTTCTTTTCTTTTCTTTTCTTTTTTTTTTTTTAATTAATTATGAACCTAATTAACATTAATGTAAATTACATTAGTCTCATCAACTTTTATTTACTGCACCAAATTGATTGGATTGAAGAATTTATATATATATATATATATATAATATAAAAATTGATGTCTGATAACATAAAAAGTAAAATTTTTTATTGAATATTAATTTTTATAAAAAATAAAAAATATATATTAAAAATTGTAAAGAATAAAAAAATTCGAGCAAAAAAATAACAAAACCCCTATGTATTACCTCCTTAATAGTACTATAAAAGAGTAAAAATATATTTTTATCTTTAAATTTGTTTACTTTTTTAAGAGTGTTTGCTGTAATGATGCATAAAATGTAAGACTGTGGCCAGATGATTATTTAAAAAATAAAATAAAAAATTATTTTTAAATTTGTCTACACGATGATGATATGTCAACTGCGTTAGCGTGTTAGCAACAGTGAGCTAACATAGCTAATTCGATACCGAAAAATCATTTTAGTTAAAAAAATAATTTACTTACGATACTACTTTCATATATAATGTTCATTTAAAGTTCACATATTAGATTAAAAAAACAATAGTTTATCTTTTTTAAAAAAATATAAAGAGTAACTATTAAAAAGCAAAACGTATTAAAGTAGGCACCCAATGAGCTTGTCCATATATATAAATAAATTGTATTTGTTTATTTGCATAACACTTTAATTAATAGCATATTTATGTCATAGATAAAGTATTTTATACATGCTTTGATAAAATATAATTAAATTTTGAGGAATAAATAAAATATACATAATTTATTCTTTTATTATTTGTATTTCAAATTAATATTATTCACCATACATATTTACAGTAAAAATAAGTTATTTTATCTCGTAAAACATCATTTCAATATACTCTTACCCTCCCGTGTTAACGTATATATCTTTCTATTTTTGTCCGTCTTACATTATTATGTACATCTTTTTAGCTACTATTGACTCAATTTTTTATACAAATATTTTTATTTTACCATTATATTATTACTTTAATAGAAAAAAAAAAAACAAGACAAAAATTATTTTTACATTACTTCTAACGGCCTACTGCAATTAAAATACTAATCTCTCAGTTCCGACTACGGTGTTTTCTTTAATGTAGACAACAAAATTTATGAATGGTATAATTAGTAAGGCATGAAATCACTTGTTCAACATCCACTCTCTGTCCTTCCTGTCCATCCAATGAAGAGACCATACTTGGTTTATTATGTTTCTTTTTATTCTTTTTTAAAATTGAAATTTGAAGTCGAAGAGAAATTGCAAATCGGTCCGTGGAGCCCTCCCCAACATCATTTTCATCTTCCCCTGAAGCAGCAAAGCCCACATTCATCATCTTTCTTCATCGGCTTCAACTTTCGTCGGCCACCTTCTAGAACTGCAGCCATTTACCAAGAAACAATTTTGTCTCATCATTGTCTTCGCCGGTATCAGTCGATTTAGGGCTAAATGCTAGTTGTGTTTCTATGGGTGAAGCAACAGAAGAAGCTCGAGCACACAAATGCCACAACAAATAAGCAAATAAATCCGATTCTATAAAATACTACTATGTTGGTTACAAAAATTACAGAATAAAATTAATAATAGCTTCAAAATTATGCCCCACCACCTCCATCATTTTCAGGCACTGCAGCAACTTCGCATTTGGAATCATGACACCGCCTCTATTGTAAATCTTACACAATTCTAATTACTAAACTCAAGTCCAAAATTCAATCATACAAAATTTACAAAATAAAAATTCAAATTAGAATTTTTATTACACTCAATTCAACGTTTATTTTGCTTCTTGGTTGGCGGCGGCAGCTCAATTCAAATTTACTAAATTTACAAAATAAAAATTCAAATTTACTAAATTTTTGGCAAAGTCAACAAATCTAACATTTAATTATTACACTCAATTGAACGTTTATTTACAACAAATATCACTAACTTTATTATATTATCTCTCTTCGTTTACTTTATTTTTTATTTAAATTTTCAAAAATACCTTCAACTATCTATCACGTTTTCAATAAAATATTCATTTTTTTAATTCTCGTGCCGAGCCTAAATGGGCTAATTTTAATGGACGGATAGAGTAATTAAGAATGTATTAGTAAAAATAATTACCGTATAAAAAATAATCTTAAATTAAAATTAATATAACTATTTAGTATAATTAAATTTAAAATATTATAAATAAAAAAAATAAATGAGATTAAAGTGTATAGTTCTTTTATTAAAACAAACAAACAAATTAAATAGAACAAATCTAAATGAAAGATTAACACAGTGGAACGAAATAAATATTATTTTTTAAATTTTATATACAAAGTAAATTTATACCTTAACTTGGAATAGATGAAATATTATTTATACAAAAAAATCAAATAAACATATAGTTCCAAATCAAATTGAAACCACAATTAAACAAAGCCATAGTATTTCATGAATTTATAACAAAATAAGTAGCTATCATGCAATTTACAGTAATATTGATTACAAGCCAAAATTGGAAACGTATTGTTTGTTATTCTATTATTGGGAATTTTATTTTCATCAGCAACAAATTGAATTTAGGCTTGCAACTACAAAAAGTCTAGAGTTACTGGCTGTGTTTGCCTTTAATTTGAAATTAAAATTACAAATGTTCATCAGCATTTTTATTTATTTATTTTTATAAAATATCACGTGAAAATAATATTTCAAACCAAAATTAAATAAAACTTACAAATGTATTTGATTATAGTGTTTTTGGAGGGTTACTATTATTTAAAAAACAAAAAAATCTAAACAAATATTAATTTAAACATATTTTTATTATATTATATTCCTTCCGTCCCAAAAGTACAGCCTTATTGGGTTGAGTACGAAATTTAAGAAATATTGATATTATATAGATAGTTGGTAATTTTTTGCCTAGTATAAAAAGTAAGGGTAATTTTACAGAGATATGATTATTTATGAAAATTAAACTATTATTTTGGAACGAACAAAAATAGTAAATAAGACTATTGTATTGGGACGGAGGAAGTATTAAAATTTAATTTTTTTTATATTCAAAATATTATATCAAATTAATTATTACAATTCAAAATCTCATAATTCAAACACAAAATCAAAACCCAAACCTACCGTAACAAACACACCTGTAATTTTTTAAATAGAAAACAATTTCATTTATCTGATAATTTTATTCTCTCAATTATCAATATATTTATATCACCTTTTTATATATAAGAAACTATTTTACAAAAAATTAATAGTAAATAGGATTAATTTTTTTAGCATTTCAAAAATAAATAAATATTATTCATCGTCTACAATTTTTAATAAAAATATATTATTTCAATTTACAAAACGTCTTTAATATATAATTCAAATAAAAATTTAAATCAATTTCAAATTGAAAATATTTCCTTGATTTATTTATATATTTTACTTTTGAATATTCAAATTAATATAAAGTAATATAAAAATATTGAATTTATTCCGTCCGTACAATTTTATTTTAAACGCTGCCGCGGTGGTGTTTGTTTTGGCACATGCATTCGGTTGTGGCAAAATAAAAATATTATAGATGTCCTTTTCAACTGAGTTTCATTATTAGAGAAAGTATTAAAATGGTAGGGTTTGATTTTGTCAAATTGGGTTACAATACAATATACATTTAATTAAAATAATTTATTATACTATATAGTTATGAAAGCGTTTGTTTTTTTTATACATTATGTTATTTTTAATAAAAAATTATTCATATTTTCAAATACAAATATATGATTTTATTTGATAAAATATTTCAAAAAAAATTAATAAAAATTATTTCAGTCGAATAATATAACAATTTATAGACACATTTACAACTAATAACAGAAAAAAGTCTATTCCAAAGAAGGTATTTTTATCTACTTAATAGTAGATTTTTATGTTTTGAATGGGATATAGGGATTGTTTAATTTATATATATATATATATATATATAAATCTTCAATTATTTATTTTATTTACTTTATATATATATATATGTTATATCGGCATTAAATTTGCATCATTTTTATAATGGACCATTTGGGCCTGACGACTCAACGATAGGAGTAATATATTGTGCTGGACTTCGTCCTGACCCAAGATTTGTAGCCACTATTTATTTAACTAATAAGAACAATAATTAATTCATATTCAAAATTATTTAACACATGAATATTAAGAAAAACATTATTTTAATTTATATATATATTAAAAAATAGTAATGATATAATTGCAACTTATGTGATTAATTAAAATACTTCATCCGTCCAATTGAAAGGTTGTTATTTTCTATTTTTGTCCGTCCAAAATAAGGTTATCATTTCCAGTAATTGTACTACCTGCCTAAAATAATAAATACCCTTCAAACTTACAACTATATTACACAAATGTCATTACTTTTATATTACACAATAGTAATAGGGGTATTTTCGTCATTTTCACTACAATCCATTATAATACTAATATTCAAAAATTTATAATAATATGAGATTAACTTAATTAATATAATTAACTATATATGTTATTTATTTATTTTTTACAAATAAGGTAAAATAAAAAATAAAATCTTTTTTTCTTCTAAACTTTTTCTCACCAAAATTTTCATCCAAAAATTTTCTTACTCTTTTTTTTTTTTTTGTGTTTTAATAATATATTAAATTAGAAAATTATTTAAATCAAATACTCCATCCGTCCCGTTGGAAGGGTGACGTTTGCTTTTTGCACGTAAATTTTTTAATATTAGTATTATATTTTATTGTAGTAAAAAAGACAAAAATACCCATATTAGTATGGTGTAATATAAAAGTAATGACATTTGTGTAATATTTTGTAAGTTGAAAGGGTATTTATTATATTAAGTAGGAGTACAATTACTAAATTAAAAAATAGTAACCTTGTTTTGAGACAGACGAAAATAAAAAATAATAATTTTTCAATACGACAGAGAAAGTATCAAATTAAAATAAAAAATATATTTAATTTATTTTTTTTATTACGTGAAAACACGCGGCAGCTTAAAAAAAATAAAAAATAAAAAAAAAATAATGCAGCTTAATTTTATTTATTTTTTTTATTTATATTTAAAGAAGGTCAAAAAAGTTGCTCCAACAGCTGTTTTGTTGGTCTCTGGTGGAGGAGTAAATGTGAGTGCCCACATTGTACAGGAATTCCTGCACACAAAACAATAACCCTTGTTTTCAGGCTTCGCCTAGATTCTAATGATTTTTTGTCTTTTCCAGACAAGAGTACTTTAAATAACTGATTTTCATGAGAGATTAATAGCTAGATTCTATTCGTACATAAAAATAAATACTCCATGCCTCCTAAATAAGATGAATGTATTATTGTAAATACGGGAATATAAATAAAATATAATTAGTAAATAATATTAAAATAATTAAATTATTTAATTAAAATTAACAAAATTAAATTTTAAAATATGATTAAAATGTATAATTAATTTTTTGAAAAAAAAATGACAAATAATGTGAAATTTACGAAAATAAAAAATAAAAATAAATTATGTAGTACGGAAAGAGTAATTTTTCCGTGCACTCATAATATGTTTATTTATTTTTGGAATGTAAATTTGAGTAAATTAATATTTTATTAAAATAAATATAAAGAATATATATAAAAATAATTTTATTTTTGTTCTTTAATATAAAAATAATAAATGTGATGATAAGTTCAAGTTGAATTGAAAAATTATTAAGTATATCTATTTAGTATTTTTAAGTTTAATTATTTTTATATCAATATAAAGAAGTTACTTGATAATTTTTTAACAAATATTATTTTTAATTAAAATTTTGATTCTTTTTTACCTTTGAAATATATTATTTCGTCATATCTTATTTGTTCACTATTTTTATTTGTATTCATTCCATTTTATTTGTAATTTTATTTTTTTAAGAAAAATAATACTCTATTTGTCCTTTGTTTTTTTAAGGAGTGTTATGAATATTAGTATTATATTGGAGTATGGTATGAATAAAATAAAATAAAAATACTAAAATAATCTTAGTATTGTATGATATAAAAGTAATAGAAATTTGTGTAATATATTGTAAAATTTAGAAAATAGATAATTTATTAAAGACAGACCAAAATAGAAAAATGAATCAATTAAGTGATAGAACGAAGTAATAAAATTTAATTCTATTTCAAATTTTATAATTAATAATTTTTTTAAAAATTAATTAGTTATTTTCATCACTTCATTTACAAGGATTCGACATTCGATTAATCACAAAAAATATATACTCCAAAAATTCTCAAGAAAACATAAAATAAAATCGACTTCTCTGTGAAACACAACAACAATCCTTTCCTTTCCATCCTCTATAAAGACACAAAAACACATACACACCAAATCGAATTTATTTTTTCCAAATTCTAAAAAGAATGAATCCATCTATATATATATAACCAAAAAAAAAGCCTAAAAACACAATCACTATAGAGCCAGCAAAGAATCATTCTTTTTATCATTATCAAACAACAATTTGCCATTTTTGGCTTCCGCCGGCGATCCTTCTCCGGCGCCGTGACACGAATTCGGAACCCACCATACTCTAAGGCTCCGATCCAAACTCCCACTGTACAACATGAATCCGCCGCCCACCCTCACCGGCGACGCCTGCAGACACTTCACCGGCCCGCCGTGCCCTTTGATAATCACATGCTTGTACAGTCCATTCTTCCCCGGCGGCGCCGCCCCTCGCCGCCACACGCGGATGGTCTTGTCGGCGGAGCCGGTGCACAAAAACTCCCCCATCAAACACATACACAGCACCGCCATCGGATGGGCCCGGAACTCGCAAACGGCGCTCCAACGGTCGAATTCTTTATTGACGGACCAGCCCTTCACGTAGCCGTCGGAGCCGCCTGCGTAGACGCTCCGGCCGTCGTCGGAGACGACGACGGAATTTAATGAAATGTCTTTGTGACCTTCCAAAACGCCGCGGAGCAAATGTGATTTCCCCTTTTTGCCCCCGCCGGAGAGACTGTCCTTCGCCCAGGCCTTGACGGTGCCATCGGCGGAGGCGGTGTAGACGATGCCTCCCACGGCGGCGACGGCGTTGATGGCGTCGTCGTGGGCTTTGATCGATTCGAGGCACTTGAAATCGGAGGCGCGCCAGATTTTGAGGGTTTTGTCCCAGGAGGCGGAGTAGATGAGGCCGCCGGCGACGGCGAGGGCGGAGATGGCGTCGGCGTGCTCGATCCAGAGGCGGCGATGGTGGCGGCGCGTCTGGACGTAATTGCTCTGGTTAATGAAGCGTCCGAGGTAATCTTTTGTGGTGGGGAGAGTGTCGACGAGGCGGAAGACATTCTCGGAGCTTCTAGAAAGTTTCCAGGCGCGGACGCGGCTGTCCTGGTGGCCGGTGAACACGTGGTTGCCGGCGGTGGCGATCGCCTTGACGGCGCCGCCGCCGTTTCCGAATTTCGCGAACTGCCGGAGATCCGGCTGCTGCCATACGATGATGTCCTTACCTTGGGAGGCGCTGAGGATGAACTCGCCGCAGAGGGCGAGGGAGGAGACGGAGCCGACGTGGCCGGAGAGGACAGCCAGGGCTTTGCACGGCGGCGACGGCGACGGGGAGGGGGAAATCGGCGGCGGCGCGTGGGAGATTTTTATACAGAGATCTTGGAAATCGTATCGGAAGGAGCTATCAGAACTTTCGTCGGTATCGTCGCTGCTACTTCCGGCGCCTCCGCCGCCGCCGCCTCGGCTCTCCGGCGAGAATGGCGGCGGTTCTTGAGCAGGATGGACGGCAAAATCGAGCATTTTTATTTTTTATTTTTAATTTCGATCAAATGAAGAAAAGTATAAACTGGATTAAAGAAGAAGATCAAGAATCAAGAGAAATCGATCCAAATGGTAAGGGACGACCTCTGGCTCTGATATATATATATATGTATGTATGTATGTATATTTTGGAGGAGCGGGGGAGTTGGAGGAGGGAAGAATTTTGGGTTAGGAATAAAGTGGGGAGTGAATGAATGAATATTGAAGAAATAAAAATAAGTAAAAAAATAAATAAATAAAATTAAAAATAAAGAAAGTAAGAGGTGCAATGCAACGGCTACTTTGACGAAGCGGAACAAACCCACTCACCAAACTAACGAAAAATAAAAGCTAAAGCCAAAAGGTGGGTTTGTGGGGACTACACGCCTGTTCTTTTAAATAATAAATAATAATAATAATAATAAAATTGTGTATGTTTGTAAAATATGTTGTTTTTTTTTTTATATATTTTTACTGAGTTTGAAAAATTTTAGTTTGAATTTTATATTAAAATACTTTGTAAGAAAAAAAATTGTAACTTTAAAAAAATAAAATAAAATTCAAATAGTAAAAACCTAAAATTTGGAGTTAAAAGAAGCAAATTCATATTTTTTATTTATTATTTCATTAGTCAAATAAATTTATACAAATTTCTTTTGTTTATATGTTAAAAAAAAAAAATTACATCCTTAGATTACTTGTACTATATTATTTAAAATATTCAAAATTTATAATATAATCAATTAATATGATATTATATTAATTAAAATTCATATCAAATCTAAATTAACATGTATTTGGTGTAAGAAAAAGTATATTAAACTAAAATTTATCTTTACATTTTAAATACTTACAAAGTTACATTTCTCGTAATATTATTAAGCAAATATTATTTTCTTCATCTACTTATAATGTATCGTAGCATATAGTACTGTTTATTTTTTTACATGAATATTAAAAAATAATACTAATATTTAAATAATAGGTAGATAGTATTTTCTATATATCATATTTTTTGTCCTAGTTTTGTAAAATTATTAATCCAAATAATTGTAATTTTGAAGGTGTTAGAACGATGAAAATAATAAAATATACACGGAGGAGTATTATTTAAATTTTATAAAACAATTCAACTATTCAAATACTGGTAATATTATATGCAATAATATTGTCACAAATTTTCATATTTAAAAATAAACACAATTAAAATTATACATATTAAATAAACAAATAAACCCTTTTAAATTAGGGTTCTTTAATTAATTATTTATTTATTTATTTATTCGTCCATATTAAATAAACAAATAAACCCTTTTAAATTAGGGTTCTTTAATTATTTATTTATTTATTTATTTATTCGTCATACTTTAGTTCCCTCCTTGCTGGAAAGCATTGATGAATAATTCTGCTCCGTTTTTAATGGTATGCTTATTTGCTTTGATTTAATATTTTTAAGTAAAGAGTATTGATTGTGACGTTTAATAAAATAAAAAAGGGTATTTTTATATAAAATATTTTAAAAGTTCAAAGTAAACATAGGGTGGTGTTTTTTTATTTTATTTTATTTTTTAATCTGTCCAACTTCAACTATTCTCAATATAAATATAATTTTATTTATGAAAAAATAAGTTAAATATTAAATTTTAATCCAAAAAAATCCAAAATAAATGTAAGATAAATATTTGATATAATATAAGTGTATATTGAATGTGTTATTCTGCATAAAAATGTATTGTCAATACTATTAAAACTATTGTATTTAATTACTGAAAAAATTATTACAGCAAAATCCATTCTTTCATTCAAATTTCATGTTCAATGATGTCTATATGTGTGTGTGTTTTTTTAAAATTATTTAATTTGAATATTTTTTTGAGTGAAAAATCATAATTTGACACAAATGTTTTTTATAAAAAAAATTCATATGATTTTTTTTGAAATGGTAAATTAAACAATAGCAAATAAGTAACAAAATGAAAGTAAACAAACTATTTGGATTTGTTTGTTTAATTTTTTTATTTGAATTTTTTAATTTAGGGTATAAAATATCATCATCAATCATGTCAATAATATAAAATTAATATTTTATATTAAATATTTATTTTATAAAATGATAATATATATATATATATATGGTGAATTATGCCTAAAAATATTGTAGACAAACAAAACCCTTCATCTCAAGCATATACATATATATATATATATATATAAACTAATGTCTACTCCTGTCAAATACAATACAAATGTTTAAAAATTATTTAAGTTATTACACAGATTTGAAAGTTAATCAATTTTGAATTCAAACACTAAATGGAATTGTAACGAAATTAATGTGAAAAGTCCTCTTATTAATAATTAATATACCACAAAGCACATAGAAACAAATGAAACTGCAAATCTTCTAGGGCTTCACTGCTTAATTGAAAAATAAAAATAAAATAAAAAAATCCAAGTTTATTAATTTATTTATTATTTAAAATGTGACAAATAAACATGATTAATGTATTCCAGTATTTATATTTTTTCCGGTGAAATTACAAAACAATAATATTTGAATTAAAAAAAAAAGACCAATACATAACTTGAAGTTTGGTTCATGGACCACTGGTCCAGACTCACTTTCAGAACTGAAAGGAGTAACGTACAATGTACAGTAATGTCAATTTTATTTATTTATTATTATTATTTTTATATTAGTATTTGTTTGTATTTTTATTTATAGACTATTATTATTATTATTATTATTATTATTATTATTATTATTATTATTATTATATAATAGTATTTGTTGATTTGACTATTGTAGGCCAATTTCACCGACCTTTCAATAAATTATAGCGCTTTTTGGTATGGAATTGTTAAATAGTATCTTATTTGTTAAACTTATTTAACAATAAACTCTTGCAATCTTAAAACAATTAGTTGTTACAATGAATTTAGCCCAACATGTCTCACTCAGACAATACTTTTTATGTCACTCAAACTTGTATTCACATACGTAGGTATATATTTTTTTTAATGAAAATAAATAAGTATTTCCATAATTTTATATCATTCACGAATCTCAAATACACAACTTTGTCTGGTGTATTTTAACAACGTCACTATGTGTGTGTTTATTTTGTGTTTTTATTTGAATTTTTTTATATATGAATAATAGAGAATTATATAAATAATATAAATGTACGTAATATATTAATTTTTTTTAAAAAAAATATATATAATTTTTTATAACAGAGCAAAGCTTTTGTCATAAAAAATCACATTAGATGTATCATTCAGTATAATTACATCCAAATTTTATTAATAATTTGCAATATAATATTCCGTCCATTATCCTGCATAATTCTTATAGTAAATAATTTCATCTATTTTTATTTTAACAATAATAAATAATTTATTATTTTTAATAAATTTATCATATTACTCTTATTTTATCCTTTTACATATATACTCTATTTTTATATTAAAATATTATATTCAAATAAAATAATAAAGTATTATTTTTATCATTTTCATAGTTTAATTAAAAAATAATCACATATTAATATCAAAATATTTTAAATTTTTATATAAATTAAAAATATAGTACATAGCTATTTTCGCCCAAGAAGGGAGGGAGTATAAATATTCCAGAAATGAAGAGAGCACCAAATAGGCATTTTGCATATTCATCTTGTATTAAATAATTATTTAAATTTAAATTTTTTATTCCTCTAGCGCACTACTAATTCCAATTTCCACGTAAATATTCTCATGCAATAAATTGGGTTGCATGCGTAAGACATTCACGGCCGAAGATGGCTCTGCACTACTCAACTCATTCTACGCCTACGTCTACGACTACGCCTATGCCAACACAACACAACACCACCCGTACGGCATATCCCTACTCTCCAATTCGATTCAAATTCCTAATTTCAATCTGATCTCTTATTGCTTTAACTTAATGATCTGAATCGAAGAAGAAGGTTATGGTGTTAATGATGAATCGACTTACTCGTGCTGTTAGGCCGCCGGCGTATCAGTTTTTCACAGGCGGCGCCACCACCGCTTCCAATTGGTCGGCGGCGTGGATGACAATCTCCGGTGGTGCTGCAATGAATCGTCGGAACAACAGCACATTAGGTTCGGATAATAATAAGAACGAGGAAAACAAAAAGGACGACAGTAATGGCGCCGGCAAGGACGCCATAGTCAGTTATTGGGGAGTTCAGTCCTCTAAGTTCGTCAAAGACGACGGTTCCGAATGGAAGTGGTCCTGCTTCAGGGTAACAATATTCATACGAGCAATTACTCTCTGATGTTACAGTGATTTTGATTTGATTTGTAATTTTGGGGGGTGATTATATATATGAACGAACACGGCAGCCATGGGAGACTTACAGGGCGGATCTCTCAATAGATCTGAAAAAGCACCACTCGCCGGAGACGTTCCTCGACAAACTCGCCTTCTGGACGGTGAAGGCCATGCGATTACCGACCGACCTCTTCTTCCGCCGCCGCTACGGCTGCCGCGCAGTCATGCTCGAAACGGTCGCCGCCGTGCCAGGTATCACATTTTTTTCGCTGATTTTCAAATTTCAAATTGCATATCATTAACAATACAATCTCATATGATAGACTCAAATGATAATTTAATCTAGTAAATCTTACCAAATTATCTAACGAAATCTAGATAATATAAATTTAATCTAATATAAATTACCTCACCACAGGCATGGTCGGCGGAATGCTGCTCCACTGCAAATCGCTCCGCCGCTTCGAGCGCAGCGGCGGATGGATCAAATCTCTGCTGGAAGAGGCGGAGAACGAGCGGATGCACCTCATGACCTTCATGGAAGTCTCTCAGCCGCAATGGTACGAGCGCGCGCTCGTAATCGCCGTCCAGGGGATCTTCTTCAACGCCTATTTCATGGCGTACCTGATGTCGCCCAAACTTGCGCACAGAATCGTCGGCTATTTGGAGGAGGAGGCGATTTATTCGTACACGTCGTTTCTGGAGGAATTGGACAAGGGGAACATCGAGAACGTTCCGGCGCCGGCGATTGCCGTCGATTACTGGCGGCTGCCGCCGGGCGCGACGCTCCGGGACGTAGTGACGGCGGTTAGGGCTGACGAGGCGCACCACCGCGACGTCAATCATTTGGCGTCGGACATTCATGGCCAGGGACGGAACCTCAAGGACTACCCCGCGCCGATTGGGTATCACTGATGTATTGGGCTTTTATATTGCGAGTTTCTCGGCCCGCCCATTTTGGGTAGTTCTTATTTGTGGGATGGATTTCTCGGCCCGGAATAAATTGGGCCCTACTGGCAGTAATTTACTGGACTATATTTTTCTGTTTAGCCCACGCTTGGTGTATGTAAAGTTTCATTAACATATTTTTTTATTTACTTTTTGCATATATTTTTGATAATATGCAAGTTATAATTAAAAATAATAATTTCTTTACAAAAACATTTCAACATCTTTTCCAAAAAAAATTAACATACTACATATATTCATTATTTTTATACTCCATTTATCATTCAAATTTACTTTTTTTTTTTTCTTTAAGATGTCACAAATTTATTCATGTTTCTGTTTTTAAGTAAAAAATACCACTTTTTCTAATTTTTTCTTAGGTGTCATTCAAATTTATTTTTACTTATTTTTTCTTAAATCCGTGTCCGGTTAAATGAGCACACAATTGAATAATGGCATGAGTATTGTTTACACAATTCTCTTTCCTTTACATATATTTTTTTTTTTTTCAAAACAAAATAGTACTAAACAAACAATGTGAGGCTGAATATATATATATTTTTTCTTTCATTTATTTAAAAAATGTGTTGACTTGTTTTTATTTTTTTTATTCATTTTGTAGTGAATCTTGCTTTAATTAGTAATATTATTCCATTTGGGTCCTTTTTTTATGTCCTTTTAATTCCCAACACCAAACAATGTGAGGATGCACTACATACTGCACATGCAGTGGAGCGAATTCAATCGCACAAAAACGCAGCCAACAAAACGACATGCCTCACATGATTAAACGACATAGCACACATGCATTCTAATAAAATAAAAATAAATAAATTATATATATATATATATATGAATATGTAATAATGGACCATCATTTTCATCAACACTTACTGCACGGCAACATGTCCTCTCTGTTCAATAAAATATCTCTTTCCATTGATTATTAATATTTTTAATTAAATATAATGACGAATCCAATTGCATTTGGCTCATAATGTTTTTTCTTTTTCTTTTGTTTAATTTTGTTCTATTTGTTTGGTCTCTTTATGATTTTATAAATGATAGATATTTTAAAGTTAACTGTTCAATTTATTTTGTAATGAATACAACCTATTTTATAATATAAATTGTTTAATTTTGAAAATTAGTATTAAAAAAATGAAGAGTAGCAGTTGAAAAGAGTGCCACTTATCAGTTGTATGAAAAGGAGAGTGGGCCCCACTGAGCAGTAAAGGCATGTGGCGGGTCGATGGTTCGTTAAACCGACCCGCGTGGATGTATGGGACCCACTGTCCACATGCACCACCACCGCACAATCTCACCGTATACGTACTTATCTACAATATTTAAGGTATGTACCTTTAGAAATATTTTTTCAAATTTTACTATTTTGACTTTGCGTTTTTCGAAAAAATTATTTTTTTTTTTCACAAAATATTTTATCAAACATTATTTTCATATCAAACTCAAACCAAATTTTTTGCAAAAGAAACACACCTTTACTCTTTTGGAGTTTTATACTATTCCATCCCAATAGGTCGTCTTATTGTGTTGGATACAAGATTTAAAAAATATTAATATTATATTAATAGTTGGTAAAAAATATAAATAAATAACATTTTTGTTCTTGTGTGTATATTAGTGTAAAAAATAGTGACAATTGTGTAATAATAATGAAAAAGTAGAGATAGTTTTACGGTGATATGATTATTTATGGAAATGAAACTATTGTTTTGGGACGGACAAAAATGGTAAACAAGACTATTATATTCGGACGGAGGAAGTATTAGATTAAAAAATAATACTTCATCCGTCTCATTAAAATGTTGTCATTTTTCATTTCCTAAAACAAGGTTATCATTTCTTAATTTAGTAATTGTACTGCCTACCTAAAATAATAAATAACCTTTCAACTTACACTATATCACACAAATGTCATTACTTTTACATTACACAATACTAATAGGGGTATTTTCGTCTTTTTCACTACAACCCATTATAAGACTAATATTAAAAAATCTACGTGCAAAAAGTAAACGACAACCTTGCACCGGGACAGAGGGAGTACTATATTCGTCCGATTCTGAGGGTCTTATTTACTTTTTGCATGTTGATATTTGAATATTAATTATTATATCAAAACGTAATACAAGTTAAAAAAATGTAAAAATACTTCTATTAGTGTCTTATAATACTAATAGAATAACATTTGTACAAAATATTATACAAATATAATAATATTTTTAATATTAAGTACAATGACGCAAAAAGTAAATGTGATCATTAAAGACGGACGAAGTTAATAGTATATTATTAGTTAGTGGAAGTGCGTAAGAGGTTTTAATGTTTTTGCCCTTTAAGTTTATGTAAAAAATAATTGTATGTGTAATGATATATTTATAATTTAGGTAAAAGTTAACTGTATTTTGGTATTGCGTATGATTACTTTTACTAAAATATAAAATTGATAATTTGGAGTAGGATGAATGAAGTGTATGATAATATACTACTGCTTCTTTCTATCCCACTTAATTTGTCTACTTTGATTTAGGCACAGAGTGTTTTGTGTATTGCGTAATTATTAAATAATTAAAAAGTATATTAATAAAAACTATTATAATTTAATAAAATTAATTATAAATTAAGATTTATATGACTAAATAGTATAATTAAAATAAAAGAAAATTATAAATTATAAAATTTAAAATATTATTGAAGTGTATAATTATATTTCTAAATAAAGAAATAATGAATGATGTTTAAAATGTGTTGCTTTTGATTGGTTTAAAACAAATTTGATTTGAATTTGATATTAAAATAATTAATGATGTAATGTTTTATGAAATAAAAAAAATATATATTTTTTTTATTTTTTTAGTTCTAAGTTAAACTTATGTTTAACTCATTTATAATAAATAATTTTAGTTGTGTTCAAAATATATTTTTGAATGAATATAATTTTTATTTTTATTTTTAATATTAGATATGTGAAATTGTATAAAAAATATTAAACATGTTACCTTAAGCTTGTCGGTTTGTAATTATTTATTTATTTATTTATATTGTTTGGAACCTATTTACCGGGTGTGTTTCTTTTTGGCTAGTGTGAGGAATTTTAGTTTGAATTATGTATTAAATAATACTCTCTATGTCTCAGTTACTGTGCTTATTTTTCTCGCATGTTCTACTTATTTTGTCAATTTTATATTTTTTGGAAAAAAAATTTATACACTTTAATTTAAAATTTTAATGTATATTTTTTTATTATAATTAAATTAATTAGTTATCTTAATTGTGATATAAAATTATTTGTAGTATATGATAATTATTTTCACTAACACATTCTTAATTATTATTAATTATTTTACTTATAATAAGATCTTTTGTGAAATAAAAAATTATTTATATATATATTTGAAAAAAAAATATAATCCAAATAATAAAAATATTAAGAAAAACGACAAGAACACAGTAAAATTTTATTAGTATCATGATAAAAGCCTTTATAAATAGTGTTTTTGCTACACTAATTACCATAAAGTGAGATGGGATTTGATTGAACAAATCAGTATCCAATTAGATGAAAAATTAATAATAAGTAATACTTTTATTGATTAGAAATTTTTTTACCAGCTAATAAATTTATTACAAAAATAAAAACCATACAACGTTGAAAAATTTTATTTATTAATTTGATAAATTGATCATAATGATGACAGTATCATCATTTTTGTCTTAAAATATGGAGAAAGATGCCTTGCTTTGATTTTACTTATACCTTTATTGGGACTTTTGTATACTTCTTTCCATCCATTCACTGAAAGCATAAAGTCACACAAATTGAGTGCAAATACTGAATTATTTTATTTGATTTTTTATTCTTAAAATAGGCAAAAAGTGGAGAATGAGAATCACTTTAACTCTATGAACAAACATCCTCTAAAATAATAATAATAATAATAATAATAATACTCCTCCTGCCCGCCACGAAGGTGGCGTTTGCTTTTTGCACGTAGATTTTTTAATATTAATATTATATTGAATTGCAGTAAAAAGATAAAAATACCCCTATTAGTATACCGTAATATAAAAGTAATGATATTTGTATAATATATTGTAAGTTGAAAGAGTATTTATTATGTGAAGTAGGTAGTACAATTACTAAATTAAGAAATGGTAACATTGTTTTAGGATGAACAAAAATGGAAAATGGTAACCTTTCAATTGGACGAAGGGAGTAATAATTTGTTATTATTTTACCAAACAAATCATTGCAATTCCCTTTAGTTCGTTATTTTAGTAAGACTGTTGCTTTATTTATTTATATTTCTTGATTAAATATACATTGGATTTTTTTTAAAAAGAAAAACAATTTGAATATTATTAATTTAATATTATATATATTCTCCTTCCGTTCATGAACTAATATTCTATTTTTTTATTTAAAATGTCAAAAAATGATTGTCATTCTTTATATTTTTGTATATAGAATTTACCTTTTTATCTTTACTTTATTTATCTTTTTTTATATCTGTACACAAAATAAAGGATTATTTTGCCAATTTATAATCAAAAAATTAATTACCTAAAAAAACGTGTAAATATCACTTATGACGTTGGAAAATGGACGGAGAGAGTATAAAATAGTGCAAATTAAATAGTAAAAAGTTTAGAGAATTATGCAAACCAAACAAACAAGTACTAAGGGGTTTGTTTGGTTATCATGTGAAATAAATTTGATTTAAATTTTTGTTCAATTAATATTTTGATACAATATTTTATAAGAGTATTGATTTTGGTTGAAAATGATAAAATAACAAACTTCGTATTCGTTTGATGTATTTATTTTTATTATTTTATTTTATTATACTTTTTAAAAATCTCAAATTCATATTTTTTTTAATACAATATTACATCATTACTGCCTTTTTTTAAACAAAATTGATAGTAGTTCAATACTGTTTAAAATACATTTTACTATATATATATATATATATTTTATATGAATTAATAATTACATTTAACTTGTTTGTATATTAGAAACTAATTGTACAATATATATATATATTTTTTCTTAAATTACATCAGAATTCTTTGTGTTTTTCAAAATATTGTATCCCATCCTATATGTCATACTATTTTATAAAATTCTATGAAGCTTGTGAAATTTCTAAATCATGATAAATAATAATTTAAATTTTCAAACACCATATATCTTATATTTTATTTTTATTTTTATTTTTATTTAAGCTTTGATTTCTATGTATATTCCTCTATGCAATGTAACCTTAAAGAGGAACTCAATTAAATGCATTAATTTCAAGTTTGAAATATTTGAATTTTGAATTTTTAAACTAACAAAATTTCTTCACTATTTTTCTACTCATTTAATTTTATTCACGGATTCAGATTCAGATAATACTTGTATATTAAGAAAATAATAATAAAGTAGTGTGTGTGTTTTTTTTAGTTCAATTAATTATTGAATATAGTATTTTATATAAAAATCCAATATATATTTTAAATAATAATACAGTTATATACTGTATAAAAAAAATAAAATAAAATAAAATTGATAAAAGAAGATACACTAATTTAGAGATAAATATATAAGCGGTGAGAAGAATAAGTGTAAGGCTCTCTGTTTATATATTTTTCTTACATTTTTTTACATTATTTATTAGTATGTAATTTTTTTTCTTTAAAATATCATACTAAATATATATTTTTTATTTGAATTATTATATTTTTTTTTTTTTTTTTGTCTCTGAAGAAAATTATTGTTTGTATTTTGCAAGTAAATTTTTAAATATTAATTTTATTGGTATGTATACAAATTAATAGAAAAATAATAATAATAATCATATTAATAATGTATAATATAAAAATAATAATATTTGTATAATAAATTATAAATTGTAAATATATTTATTATGTTATATAGATAACACAATTACTAAATCAAAAATAATATTTTTGTTTTAGGATAAATAAAAAATAAAAAATAAAAAAATAACACTTTTTTTTATAGAGAGAGAAGGGTATTAATTTTTTGTCCATTCAAACTCACTTATTCACATCATCTATACTATATTATAATGGTAAATAATACTCCCTCCTTCCCATAAATACAAGAGTTAAGTAACATTGATATTACATGGATAGTGGATAAAAAGTATGAATAAAAGATTTTTTTGCCCTTATGAGTGTATCAGTGTAAAAAATAAGAATAATTGTGTAATAAAAATAAAAAAGTATAAATAATTTTTACGGTGATACGAGTTATTTATGGAAATAAGACTACTATTTTAGAATAGTAAAAAATGTTAAATCATGGAACGGAGAAAGTATTATTTACTTTTGTTCTCACAAATGACATGTCAAATATAGATAGATGTCACATAAAATGTAATTTAATTGTACAGAACTTATATTAATATAATATAAATATAATATATAAACTGAGTACATATAATATTATAATAGTCAATAGAATATATACTATAATTAATCTGTAGATAAATTTTAATAAAATTTGATTTTATGACTGAGAATTCAATGCAGTCAAAGAAATCGATCATCCAAGTTAGTGCCTGTGTTTTAAAGCAATATATTTACTCACTCAATTAATAGTAGCACTTCAATTACTCATTAAATATGCATTTCTTGAATTTAATCATATTTAACATTGAAAATATATAATGTTTAATTATATTTATATTCTATATATTTTGATATAGTTTTATAAAATACTTTTCACAATATTATTATTTATTATTATTATTATTTTTTTTTTAAAGTTTGACCAGTCTCTCATTTATTCTATTACTATAATATTTTATGTTCCTTTTATTATTATATACTATATATTTTATTTAATATGAATGATTTTAAATAAAAATATATTCAAAGAAAATCACATTATTTACATAAATATTTTTGAAATTTTTTATACTATTTGTCAATATTAATTTTTTTTTAAAAAAATCTTACATCAAATAATTTTATATCTTATAAAATACTTATTATATTACATATCAGTTCACTCATTATTTTTCAATAAAAATATTATTAAAAAATATAATGTATAATATAAACATTATTATATCTAAAAAGGCAAAGCATTAATTTTCTTACGGTCTAATTTTCGTAAAAATATCCACAAATTATATCTAAAAACGAGATACAAAACAAACAAGCCTATTATACCTCATACTGAATAATTGGGTACAAAGGTGGGGTCCACGTAGTCCGCGCCACACTGAATGACTACCGCGGCAGCGTAACTTAATTATCTATGAACGAATCTCTTTTATTAATCACCAGAAATTGCGATATGGATTTTATACAATAATTATATATTCGCTAAAAAAGGGAAGAAAGAAAAGAAGGAAGGAAACCGAGAGAGAGAGAGAGAGACGTTGAAGAGAGAGAATATAACGTCTGGTCTACGAACGCCGGAGGCAGACAATCCGCGACGAGTCGGGGACACAAGACGTAGTGGGGTTTTGCAGCGTGTGTGGCTGTTGCTTGTTGATTGATTTCTCTTCTACGCGACAATGACGGGCGGAGGCGAGAATTCTGCTGTTATTGACGGCGAGGGGTTGCCGGACGCCGGAGGAGGCGCAGTCGTGGTGGTCGGAATTACGCTCGATACGCGGAGTAAGGAATTGCTGACTTGGGCGCTAGTGAAGGTTGCGCAGAGCGGCGACCGCGTGATTGCTCTGCACATCATAGATCCCAAGGCTGGTGAGGAATTTTTTGGTGTTCATGTTCTTAATTTTGTTTATTTGTTTGGTGTTGTTGGAGTTTTGAAGGCGTGGTTTGCTGTGTTGAGTTAGTGTTTTGCTATTTAGGGGTTATGCGCGCTGTGGTTTGAGTTTGTAGATTATAATTCGCTAAATTTGTATGTTATTGTGGAAATTCAATTGAGATAAATTTTCTTCTGATTTTGTTGAGTAGATACATCGAATCTGCTTGAGTTGATGAAGACTTTCAATTCAATGTTGTCTGCATATGAAGGTTTCTGTAGCCTGAAACAGGTATTTTCTGCCATTCATAATTTCTGTACTGCATTATCCGATCTTCACTGTTTTCAATTGGATCGATTTGAACTGCAGACAATTTTGAGACATATTTGGTTTCAATCCTTGCATTTAATTTGTTTTTTAGCCTTGATTTGGTATCCTTTTTTTCCTGGTTTTTGAAGGCAATGTGGCTAATAATTTGAGTACCTACATTGTCCATCTCCTTCTGCAGATTGATTTAAAGCTTAAGGTCTGTAAAGGATCTCCGATTCGGAAACTCCTATCGCAGGAGGCAAAATCATGTGCTGCGACGAGCTTAATCCTCGGTACTTCAGAAATCCATCACAGAATTAAATCAAGGATCTCTGTGGCAAAGTATTGTGCCAAGAGTCTTCCAAAGAATGTATCTGTTCTATGTGTAGAAAATGGGAAGATCATATTCCACAGAGAATCAAATGATTCCAGTGGCTCATTACTCGGACATCACGGCAAGTTGGAATCGAGATTCGAGAGGAAGGCATTACCTAAAAGCCCATTGAGTCTGCCACCAAAGGATGATTTGTTAGCAGGGAATGAGAATCTTCCAATGGCTCTGGTGCCCATTAGAACACATTCGCCCCAATGTAAATCAGGATGGCCATTGTTGCGGAGGATGCTTCTACACAGCCGACGATCAGCTGAAGCTTCTTCACCAAAGACACCGTCTCTGGTTCAACGAATGTTAAAATGGCCTAGTCGACAATCCGTTGCAGCCATATACCCTGATCGAAAAAATATTCCTCCCCCTGAAAAGGATGAATGTCATTCAGATAAGGAACCAGATAAGGATGCTGCTATACTCCACTCTGCCGATTCGGATTCTCATCCGTGTTCGTCCAATGCTTTCTCAGAAGAACTCAAGGCTCTAGGACAGAAGTATTCGACAATATGCCGAGTTTTCAGCTACCAGGAACTCTCGTCGGCGACAAATAAGTTTATATCTGGTTTGTTCTCTTACATATATTAGTTCTGTATTATTTCGTGAGGTCTCGTTAGCTAATCTTCAGTTATAATCTCAGAAAATTTGATCGGAAGCGGAGGCAGCAGCTGTGTTTATAGAGGATCTTTACCGCGAGACAATCTTATAGCAGTGAAAGTTCTAAAGCCATCCGAAGATGTTCTGAAGCATTTTACCTCTGAAATTGAAATTATTACATCTTTGTGTCACAAGAACATTATATCGTTACTCGGATTCTGTTTCGAGGAAGATAAATTGCTTCTAGTTTACAATCTTTTCGCCAAAGGGAGCTTGGAAGAGAATCTCCATGGTACGCATTCTTCTTACTTCTGTGGAATGTCGAACATCGCTCATCACTCTTAGCAACGGCGCCTTTTGATGTAGGTACTGCGAATAACGAAATTTTGCTCGGCTGGGAGCATCGGTATAAAGTTGCTTTAGGAGTTGCGGCGGCACTCGACCATTTACACAAACAAGACAAACCAATTATGCACGGAGATGTAAAATCTTCGAATATCCTCCTTTCCGATGATTTTGAACCTCAGGTGTGTAATTTCAGCCATTCTCTTTCCAGTTTCGTTCATGTGCTGTATTTATACGAGCAAATTCTTGTTTTGGTAATTCAGTTGTGTGATTTTGGTCTCGCTACACGGGCTTCAAACTATTCGAGTCACGTTTGTGGCGCTGATGTTGCTGGCACATTCGGGTGAGTTTTATATCCTCATTTAAATTCGTAGTCATCGACGAATTTCTAATGAGAGTTCTTCCACGGCAGATACTTGGCTCCCGAGTATTTCATGCACGGAAAAGTAAACGAAAAAGTCGATTCCTTTGCCTTCGGCGTCGTGCTACTCGAGCTGTTGTCCGGAAGAAAGCCAATCGATAACGGGTTACCAAAGGGCCAACAAAGCTTGGTGATGTGGGTAAGTGTATATCCCTTCCCGACGACTAATCGTAAATCGTATTCGTTTCTTCGTCTAATATCCGAGAAAACGTATTTCAGGCGAAGAATATTTTCAAGGATAGCGCAGTTTCAGAGCTTCGCGATCCGAACTTGTCTGATTCTTACGACTGCAATCAGTTCGAGACGATGCTCCTCGCCGCAATGTTGTGTATCCGGAGCATACCCCTGTCTCGTCCCGAAATGAGCGTCGTAAGCCAATTATAATTTCATTTATTTTAACGAGCGACATCGACATGTAATGGACTGATGACGACGCGACTATCGTTTTTGCTCAAACAGGTTCTGAAACTCCTCGAGGGCGATCCGGAATTGATCGAATGGGCGAGACGGGAAACCAAGAATTACGACGACTTAAGCGTCGTCAGCGGTAAACAATCCGCGACAAATATCCAATCGTTCATCAATCTCGCACTCCTCGACCTGGAAGACGACTCAGCGTCGATTAGCAGCACTGAACAGAGCATCTCGGTCGAGGATTACTTGGGAGGCAGATGGAGCAGGTCATCGAGCTTCGACTGAAAAAACTTTGCTTCCGTGCATGCAATCTCGGTTAGAATCTGTACATGATAAAAATGAACCCCTTACAATACACGACACTTATTTCCACCGCGAATTGCGACAAATAAGGTTGCCTGGCGATTCTTGGAATGTCGCTCGTAGAAGTTATGTAAGAATGACGAGCTGCGAGCTGAAGTATCGTAAGAATGACGAGCTGCGAGCTGAAGTATCGATTTTAGTCGTAGTCGTTGTCTCGTCCTAGGCTGAGGTACATTAAGTTAGTCAAAAAACTGGAATGATGGATCGATTGATCGATCTTGTTAGAAATTTGAAGTTGTTTGATGGTCTTTTCTTCCTTCTATTTTGTTAAAAACTTGTCGCATGGCTTCGAGTGTACATAAGTATCGTGGTAACATCAATACAACAAATATAAGAGACTAATAAAAATATCTTTACAGTTACAGAGGGAGTATATTTTTTATAAGTTGGGAACTACCGGTACAAAATACTTTAAAAAGTGCATTTGATTGCAACCGTTCCCCTAAGCCGAGGTATCATATTTTAACTTCTGTTCAAATCAATAACAAAATAAAATCAAATTTTATTAGGGAATAAACTGAAATTTTAAAATATTTAATTAGAAAAATTGTGTGTATTTTAAATGAATTTGTAGCATGTTATTTTAAATATTTTATGTATTAATTTTTCGAAGTTTAAACTCAGATAAACAATTCTTTTTTCGGCCGGTTAAAAGAGTCTATAGCCAGTTAAGATTACAGTCAAATTTGGTTCATAAACCCGAGTTCGTCGATATGGGTTATAAATATCTAGCCCATTAGATAGTTGGTTTAAACGAAACTCACCCATAAGGGTTTTGGGTCGGGTGGGGCAGAAACCGGGCCAAGCTCATTTCCTATTTTTCTTAGCCCTAGCTTCGTCGTCGCTGTCTTCTTCTTCGGCACATCTGCGATCAGGACCGGCTTCTTCGTTATTATTGTCTTCTTCTTATTCAGCTTCGTCGGAGGATTTCTACAGGTACAATCCTTGCACTTACCTTGAATTGTTTGCTGTTATGAGCATCAGGATATGGCTGATTGTCTGTGTGTATTTTGTTGTGCTATTTCAATTTGGATTTACAGGCAATTGCTAGTATTTCTTTGTCGTGTTAATTCAATTATATTGTTCGAGTGTTTTCTGTTATGAAATTACCATATAAAGTGACGGAAATTTTGTGTGAGTGTTTGTTCACCGTATTTAATCATTTCAATGGATTTCAACAAGCGCTTGTCTTAAAAGCCTCGAATATTGCTGCATTATGTGTTGATTGATACATGGAGGTGCTATGGACTTGAGTTTTTATCATTGAGGAGATTATTATTTGTTACATAGAATCAAAAGAACACGAATGATCATATTGGAACCAAACAAGAATATCTTAAATTTATGGCAAGAATGGTAGGGAAATGATATGATAATGTAATTGGGGAATTAAATTTGGTGCAGTGTTGCCTTTGCCTGGTCCGATGTCGATCCAATGATCTCGATAACCAAAAGTGATATGACAATATTCTTCCCATCTTCTTTTCAAATCCAAAATTGAAGAAATTGCTCAGTTTTGATAGAAGTTTTGAAAACTTAGTATTGAATATGAGAGTCTGTTAAAAGGAAAAAAGTATTCCACTTGAATCTTTTTTTTTTAAAAGAAAAAGTTACTACGGATGAATGGTGACAAAAATTTTAAAATGTGCAAACAGGCTATGTGATACATTAATTTGAATTGCGTGTAATGTGATGATTTTATCAATTTATCAGGTAGACGGCTCAGTGAAGAATGGCGACTGAGCCAAAAGCAGAAGACAGCCCGCAAACTGCCGAAAACCCTCAGGAAAGAAGCTCTGCAACTGCTGGATGGGGAGGGAAAATAGACGAGCATTATCGCAGAATCAAAGAACACGCCGAAACTTATCCCTACGTGTGGGGTTCTTACATCCTAGTATATGGAGGGTTCGGGTTGTGGCTGACCTATAGATGGAGAAAGCTCCGCAGAACTGAAGACAGTGTACGAACTCTTCAAGCAAGACTGCACCAACTTATCGAAGAGGAAAATGCAACGAGCTCTGCTGCACTTCCGGAGAAGTCTGCAAAGTCTTCTTTGTCGACAGATAAGCCTCTTGCAGATAAAGCTACTTAATAAGTTTTGGTTATGCTGAAGCTTCTTGAGATTTATGTTTTACTTAAAATCTTATGCATATTCTGGAGGTTCGAATCGAAGCAATCGTAGTTATAAATTGAAAATATTTATATATACGAGTGACTTTTAGTTGTAGCGTAATTGTTTTGTTCGGTGCCAAATATCGTTGGAATTTGAATGATCAGTAAGTTTCGCGATTTGGTGTCTCTTGATTGTTGCATTTGATTTTGTTGTTGCAGTGGAATTATTGTTTAAATTTGAGCAGGTCGAAGAAAATCGAGGAACATCAAGAAACGGAACGACAAAACACGGGCTTGGAACTCAGACGTCGAAATGTTCCACAGTAACATTGTACTCGACGCAGGCGTTCCCGGTCTCGGGATCGAACCAAGCCGTGCTTGCCAGTGCATAGCCCCGGGCCATCCGGAACGCTCCGCTCCCGCCGACGATCGGCATCTCCCGGACGCGGTCAAACACGCGGTTTCTTCCGAGCATGCTGACGCTGCTCCCGTCGTACTTCCCCGACGTGAACACAAACGTGACAGCCATCAGCAGCGCCGAGTCGTTCCGAGCTGTGTTTGAATACATCCCCTGTGCTCGTCCGACGATGTCGGAATTGAGTTCCGGTCGTTCCGTCAGCGCATTGTCGACCGCGAACGTTGCGCCGAATCCGAGCCCCTTTCCGGTGATCTGCACTGCGGTGGCGTTCTTCCCCGACACCTCGTCCTGGAAGTAGAAGTGGAGTCGCGTGGTTTTTTCCGGTCGGCCGGCGGCGGCGGAATAAGGGATTGAGTTTGAGAGGAGGAGGAGGAAGATGGAGATGGAAGTTTGGGTGAAAGGAAGAGTGTAATGAGAAGACATTGTTGAAGGTTGAAGCTTTTGGGAGTGTCTGAAGTTAGGCACTTTAATTTGTAGGGATGGGATGAAATTATTGATCCCACACACAACACAAATGCAGGGCAGGTGTAATAAAATATACTTCCAACTTTGGTTTCTTTTACAGCATTATGATTGTTTATAAATGATAGTGGGGGTGCTTTTTGGGTTGCTTGGATTAAAATAAATACAAGTATCTATTACGATGTTCTTAAAAAAACAAGAAAAAAAAAGGGGTTTTGCGAGGATGGGTTAATATATATATTTTTAATTATTTTATGTTTTAATTATTTTTTATTTTAAATATCTCATTTTTTATTATTTAAAAAAAATTGAATGTATTTATAGGTTGTGTTTGTTTGAAGGATTTTGGTGGATTTTCATTATTCATCCAATTTTTTCCCCCAAAAATATCAAATCAAACACCTATTTTTTATTTTTTATATTATACTAAAAATCAATTTTACATTCAAAACATCACATCAAACCCTATTTATATCACATCATACAACTATTCAAATTCAAAACTTTTACTATTCAAATCCCAACTCAAAATCCAAATCCCCAAACAAACACACCCATAATAAACTGTGAGATTTATATATATTTACTAAAAAAAAATAAATATTTTCTATTTGAATAATAAAAAATAACAAAGAATTATCTTTTACCGAACTAATATCAAAATTTTGTTTTTATTTTATATTATTTATACTCCATCCGTCTACAAACTAAGTCCTGTTATGGTTTTTTTTTTTTAAATACAAATTTTATATTTTTACCCTTCATTAATATATTATTTTTAATTTCTACAATACAATTAAGGGTAAAATTGTCTGTTTATGACAAAAAGACAATCATCTTAAAAAAATCGGTACAAAATATACTTTTTAGAAATTGGACAGAGAGAGTATATTTTATTCATAAAAAATTAAATTTAAATATAATATATATGGGCTTCCCAACTAGTTGTTAACTGAAGCCCAAATTTTCTATTTTTGGGCCTAAACTTTTGGGGCTGCATATATATATACTAGTTGTTAACTGATGCCCAAAATTTTCTATGAAGCCCAAATAAAATACTCAATAAAACACACTCCCACCCACTCAATCGTTGCTCCTTTCCTTCTCTCCCGCAGAGGCACAAATCAATTTGATCGTGTTGCCTTGCTACAAGGTAAGCTACAGATGTGGTTTTATAATCCTCTGCTGGTGTATGTTATTTGAATATAAGATTTCTACTTTAGAACGCTGGAAATAGTTTGATTCATGGCTTTCACTTGCAAAACCCCAATCATTTAATCAGTAATGGAAGGAATACTATGGTAATTTTGTGTTAGGCGAGGTTTATGGGTAGCTTCGCGAAACAGGTCACCATCTGTTCGATGAAATGCTTATGAGTTTAGAATAACTTTCTTGATATATATATATTTTAATTTTATTTTTATCCAATGGCGTGTTTGGATGTGCTTTGTATGTTTGATGTTTTGGAATAGAAAATTTTCAGTAGAAATTGGTGGCTTTTTATTTGATGTTTCGAATGGAAGAAGTTTTTGTACCTGATGTGTGCTCGGAAACTAAGAATTGGATATAATACTTTTTATACTGAAAAAAATAAATTATAAGTAGTAGAGTATGTGTAAATTTCTTTTTGGACTTGTTCACATACTTCCATTTGTTCCTGGATAAAGTTTCAGGTTAATTGTGGCATTTCATTTTCTGCTGTTAGTAAATCAAACTGGCATTTCATTTGTGATATGTTGTCCATTTGTGTTTGTTCTTTCCAATTGTTATTATAGGTTGTCTGAACATTGTTACAGAATGTCAATTAGTTGTTCAATTCCATGAATGATTTTTCAAGTGATACACAGATGATTGGGAGCATTGGTAATGAGCTCTATTCAGAAATTATTCAGTCGGCGGCTGCAGAGATGAATAGAGAATCACATGAAGCCCAAGCAAATCACAATTTAGTGGGCAAGTTGTTCTATGCCATTTTTTTTTTTCTGCTTATACGATTGTCTTCTTTTCTGTGTTTCTGGTTCCGGTTTTATCCATTTATTAATATTACTATGAATTATGATGATCTACACCGAGCATTTTTTGAATAGTATAGTTGATGAGACATTTAGTAAATAGTGTTCCTAAGTTAGCCTGGTTCTATATCGTGTTATAGTGCCTTTGATTTCTATGCATTTTTTTCCCATACAAGGATGTATGTGAGGCCTCTCTTTTATCACAAACTTCCATATAGATAGAAAATTTGAAAGTCTTGAAAAAATATTAGGAATTGTAAAAAATTGGGTATTTGATGTATTAATATTTTTTTGAAAAAATTATTGGTGATTAAAAAACACCTAAATTTATTGATTTTCTTGTTCTCAGAAACTGATACAGACGATGCATGGTACGATGATGGAGATTCTATTGACAAAGCGAATGTCGATAGGGAGTGGGAGAAAAGGCGAAATCAATTCCATACGGTATCTTAAAATTGCATCTGGCTTTGCTGTTGCAATTCATCACTTTTTTAACCATAAAATCAAACGGCTATTTTTTCATTAATATATTACACTAAATATCATTTTTTTAATTCAAGATATCATATAAAATGCTATTTTAATTCAAATCTTATGTTCTCAAACCCCAAAACCAATTCACAATATAAAAGAAACACACCCTAATGCATCATTTCCTATATTCATTCTCATGCTATATATCCTGTCATTTCTGGTGAGCCAGATAGGATATCGCGACGGCCTCATTGCTGGACAAGAAGCTGCTGCTCAAGAGGGGTTCAACGTCGGCTTTAAGGAATTAGTTTTTTCCGGGTACAACTGGGGTCTTGTCAGAGGGATTACTAGGTAAATAAATTTCAATTCAATTAATTTTTTTAGATATCATCATTTCTTTCTGTTTTGATGTTTCCCACTCGTTACCTACATTGTTTTTGTTTTCGTTTCAAGTGCATTGGCATGCCTCCCGACTAGTTTAAAGGAAAAGTTGATCGAAACAGAGGAAACAAGGACCAAGTTCCAGTTTTTGCACGAATCTGTACAATCTGTTTCAACAACCGATGCATTGAAATATTCTTACGAAGAACATAAGAGGAAATTCGAAACCCCAGATGGGAGCGCCGATCCAAGTTCGACTACAACAGACAACATCCTCGGAAACTACCACAACCAACTTCAGTTACTTCTCGACGAATCTCCTCTACTCGAAGGTAATTTGAAATTAAACTAGTTAAATATTTTCCTTTGGGAGGGGCTGTTGTAAAAAAGTAAAAAATCCGGTATCATATTTCGACCTTATTTAAATGTAAGTATAAGCATTCGACACGAGGTTTAAATACTTTATTGGAACTTAGAAGCAACAATTAGCAACACCATAAGAATAGGTGAAGCCAGGAAAAGAACATATGGGAGGGCTTGGTTCAATCCATCTTCATCCACTTGAGCCTCTTTTAATAGATAATTCGGTTTCTCCTCGACAAATGCTTCGAAATAGTTTTGATAGCCAGTGCCGAGAGATGAACCGGTTGAGCTAGAAACCTTCATCATTTCCATTGCCTGTCAAAATATATGTACAATATGATACGCTAGATTGAAAATAAATATTTGATGTGATATTTTGAATGTACAATAGCTTATTGGGCGTGATGTACCTGAAAACCAAAGAAAAATTGCCTTGCCTTCTTGCTCACGCGAGGGCTTGGGTGTGATTGAAGTTTTTCGTACATCACACGTGCCTCGTCAGGTCTGTTGAATAAGTAGTAGTTATTCGTCACAATTGTTGTATCAAAATTCAATAAAGTTCAACTAGATTGTCCGAAAGGAACTATTCTATGACTGGTTTTGATCGGCACACAGGTTTTGAAGAATAAGAATGTCGAAAATAGTATATAATTGGCAAAGAAAGGATGACCTGCTGAGTGAGTCTTGGCATATAGACCATTGCAAGGCTGCTAATCCATGGAGCTCAGTCTGCAATAAGGTATGTAATACTGATTGATTACAAGTTGAATAAAATTTTGCATATTTGGGGATCGTTATATTGTGTGCATTTACATAGAATTACTAAACGAGCTGAACAAATTCGAGTATTATTGTTCGAGCTAGACTCAAATATGTTATACTCGACCCGTTTAGGATTCGAGCTAAAACAGTGGTTCGAGCTCGGCTCATTTATAAAAATAGTAATTGTAGTCCATCTCTATAAATGAGTCGAATTGTGTAGTTAACAAGTCAGGTTCAATTTGGCTCGCGAGCCATCCAGTTCGTTTAACAACTATTATTCATTCTACGGTAAAATATTTTCACGTTACCTGGAATGCTAATTTTCCCATGACTTGTTCGTAAATCGGCATCGCCTCCTTCAATCTTCCAAGATCCATTAATGTGTCGCCATCGCTCAATGCCTAAGTACGATATCGCTATAACTAAGAAGAGAATCTTGATCATAAATCTAACTATCGATGCAAATCGAGGCTGCATTCGCACTTTCATCGAACAATCTAGAGATAACATGTTCGTTACGAAAAAAAACAAAATTTGTTCAATAATACCTTCTCACATTCGAGTTTCAGCTTCCGGTCGATGTTTAGACCAATTTTGCTTTTGTAGGCAGCCACCAACTTCTTTGTTCGATCTTCTTTGATGACCTTCTCCTCAGCCGACTCAAGTGCTTCACCGGGGCGTATAGTTCTCCCGCCTCCGTACTTTCCACAAACAAAAACGATGAATTAGCCTTTAGACATTAACTACAACCAATACAAACTAAGAAAATGGAAAAATTGCAAAAAATATCTTTCATGTATACCTCAATATCACTTTTATCGTGTATTTATCTCGCTGACAAAATATATTTTACATGTTTGCAAAAGTCGCTATTTATATCCTTTGGCCGTGCGTAGTGTGAACATCACGCGTAGCTAAAAGATATAAATAACAAATTTTGTAAATATTTTACGAGCGAGATAAACACAGAACAAAAATGATAATGAGGTATACATAGGGATATGCTTTGCAATTTTCTCCAAAGAAAATCATAAGTTGGAGCATATTAAAGCGAATGCCTAACTGTTTTTGAAATGTCACTCGGTCTTGGAAAAACACCCCAAGTCGAAACCTTAGGCTTATAAAGATCAACATCCTCTTGTTTTGCCGGGATTGAATTCGATGCATCATCACCAAACTTACTTGCATCGCCGACGAGTATTTCCACTTCAGGCAACTTCCCTCTCGAAAAAGGGTCCGATTGTGGAACCAAACCCGGGGGCAAACCTCGGCCGGTCTTCTTGTCCGAGAAGCCGAGCCCCACAAAATCAATACTTGAAACGGAAAGTTCGCCCTTTTTACTGTTACTTTTTATAGATAGCTTATTAGCAAGATTTTCTTCGATCTTTTCTTCAAGTCCTTGAAGCAATATAAAGATCCAAATGATTATATGTAACAAACAATAGAAAATTAACCACAAAATATATTCAAAATCATACGAATGCAAGATGCATTGTTGTTCATAAGGGCAACAGCCCATTTTCAGTCATTTAATACTATTTATTTTTCAAAAAATATTACATCAAATACATTTTTTTTTTTCACAAAACATCAAATTAAATATTAATTTTTTATTTTTTCTAAACTTTCAAATTTCCAAAAATCTCCAAAAACTCCGATCTAAACAACTACTAAATAAAAATTAAAGTAAACGAATAATTTTATAACATAACGTTAGTAAATATTTACACAAAAAAAAGAATGCATTATATTGAAATATTCAATAATAACATAGTTGTATTATAAAAACAACGAGATATTTTTTTAAAAAAATTTATTTTGATTATATAAAATTTTATATAAGAAATTGTTTTTTATCCTGAAATATGATTGCACAAGCAAAGAGTATATTGAGGAAGAACAATACCTGAAGCTGAATCAAATGTTTGAGCTCCGACGCCATTGGCATCCTCCTCTTTGTTCTTCTTATACTCCTTTGCCTTTTCCATCGCAAGTTTAACAGCCAAAGGAACATCCTTCTTCCCTTCACCATCACCATCATCATCGTTTCCACCGGTAGTTTTCTTCTTCTTCTTCTCCTCAATAATCTCCAGGGGCGCGGATTGTGTCGAATCCTTGTATGCCTTTGCTCTCGCAAATGCAACTTTAATCGCCTCCTCCCCTTCCTCCTCCTTCGAAGATGAAATTTTCGAGTAGGAGCTCTTCTTCAAATTGAAATTGTTGTGCTGTGGTGTGTAGAAAACGCGAAACGTAAACCTAAAGCTTCTGTGATTGCGATTGTGATTTTTTACGGGAAGAACGGAAGAGAAGAAGGGAGGAGGAGCAATCTGTCTCTGTGCCATAACCATTTCACTGAACAAGAATGAATGGACGGACACAATAAATAACGACTCTGTTTTAATTTTTATTTTTATATTTTAATTTCAATACTATTATTTATTTTAATAATAATAATAATAAACTAAATTAAAAATAAAAAAATCATCGCAACCGTGTATAGAAAGCTCGAATCCATGGCCTGACCTGCTGCATACAGTTTACAATAATCTCTTCTACTCTCAAATTCTTAGTGAAATTTTGACATCGTGAAGTAAATTGATCGCGTTGCCGCAGGGTAAGCCGTAAGCCATATGTATGTAGTATTGATTATCTCTTTTGCTGGTATATTTGATTTGAATTTAGGGTTTATATTTCGAACGGTGAAAATAGTTTGATTCATGACTTCAACTGATGAAATCTCCGTAATCTAATTCATTTCTGAAATGCTGTTTGGTCGTTGTTGCTTTTGTTCGAAAGAGGCTAGTTTTATTAAACCACCATGGGTGCTATGTACGAAACAAGCTAGTTTGATTAAACCACCATGGCTGCTATGTACGAAACAGGCCACCACCTGTTCGATGAAATGCCTATAACAAGTTCTGGGAAGAAGTATATGTCAATACATATAGAAATGGCATTGATGATTTACATGGAATGAATTTGTTGCTTCCTGGATTAGGATTGAGTTTAGATATATTTTGCAATTGTGTGTTTTTGTAGTTTTGAAGAATTTTGTGTATGATAAAAAGTTACATAGGTAATTGATGCGATCGAAATCGGTGTTGCATGTGACATCTTAGATCCTAAATATGTTTTTGATGTAAGTTTTGTTGAGAAAATTCATGTTAATTGAATAGTGTTAAAAGTGATTTGAAAACATACGCCTTAAACAGAGTCTAGATTTCTCTTATGCTCCCCACACAAGATTGCCCTACATTTTGTTTTTAGTGTGAGAATACTACCTGAAGGCATGTCAAAGATTAAATAATACATCTGTTCATTATTCGATGATAATTTAGTAGTATATCAATAGAGAAAACAAAGAAAGTAAGTGTTCATATGGTTCATGTAGAGTAGCCTTGTGGTCACGAAAACAGGGAATCTTTATATATACAATCGATAGCTGTGGCTTCTGCATCAGTTTCTGCAGTTCTTGCATATAAAATTCTTCAGGAAGCTCTTAATTAGTTGGAAAATCCTACTGAATAATACATTCGACAAAGGAAGAAATTAATTCATCAGATATTTCCAAAGCTCGAGCTGCTACCTACAAGGTGTTTTATGGTAGCTTGCTTCGTCTTCGCTTGCTTTTCCTGGTTTTCTTTCAGTAACGACTTTATTTTTATGGCAGTTCATAGTAATTGCGTCTAAATTACAGCGTGAAGACTAATTGCGTCTTAATTTCTATGGAAGTTCACTTTGATATATTTTATTTTGAGTTTTTAATTTGTATTTTTGTTTAAATACTTTTTTGATGTGATGTTTTGTGAAAATTTGTTCACTTGTCAAATTCCAGCATTTAGTTCATTTTGGTGGAGATAAGCTACCGAAACTAGGGTAAGCAGTGAATCAAATTTGTAACATCAGGTGGAAAACTCATCTATATGTAGACGAATATTCTATCACGTACAATTGAGTATATGTTTTACACCAAAATTTTGCGATGATCTTTCTTTCTTCCTAGAATATGATTTGAGCCTTTTACCGAGTAGTGTAGCTTCAATGTGTATTTGCTCTTAAGCTGATTAATTAAGAAATTTTGTTTCAGGTTGGTTATGGGGCAAGCAGAGAGTGCTGAGGATCAGAGTGTCCGAGCGACCTCGAATTCCACTTCAACGGGAAATGCAGCCGAACCCTCGCTAGATTCTCTAATTGCTGAAGCTGCTGCATATGGAAATGAGGCTAATGACGAATCTCTCGAAGCAAAGGCTCAAAAGGCATTAGAATGTCCCTGCATTGATCACTTGCGAAGTGGTCCGTGTGGTTCCCAGTTTTCTAATGCTTTTGTCTGCTTTTTCAAGAGCACGGCTGAAGAAAAAGGGTCCGACTGTGTACACCCATTCGTCGCTCTACAGAATTGCATCAAAGCAAATCCTGGTGCATTTTCGGATGATGTTTTGGATGATAACGATGCCAAAGAGGAAAAACCGAGCCCACAAAAGAAAATCCGGCCTCCCCTTTGGTCATAAATCGGGAAGTTCATAAAAACTAGCATTCGAGTTGGGGAAATGCAAATGTCTTGTTGATTTGGCGCACGTTTACTACTTGCTGGATTTGTCGCGAGTTCTTTCGATCAAACTGCTACCAGGTAATCTAAATCTTCCCCCATTCATCCTTACTTGGTGATAGATTATTTGGGAAAATTGCAAAAAATATATTTTATGTATATCCCATTATCACATTTTGTCATGTATTTATTTTGGTTGCAAAATATATTTCATATATTTGCAAAAGTCGTTATTTCTATTATTTGGCCATTTGGCCGTGCGTAGCATGGTGTAAACATCATGCGCGGTCAAAGGACAAAAATAGCTACTTTTGCAAACATGTAGGATATATTTTGGGGTATATTGGGAGATATTTTTTGCAATTTTCTCTAGATTATTTGAAACCAAATATATTTTGCAGTCAATGGTTTTGAATATTTGCAGGATATTATGGAAGATATAGCTCCTGGCATATGGAAATAATGCAGATTTTATGACAATTTTATGCTTAAGATTTGTTGTTAGTTATAAGATCTGTCTTGGAAAATACAATGATAAAAGCTGCTGAAACCTTTTACCTTAGACACAAAATATAATTGGAAATTCTGTCATTTAAAATACGGAGTAAATCCTTTGCTAAATTTGTTTATAAATTGTGTTGCTAAACCCTAATCCCTCTATCTTGAATAATTATATATAATTTTTAATTTGCTATAAAAATATGCACAATCCATTTATAGTAAAAAAATTATCCACTAACAATTTGATTAACTCTACTTTAACAAATACTCCTTCTGTCCGAAAAAAATTATGTAACTTTGTTGAATATTTTGACAAAAATTTGTTGAATACTGACATGATTTTAGCGGACAGAGGAAGTTGAATACTTAAGTGTTAAATGATAGAAAATTGTTGGATTGCACCCAAGAAAATCGATAAATTTTGATATAAATTTGTTGCACCACGAGAAAATAATATGTTGAAAACTACGTACAAAGTATGTTGAACACTAGTATTTAGTATTACTGAATATTGTAGTTCAGAGAATCAAATTCAGATACAAAAACTCAGAACTTGATTATGTTTACCTAATAGTAAAAGCATTGTAAAGACTTATTAGAAGTTTGTATGAAGCAATTTCATCCTACTTGCCAAAGTGTACGTAAACTCGAGAAACTTACAAGGATGTGTATATATGTATATGCATCAGAGTCAGATATTTGCTCCAAGCAAAGTAATCAGAAAGTCCTTATAATCACCAGATGTGTCGCCAGCGACATCATCATCAAGATTTGAACCGTAAGCATTCGCATATTCTTCTCTGATATTCATCAGATCGATTTCAGCTCTAGAAATGATGACCCTAGTCAGTGAATATTCATCTGTCCCCATCCCTGCAATCGAATTTCTTAGAACCTACATGATAATAGCCAAAAATGGTTAATTCTATATGTGTGTCGATAGTTGAAGATGAAATGTGCCGGAAATTGTGACACTTAGAAAGGCTAAGAACATACTATAGTTGAGAACTTTTTTACGGCACATTTTCTAAAATCTGGTTTAGCAGTTCTTGGATATAAATATAGTATCCCGATCCAGAGGAACTGTAGAATTAATTCTGCACTAGGTCCCAAGATTAAATATAATGTCGTATATGTTGTTTAGAGCTTCTATAGCATTCATTAATCTTTCAGTACATTCAAATTTTGGCGATTAATTGAATGTTAGCTAATAGTATTCATTCTCACTAATTGCTATGAAAGTGAAGAAAAAAAAATCGAAATCTCAATTACCTCAGAAAAGTGTTTGAGTGGGGAGTCGATGCACAAAACTACCGCTCTTAGCAGAGACTCAAGAACGCCGTGTCCACAATCTGCGATATCCTGTGAAGTAAAATTTTAATTCGGTAAAATACCATATCAGAACTCGGAAATAGGGAATTTCTTAGGGTATGTTTCTTTAGCATAATTTTTCCAAATGTTACTATTTGGACTTTGCGTTTTAAAAAAAATATACATTTTTTTCTCACAAAACATCCCATCAAACATTATTTTCATATCAAACTCAAACTAATTTTTTTTCAAACTCATCAAAAGAAACACATCCGACCTGATCAAACATTAGTTCTTATGCAGATAAAATAACCTAACCTGATCTAGGGATCTTCCATAACTATCCCTGTAGAACTTGAAAGTTTCCCTGAGCTGAAACACATTTCTTGTGCTGAGCACCATTATGAGCTCATCATCGTCTAACTTCTTGGCTTCGATGGACTCATGCAGTTTAATAGCCTCTTCACTTGCTACGGTGGAATTCACCACTTCTTTGTCATGTCTGAAGGAACTCACCAAACTAACCAAGACCTGTTTGATACTCGTTAATTAGCAGGGTTGAATTGATATTTGTGATTGTTTGAGGGATTGGATTTTAAATAAACTATTCATCCCATTTTTTGTCCCTTAAAAACATCAAATCAAACACCTATATATATATATTTTTTATATTATACTAAAAATCAATTTTACATTCAAAATATCACATCAATATCTATTTATATCACATCATACAACTACTGTTCAAATTTAAAATTTTTACTAATCCAAACCTCCAAACAGACACACCCAAAATAAAAACTCATTTATCTTAATGTTGTTTAAGATCTATTGCTTTGAAATATATATATATATATATATACACATAATTTTTTTGAGTCTCTAGTTCATCATAAAGTATATAATATCATGCTAATGTAGAGTTACATCAATCCGAACAAATTGGTATCAGAAGTATAAGTTAACATCTAACTCCGCTAGAATTTGACCCAAATCGGACAATATTACACTACCATAGAGTTACACCAATCCCAACAAGTATGTTGTCCACCAAAAAAATAAAAACATTTAAGCCGAAAGGCTACTTTCATTCCCGACTAATTAAGCTATTTCAAAGAAACTCCTATTATCTTCCCGTCACTAGTGAATATAACTCTACTCATTCCGGGTAAATTCTTGTCATATTTCTAACAAATTAAAGCTGAAAGAAAATCTCCAAAACTGTAACTCAACAAAGGGAGTATTCGAGATTTTATATAATTTGGTAAAGAGTAAAAATATATATATATATACCTTTCGAACTGGAAGAGGAACTTCTGAAACAATGTCTTCTTCCAATGAACAATCGAAGAGAAAACAATAACATTGCCTTACAGCAAGCAGATACTGAGGTGATGCAACACAGGCTATCTCTACAATCACTTGTAACTCGGCTACGCCTTTCCTCATCGACTTTAGTGATGAATTTGCAAGCCTTGCATCTCTTTCAGGGGCATCGTATATCCACAAGACCACTGCTTTCTACATGAATAATATATCCCTATTAGGCGAGCGGACAAGAACATAGGGAGAAAAATTATACTACATTACAATTTATTCAGAATGAAACAACTCCTCACATAGATATATATATTTTTTTCCATCTGAAATTTTCTAGGAGTGTGTTTGATTGGGCTTTCGATCGTGTTTCTATAGAGTTTGTTTCGTGTTTATAGTTTTAAATGTTTTTGTTGTTATATATATGAAGAATTGTGATGGTGTTATAGGGAATAATAGTTTTGTATGTTTAAATTGATGCCTTTTATTGAATGATATTTATTCATTGGATAATATTTTAGATAATAGTGTTTACTTGTTTTATGCTTGGAAGAACACAATCATAATAGCCAAAAAGCTAGTAGGATTTGTTTGTGTGTATTCATCAAAATACTTTCCCTAAGAAATCTTTATTGGACACTAATACAAAATATTATATTCTACTATTATTTTTTGATCTATTTTTTTTTAAAAAAAAAAGAAGAAGAAGCTACATTGTATAAGACCTACAAAGAAAAAGCAATTGCTTAGGAAATATAAAAAAGAAAATGTGCTTGATAAATTAATATTTTTAGAAAAATATGTAAAATATAAAATAAAAAAATATTATCACAATGATTGTTAAATAAGAGTTATAATCTTTGAGAGGAAAAAGGCTTTGATCAACTCCTCAATCAAATGCTTAAACACAACTAAATATGTAAAAATGGAAAACAGGAAACATAAAATTCTAAACGAAAAATAGATTCTGGAAATGAAATTGTACCCCGAAATCACCAGATAGCTCAGAATGAAGATGATCGGCGAGGTACTTATCGTAAAGCAGCTCGTAAGTGTCTCGGATCTGCTTCCTCTGGTTCGCATTTCTGTGCCCCAAAGTCCGAATTATTGCCTTCTCATCTGTTCCCAACCCTATGCACCAACAAAAAACACCTCAACCACCGCCAGAAATTCCTTTCTACACCTCAATTATCACGAATCCATGGACAACATTGTACGATTTGGAATGAACTCATCGATTCCCCTCCGTGAGATCGAATGATAGCAAACATAGGCGCTTTAGAAAAAACAAAAAAAAGGCGTACCGGTGAAAGCAGCGTTGAGAGTTTCACAGTCGTCGACCGGCGACGGAACCGCTTCCGGAAATGTGAGTGTTGCCATTCCTCTAATCTTCAAATCTCGCCCTCTCCTATTTATAATTTTTCTTCCTCAGCAATATATTCATTTATTATTATTATTATTATTATTGGAAAAATAAAATAAAATAAACTTTTGATCTTGTTAAAAATCAAATGAATCAATTTTAGTGGCAATTAGAAAGGCAAGGATCACGACGAATTTTGCCACGTCTCTCTATAATCCTTTGCACAGGTGAGGATCGGATATCCATGGCCGCCGCATACATGCATTGTCGGAGACGATAATATATATATATATATACATATATATTTTGTCAAGGTCGAGAATGAGGGTTTGGATTTGGGAATGAGTGGCGAAGAATATATTAGGGTCTGCAGAAAGATGAAGATTAGGAATGGAAATGACGTGCGTGTTAGAGTTACCAACATGGCCGTGTTTAGATAACCACACGGCCATGTTTGTCCGGGTAAGATAACAGAGTAAGTTTTCCTTATATTCACGTCATTTACTGTTGTTCTCTTAGATTTTTTAACTTGTAGATCAAAATTAATTAAAAGTTTTTTAATTGAGATTTAAACTATTATTATTATTATTATTATTATTATTATTTAATGAAATGATAGTTGATTTTTCTTCCATTATTATTATTTTTAAACGAAGATTTTATTTATTTCATTGGCAAGACCTATTTATTATTATTTTTATTTTTTTCTGTTGCCTGTGTGTCAAGCAAAATCTAATAGCGTCCACTTTATCACGCCAGGCCGCCCCTTCCGCGTAAGTCTATTTATAAGACTCTCCGTCCCACACGTAATTTGTTCATATTTTTTATTTTTATCAGTCCCACGTAACTTGTCTTTTTATTTTTGAAAATATAATTATACATTTTAATCGCATTTTAAATTTTAAATTTTATAATTTTTTTAATTTTAATTAAACTATTTACTTATGTTAATTTTAATCTATAATTATTTTTACTAATACACTTTTTAATTATTTACTAATTATATTTTACCTAAATTTCCGTGTCTACGGTAATACGCCCATATTATATAGGACGGAGGGAGTATTATTTATTGTATTATACTGTTATTATGTATTATTCTATTGTTTTTTTAAATTTTTTTGTATTAGTATTATTGTATTATTTGAATTCATAAACTATGGTCCAAATCAAAGTAATATTTGAAAGTGTAATATTCCCTTCAAAAGAAAAGTACTTCATTTTTCTATTTACGTCAAAATATTTATTTTTTTATAATTGTATTATTCATTTAAAATTAAAAATATCTTTATAAATTATAATATTTTACACAAATATTATTATTTTTATATTATATAATACTAATGAGTATTTTTTAATTTTTTTTCTTAATTAGTATTATATATAAATATAATACTAATATAAAAAAAAAATCAACATATAAAAAAATAATCGAATACAGGTATTTGGGAAGGAGGGAGGATGAATTAATGTCACAAATTACAAAGTTTGGATAAACTTTGACCTAATTTCTTGTATGTATTTATTTAGTAGAGCAAATCAAGTCAAGTGTTATTAATTGAAAAGTAAAGCTATTTAAAAAAAAAAAAAAAAAAAGAAGTAAAGCTATTAAACTATATCATAAAACAATTTTGTAGTATTAGTGAAATTTTGGACATAAAAAATTTCAGTCAAAACCAAATAAAAGAAACTTTACGTACGTTAAAAAATTATGTACAATTAGCTCATACGAGAATCGATCATAAAACATTAGTATAAGAGCAATTATTTGGCTCAGTGAGCAGTATTAAATTGCATCGTAAAAAACTTATTTGAATTACAAACTAAAATAAAATAAATAAATTTTTATTTTTGTAATGCAATATAATAGGATAATGAGTGTTTAATTTTATTTTTTTTTAGTTTGTATTGAATTGTTGAATAAATAAAATATATTTATATAGTATTTTATTAAGATTGTATCGTTCAATTTATTTTTATTATATACAATTTATTTGTTAAATATGCTTAATACTACTACCTCCCTCCGTCCCACATACTCCGTCCCACATACATAACAGACGAGTGTAATTAGTAAAAAATTAAGAATATATTAGTGAAAATAATTATCTTATAATATGAATAATTATAAATTAAGATTACGATAACTAATTAGTTTAATTAAAATAAAAATAATAAATTAAAAAATTTTAAATGAAATTAAAGTGTGTAATCATTTTTATTTAAAAAAAAAGTGACATGGTAAGTGGGACGGACAGAAACGGGACATAATATGTAGGACGGAGGGAGGGAGTATTATTTTTTATACCTATTTTTTTAGGGTGTAAGAAATAAATTTTTTTTCAAATATTTTTATTATATACAATTTATTTGTTAAAAAAAAAATTATTCAAATATTAAATATAGCATATAATTTTATTTAAAATATAATTATGATAAGACATAATTAACTTGTGTTTAATTTATCCTTAATTAAAATATAAATAAGTCAATGGAAACAAGCATTACTAGTAATTCATAGAATCTCAGCAAAAACCGCATCAAATGACAAGCAGATAGAGAGCAGTCGACAGAGAGAAAGAGTTCTTCAGTATCATGACACTGACCGACTCGATTGGACACAAATTAAACTTCAAATTCTAAGACAGCAAATCATTCAGAAAGACATACTTGATTAATGTTGACCGCCGAGGAGGGTGAGGAGGAATGCCTTGTAGTCTCCAGAAGTTTCCTTAGCCACCGCCTGCTCCAATGCCACACTGTTCCTCTTGTAGTACAGATCCTTTATCTCCCTCAGGTCCTTCTCCGCCCGCGTCACCACCACGCGCGTCAGTGCATCCTCGTCCGTCCCCGCACGCTTCAGAGCATGACGGATCGTCTGCAAATCAGCATCATCAATTAGGTTAGATACGTAATTAGTGTAATTTGTAAGAACAGAGACAATGTTCATATATATATGCTTTATTACCTTTTCGAAGTACTTTTTGGGGTCGTCGATGCATTTTATAGCAGTGCGGAGGGCAGACAGGAACTCGCTGGAGAGATCCTCGCGCAAATGCTGCAGATATCAGTCGATCAGACAGAGAGACAATTAATGATTGTATCAAACTGGATCTGATTTGAGTAAGATTCTGCTGTAAGAAAGAGATCGATACAAATATATTATTAGTGTGTGATGATTCTATTACAACCTTAGTGATGGAAATGCCTTGCTCATCCTTGTAGCGGTTCAGCGTTGCGACAACCTGAGCTTTGCTCCTTGTGGTTACGATCCTAACAACTTCCTCGTGATTAAATGCCTTGTCCTTGATTATCGCGTTGTGCAGAACATCCGCCTCTTTGTCCGCAAGCTTCGCGTTCTTCTCCTCGGTATGGTACCTGTAAACACTCACCAATCCGACCAGGAGCTGTCCGAAGAAAAGAGGAAAACGAGTTTTACGCTAAATGATCCAACGGCCACGATTAAAAACTGATTTAAAGAGAAAAGCGCTATACTCGCCTGGCGTAGATCCCCTACAGTGTGCTCAGCTACGTCTTCCTCCAGTGAGTGCTTAAATCGCGCTTGGTAAGCACGCTTTATCCCTAAAAACTCCTCCGGTGACGTCACGCACGACAGCTCCACCACCACGCGGTGGTCCACCGGCTTCTTCTTAACCGCCACGTTCAGCAGCACGGCGTCGCGATCCTCCGGATCGAGGATCCAACGGTACACAGCTCTCTGCCAAAAAAATTAACAATCGTACGGTCGATATTCGATGAGCATTTTCTGAAATGCATATATATATAAAAAAAAAGGAAAATAAAAATAGAAATAATCGATTTATTTACAACCTCGAAATCTCCGTGGAGCTCCGACTCGAGAACCTTGACCAGATCCTCCTGGTACAGATCCTGGTACGCATGTCTGATCAGTTTCCTCTGAACAAAGTTTCTCCTCCCTAGAATCGCAATGATCGCCTTCTCATCGGTTCCAAACCCTAATCAATCCGTCCAGACAGCAACTAACTCATATTCCCCCCATTTACTGCAAATAAACAAAGACACGCTGATTTATTACAAACAGGTTTATCGTACCTTTGGTCGCCTTTCGGATGGCTTCAGCGTCGGCCACAGGGGAAGGATTTTCAGGGAAGACGATGGTCGCCATATCACTAGCTCACTGACTCTTTTCGAACTTTCAGAAAATATTCTACGCACGTCTCTTTCTCGTGATATTTGGGGGTATTTATAGTGCTGCTTACAACGTCGGTAGTAACGCCCGGGACCCACAGATATATGTAATAAAAAAATTGTTTCTATAATAGTAATAAATATCATTGAAACGGCAGTTAGGCATTAGAAACGCTTTCGTCGATAGACCGTACGTGTCCTGAAATAATAAGGGAAAGTCGTGTTTGGTGTGACGAGCTTTTGACAGCGATGCGTGACTTGGAATATTTTAAATTTAAAATATTACAGCTGGGACAGATGATGGAATAATCTAGATTATTTATTATATTTTTTATTTTAAATTATTCGATAAAAAAAGTAATTATTTTTTTTATATAAATATTTTTACTTTACATTAAAAAAATAAAAAATAAAATTATTTTATATTATTAATTATTACAACTAATATATTATTATTTTTTAAATTTTAAAAGAAATACTCCCTTCGTCTCGTTGGAAGGTGATATTTGTTTTTTGCACGTAAATTTTTGAATATTAGTATTATATTGGATTGTAGTTAAAAAGATAAAAATACCCCTATTGGTATGGTGTAATATAGAAGTAATGATATTTGTGTAATATATTATAAGTTGAAAGTGTATTTATTATGTTAAATAGATAGTACAGTTACTAAATTATGAAATAGTAATCTTGTTTTGAAACAGACGAAAATAATAACCTTTCAATGGGACGAAAAGAGTATATGCTTTTAAACCGAATAGAAGAAATATATACTTTATCATGTGGGACGAATAGAGTATATGCTTTCAAACCGAATAGAAGAAATATATACTTTATCATGCGGGTAAAATTAGCACACAAAAATAATTAGGGTACTTTTAAAGTTTTAATTAAAAAAATAAAAATAAAAAGATGTATTAAATAATTTTTATTGCAAATACATATTAAATACAATATTTTTTCCGTCCTATTGGAAGATTGTTATTTTTCATTTTCATCTGTCCCAAGACAAGTTTATTATTTCCTAATTTAGTAATTGTACTACCTACCTAACACAATAAATATCCTTTCAACTTACACTATATTACACAAATGTCATTACTTTTATATTATATAATATTAATAGGAATATTTTCGTCTTTTACTACAATTCATTATAATACTACAATTAAAAATTTTATATGCAAAAAATAAACGGCAACCTTGCACTGGGACGAAAGAAATATAATAATTAAATATTAATTTTATCAAAACTGATAATACAATATATTTAACAAATATTAAAACAATAGAAATATATTGGAATTATTTTATTATTATTATTATTATTATTATTATTTTAATGTACTATGGAATAATCTAGATTTGAGGACAAGAAAGAAAGTGAACTGTCGCACATTTCAAGATTTGAATTGCAGTCAGGGAAACAGCTGACTGCAGCCGAGGATTTTCCTTTTACGGTGGGCGGGTATTTTGCTAGATATGTTAATATACTTTTCTATTTGTTAAATTTATTCTCAATTGTTAAATTTAATTTTAATTTTTTTTATTGGTATATTAAATTTATTCTATTGTTATATTTGAAAAAGTTAATATTTAATTTTTATTTTTCATTTAATATTTATTTAAAATAAATTATTTATTTTAATTATATTTCTATTTTTTATTTAATTATTAATTAAATTTTTAAAAATATATTCAATTATTTCTTTAATTTTTTTTTATTATTTTAATAAAATATGCATTTTTCGCATCCTCTTGCTGATCCCAGGACTAATTATTTCGGACGAAAAAAAGTATATAACTCTATTTATTTTTAGTATATTTTTGCTGTTGATAAGAAATTTAAAAAAGTATCTCTTTTTACTTTGATAAATGTATGGTTTTGAAATTTCTAATAAATTAAAAAATAATATTGATATTTTTTACTAATTATTTTGATATTTTTGCTCATTCGTATAAAATAATTATATATGTAATAATAATATTTTTATAATTTAAATAAAAATTATTGGTGTTTTGATATTAATATATAATTATTTTTATTAAAATAAAAAATAAATATTTTTGCTGAAAGTATTTTTTTTACTATTTTAGTAATTTAAAAGTATACATATCTTTTTATTTTGGTAAAAAGTATTTTTTTATCATTTTCGTTCGTGTAATTAAAAAAGTTTTATATATATATATATTTTAGGAAAATTAATCGTACCACTAATACTAAAATATTTTTAACTTCTATTTAAATTATAAATATAGTATTACACATTATAATTAATATATACATTAATTCAAATAACAAAATTATCAAAATTTCTCTATACCATTCAAAAGTATTTTTTTTAAAAAATAATCATACATTAATACAAAATATTTTTATTGTCTTAACTATTAATACGAGCTGCATTCAAGCATGCATCCATAGACAAAGTGTGAAATCGGTTGGGAGTAATTATTTGTTAGAAATTTAATGATTTCTTGTTTTATCATTTCAAATATAAACTAATACTAACGTTATTTATTTGACACAATTTTTTTAAAAAATATATATTATTTTTCTCATAAAATATCATAGCAAAATATTATTTAAATAAAAATTTAAATCAAGACTAAATTTCAAATTACTTTCAAATCACAATAAACAAACTCGGAATGTTTTGTATTATTTAAATTCAGCACCTAACTTAACTCTTTTATTATAATATTGTTTGACTTAAAAAATAATTAATTAAGATAAACAAAATTATTTAATTTATATTTTTTTAAAAATGATAATCAATAAAAAATATTAATTTTATATTATCAATACAATTATCCATATTTAACATAAAATTTATATTCATAAAAAAAAAAACTGAATAAAAAATGATACATACAGCACCGAAAATTGGCAGCTTTTTTTTTTTTTTTTTTTTTTGTCATTTCATATATTATTTGTTTATACAAAGATTCAATACTTTATTATATTGAATTCTTATAAAAATAATTATTTTTATCATATAAAATACTATTTTTAAATTATTATTTAAATGCAAAATACAAAATAAAATTACAAACCAAACACAACATAAATGACATGTGAGTATTGATTTGGTGTACTACTTTGTAGTATTATTGCAAATTGCAAAGGCAACTGAAATACTCTGTTCATAATACGAAACAGAGAGCTGTTTGTCAATTCCCATGAAAGCGACTCCCAACTCGCTAATAACCACACAAATCAGATTACCCTCCAAACAAGCCTTTATGACTTCCATCTCCACTAATTTGCATTTAATTGAAATTGTACTCAACTCTACAATTCCAGATATACCCTTGCCTAATTAATTTTCTTATTCCCACGGACCACCTATTTCTTCCCCATCCACATCCTCAGTTATAATAATAATAATAATAATAATAATAATTATTATTATTATTATTATTATTGTTATAGTCCATCTGTTCAATAATTAAATATTTATTTATTATTTGCACTTAATTTAGAAAAATTAGTATTATATTTGGATGCAATAGGAATAAAGTAGAATTGACTAAAATAACTTTATTAGTACGTATGATATAAAGGTAATGATATTTGTGTAATATATTGTAAGTTGTAAGGATATTTGTAATATTAAATAGATAGTACAGTTACTGAAAAAAATTTGAATGGAGATAGTATAATTTTTTTTACCAATATATATATATATATTACATAAGAATCCTCAGCTATTACTATTCAAATGCATTCGAGTTAAACTTTCGGTTCAATCTAATAATCTACAAATTAGATTCGATAATATAAATTATACTAGAAAAACACACGTGACAGACAATACCGATGATTTGAATATATGATCTCGCGATCACAATTTCAACATCACATTACCAACAATCCTTATGAGACAATTTTTAAAAATATATAGATTTAGTTTATTTAGAGATGACAATTGGAAAGGATTTTGCCTCAACTTCGCCCCGACTCCAGTGCTAGTGGGGCGGATTCGAATTTGAAAATTAATATCAAGAGCGAATTATGAATTTTAAAAATTTAAATCCGATCGAGCTGGGACATATTGCTGAATTTGTTCAAAAATTCGTCCCGGAGACAGTTAGATTAATAAATTTAAAAATTAATATTTATTCCGTCCGCCTCTAAGGGTCACATTTATGTTTTGCGTCATTGTACTTAACATTAAAAATATCCTTATATTTGTACAATTTTTATATAAATATTTAACTATTAGTATATATTTGTACAATTTTTATATAAATATTTAACTATTAGTATTATAAGACACCAATGAAAGTATTTATGTAATTGTTTTTTAATTTGTACTACGTTTTGATATAATAATTAATATTTAAAGATCAACAAGCAAAAATTAAATGAGACCCTTAGAGGCGGACAAAGATAGTATTATATATTTATTCATATTATTTGAATTTATAATTTTATATCTCTCTCGTTATTATTATTGTTTTCATTTTTATTATTATTATTATTTTACGATTTTCAACATATTTATCTTTCAACTCAATTTAAGGTACATCAATTTTGAGATTTGAAACTATTTAATACTAAAAATTTTAATTATATAATTTTTTGTGCCTCAAAAAAAATATATTTTATAAAATTAAATGGGTTTTTCGAATTGGCTTCGAGCTGAGATCGGATTATTTGATTCAAACAATAAACTCAAAACTCTAGAAAGAAAAATTTTCTTATTTTTTTCAAAAGACTGTAATTAATATAGTATATGTTTTTACTTAAAATATAAAATAAAGTAAAAATACTTCACAAAATACAAAGATATAATACATTGCATATTTAAAAAAAAAAAAAACTACTCCATTCGTCCCATAACAAAGTATTCATTTTTCCATTTTAGTCCGTCTCATAACGTATGCATCTTCTTTTTTAGTAACTATACTTTCTATCTACAGTTATAAATACTCTTACACAAATGTCATTACCTTTATATCACACGTACTAATAAGATTATTTTAGTCATTTCTATCTTATTCCTACTTTATCTCAATATAATACTAATATTTTTAAAACTACGTGTAAAAAACAAATTGATACTTAATTTTGAAACAAAAGGAGTATAATAATGTCCATACCAACTTGAATAAATAGTAGTATCATATAATTATTTCTATTTACAAATATTTATTTATTTATTATTGTTATTCTTATTATTTTGGTGGAAGCCTCTTCCGCCCGACAGTGGGGGCATTGATGTCATTTTAGTACTCAAATGACCCCAACCAATGAGGAAACAGCTAAAGATCGGGTACGCCATAGCCACAAATTTAGATACGCTGTGTCACACGAGTCTGAATTACAGCCCTGAAAACTGAACACTTCACGTGATAGTGGGCCTCACGTCCCCCACTTGCCTCCTCACCCACCCCCCTGCCGCTGCGCCTCTCTCCCTCTCTGCCATTTCTCAGCTTCGCCATCCCTCCAATTTGCTGATCTTAATTTGTTTTCATCTGTTCCGTCGCCGGAGAAATTTTGCTTCATTGAAAATTTTACTCCTGATAGCAGTGAAATTGCAGGCGTGTTTTTACAGTTTTTGTTGATTGATGCTATCGTGTGTGGTTCTGCGGCGTGTTTTGGGAGATAACTTCAAGTGTTGGCGATGTTGAAGAAGTGCCTCGCGGAGCTGCGTTTTGTTCGATTTGAAGAATCGGTTTTCGCTTGGTTTTACAGCTATGTTTGATTGGAACGACGAAGAGGTGCGTGAGATTTGTTCTTTTTCTTTTTTTTTTTTTTTTAAGGCTGTTTTTTGTTTGACATTTTCTGAGTTCCACTGAAAATTTGAATCTTCCTTTCTTTTGCTTTGCTGTGCTGCCGCCAAGCAAATGATTTAGAAGAAGACTAAGTAATCGTTTGATTATAACTTTTTGCTCTTCATGCCCGGCAACAGATGCCATTTATTTATTTTAACCTTTATCAATTTCTATTAGTTATGTTGCCATATGAAGTGCTGATTTGAAAAGTAGTTAGGACTTAGGATGGATTCAGGACACAGTTGTGCAGATAAAAGGATTATCAATGTGCTTTTATTAATTTATTTATTTTTGGGAAATGAAAATTCATGGTCTTATACAAGCACAAAAATATAATTTTTCCAGGTAAGAACATTCCAGTAAGAAACTTATACATGTTTTTTTGTGGTACGTGATGGCCAGAGGCTACTTGTCTAAGTGCTATTCTGGGTGCTCTAGGTTGCTTGTGCCGGAATTACTGATAGTGGAGATGAATGCTTTGAAAATTAGTGATACATGAGATTTAGTCAACCCTGTCAAAGGAAAAGAGCTGTTGTTCGTTAATGGGGTTTGTACTTAAATTATGAAGCTAATGTACATTGGAAGTGTACGAGGTAAAATGTGTTTCAAAATGCAGCTATTCACTGCGACATATAAAATTCTCTATTAACTGAAGTTTCTTGCTGGTCACAAATTTAGTTCAATTGGGCTGCTTTTCTATTTAATCATCAGTTGCACCAGATCGAGCGAAATTGAATTCTCAGTATAACAAAGGTTTTTAGTACATCAGATTTTAAATATAAAATCAATATTGATGATAGCTACTTTTATACACGTCTTTTTCCCACTCAATTTGTTGGAAGTGATCATGAGTTTATCATCCTTGGAATGTTGAATTTTAGAAGATTCAATACTCAATTGAATGTGGAACTTATAGAGTTTTGATGGTAATGGGACTATTGTGAAGTCAAACCAAGTTCGAAACTCAAATTTGTTGGGAAGTTTCACAATATTGAATAAGACTTAAATGCACCTTCCTTGTCAATGTTTTGAGTTGAGAGTTCATGTCAAATAACCCATAGGAGTGAAAAAATGCCCTTAGAATTAAGAAGAAGAGCAGGAAAGAAGGTTGATTTCAGGAGGATAGCTCAGGGTGACAATAGGGAAGTGACCTTGAACTTGTAATGAAGTGGCAAATAATATTACAATACCTTCTACTTGGATTGAGAACGAGAAGATTGGCAATATACGTGGTGGTGTGGTATTTGCATTGTATATGACATAGAAGCAAATGAAGGGGGCGAAGATGATAAAATATACACTCAAGAAAGCTTTGGCTAGTGATTGCAATATCTAATGAAGACTTCTGGATGAAGAGAAAGTGTGAAGTTTTTAGTGAAGTTTGGTCAATATGAGAGGTACTCATCAAGAAACACGTGGAACAAATGATGTATTTTATTGAGTTTTATGTCTCAAATCCAAATTTGAGATGTTTAGAAGAGTTTGAAATTGTTCACTACCGTTGGAGGATTAAGGATCATATGAAAGACCTGTTTAGAGATCTTGCACAAGACCAAAGATAGTAGAATGAGAAATGGATGTTCGTTTGTCTTTTTCATCATGTTCAAGTTTAATTCATGTGTTTAATTTTTGTGCAAGCATGGGCCCCACAGTGTCTAAGGTTCTGAGAAAAATCGACGAGAGGATTTGTGATAGGTTAAAGAGGGAAATTTCTAAGAGGGGAGGTGGAATTGTGTGTTAGATCAGATGATGCCATTGATCTGGATTCTACAATTGATCTTTGTGAAAATTTTAAGGCTTCATTTCCAAGCAAGTTTTTGTGTTTTGGTTGTTCTACGAGTTTATATGACAGGGTTATATATAACCAACATAAAGCCTAGAACACATAGCATATATTGTAAAAGTAAGAAAGGCTTGGTAATAAGTTCTCATAAAATTCCTTTCAACTCTAGAGAACTGTGGACTAACGATATCCTAGCAACCCCTTGTTTTCCTAGAACCAAGCTGAAGAGGTTACTTAGGATTGACATTGGTGTGCTGCCCTTTTTGTAGTATGCCTGAGTATTTGTGATGCTCTTCATCTATTTGCTCAATCTATACCTCATGTAGGAGGAGGGAAATGCCCAATTTATAGGCTTAAAAGCAGACGTTTTAGGAAGGGGGAAGACAAGAAACTTTCTCTACTGCAAGTAAGAACTGGAATTTATTTTGCTATGTTGGATTCTAGAACTTGTTGCAATTTGTATGTTGCCTCTTGTTTATAACTTATAAATGACTTATTATATACTCTCTCTGTCCTAATGAATTTGCTAGTTTTACTTTTGGTATTATTTTTTGGTGGTATAATTTTGATAGTTTTTCTTGCCCTTGCTTTTTGGATCTCATGATTTTATAATTTGTATTTAGCAATAATGAAGAAAAGGTGTGTAAATAAAAAGAAGTTGCAAAATTTTTGGGACTTTCCAAATTAGAAATAATAGTAAAAGTTATGGGGGGATGGAGTATGATTCTTTTCTTTAAGTAGGTCGTCTTAAATAACTAATACATTCTATTGATGACATTATTTTCTTGCGTAATTTGTTGCCATTATTTGCTCTGGCTAACCATTCTTTTATAATTTTTGCAAAGTTGAAGATTTCAGTGCATTAGACTATCTTAAGTCTCCTGAATGACGTAGCTGTTTGTGACATTATTCGAATTGGTCATTGTTTGGCAGCATATGCTAAAAGATATGATGTTTGGTTTATTTTTTCTTAGAGTTTCTTGTCCTTTGGAATTCCAATTGCATGTTACAATCAGCTTGAACTACTTAGAAAAAATCCCTTAAGTTGTTACAACTCCGTTTCTTTTGCTATGTAATATTCAGTTAACAAACATCATATGGGGTGAAGCTGGAGAAAGTGATGACCACATTGTCCCGTACCCTGATCAAATTGAGGAGAAACAGCCTGCTTTATTTGGAGAACTCTCTAAGAAGGAAACAAATCAGCAGCTTTCTAATAACAGTCCTACAGAACTCAAGAAACCACTTGTAAAATCTGAACCTGGTGTTGAAGTTAATGAAAAGTCCAAGTATGACATTAGCAAGCCGGCAACAGGATTTGGTGTTGATTCATGGCCTGATGGTCCTGCTCCATCCTCATCAAATGCTACCAAAGGTGATCTGGAATCAACTGGCATGACTGTGTCGAGCAATATAATAAAGAGCTCGAAATATGGGTCATCGAGAGGTTATGCATCAATGTTGTAGCTCTAAAAATTTTGCCTTGTCTGATAATGGAAACATGTATTTTATATTTGTAAGCATTCATTTCAACAGATGAGACAGCTCAACTCAATAAGGATTCTGGAATATTTGATAATGCACCAGAAGATGGAGAACATGATGATTTTGTTGACTATGGCTGGGCAAACATTGGAAGCTTTGATGATCTGGACCGGATATTTAGGTAATTCAAATCTTCCTCTCATTACATGCTTTTGTATTGATGGAGCTCTCTGCATGATTGTAGGCTAGTAAGCTCTGCAGTTCTGGTGTTTTAAACATCTAGGATCGCTGGTTTATGTCACATTTAATGTAGTTTTATATAATCCGAATACCCTGTATTCAAGGGAATGCTTGGAAAAAGTAGAAGATGTCTTATTAGAGCAACTTCCTGAACCATGCTCAACAACATATCAATTTATTTCTTCAATCTCAACCTTGTTTGATCATATTCTTAAGCTACTTGGAATCTCCTTCTTTCCCTGTTCAAGATTGATGCTTTAAATCCTCCTCAAAAATTCACAAGCAATACTAGTTACGACTTCCTAATTTCTTATTTAGCTTTCTTGATTTCTAGCTGCATCTTCTCTATGCATGATTCTTACTACTATGTGAAATGTGAATTAAAAGAAAAAGGAAAAGAAATCACTAACTAGAGATGATATTGTGTTGTATGCTATTGTCTAAAACCATAATTAGCTTGAGCAGGAAACAACCTCAACCTGTCGAAATGATACTCTATATGTTTCCTGCCTCAACCCAGTGATTGAAGTCATAACTCTCAGTCTCCCCAAAAAGAAAATAGGGGAGGGGGTGATGTTTCTCTTTTCCTCTTTGACAATTTAACAATTACTTATATACACATATATTTGGTAGGGGGAACACTTTCTGTACCTGTTTGTCCCTCTCAAGCTCAGTTGACCAGTGTGTCATGTCTATGAATGTCTGACTTGATATCCTCACAAGTGACATTTTGCAGCAACAACGATGATCCAATCTTTGGAGATATAAGTGTTGGAAATACCGATGAACTGTGGTCATCATCTAAAGACATACCTGGCAGCCCCAGAGTTCCTACACCTTTATCAGGCGATTCAGCTGATTCTCCACTTGGTGCACTGAAGAACTCAGTCAATCAACCTGTGAGCAACACTCAATACACGCAAGATCCCAGCCAATCCTTCGCTTCTGGCTATGACAAACTGAATGAAATCACATACCATGCTCCGCAGGATGTACAGGCAAGCATAGATAATATTAAACATTCTCGAGGTAAAAATAACCTATTATGGGAAGAAAAGGTAAAATGGACTAAGCGTATCATAGTATTATTTATGAGTTCTTTTCTCTTTCTCTTGAAAACTTAAGAGTATGGTTCTGGTGTCTTCAGCTTTTTATGTGCAAGTAACTGAATATTCATGGCCTGCTTTTTGCTTTCTTTTTGCAGACTTTTGTGGCGGGTGGAAAGGTCCCGGAGGCTCAGGAACAACTTTATGATGGAACTTCTGCATCCTGTAATGAATTCCCAGACAAAGTAATTTTCTCTTCCCTTTGTTTGTGTAGCATTGTAAGTTCCATACTCAGGTACATCATTCTGCAACTCAAACCAAGAATCTTTGAGCATAATAGGTTATAAAATAAATTGATACAGAAGATAATATGCTAACCAGAATTTCTAGAACTGAGTGTGTCTATTGGCCATTTATTGTTCATTTAAGGGTAAAACTCTTGTTCGTGATGCGTGAAAATCCGCACTCTCTTCTTTTAAGTTCCAATCGTTTCTTTGTCCTGAATAAAGTTGAAGATATTCATTTGTTATCTTTGACATTACTATCTCATCAAAAATCTTGGGAGATACATCTGGCTGCACTTTGCATTCTCAATGTTGCATCTTGCTTTCAGGTTACAACCTCCTATTGTGTTTCCCCATATCATAGTTTACATTAGGTGTTGTTTACACTTTACGGCCAAGCCTTAAGAGCAATGAGATAATATTTCTGAACAAATACTTAGCTTGAGATCTTTTAATATCAAGTTTTATATTGATTTGTTTGTTGATAACCCTTCAGATTAATTATTGATTATCATCTAAAATTAGCAGTTTTGAATTCTTGAAAATTTGCAATAAGGTGAATGAAAAGTTTGAATTCCTTGCCAATAAGGAACTTCTGAATTCTCCCTCTGTTATTTTTTAGAGTTTAGAACTTCTCTAGTAAGAGCTAGAAGTCACCTAGAGAAGTTTGTGTGCTAAACCTTCCTCTCTCTTCTTATGATAGATATGTGGGTAAAATAAAAACACTCATTTTTTTATTTTAGAATCTTCTATGCAATTAAGAAATGTGTTTATATCAAGCGATTGAATTGATGCCGTCCCATATTATTCAATAGAACCACAATCTGTACACGAAACTCAATCCAATTCAACAGAAGGTTCTACTGGATAATTCTGGGATAAATGTATTTACGATTTTCAGCTTGTCACTTCCTTTCAAATTGGACAATTTGTATCTTGGATCTGTGTTAAAACCATGGCTTAAGGGTCTGAAATTGGTGTTGTCTGAGCAGCACTCATGCCAGCCAGCTCACAGATTTGGTCATTAGTCTTATTTCATTGATGACTGTTGACATATTTTTAGTTTGAATCAAATTGTTGCTCTAGTTGTTTTCGTGTGTTCAGGGTCACCGCCGAAAGAGACTCCCAAATTCCAAGGGTCAAAAGTTAGACAAGAAGAGTGACACAAAACAGGTGCATAACTTAACTGGCTCATGGACCTCCTCTGGGTTCCCCCCTCAACAAGTTAACAGTGCCCATGCACCATTGATGGTCAACCCCAGCAGCCCTTTTGTTCTCTCTCAGCAGAGGCCACTTCAGAGACTGGATTCTTTTCAGCCAAAGCTCTTCTCCGGTGCTCCTATGGTGTCTCCATTATATGGAAATATTGCGAATCCCTATCCTGCCAGTCCTGTCTTGGCACAGATTCGCCCCGGGGAAAGAAATTGCGACTTAGTTCCTCCCCCTCCCTTCAGTTATGAAGTCCCTCCTCCCAATGTCAATCCTCTGAAGAATTTGGATGATACTCCGGTGAAGCCTCCATCAATGACGCCGAAAGAGAAAATTGAGAAGTTAAGGAGGCAACAGCAAATGCGAGCCATGCTTGCAATTCAGAAACAGCAGCTGCAGTTTGGTAATCAGGCGTCGGTTTCTGATCATTCAAGTTTGGAAGGAGGGAAAATAGAAGTGGATGACAGTCTCAACAGTTTTCCATCTCTCGAGATGAGCTCACCTGGAGAACACGATGATTCCAATACGATAGGCATGGCCCTTGATAATTGCTCCGTGGAGGAATCTGTTCTCTTTCGGCTTCAAGATACCATTGCAAAAGTGAGTCCAAAATAACTATTCCATGCTGTAAAATTATTAATTTTATCGATACAGCTTATTGATATTATTTACCCTTCTACAGCTTGACATACCAATGAGACTTTGCATCCGGGACAGTCTGTATCGACTAGCCCAAAGTGCCATGCAAAGGCAGCATCCTCACGACACAAGCAGCGCCAACACAAACAGCAGAGATGAAGCTCCAAGTAACAAAGACATTGGTAACAACGGAAGGTCCGTAGCCCATCTCTGCGCACTTTAGATATTTCAATCATTGTAAAAAGTCACAAGAATCTGCTAATGTTAGTACGACGAACTTGTATAGATGAGTTTCATTTTTGTCATCAAATTTTAATTCTGGCTATAATGCTGACATAGCTAATGAATCTGTTGGTTTCCAGGATGCCTGATGTGGAGACCGACACAAATCCGATAGATCGAACTGTGGCTCACTTACTCTTCCATAGGCCTCTCGATAACTCTGGAAAATCTGCTGACATGCCGGCGTCACCGTCATCTGCCAACGTCCCTTACGAGAGGAAAACGAACCTCCTGAAAAGCTTAGCAAAGGGATACTTTCCCGAAACTCTCAACAACACTCCGACCACATCTCCACAGGGATCGAAATCTACCGGCATATTTTCTGAAGGTCATCAGTCCAAACATGTCACATGCTTTGCCCCTTCTGAAAACACATCACAAACTGAAAATCCGGAGACGATGGCCGCTCCGTCCAAGTGACGAAAGGTAATCCCTTCCTGTATATTCCTTTTGTTGCACTCGTCTCAAATATCTACATATCCTTGCAACATGGATTCGAATTAATGACCATATCTTGCCTTCAGCCAATCGGATTATCTCGAGTGTCGTCACAATAAAGGAGTGTTCTTTCGCCGGTTTCGCAGTGTTTGCACATATGCATCCTCATTCCATCTCTCTGACAAACTCCTACCGGTAAGTCTATTTCCCTTTGTGTAAAGAGTTCACTAGCCATGTTTTAAGTCTCTTTAAGTTTATATGTCAACTTGATAAGGTTTTCGCAACCAAAACTTCGAATAAAGTCGTTGATATATTGTGCTATGACAACTTGTGTGTGATTTTGTATGCCGAAGCTTTTAGCCTTCCTTAACTTCTATGTGCAGCCAGGATTCAATAGATGTCTAATGGAACCATTGTTTATAATTATAGCATCATTACTTGTTAATCAAATCGTTGATTAATATTATTTTGTTTCTGAAATATGTTGTTAGACATGTAACTAATTATTCAACATGATATATCGTTTGCTTTTATTACATATGCTGTCAACATGATCGTTTGAATATGTTCTGAATGTTAATTGTGAATATACTCAACCTACATTGCTCCAACTCCTGGCCTTAATAGCACCACACCATTACCTTCTCCATCTAATTATCTTCAAGGCCGATGATTTTAAATGGAAATAAATATTATTAAAATTCTAAAATAAATTTAATTTAATAAAACAATTAAATATATAATTTCAAGAATTTATTTCCCCAATCATATTAAAAATAAAATAAAAACTTTGATATAATGCTTTAAGAATTTTGGGCCTATTATATGAATGATTTTGTATTACATAAAAAAAACTGACACGTAGCAAAATTAAATAGATAGTATGGATGCTTGTTATTCCAATCTAATCTAACATGTTAGAATGCATTTTGAATTTCAAAGATCATATGCACAGTTGACAAATATTTTATAAAAAATAACGAAAAATTTAAGTGCATTTTCAATAAAAGAGTGACATAGCTAAAATAAAATAAAATGTAAACAAAAAATAAGTTAAATTCACATCAAAGATCATCAGTGACCCTGAGAGTCTATTTTGGTTTGAGGAATTTGGAGGAGAAGGATGAGTAAGAATAAAAAAAATTACAATTGTCATGGTTTGGTTCAATTTTTTATTTTTATAAAGAAGAGTGTTTCTTCAAAATTGTGGGAATTTGGAAGAGAGGAAAAAATATTTATATTTTTAATTTATAAAATTACTATTATATCCTTAATATTATATATTATTCGTGTGTGTTTAATTATATATAAATGATATTGTGTATTTTATAATTAATAATTAGTTATAATATTTTACATTTTATAATATAATTAAATTATAAAACAAAATTTTATATAAATTAATTAAATCCTTAATAGTCACGTTTTAATAAATAAAATAATTTCATATCTATTATATTTATTTAACATTATAAACAATCTTTATCTTGTAATTTATTTTAAATAAATAAAATTTATGTTATAATAATTATTTTATTATTAAATAATTCAATATTTATTTATATTTTGACATAGAAATCTATTCGAAAATTCGTATCGGATAAACTCCGATTATATGTTCAATCCACACCTATCTCTTACTTTTATTTTTTTTTATTTATACAATATAAGGATAATTCCCATACTTCCCCACCCGCTGCCTTCCTCTCTTCCAATAAAATCCCTCCACTCCCAACTTTGTTTGAACCAAACAGACCCGACAAAATTATAATAAGTCAGTAATTTTCGGCCAAGGCCACGTCGACTATAAATACAGTGATGCAGACACATTTCGAAGGGAAAACTTGGCCGTAGCTTCCGGTGCACGGAAATTCATATTCAGGCGTTTCTGTTACAGGTTCTTTTTCGTTTCTACTCTTTGTTTTTCGAGGTTCCTACTGTGGAAATTGAACCTTGCGCCTGAAAGTGCACATGGAATCGATGATAGGCTTATTGTAAGACTGACATTTAACAAAGGTAGGTTGGAAATATGCCGAACATAAGAGTCTGTGCGCTATTCAGACCTCTAAATTCGAAGGAAAAGGCTGAACATGGTGACATTGTCAGCTATCGCATGCTTGATTCCGAAACTTTTGTGTTTAAGGTACATTTAGTATTTGTTGCCTACGCATTGGATTTTTATTTATGTTCATATTTATATGAAGTTATGCTCATAGGTAAGGTGTTGTATGAGAGTGTTAACTAGGCATCAGGTGCTTTGTATTCTTATGTATGTTGCAACGCATATAAGCATTTCTACATATTTATAAGTGTGTGATTTGACTGTTTGAGATGTAAATACACAGTGATGGTTATCATACTTGAGCTGTAAATTTAAGAATTGACTATGAAAGAAGAAGATAGCTCCAGCGTACAATAAAGAAATAATGAAAATGCAATGTACAAAGTTATGAATACAGCATGAATGACCTGATATTTTTAACTCGTTATGGTGTAGACTGGAGAGAACAATTAAAAATTTAAGGGAAAAATGCTAGTACGTGAACTTCCACTAGTTGCCTGTTGCCTGTGGTTTTCTTAATACTTAGGTTATATCCATTTTTAGTGAATTCTATTCTGCATGGTGCATACAGTAATGATCAGTATGTAATACACATTGCTTGTTGCTTGTAAAAAAATATACGTTCATCATCATACATATGTAAGATTATTCTGAAATTTTTTTCACTAGAATAAATATCCATAAGGATTGATATAATATTTCTACATTTCAAGATGAAAGTGTAAAAACATAAAGGTTAATTATGAAGCTAATATGTTTGGAATGATCCGTGGTAGGATGAGAAGGAAGAGGAAATTCAATTTTGCTTTGACAGGGTGTTCTGCCAGGGATCAGAGCAAGGTGACATATATGAATTCCTTGGTTTGCCTATTGTCAAGGGTATTGGTAACTTTGTTTCAAAGATTTTCTTACTTTTGCTTTGCACTGTCTTTGTGGAGTATTGTTGTTCAATTCCCTCAATTGTGCTTTAACTTGGTATAGATTATGTGGAACAGGTGTTGCAAATGGAGTGAATGGGGCAATTATTACATATGGACAGGTATACCTTCCTAATGTATGGAAAATAGTTTTACATCCCTAAAAAATGGACAAAATGCTTACACTCACTTTTAAATAATATATTACTTTTCATTCATTCTCATGTAAATCCTTTTTTTGTTTTGTTTTGGAAGATATATGGATAGAGGTTTAATGATTCAGCACTAATCTGTCAATCCTTCTAGTTATAATTGGTGCTTCAACACCTTAGCCTCTCAAGACTTTGTTTGGCCAACTTATTGAGCTCTATCCTCTTTAGAAAAAGAAAAAAAAAAAAAAAATAGAACTTCTTATTGATTCTAGCAGTTGTCATTGGAAAATCCAACCAGTCATGTTGGTTTGTGAAACCTCCTTTTATACTGAAAATTATGGATGCATAATAAGTTACAGTACTTATTCTAGAAATCGTGCCTGCAATCTCTTTGTTTTGCTTTAAACTGTCAATCCCCATTAAAAATCAACCAGAGTCAAGTGTTCATTGAAAATTTATTACTGGTCAGTGTGTTCTTCCCTGTCAGTTACTATGTCAGTGCAATTGCTGTCACTAATCCATTCTATGCATTAGACTATTCAATATCTTGATGATAAGTTACCCATACATATACCTTGTGTGTGCACATATCTTTCACCAGACAGGAGCTGGGAAGACTTACAGTATGGAGGTAATATGTTTCAATGAATTCTGATCTCATTAATCAATACCATCACATAAACTACTAGCCCGATTTTTCATTTTTGCAATGTTGATTTTTGTTTTAGGGACCAAGCATTAGAGAGTGCAACGAGAAACAGAAAGGTCTACTACCAAGAGTTGTGGATGGGCTTTTCAAGGTTATTAAGCAGTCAGATGAGATATTGAAGTACACTATCAAACTATCAATGGTATAAAATCCTGATTAAGGACATCTCCTAGCAGGGGTCCCCCCAGTTAAAATGACATTTTCTTTTTGCATGATATGGACAGGTTGAAGTATATATGGAGAGAGTAAGGTTTGTATCTCGTGGATAACCAACACAAATTGCTTTCTGGGCTGTATTGACGTTGACTATATCATGAAACAATATCACTTTGAGTTAAAGGATACTAGACATTGCACAGGGATCTTTTTGATCTTTCAAAGGACAATTTACAGATCAAAGAGAGCAAAGTTCAAGGAATCTTTGTTGGTGGAGTTACAGAGGTATTAATTTCTCCTTCCACCCCAGATTTAGAGATTTTCATTAACTTATCCTTATTTCTCTTTGCAACATTTCTTCTCAACAGCATTATTTGTTAAACCTTTACTTTCAAATTTCAGGTTTCCATTTCAGATACTACGGAGGCATTGCAAAGTCTTTCTGTAAGTCCCGATTTCCTTCTACTCTCTACTATTCTTATCGATTTTGTTCCTTCTGCCAATCAGTTACCGTTATGCAGAGGGGAATAGCAAACAGGGCAGTAGGAGAAACCCGTATCTTCATCTATTTACCTCCATAAAAATCCTCTTACCTTTCCAAGGATTGTTTGTATTTCTATCCTCTTCATAGAATATATTTCCTCCTATTTACTTAAAGTCGATTGTTAAAATTAACACATATAGAAATGAATATGGCCAGCAGTAGAAGCCATTGCATATATATATTCTTGGTGCAGCAGGAGTTAAGGAAGGAGAGAAGGTAACATATTAACATGATCAACTGTTTTTAGCTAATAAAAGGGCTACAAGTTTCATTTCTGCTTGAAACTACACCAGGTCTGGAAAGCTGTTCCTTGTAGACTTAGCAGGATCCGAGAAAGCCGAGAAAACCGGAGCAGAAGGAAAAGTTCTTGAAGAAGCCAAAACCATCAACAAATCATTGTCAGCACTGGGGAATGTGATCAATGCATTAACCTGCGAAACAACAGGAAGGGCGAACCATATACCCTACCGAGATTCTAAACTTACCCGGATCCTTCAAGATGCTCTTGTTTGTTCCTCTTCTTAATCACATATTACACTAATCTCCCTTAGCTAATAATTTTGATCATATTAACTAGCAATTAACAGGGAGGAAAATCCCAGACTGCATTGCTTTGCTGCTGCTCGCCTAGCCCCGAAAATGCATCCGAAAGCCTTTCCACTCTCCGTTTTAGCGCAAGGTATTATTTTCAATCATATTTTATAATATCTATCGTCGTTTGATGCTTCTTTTTTCCCGAACAGAGCAAAGCATATTAAGGCATTGCCACACGCCAGCGCGAAGGAAGATGAAGACACCAAAGGTCTGCAAAATGTGTCCGAGACCAAAACTGATGCTTGCGAGAGAATATTGCAAAAGGTTGAAATGTTCTTAAACCAAACATCGACTTAACATTCGATATATTACTTACTTTTGTAGCTCACCATTTTTGCCTCATGGTCAAATTTAGTTGAGTCAGCAATTGAAGCCTGAAGATGTCCAGCTGCTTGAGCAGCTGTTCATTCTAGAAGGAATTTTCTTCGACCCTTATTCAGTTGAAGAAATTGAATCGGCCTACAACGATGTGACATTGAGGACTATTTCGTCCCTCCAGAAAACTGTGGAAGAGCTCGTTGCAACAGTCGACGGTGTAAGTCCCATGAATTTTGTCTGTATACTGCATTCACTGTGTGTTTTTTGAATTGCTGTATAGACAAAGGGCCTAGTTGATTTTCTAACCACCTTTCATTTTGCTTTCGTAGCTGAAGAAGGAGAATCAAATTCTTAAAAACCTGATGAGAAGGTGTTGACACATTGTTCCAGTCCCATATTGAGTATTTGAACGGAGTCTATCCCCATATAAGGTAATTCTATAAATGATTTTACTACAGCTCAGTTTCTTATGTTAAAATTTTTTAATCAACGTGAAATTTAGAGCCAGATATCAGCTGAATCTCCCCTCGTGCATACAAATAAATCATATACATATGCATGCATTAAATTTAATTCAGTCACCATCTAGTTCGTTGCATTTTAAAATTATTTGAAACAACATCAATACAAAACAAATTTGCATTTCAGGGTGGAGGGCTGAAAAATAGGACTTTGTTCCCATATATACTTTTTAAATGTAAAAATTTTGACACTAACATATTTCACCAAATAAATATTTTTGGTTAATTTTTTTTTTTTCTACTTAAAATATAATATTCAATATTTATTTATAATATCATTAAAAACTCAATTTATTTATTTTTTTCAGATTTCCAAAATTTTAATTTAAATAAAATCATATTTAACAAAAAAAAAAATTATAGAATTGTTTTAAAAAACTCCAGGCAACCGATTATGATATTAATCACAGGTTTGTTTAACTTTGAAATTTAATTTGTAAAAGTATCTCAAATGAAAATTTTATTTTTATTTAAAAAATATAACCCTGTTTCACACATGACAATTGCTTTGTAGCACATTTCCATGATCTTTCGAGGACAATTTCAACCATGTTATTTTCTACATGTTCGAGTAAATTAGATTAAAATTACAATCAACAACATCCGGATTATCCAAAAATATAGTCGTTTGAAACCAATCCCGTTTCATCGTGCCATCACATTGTTACCAGATCAGATCAGATCATCTATTCCTATTTGTCTTCCTGTTTTCTCACATGAGTCACGTCACACTCACGCTTGACCCCAACCAAAATAACATGCCACATCTTGCAAATTTTATATTTATACTGTATATGAAATCTTGCGCTTTCCATACACCGTCACCTTCCCACTCAGTATCCCATGTAAGATCGACCATTTACCCTCCCTCCCTGTTAGGACTTGATAACACCTCCCGTCGCTCAATTTTAGATTCCACCTGCAGATAGAAGAAAAATGGAAGAATTGGATTGTGTCCACATTATTATTTTATAATTTTTCGTAACTCACAACAAAAACACATAGAGCTATAAACACTTCATAAACACACTCTTAAATCTCATGGTCTTATTATACAAATTTCTGGCTAGAAAAAAAGGTTGAAATTACTGTGTGAAGCTTCCAAAATAACCATTAGATAGGTGATATTTTCTTCGTTTTGGTCCTGTACATAACTTACATCATGTGTGATATATATGATTAGATCGATTAGGCATATAGTGAAAGACTTACCACCATGACTTCGAAAGAAGCCAGTTAGAACTGAACTGAACTTCAAGAAGCTGATTTCGGCTGCACTACTAAGTCATCAGGCGAATAATAATCAGCGATTAGCCGGTAGATGTATGAAGGGTTGTGGCCGCCTCTGTTATAAACACATGACCATCATCAATAAGTTGTACAGTTAAATTTTCACATAAAACCATAATCCTTATCCGAGCGACTGATTTCACATCATAGTCGTGAATATAACCTCTAAATCTTTATAAATAAATAAACTTCTAAACCAGATTCAAACTCAACCAAGGCATGGTTGAGTTAAAGGTCAAAATCCAACATCCATATATTACTTAAAAAAACGTTTGATAACTTGAACTTACGTGTCCGTAATAAATAGGCTGACAAGATCTGGAGGCACATAGTCGAATGCAGGATTGACAACATGAAGAAGAGGCGAAGCATTGCCACTGCCAAAATCCAAACAATCCGAGAATTCCCCAAAGTCCAGCAGCTCAGACGGCGACTTCAATTCATTTAGTAAGACCTCAGGGTTGTGAGGGTATAGAGGACACAACTGTACCATCAGACAAACAAAATAAAGATCAACTAGATCGCAAATACACAGTTATACGTACTCAGGTGAGCCACACGTACCTTATGAACGCCAGCAAGTACAACAAAAGGGACGGCATGCCTTTTTGCAGCTAGGGCTACCATATTCATACCCACAGGTGCTATAACTCCGCCATTAGCCATGACAGCATGCGCCCCAACTATAACCTTTACAGAAACGATCCTACCAATAAGGTGTGAAGAATAAAGAAATTACAAGTTCGGCACTGAATATCACATACCATGTTCACCCTTGATATCATGGCGAAAACAGCAGAATCAGTGATAACTGTCGTTTGTAGCCCCTTTGCAGCCAGTTCTTTTGCAAGAGCATGTCCCTGATATCTGACGGAAACGAAAAACACATGGGAAGTTAAAGCGGAAAACCTTGTTTAATAGTATATATACCATGAATTCATATGGTACATTCACAAGTTCAACCTTGGAGCACCCTCAGCAACAAACACTCGGAAGGATCTGTTTTTCTCCTTTGCAGCGCATAAAAACTCCAACACGGTATTTGAACTGCCCAGCGTCAATATCACCTCGCTGAAACATGGCGGAAGCTATGGCATTAATTTGTATTAATATAGTATACATACAGGTACATATGCATATTAGTGACGGGTATGTTGGTATGTCAAAAAATTTAGTACGGAAGTTTAATCGTGCCAGCTTATTGCATAATTATATAGCACCCTGTTTGTGTGTAGGCAATAATTTTTTTTTCTATTAAAGCCTATAACACAAACTAGTAGCAGAAATCCAAACTTCGGACTTTTAATTTGGGTAAATCCGATGCCATGCCAATAATCAAATTATCTAAAAGAAAAAAATATATACATATTTAAGGAGGCTAGCACTACCAACACAAGATCAAGAAAGCAGCACCAAGAAGAAAGAAACAGAAAACAGATGTCTGGAGTGATCTTTGAAACTAAATACCAAAAGGAAACAAATTTTGCGCCCTTTCTCATACAAAAAGTATGTTATCAACAAATCGTAAGTTGCTCATACAACAAACTAATATACAATAGTAATACGATATGTGCTAAGGATTCTGACTTGAAACTACATATACTCCTAGTTATGTTGTCTGTGTTGATTTTTACAGTTGTTGAATTTGAAATTATTCTTACATAAACTAATATATATTTTTTAAAAAAGAAAATGCTAAGAATATGGAACTAGCTAATACATTGCTTGTACAAGCAAGCATAGCATGAACCAAAATCCATATCTTGCAGGGAAGGGTAGCTAAATTACTCCCAAAAACTTCTACATTATGAAATTAGCCTACTGCCGATAAACCTTGCAATTGAAGAATAGACAGGATGGCTTTACCCCAAACCTCAACTCTCATAAGAACTAAAGCCAAAACTGTGAGTGGTACAACATCAAGTTCCTAGTCACTATGTAATCATTTCCAAAGTACAGGCAGACGTACCAACTTAGTTACAGATTGTATCACTGTGCAGATTGATTTTCTAAAGGCAACTGCTGATTTTTGTTGGAGCACACCAAAAATATCACCACAGAACCCATTTTTATGTTAGTTAAAGAAAACTGCTAACCTAATATTATACAGACAAATTGAAGCACCAAGAGAATTCGCAACACCTACTGCAGCTAGATGTAGAAGCATGCAAAATTGATTGAGTTCAAGATAAAGAAAATAATAATGATTATATAAGGATGTCAAACCGTTACTTTTGGTGTATGTGTTCCACTGCTTGTTCGGCAATTTGTTCAGGGCAATTAGAAATTTCTAGGATCAGCTCATTAACTGCCTCTATGACATTGTGTTTCAGTCTCCGGGTCACTAGATTTTTATCAGCAGCTGAAAGAAAAGGATAAAGATCACTTATAAGAAACTGTTTACTCATGACAAACATTCATATGTACTATTGTTTCTTGAATCCAAGTTTCAGGTATAACTGGAAATGCTGCCTTAACTATTTGTTAGCAATGCACATCTGTCGATGGAATAAAAGACAGATGTACAAGGTAGCAAACACTATAATTGTACGAAAATCCATGAGAATCAAATATAGTCTAACTGACATTAGTTTATCGACAACTTACACTTGCTTCTTCCTTCAGAATCACCCCCAGAAGAAGAAGTCCGAGGTGCAGACGCTGAGTGAGGAATATCCTCAAGGAGCGTTTGCAAAGAAGGCGGCCTCAAAGCACTTCTTGCAGCAGCAGCTACTGCAGTAGCAGAAAGAACTGGATGATCATCATGCAAAACATGTTCGTCATCACTTTCAGCGCCCAAAGATAATTCCCCTATAGCAGCAGTAGCAAGAGAATGATCCTCTTCACGTATAATATGTAGAACACGCCGCACGACATTACCAACAGCCAATTCTGAAACAAAAGTCATGCAAGTATGCAACACCATCAGGATATTTAAAGTTGAAATGAAAAGCAGCAAATTAATAGGCTTTCATGAAGTCTGAGGGATAAATCATAATACAGATTCCATGTTCAGCTTCCAATCAACCACAAGAATCCGTTTGTATTATTGCCTTTGAAAACATGCTTTCGCACCAAACTTTCTTGGTCACAGAAACTAATCAATTGATTCTCAAAGTAATAACCTTAAGGATTTAAACATTCCCTGATTTTGGATGTAAACTCATAATGATCAGAAACGGTTCATAGAGCCACTAAATAGATTCTTTGTTTTTCAACCAAATTCGTTGACCGACGAAACAAACATACAGAAAATACATTTAACATTTTCATCACTTTCTTTGTTTTTGGAAAGCTAATTCATCACTGCAAAGGTATGACTATACAAGTGACGAATTAGCTTAAACAAAAGCATAGAGATCGATGATAGAAGTTCTAAAACGCAAGTAATAAAATGTAATATGCGCAAATAGTTAGCAAAAAGTTAATTTCAAACCGATTAATAAAAAGGAGTTCACAGTTAACCTACCGACAGGATTGGCAGCGATGAGCTTTTCTCCGACAGCTTTAACAGCATCAATTAGGGCACCAGCCTGGTTACTGTGCGGCAACCTCTGCTGAGATATGAATGAACGAAGCAACTCCACCGTTAGCTTCGCTGTGGCTTTAGAACCCTCGATTTTACTGCAATCAACAACACAAACAATCCAAACACCAAAAAATCAACCAGGTGAAATCTAGGTATTACGATAAACTAATCAAATTCGGTTCCACCGGCAAATTTACCGCTTCTTGAGCTTAATTACGAATTCATTGACGAGCGAGTGCACGTCCGGCATGATTTTCTTCAAACCAAAATCACAGCACCCTATTTTCAGGAAACCTACAGTACTGAGAGTGAGAAAAATCGTAAAATTGGAGCACGAGGCAGAGAAGTGGAAAACCAAAAGCTTTACGAAGGGATTTGATGGCTGGACGAGTGAACACAGCAGAAATTCCGTCCCAAAGGGTTTTTATTTCTTCAAGGTTAGCAGTTCGGGTCTCAAGTGTGGGTCGGGTCGGGTAGATTTACAAGTGGGAGAATCCACATTCATATAGTCTAATATGGGCCTGCGTAATGGTAGGGCTCATCTTTTATTTAAGGATCCATTTTTTGGGCCAATTGATCCGACCCAATATTATAGGCAACCCGATTAGATATGGATTAAATTATAGGCCTGATTATGTTACTTTGCAGGCGTATATCCTTTTAGGCCCAATTTAACAAAGGACATTTTTAACACTAATAAAGGGCCCGTAGGCCCGAGCAACAAATATATATATATATAATATAATTAACCTTAACACATTTAAAAAATAGAAGAAATTAATTGGGAAGTGTAAAATTAGTCTTATTATGATTTTCTGTGAAAAACTGGTTCCATTTCAAAATATATTTCGGCAAATTTAATATTACAAGAAATTAAATAAAAAAAAAAAAAATTGTATACTGCCACTGTGACAACACAAAATCGTCGGTAAATATAATATATATATGATACGATGTTACGTATTTTATTGACGTGATTGTTATAGGAACTTGCTCAATACATGCATTAACTAACATGTTTGTAAATATACGGCCCCATATAAAATAATAATATAATATATTTGTATTTTCTTATTGTAGTTTTGAGATACACTGACTTTTATACGAGAGAAAACATGTTTGATGCAACATAGACTATCGTATCTACATTAGCAAGTTTCATCAAAATTTATTTATTTATTTTTATTTTTAAATAAAATAAATATAAAAAAATTATGATTAAAATAAAATTGATCTACAATAATTTTATTTTATGCTACTACAATCATATTTTTTAAGTGAACTAGAAGTAATATATTATATTTGTGGTAGTTATGTTATTTAAGATATTCGAAGGATTCTTGTCGTATTTAAACGATTTGCATTCTTATGATTGAAATAGAGAATTTCAATTTCATATTCTAATATGGTATCAAAGTTAAATTCTCTATGTGTACCTCCATAACTCGTTATATCTCGTATATATTTTTTTATTTTATTGATACACATGTTTTTATCCACGATGATGTTGTTATTTTCATGTCGTATTTGTCTCTACTATTCCACTGACAAAGTCTATTTTCGACTCTAACGCCGTTGAGAGTCCTGGTTTTTACTCTAACTCTATTGAGAGCAAGTGAGTCATGTTTCCGACTCTAGCTCTGTTGTGAGCGAGCGGGTCTGTTTCTGACTCTAGCTCTATAGAGTAAGTGAGTCATGTTTTCAACTATAGTTCCATTGTGAGCGAGCGCGTCCTGTTTCCAACTCTATCCAGTAGACGACTATACAATTTTTAGTCAATCTTGGCGAATTCAAATCCGTACGTGGAAGACATCGACTATATCTTTTTTCGGTCACTTTTAACAAACTCAAGTTTGTTTAATCGTATCTTTAGTTTAAGGAGAGGTGTTAAAATATACTTAAAGCAATATATTATATTTATAGTAGTTATTTTATTTAAGATATTCATAGAATTTTTGTTTTATTTAAACGATTTGCATATCACTGTTAATATATACATGATGTTCTTAGTATAATTTCAATTTTATATTCTAACATGAATAATTGAAGATGATCTAATATGATTATTACCTCCATTTAGATAGATATTTCTCGGAGTTTAGAAGAAAAAATAAAATTGAAAGTATTAAATAGTATTGATGTAATATTTTGTAAATAATATATATATTAAACAAAATATTTTTAAAAAATAATTACTATTATATATAGTATAAAAAAATTTAAATAATATTTGTGTATATTATCTAATTTGTTTAGTATTTTAGTTTGAATTATTTTTTTATATAATTTATAAAAAATTGTGTTAGTAATATAAAAATACAATTTTAATTAATATATTAATTTTTGTGAAAGAATATGATATAATTTGATATATATATATTATAGGAATATATGTATATATGGTGTTTTTTTTTTATTAATATTCATAAATAAAATTGTCGAGTAAACAAATCCATCATAAAATTTTATGTGCTAGGCTAATAATACATATAAATTCAAATCAAAATTATACATATTTAATCAATACAGTTTCAAATTTAAACTTAAAATACAAATTCAAACGAAAACAATATTTGCTGTGCATTGTCGTGATTTGTAATTGATATAAAATATAACATTACTTTAAAATTTTATTTAAATAATATTTTTGATATAATATTTTATTAAAAGACAAAATAATACACTTTTATTAATAATGTTAATTTTAGTTTAGAACAAACCGAAAACAAACCTATTTTACAAATTAATTCAAAATTGCATATGTTTGGAGGTTTGAATTTTGAGTTATGATTTAAATAGTAAAAAAATTGAATTAGAATAGTCATATAATGTGATATAAATAGATGTTGATGTGATATTTTAAATGTAAAATTGAATTTTATAATATTATATAAAATAAAAAATAAATATTTAATTTAATATTTTTGAAGAAATTTTTTTAAATAAATAGTGGAACTTTTACGAAATCCCTGAACAAGCACACCCTTAAATCCGATCCCCATGGCAGTAGTTATTTATTTAACACCAAAGTCAAAATTTCAATTTTAATTTCAAATTCAATTTCAAAATTCAGGCACGCACGTCCTACTCGCAAAACGACGTCGTTTGGATTCACACGACAGAGGCTTCTCGAACAACGAGATAAAAAAAAAAAAAGGAAAAAGAATAAACAAATGATGTGCTCTCCCAGAGGATCCCTTCCGTTCCCTTCCTTCCATCTGCCAGTACCGCCATTAATGCCGTCCACTGCATTTCCAGCCCAACCTTCCTCGGCCGTATTCATTTCCTGAGCGCTTCCTTCTCTACTGGCGGGGCGCCCACAGGTATGCAGTTGCTTTTCTTCCTTGGGCACGCAATTATTGCATAAACTCTGGAACTTTTTTACCTTCCGCTCGGGAGATTTTTTACCTTCGGACCCACCGGACGCCTTTAATTTGAATCCAACTTGTGATTCTTTACCTTCCGCGTTTCGCTCTGTTTCCGTTTTCGAAAATTATATTTTTTATGGTTTTTTGTCGATTTCCAATTTGTCGCTTCACCGCCCTTTTGTATATCGAATCCAGGACAAAACTGGGAGACCGACTTCTCCTGATCTTGTTCTCTCTCTCTCTCTCTTGATATCCACTCTGCATCTTAATATCTTAGTTAATTGATTGACCTCGGCGGGCGGTGGGTGGGTGGACAGACCCTAACGACAAAGATCATTCTTAAGGGTTTCCGCCATTCGTTTGTTCTTCCGGATTTTGTGAATTGTAGACGGTTTTTTAATCGATTGCAGGTAACATCTGGATGTGTGTTGATTCCTTTGAAGATTTTCTCATGCTGCTTGTTTGAATCTCTCTCGGTTAAATTTCTTCGTTGTTCCCCTTCATCTCGTTCTTTTTCTTTCTTTTTTGTTTTCAATTTCTTTATTTGGCCTGTAAAGAGGGATAGCATGGGTTCGTTTGATTTCGTGGTTTCCTTGTGATGGAATGGTGTAGATCGGTGATTAATGTTTTCGTAATTTCTTAATTCATGTTTCCCGTTCAAATGCAGCCTTGATCTGTACGATTGTACTGGTAAATGTTCTTTCATCTCAATGTAGATTTATGGTTTTGTCTTTGGAATGAAAGATTTGTTATATTTTCATGTAATTGGAGCTGAGATACGATAGACTGATCATATTGTCCTGAACTTTGAATGAAATCTTGACGAATGTTCCCATTTTTTTTTTCTTGATATTACATTCGGGGCTGTAGCATATATGTTATTTGTTTCAATGGAAGAGTAGAGTATTCTGCTTGGATCTATATGCAGGGGCTAATACATACTAAATTGTTTGTTCCATTTTGCACATTGGCATTTTTTGATTAAATTTTTGAATTACTACTGTTATTGTCTTGTTGTTGGGTATGCATTTAATGTCACTGTTCCGAAGCTGGGGAAGGAATGGCAGCCCTTGTTTCAAATCTGTATGGCATGTATTCTGCTATATTTCGTAGGATCGGTATCTCTATGCTGTGCAGTTCTGTTTGTTTCAATTTTGAAGTGGCGCTATGTTATGCTGTTGACACATTAATTACGCTGCTGCTTACACGTTCGATTATCACAGCCCATACGATACTGAGCACCTAACCTTTTATAGTGGGTAGTTTGGGGTTTCAACAAGTGTAAGGTTTTATTTGTTTTTTTTTTGCTTCTCTGTGTTTGGTGGTTAGTGGTTGAATGAAGTGGATCACTTAAATATTTTTGTTAAAAGAATTGATTAGGACACTAATGGGATTGTGTGTTTTTAAATTTAACCGGATGCTTTTATTTATCGAGTATCTTGCTGGGGTGAGCATGAGTTGGATACGATCTAACCTAGATACGTCATGAAGTATGTTGCCAACCAAGTATGAGGATGTATCACATTAAAGTTTAGAATGAGTATGTGCTGTTCTTATGAGAATGATGAATTTCTATAAAAATTTTCTAAGTGCCCTCATTTTAATCGAACGTTATTTATTCTGTATGTTTTCTTGAAAGATTACATATAATTTGGCTTGAACAGGTTCTGGTTGTGCATCTGGTGAATGGCAAACGGGAATTCCTACTTTGACGAATTGCGAAATAAGCCTGAGATGATCGATCCTCCTCAAAATGAAGATACACTTGATGTTAGTGAACATGTCAGTGACCCTGCTCAAAGTGTTGTAAAGCCTAACACAACTGTCACGAGTAGTGTTCGCGACCTACTGGAATGTCCCGTATGCTTGAATGCAATGTACCCTCCCATTCACCAGGTATGAATGATGCTCGTATGTAGATAATAAGGATAAGCTACTTTCAACTGTTGTCATCTCTGATACTTCAAGTTAGAGTTATTTGATCTCTATATATGTATTCTTACTTTCACAATACATATTATTCTAGGAAGAACATCAAATTTTCAGATTCTCTTTTCAATAAAAAAAAAAAAAAAGAAAAAGATGAATTGTAATGATAATAATTTTTTCTTAAGAAAACGGGGTGAACATTTAGGTTGAAGGCAAGAATGGCTTGGGAAATTTCTTGGTTTATTTTTATCAGATTCTCTTACATTCAAGGATGTGAATGAATTGCTCAACAATCTGATACAGTCATCTTTGGCATTAATTTTGTTATATATCATCGATATACACATTGTCAAAAGTTCGTTCTTAGAATAATTTCTACTCAAATGCTCAAACAGACGACTTACTTCTTTTTCTTCACTCGCCCTCGATTTGATCATTAGCTTGTAATATATGTACTTACAATCTCCACAGCATTCTGGTGCTGATTTATTATTCTCTGTTTGTTTTCTAGTCAGTCATTATGTTTCCGACTATAAGCATTTATATTATGAGCTGGAGCGAAGGAAGCTGTCATCCCTAATACATAATTAAATTCAAATTCATATGTTTACTATCCGAAGTAGTATCTTCATGCCGTTTATTGCAATACGATTTGAATCTATTCAGTTATTATCGATTTTCCAAGCTTTGTTAACCCCATTTGTGCTCATTCGGCTACTGCAGTGTTCCAACGGTCATACATTGTGTTCGGGTTGCAAGCCTCGGGTGCACAACCGCTGTCCAACTTGCCGGCACGAACTCGGAAACATCAGATGCCTTGCATTAGAAAAGATCGCAGCATCCCTCGAGCTTCCATGTAAATACCAGAGCTTCGGGTGCTCCGGAATCTTCCCGTACTACAGCAAGCTCAAACATGAATCGCAATGCTCCTTCAGACCCTACACCTGCCCCTACGCCGGATCCGAGTGCTCGGTCACCGGCGACATCGCTTTTCTCGTCAACCACCTGAAAGAAGACCACAAAGTCGACATGCACAACGGGAGCACTTTCAACCACCGCTACGTCAAATCCAATCCCCACGAGGTCGAGAACGCTACTTGGATGCTCACGGTAACAAAACCATCCATACCTATCGAAATTCTTCTCTATCAAATTCGACACTTACATATACATATACATATACATATATATATATCCCGGGTCCATTGAACAGGTTTTCAGTTGTTTCGGGCAGTATTTCTGTCTCCACTTCGAAGCGTTCCAACTAGGGATGGCGCCCGTCTACATAGCATTTCTTCGGTTCATGGGAGACGACAACGAAGCGAAGAACTACAGCTACAGCCTGGAGGTCGGAGGGAGCGGTCGAAAGATGATCTGGCAAGGCGTGCCGAGAAGTATAAGAGACAGCCATAGAAAGGTAAGGGACAGCTTCGATGGCCTCATCATCCAACGCAACATGGCCCTCTTCTTCTCCGGTGGCGACAGGAAGGAGCTGAAGCTTCGGGTCACTGGAAGGATCTGGAAGGAGCAGTAGCCTCCCGCCCCGCCGCCCATCGGGACCGTCGTCGACTTTTTGGATGTAGTAATAAGCATAAATATATATATATATATATATATACAAAAATGGTGCAGTGAGGTTAGGAATGAACGGTGCTATGAAAGCTTAGGAAGCAAAACACTCTTTTGCTGCTCTACGCTGTTATGCTTCGGATTCAGATTCGGATTTGGATCAGCAGTCAAGTGTTTTGTTGGTAACTGACTTGAAATGAAAATTTCCTCTTTCATTTCTTTACTCGTTTTTACCATTCAAGTGAAAGATAAAAATTAAAATACTTCCAACACTTATAAATTCTGTATGTATTACTTACTACCTCTGAAAATTTACCATAAACCTAAATAGATGTTTTGAAGATAAATTTGATAACATAAAAAATAAGAATAGGTATTTAATCATGTTTTTAGTGGAAAAAAAAATGTATATACAGTAAATTTTTGCAAAATCCAATAAACAGACACACCCATATTTTTTCCTCTGCAGAATTCCACATATATTAAGTATCTGTAAGTGGTTTCGAACTTTATAAATGATCGTGTTAAATAAAAATTATTACTTATGTGCTTTGCCTCATTATTTTCGGTCCAAATGATCGGCAAAAGTAAGAAGATCATACGAATATCATGACTTAAGAGTTTGCACATGAAAGGGCCAACATTTTGCAAGCTTCATTTGCATAGCCGTGTTCTTTTGGAGCTTAGGGTCCGTTTTTTATTTTGTTTATTTAAATAATTATGATATGAAATAATATATTTTTATAAATAGTAGTAGAGATATTTTGCATAATAAAATAGTATTAATTTTTTATTTTTTATTTTTTAAGCCTTAATCTAGGATATGCTACACGTCTTCCATTTGGGTAGAAATTGCATTTAGTAGTAAGCAAATACCGTGTTCGAACATTTATTTTTGTACTTATTCTTCCTTTTCTTCTACCCATTGATTGTGACTATAATTGGTACGGATAATGGGTCCATTTTCCATTTTTCTTATTTTTTAAATATATTCTTATTTTCTTATCTAAGTATTATTTTTAAAATTTTTTATTATAGAAGATAAAAAGTAATAGAAAATATCAATAAAGTTATAAAATCCTCCATATATTGCCAGCCGAAAAAACCTTGAGAATATTTTTGTGAAACGCATTTATTAAAAATTTAAGTTATAGTTATAATTGTGAAACGACATTTGAGTTACTATAAATTTAAAAATAATTAACTAGAAAAGAATCATGGCATCTTCAGCGAACATTTTTTTTTTTAATTAAAAAAAAAAGCATACGTGAAATGGTTCGTGGTCATCCATGAAATACAGGCATTACGTGTATCCACGCGCTTGAGATGGCGCGTTTGGGAGAAAAGGAGTCTCAACGAATTCTTCTCCTCTCGTCTGTCCAGCGTGAGAAGATGGGCGACCAACCAGACGATGCATTTCCTCCGAAGCGACGATGCTGGTGTTGTCGTTATCCTTGATCCTCTCCATTTCTGTGTTATTAATGGATTATCCACCACGATTGACCTTTTGGTTTGGTGATTTGGCCATCCGAAAAAGGATGACCACGCTGTGCGATAATAATGCCATACATGCACAATTTTCTTTTTCAGATCAATTGCCAAACCCCAAACCGAAGCCGAAGCTGCTGCTGCCTGTTTGAATTCGTTTGTTTAGGATTTTGATTTTTGTTTTTTTTTTTTTCCGTATATTTATTGTATAATTGTTTGGCTGAATCATCAGCGTTGATAATTGCTTGCAAGTGGGGCATTTATTGGTTCCATGCAACTACTTCTGGTGAGCGAACGTGCCGATTTTCAATGATTTATTAATCTCTCCCACGCATTTGCGTCGGCAATCCATTCGTACGTCTTCGCGTCATTGTGAGATTGTCGTTTCTGAAGATCGGTCGGTTTATTGATTAATTTCGACGTTTGCTCCTGGATTGATGTATAGAGACGAGGCGATTAAGTGGTTCCCTGAGCATTTGAGTTGAAGTTAGGCAAAGATGTCGTCGATTGAACAAGGAACGGGAGGAACATCGGGGAACATACCAGGTAGCTTTTTCGGTTCTCTTTGGTGCTAAAAAACATGTTTCTGCTAATTTTTTTCCATTTGATTTATTGGATTTTGCGTTTCGGAATTCAGGATTTGCAAGCTTATAACATCTTCTGTATGTAATCAATGGGAAATAACACAAAATCATTAGCGCTTGATGAACTGATTTTTTTGCTTTGGTGCTTATCCTACAGCATCTGATGTCTCAAAATTGCAATGAGATTGAATTTGCAGTTGTTCTACAATAAAGAATGGAAAGATGTACATATCTTCCATCACGAGTTGGTGGTTTTTGTCTATTACTCTATTGTATTCAATTCTTTAGATTAAATGAAGGGCAGCTTGTGTGAATCCTCATACCTTCGCATTGTTTACTTGTTTTCCCGCTTTGGTTGCATATGATCATAAAATTTGCTTTTATTTTGATTTGTTCTTTTCCATGTTCATAGTTGAGTTCTGCAAAATTATGCTATTTTCTTCACAACTGGTTTTACATGGATCGCCCTAATACAGTTGCGTCAATTGGATCAGGTTACTGCTTGTTTGACCTACTGCAAATGGAAGCTTCCTCAAGCTGGAGCTGGACTGAGAATCCGCTAAAATTAAGTGAGTGAATGTAGATTATTTAATCTCACCTTTGTCAGCCATGGTTTCATCTCACTGTGTATGCATGTGTTCATCAAATAAAGAAAGTCTGCCCGGAATATGTCGGCGTTGATGATGTATCATTCATTAATAACAATTCCATGAAGGGTGAAGAGATAGGACTGTATATAGTAAAATAAACCAAAACTGGTGAATGGTAATAAAGATGGCATGCTAGCAGCCAGTAATTAATCCAAACCCTATAGTTGTAAATGTATGAATTGGTAGTTCTATTACAAGAAATTACGATCGGAACAAACAATAGCTAAAATGATTATTAGTTGATGATGTCTGGATTTAAAACCTTGCAGTCTACATGTCTGAAAGTTCATCCTGTTACTTCACTTTAAGCAAAAGCCAAAAATTCCTTTAGGTATAAAGAAAATCATTTTTATCGCTGCAGATTCAAACTTGGTCCTTCAAGTCTCCCATAGATCCTGTCTTTTTTCTGCCATGAAATTGTTTCAGAGCTTTTCTGGCCTCCCCACACCTATATTGTTCAATAGTATCCTTATGATGTCAATCTCCATTCATCACTTTTCTGAGAAACCTTAATGGTTCTAGGTCCCCAAACAAGGCTGAAGAGCCTGCTTTCTGAAGCTGGCAATGGGTTCTGCGCCGACTGCGGTTCTCCACATCCAAAATGGGTGTAAGTCTCTTATTTTGGGTTCCAACTCTAGCTGGAATGGGGTTGATGAGCATAAAATTTTTAGTGATTCTTTTGTCTTTGTACTTCTGATAAAATAGAGGCAGTTGGAGGATTCATACAATGTGATTTATTTTTACAACTCTTCATATGTTAGTTTGCCTGCCCTTTATTACACTCTGTTCTAGCTGCTTAACACAATCTTCTCATCTTTCATGTGGCCTTTCTGTTTCTCTGGCCATTTAACCTTTTTTTCTTTTTATTTTTTTTTTTTTTTATTATTATTTTTTTTCTGATGTCCAGATCTTTCAATATTGGAGCATTCATCTGTATAAAATGCTCTGGGATGCACAGAAGCCTTGGAGTGCATATATCAAAGGTGTTGTACCTCCCAACTCATGCTTTAGACTACCCCTGCTTTATCACCATCCATTCTTGGGTGGGGTTTGGCTTAAGTTTTATTAATTCAAAGTTCTGCCAAGTAGTGTTATGTTTTTATCGCTATATTGTTGGACATTTTTGAATATAACCTACCTAACAAGTAGTTTTACTGTGTTTTTGTTCTGGCATTTTAGTTTGATTTTTAAATATTTTGTATTTGAACTTACTACATTGCAAAGATGTTTAGCTTCTAGTGTGGGTGCTTTTCTTTTTCAGTTTTTAGTTAATGTTTTACTATTTGGAGACAACATATTTCATATCAAATACTATTTAAATAAAAAGATTCTAACCTCCAAATTCAAATTGATCTGAACAGAAGACACTAGAGACAAAACCAACAGCTTTATGACTCCTTTAGATATTTATAAGAACTTTGCACCCTCCAGACATTATTTTACTAGTTTTGAAACAAATATTTCTGATCTTTAATTTCCAAATGAACAAATATGCTGGTATAGCATTTTATAGCTTGACTCTTAGCATCTGGTTTTCCAACTCAATCTGCTGCCATTGCAGGTTTTTTCCCTCAAGCTAGATGAATGGACCAATGAGCAAGTCGATGCCTTAATTGAAATGGGAGGAAATAATGCAGTGAACTTGAAATATGAAGCAAACATGCCGGACAATTACAGTAAACCGAAGCCAGATGCCTCCGCTGAGGAGCGCGCTGATTTCATAAGGTATTTATTACAAGTTGGAATGCTTTTCCAAATTTGTTGCCGGTTATTTTATTTATTTTTCTTAATTAGAGATTATTTTGGACGTTTAGGAGAAAATATGAGATGAAACAGTTTATGAACAATGATCTCCCAGAGTTGTCTTGCCCCCTACCACCACAATTACCCAATTTTTCGAGCAGTCTTCAATCTGCGCCGGAGAAGAAGCGTTACGAAAAACAGTTCACTTATCGCTTCCAGAGCCTAGGATATGCATTTCATAATAGCAGGAGGAAACCCGAGCACAAGCCTGCAAAGAAGAGTAACTCTATGGTAATTTTTACTTCCTTAAACATCAGATAAGGTGCCATTTTGATTTACATGCTCTTTTTTTTAGATATTGCATACTTGGTTGTCTCCCCTTAGTACACGAACAATAGACATATTCTTATATTTAGTAAGTTTAGATTTCATAATATCTTATCAAATATGCTTTTGCATAAACATTCTTATTAGACGGAGACTGACATGGATACGAAAAGATCGGGACTTGCAATTCCACATATTCCAATCGGACCAGTCTCGAGAGCTCGAGCGAAAGCGTGCACTGAAAAATTGCAAGGCCTAATAAAGAAATTAGAGAATTGGAGCCCAACCAACGGACTATGTTACAACATGCGAGGACTTGATGGAAAGCCTAGGGCGAGTGCCGTGGTTGTAAAGGTTACATTGGAGCTTGCAACGCCTCAACCGGAAAACTAACGGAAAAGTTGTGCAAACCTAGGAGTTTGCTAAAATAGAGGGTTTAATAGGTAATTATATAAACCTAGGTTGCACATGCTTAAGTGGGGGGGACCATCTATTGGGACCACTTATACATATACATATACAATAAGCTCTCTCACATGCCTCTCACATGCAAGAGGGGACCATTAGCTAGGTGTCAATCAATAAGAGGTTACTTAGTTATACTAAACCTATCCCACATTGGAAAATCACTCCACTTGCCCCTTCCCCCACTCCTATAAATAGGACTCTTAAGGTGCTTTGTAAAACACACCAAGCAAGAATATTTGTTTATGAATATTTGATCATTATTGATCATTTCATTTTTATGGAAAGTTATGCTTGATAGCAATACTTTCTCTTTTAGTCTAATATTTCATGGAATGCAATTCCATTGCATGCTCCATGGGGTTTAGTTTAAAAATTCGGGTTTGAGTATAAAGCCTCAAGTTCGTGGCATTTGGGGAAGGTGGAAGAGCTCTCCAAAGTGTCGACCGAGGTGGTGCCTTCGTGGAGGATGGTTCGATGCTAGAAGGGTATCGGGTCGTGCTTACGTTAGTACTTACTTAGGTTTGCTTCTCTTTCGATTATCCTTTTTCTCGCTTTATTCATTTCCGCTTAGTTAATTGTTCTTTCTTGCTTAGTTAGTTCTGTTTAGTTGTTCGTTCTTTGTCATTGTTTATTAGTTAGTTCTGTTTTAGTTAGTTTATTCCGTGTCTTGTGTAGTTGATCAATTCGGTCCATGACATATATTTAATTTTGGTATCAGAGCAGTTTGATCAATTTACACTATCTTTATTCCGAAAATTCCGAAAAAAAAAAAAAAATTCCTTTGTTATCTTTTCTTTTTTATTCATTCCTCTAGTTGCGTAGTCGAGCTGTTTATTGCATATTCTTGACGTAGATTTGATCTCGAGTTTTGTCATTGTTTGGCCTTCTAGTGTAGACGATTTGATCCTCTATGCTTCCTAGTGTACAACATGCACCTTACATCCATATGCATTATATGAACTCAAGCTTGTGACTTTGTTGACGAGTGATTTTAATTGTACACTTCATGCTCTTGTTTGAGTTTTGCGAGTTTGTTCTTGTTTGAGTGTTGCAAGTTTGTTCTTGTTTGAGTTTTGCGATTTTGCTCTTGTTTGAGTTTTGCAAGTTTGCGGGTTGTTGAGTTCATTGTTGTTTAAAGTGAGGTTGAATTAATTTTGAGTTGGATGTTGTTGGGGAAGTGTAAGGAGTTATTGTTGATGTATTGTTTTGCCTAGGCCTCGTAATATTGCCGTGAAAAAAAAAAAAAAGTTGCGAAAAAAAAAAAAAAAAAAAATGTTGCAAAGAAAAGAAAAAGAAAACCAAAATATTTGAAAAAAAAGTGAAATACAAAAACAAAATCGAGCGGGAGGACTAGAGCAATTTTTTTTTGTCGATAATCTTGTTTGAGTTGTAGTTTTATCATACGAGCTCCATTTTTCGCGTATGATATGTCATTGGAAAGCTTGTGAAGTGGTGAGAAAGTTATATTAATCAGTTTTTGTGAATTTGTAATTGAAGTTGATTATTCAGTTTTGAGTTTTTGAGATTGGATCGATTTTGTACTTGTCATATTCGTTTGACACGTTTTAAAGGGAGTTGAGTATTGTGGTGATTCGGTGGTTGTTGAGATCATTCAGCTTGTGTTTGTTGTCGACTTGCTTAGTTCCGGCATTTGTGTGTTGTGTATGTTTGGTCATTTGTCCGTGAATGAATGAGCATGGTTCTTTGCATTGCATGATTGACACTATCTTGAGCTTTCTTTGATTGAGTCGTGTTTAAAGTTTCTTGTCCACTTTAAACGCGTACGTCACTCAGGTTCCACCTTTACGACTCCATCAAGGCACACTTTAAGAGCTTGGAAACTCTATCCATTTGTCGAGAGGTATACACGAGTGTGCGAGAGGGGGGGAATTGTGAGAACTAACTTTCAATATACATATATTAGTTTGTTTTGGTGCAGGTATGGCTTCGTTGGATGATATCTTGGCTGCGATAAATAAGCAAAGCAAAGATATGCGAGATATTAAAGACGAGTTAGGTGGAAAGATGGATAGCATGACATCTCGTGTGGATCAGCAAGGTCGAGAGATACATGACCTACGGAGTCAAGTTGATCATGTTCGAGATGACATAGATGATGTTGTGGATGCTCGGATGAAGGCTTATGCGGAGGCCTTGTTAAGGAAGGTTGATCAAAACATGGAAAAGAAACTCGATGAGGTTTTCGATAAGGTTGCTACTCTTGAAGAAAGGGGAAGTCATAGTGATGCTAGACGTGAAGAAATCCACCTTGGCAAGCAACCTATGGGCTCAACAAGTGTTTTCCCAAATCGATCTATCCAAGTTGATGATTTTGGCGAAAGGCGTCATACTAGTCCAAGGCCTACATCTATCCAAGGCCGACGAGGAAGACGGGATGCTACCAAAGAGTTACTTGATGAATTTGACTTGGAAGAAGATATCCATAACCGAAGGAGCCGAGTTCGAGTTAATGAGGTTGATGATAACATGCAGTCCATCAAGTTCTCCATACCACCTTTCGTAGGATCGGCTGAACCTAATGAGTTTCTTGAGTGGAAAAGCAAAGTGGAGATGATGTTTGCATGTCATAATTACTCGGAGCGCAAGAAAATTCAGCTTGCTGTTGTGGAGTTTAAGGAGTATGCTCTTGTTTGGTGGGAGAAGATACAAGCTGATATTGCAAGGTCCGGAATGCCTCCGATTGAGACATGGGCAGCCCTTACTCGAGCTATGCATGCACGTTTTGTGCCCCCGCATTATCGGATGGATCTTCTTCAGAAAATTCAGTTTTTAGTCCAAGGTAGCAAGACAGTTGAGCAGTACTACAAGGAAATGGAGATGCTTATGATGCGGGCTCAGCTTGTGGAAGATGATGGAGTCACCATGTATCGGTTTCTCAAGGGGCTGAGGCGTGATATTATGATTCAAGTGGATATGTATCCTTACAATTCTACTTTGGAACTTGTCCAACTTGCTACCAAGATTGAATCGCATGGAAAGGTAGGAGTAAGTGTGAGCTTTGGAAAGACGTCACCAAATTTCAACAAGTTTGGGGGTAATACGGGACCAACAAAATCTTGGCCCAAAGGAGATGATAAGCACACGACCAAGAATGAGCCGCTTAAGGTGGTTAAGCGTGATGAACCAAGGAAAGTCAGCAAGGATGGTTCACCAAACAAAGCAAAGGAAGTCACATGCTTTAAGTGTCAAAGGAAAGGTCATTATGCCAATACATGCCCTAATGTGCGAACTGTTGTGCTTTGTGACAATGGGGACTATGTACTTTTGTCGGATGATGAGGGTGAAGATTGGGAACATGAAGTTGAGGCGAGTGAGGATGAAGCAATCCAAGAGACGGAAGAGCACGTTGAAGAGGATTCATCCGGGGACTCTCTAGTGGTTTTGCGAATGCTTGGAGCAGTTCCCAAGGAGTCGGAAAATTTTGTTGATCGGGTTAAGGAGCAACGGGAGAATTTGTTCCATTGTCGGTGCAAGATTGGTGGGAAGCGAGCATCGATAATCATTGATAATGGAAGTTGCACCAATGTCGTAAGTTGGTATGTGGTAGACAAGCTTGGACTCCAAACTATCAAGCATCCAACTCCATACCATCTTCAATGGATGAACTCTAGTGGAGATATGAAGATCACTAGGCAAGCCAAAGTTCCTATTTCAATCGGCCCCTACAAAGAGGATGTCCTTTGTGATGTTACTCCGATGACCGCATGCCATGTGCTTCTTGGCCGACCATGGCAATCCGATAAAGGAATTATCTATGATGGCAAGACTAACAAAGTTAGATTTTATGACAAGGGCTACAAGGTAATGATTCCTTCTTTGCCATTGAAGGAGGTTCGAAAAGATCAAGAAAGCTTGCGAAAGAAGATGCAAGAGGCTGAAAGCCTTAAAAGAACTAAAGGAAAAGAAGTATCCACAGAGGAAAAGAGAGAGTCTACTGCTAAGGGTTCCAACATCCTTCTTTCACTTACCGATTTTCAGAGAGAAGTTGGTGACCTAGATCATCAAAAGGGGGGTTGTTTTATGTTGTTATGCAAAGATTTATTTCATTCTGATAAAGATAATCTACTCACTAATTTTCCCATTCCCTTTGCTAGGATGCTTGAAGAGATGAAGGATGTATACCCGGAGGAACTACCGCAAGGACTACCGCCCATTCGTGGGATAGAGCATCAAATTGACTTCGTACCCGGTGCTTCGATCCCAAATCGTCCTGCATATCGGTGCAACCCAAATGAGAATAAGGAGATTCAAAAACAAGTCCAAGAACTTCTTGAGAAGGGATGGGTTCGGGAGAGCTTATCACCATGTGCTGTTCCTGTTATCATTGTCCCCAAGAAGGATGGAACTTGGAGGATGTGTGTGGATTGCAGAGCGGTGAATGCGATTACAATTAAGTATCGACACCCAATCCCGCGCCTTGATGACTTGCTTGATGAGATCAATGGGGCGAGAATCTTCTCCAAGATTGACCTTCGGAGTGGATACCACCAGATTCGTATGCAACCCGGCGATGAGTGGAAGACGGCATTTAAAACAAAGCTAGGTTTGTACGAATGGTTGGTTATGCCATTCGGTCTAACTAATGCTCCTAGTACCTTCATGCGTTTAATGAATCATGTTCTACGTGCTTTCATTGGTAAATTTGTTGTAGTATACTTTGATGATATTCTTGTCTACAGTAAAAGTGAAAATGAACATGTGGAGCATGTGCGACTCGTCTTTCAACGGTTAAGGGAAGAACAACTCTATGCTAATTTTAAAAAGTGCATATTCCACACTAATGAAGTTGTTTTCCTTGGGTTTGTAGTTAGCGAGGATGGCTTGAAGGTTGATGAAACAAAAGTAAAGGCAATTAAAGAATGGACACCTCCAATGAATGTGGGAGAAATTAGGAGGTTTTTGGGAATGTGTGGATTTTTTCGGAGGTTCGTGCCTGGTTTTAGCTTGATCGCTGCTCCTCTCACGTCCTTGCTCAAGAAGGGAGTCCCATTTAAATGGGAGCAAGCACACCAAGAAGCGTTTGAGACATTGAAGGCAAAGCTTACTCAAGCACCAGTACTTGCGCTACCAAATTTTGAGAAGACCTTTGAGCTTGAGTGTGACGCTTCGGGCAAAGGCATGGGTGCAGTTTTGCTTCAAGAAGGTCGACCCATAGCCTATCATAGTGAGAAATTTGGAGGGGCTGCCTTGAATTACTCTACATATGACAAGGAGTTGTATGCGGTGGTACGGGCTTTAAAGACATGGCAACATTATTTGATGCCACGAGAGTTTGTGATACACACCGATCATGAGACCTTGAAGCACTTGAGGGGGCAACAACAGCTGAATCGAAGGCACGCACGATGGGTATCTTTTATTGAGTCATTTCCATACACCATCAAGTACAAAAAGGGTAAGGATAATATTGTCGCGGATGCACTCTCACGCAGGTATGCCTTAATTTCATACGCGTCCACGCATTTATTAGGATTTGAGCATGTTAAGGAATTATACCACACTGATGAGGATTTCAAAGATGTGTATGCTTTGTGTGAATTTCATGGGCATGATAAGTATTGCAGACATGAGGGATTTTTGTATTATGATAATCGACTTTGTATCCCAAAATGCTCCATTCGGGAGTTACTAATACAAGAAGTTCACGGTGGTGACATGATGGGCCACTTTGGGAAGAATGCTACAATGGAAGCTCTTGGAGAGAAATTTTATTGGCCTGGAATGCGCAAGCAAGTTGCAGATTATATTTCGCGATGCGTGACGTGCCTTAAGGCCAAGTCAACACTTAAGCCACATGGACTCTACATGCCTCTTCCACCCCCTGAGGGACCTTGGATTGATATTAGTATGGATTTTGTGTTGGGTTTACCTAGAACTGCACGTGCTAAAGATTCTATTTTCGTTGTGGTTGACAGGTTTTCCAAGATGGCGCATTTCATTCCTTGTGCAAAGACAAATGATGCCCATCACATCGCCAAACTATTTTTCAAGGAGATAGTACGCCTTCATGGAGTGCCAAGGTCTATTGTCTCAGATCGTGATGCAAAGTTCGTGAGTTACTTTTGGAAATCGTTGTGGCACGAAATTGGTACTAAGCTTCTTTTCTCCACATCCTATCACCCCCAAACTGACGGACAAACGGAGGCGGTAAACCGGGTGTTGGGTAATCTCCTTAGAGTTATTGTGAATTCACATAGTAAAAGTTGGGATGAATGTCTTCCTTACATTGAATTTGCATACAATAGACATATCCACACAGCCACACACATGTCACCGTTTGAAGTAGTTTATGGAATGAACCCACTAACGCCTACTGATCTTTTACCATTGCCTAGCAATGAGTTCTTAAATGTTAATGGTAGGGAACGAGCAAGACGCATAAAGGAACTTCATAAGGATGTCAAAGCAAGTCTAGAAAAATCTGCGGAGGTATATGCTAAGTACGCTAACCGCGGACGTAAAGCTGTAATATTGCATCCTGGCGATTGGGTTTGGGTTCACATGAGGAAGGAAAGGTTTCCAGCAAGACGACGTACAAAGCTATCACCCCGAGGAGATGGGCCATTTCGAGTGCTTGAAAGGATTAATGATAATGCATACCGTTTGGAACTTCCGGATGAATATGGTATTAATCCGACTTTTAATATTGCAGATTTATCACTCTATGACCGAGCCGATGAGGAAGCACAACGGTTGATGGATCAACCTTCTGAAGGGGGAGAGGATGACATGGATACGAAAAGATCGGGACTTGCAATTCCACATATTCCAATCGGACCAGTCTCGAGAGCTCGAGCGAAAGCGTGCACTGAAAAATTGCAAGGCCTAATAAAGAAATTAGAGAATTGGAGCCCAACCAACGGACTATGTTACAACATGCGAGGACTTGATGGAAAGCCTAGGGCGAGTGCCGTGGTTGTAAAGGTTACATTGGAGCTTGCAACGCCTCAACCGGAAAACTAACGGAAAAGTTGTGCAAACCTAGGAGTTTGCTAAAATAGAGGGTTTAATAGGTAATTATATAAACCTAGGTTGCACATGCTTAAGTGGGGGGGACCATCTATTGGGACCACTTATACATATACATATACAATAAGCTCTCTCACATGCCTCTCACATGCAAGAGGGGACCATTAGCTAGGTGTCAATCAATAAGAGGTTACTTAGTTATACTAAACCTATCCCACATTGGAAAATCACTCCACTTGCCCCTTCCCCCACTCCTATAAATAGGACTCTTAAGGTGCTTTGTAAAACACACCAAGCAAGAATATTTGTTTATGAATATTTGATCATTATTGATCATTTCATTTTTATGGAAAGTTATGCTTGATAGCAATACTTTCTCTTTTAGTCTAATATTTCATGGAATGCAATTCCATTGCATGCTCCATGGGGTTTAGTTTAAAAATTCGGGTTTGAGTATAAAGCCTCAAGTTCGTGGCATTTGGGGAAGGTGGAAGAGCTCTCCAAAGTGTCGACCGAGGTGGTGCCTTCGTGGAGGATGGTTCGATGCTAGAAGGGTATCGGGTCGTGCTTACGTTAGTACTTACTTAGGTTTGCTTCTCTTTCGATTATCCTTTTTCTCGCTTTATTCATTTCCGCTTAGTTAATTGTTCTTTCTTGCTTAGTTAGTTCTGTTTAGTTGTTCGTTCTTTGTCATTGTTTATTAGTTAGTTCTGTTTTAGTTAGTTTATTCCGTGTCTTGTGTAGTTGATCAATTCGGTCCATGACAGAGACCCTATTTTAATCTTTGCACGTTACACTCTATCTACTAAATATAAATTATAATTATTTCGTAATCAACATGCAAATAATAAATACTTCATCCATCCCCCAAACTTAGGAACATTTCATTTGTAAACTACAAAAGAAATATCCCTAATTTCGGAGGTCTTGGTAGCTTATATATATATATATATATATAACTTTTGGTAGTTGAAAAGTAGTGTGTGCATTGGATATGAATGGTAATAAGTTTTAGTATCATTTATAAAGTGGCTAATGAAATCTGTGTCTTCTTAAGTATTCGACAGTGGTTGAGTATCTCAATCATGTTTATGGTAGAGGAGGATGATGATTGTTGTCATATTTTCATTGTTTTACTTTTGTATAGGCAGGCATGGTTGAATTTGTAGGGCTAATCCACGTTACCATAGTAAGAGGCACCAACCTAGCTGTCCGAGACATGGTTTCTAGTGATCCATATGTCATTCTCTCACTTGGCAACCAGGTAAATAACAACATTTCCCATCCATTTTACTGTATTTATTAAAATAATATGAAAAGTTAACCAAAAATCATTCATTCATGGCAGTCGACCAAGACACGAGTGATAAAGAACAGCCTCAACCCAGTTTGGAACGAAAAGCTAATGCTGTCGATTCCTCAAGAAATTCCTCCTCTCAAGTTGGTAAGCTCTTCTATACCACATCACATCACACTCATGAAACCGGCTCTTGTTTGTATACTTATATTATACACCTGCCAAGTAAATGGTTTCAATTAACTCAACACATGATATATCCAGTTAGTTGAAATCATATGATGTCTTACTTATCTGCCCATTTTTCATGTGATAGATTAAGATAATCAACAACACCCAAACAATTCCCCTAAACCACAATAAGTGAATAAATAGGAAGAACATTGGTGCCATAGGCCCATTGTGCAAAATCACTTCATCATATCATTATTCTTCTTTCCTAAAGAAACATGGTCAAAAATCCTTTGTTATATATACTTTCGATTGCGCCAAAGAATGTTGCCCAACGGTGCTACGTGCCATGGCTGATGAGAGATGACAACCATTGTTTGTGTATGTGTAGAGTATTTTGCTAACAACTTGTACACTGTTCTGGCAGTATGTATACGACAAGGATACCTTCTCAACAGACGATTTTATGGGGAATGCAGACATCGACATCAACCCACTGCTCTCCGCAGCAAAAGTTTCGGAGGGCTCCTCAGATAACGGCCCGACACAGGCTACTGCGAATGTAGAAACAAATAAGGACACAACGATCATTCGGGAGGGTGAGATCTCTGTAGAAGATGGTAGGGCAAAACAGGAGATTTCTATTAAGTTGCAGAATGTGGAAAGGGGAGTTCTAGAGATTGAGATTGAATGCGTTCTACTCACACAATAGTGTCTCTGCAAAACCATAACTATCAAGTCCATTTTGTTGAGCTGTTTGGTGTTCATTTTCAGCCAAATCTTGATTCCATTTACTTAACACAATTGAAATTATCATTCCTAAACTGCCGAATAACGTGACACAACTAAATAAAAACAATGTTAAGTAACATAACTAAAGACCTCTTCAGCAATTGTATGATTAAATTACGATAACTGCGAAGCAAACAATAACAAGAATTTGAACATGTAAATGAAATAAATGGCCAAATAAACACTAGGAACATTCAACATTTTAAAAAAATTGCTCCAGTATATAACAAGCTTTATAGCAAAATAAGCTTACAGTAGATTTCACCTTATCAGCCTTCAGTATGACCATCCATCGATAACTAACATTTCCTGCTAGAGAGAAAGTTAAAACATAGACATAGAAGTTTCGAAAAAACGGGATGACAATGACGTATTGAGCATTCTTGATAAAAGCATTCAGTCCTCAGACCAAAGCGAAGTTGTCATGTCATGGACATTATTAACCAATACAACAAAGTCGATGTTAAAAAATATTATCACCGGCTGCATAATCATGCAACACATAAGCCGCTAGCACCTCCCTCGGCGCAATGGCCACCCGAATACATACACACACATATAGATATATATATATATATATGCAGTCAGCTTTACAACACCAGCAATGGGTGAACAACCGATGTTCACCCAACGCACAAAACAACTAATATATACAACTGCTGATTTCCTCAGCATTGAGTGAAGAGCTATCATGCTTTCATGTCATCTCCTGATGATCTGAAAAAAACTAATTGATCGATCATCATTATCATCATATCATATGATACGAAACACAATTTATTCCATATACAGATTAAAATCTACTCACATTTGGCTGCTTCATATGCAGCAGAGTGGACAGCGCTCCAGCCCGTTTTCATTACACTCTGTGCATCTCTTGGGCTGCTCGTCGTCCTCATCAAACACCTTCCGACTCCCGTTGCAGTAAGTGCACGGGATAAACCTCATATCGCCGCAGGCATCGCAGGGCATTGGAGGCTTTAATGGCAAGCCTTTGAGCAGCCTCCCGAGCTCGCCGGCCTCGAGCAGCTGCCTTATCACATCAGCTCCACCAATGTACTTCCCCTTGATGAACACCTGCGGTAATGCGATGTTGGTTTCTCCTAAGGCTCTCTGCAGTTCCTTTTTGTAAGCAATATCCATTGAGACGTCGCGCTCGTCCAGATTCACCCTAAAACCGCGAAAAATCATCCGTATGCTGTGGCCGTCCTGGAAGGTTTTACGGATTCCTCGGAGGCTGGTGAAGTAAATCACGACTCTATCTTCGGTTCCGGGAAGCCTGAAGAGCAAATCGGGGACGGGAGAGGGGATGCTTTTGAGTGAGAAACTGTTCGACGCCGGCAATAACAATTTTGAAGGTTTTATAGATGGAGTTGGGGATAATTGCGATTGCGAAGGGGAAATTTGGGGATTCGGAGGGTTTGGTGGTTGTTTTGGGGATTCGAAAATCGAACACAGTTTCCGTACTTTCCCTTTCAACGAATTCCCGGCGGAGACCATTGAGCCGAAGGGGGAGCTGTAGAGGCTTTTGAACGAACCGCCGCGCTGAAATGACGGCGTATTGTAGAGGTTGTACAGCGGTTTGTTGGTAATTTCCCCCTCCGCCGCCGAAGGAGAGTGGAAGGTCACCGACCGATTCAACGACGGCGACGGAGAAACGGTTTTGCCGCCGGAGCTCTTCGATTTATCGGAATATTCCATTCGCTGATTCTCGCGATTGATCGATCAATTGAACGGACGACTTATCTCCAGAATATAAAGCGTCGTGCGAGAAGGCGGTGACCTAATCGGCGGCGGCGGCGGCGGAGGACGGACGGAATTGTGTGATGAACAGCGACGGAGGCGTGAATCTGAAGAAATTCCGGGGAGAAAATGGGGTTGGAGAATGGGAGAGGAGACGGGAATCGATGTGGTTTGAGAGCTTTTTCAAAAAATGAAGGAAAGCAGAGGTGCAGTCCCTATCGAAGACGCCGACTAAAGGGGAAGGACGCGAGCGGGACTTGAAGGCCTTGGACTTTGGAAACAGGTATGTATATATAATTACATATATTAGTTTCATTGTGTCATGAATCTGGTGCGGAGATCCGGGACTTACCTTTTAATGTAAAAATTGATGCACACGCACAGCAAACGCGCTTACGGTGTGGACTCGGGACATGCTGGTTATGGGATAATGTGTGCCTTATGTAGTTTTTTTTTCTTACTTTTCTTTTGTACACGTGAAATTAGTGTGTTAATTACATTTGATGATTTTTGCTATTAAACATTAAAATTTGAACATGTTTATAGGAAATTGTGGTATTATTAATTAGTTAGACCTTAATAATTTTATTATTTTTAAATATTTATAAGATAATTTAATAAACATGTAGATAATTTTTTTTAATTAAAAATAAATTATTTATTTAGTATTTAGTTTAAAATATTCTTTAATATAAAATATTACACAAATTTTAAATTTTTTAAATACAAAAAAATATAACTAACTATCATTAAAATACATTATTATTTCAATTTTGCACTAAAAGGAAATAGGTTACGTGACAATTTATGAGTACAAAAATAGCAGTAATTTGATTTTTTCTATATAAGTTCAACTTCCAAATTTATTTACGTACATTTATCTAGCTTAGATATATAAATCAAGTATCAAGGATACAATTTGACATCAAACCAACAATAATCCTGTTTATATTGAAAATATGTAATTTAATTTAATTTAATCAATTTTGCTTTTGCTCAAAGCAAGAACATACAAAATAATTAAATTAATAATAATAATAATAATAATAATAATAATAATAATAATAATAATAAAAATAATAGAATAAAATCCAAAATATGCCTTTCTTGATGGTTAAGATTAGGTGAATGCCTAACTGTATTATAAACTACTCATTCTGGTGCCCAAACGTGCCTTCTCGCTCTATATGACAAATTTTGTTAATTAATTTGACAATGGATGGAAAGTACAGATTTCATTCATTAATTAAATTGAATAATGAATCAAATAAATTACACTATTATGTTTCTTATACTCCTATCTTCAATTAATTAAAAATATATAATTGGGCATGACCGTAAAATATATATTTATAAAGCCCATCAACTTGGGACTCACAATAACACCAAACATCTTTTACATTGGCGCAAAAAAAAATAAAAAAATACTGTATTAAAACCTAAATAAAAATAAATAAATAAAAACCAACAATAGTCCCAATCAAAACAAAAATAAATCCCATTTGATCCCACCCATTATAAAATTCTTGTACACTTTCAAATTTTTGGTTAGAATTGTTTATCTATTGTCGATAATAGTGATCATTTCTACCACAGTAGAATTGTGGAATTTTGGTAGATAATGGCGATACTTTTGGTTATAATTGTGGATTTGTTGTCGACTTTTGTTTTGAATTGTGGTCGATAATCGATTGATTTCTGCAACAATTACAGATAAGATGTCGCCGGAACCACCCTCCGATCCGTCGAGGCGGGCGGTTACTGCCACTGTTTACATCTCCGACAACATCTCCGACAGCAACAACCCCTGCAACCACAGCTGGTCGCTTCAACGGCGGTGGCAGCACTACGCTGTCCTCCCCCGTTCTCGAGTCGCGCCTGCAAATTCCCCCAAACATTCCTCAATTTACATGGCCCTGTTGTTTCAGTCTTGTCACATATGGGTTGGATCAAACAGGATTAAAAAAATTTATAATGGGGTCAAAATTGATTTTTTTTTTTTTTTTTATAATAGGATCAAAATCTGAGTATTTTTGTTTTCTTTGGGACTATTGTTGATTTTGTTCCGATAAACCTTTTTTTTAAATAAAAAAAGACCTTAATTTCTAAAACATTAATATAGTATTAAATAAAAAAATCCAATTTATTTGAGAAAATACACTATATTTAAAATATACTATCTCTCTGTCCGGTTCTAAAGTCTCGTTTACTTTTTTTAGTGTTGATATTTGAATATTAATTATTATATTAATATTAAATAAAATGACACAAAAGATAAATGGGACTTTTAGAGCCGGAGGAATGGAGTAAAATATTTCAAAGAAATATTTATTTTGATAAAAAAATTTCAAAGGAAATAATAATAATAGATAAATTACTGTAAAATCAAAACATAAGTATTAACCAGAAAACTTACAAATGCAATTCTGCCTCACTGGAAGGATTGAAAAAATGCCAACAAGAACTACTGAAGGCTCCATAAAACTCGTCATTCGAAGTTTCGATTCGAACCTCGTTGGCGAAGCGAACTGCGGCTATGATATGCTTCCGGTCGCTAGGAGTTTCTTGATTCCGGAAAAGCACCACGTGCTGCTCGTAGTGAAGAAAACTATTCCCCAAAAGTATAAGATTTTTCAATTGATCCACGCGCCAATTTGCTTCCAAGAGATTGTCATACAGATATGCGTCGCAATGTGGCATGAAGAACATAGTAGGCTTAAGAACTTGCCGGCGAGCTTGCTCATTTACAGTAAGAACAGTGCAGCCAAGAGATGTCAAGACTTTCAATTCTGTTAAAGAGATTTTTGGATCGAAGACTTCGATCTCTCCAATCCAATTGAACTTTTTCTTTAACAGCATTGCAAGACTAAGCTGTATACGGGAGTGTTCACATCTTTCGATGCTGCCAAGGCCGTATATGACCATCGTCATCTTTTTTTCGGAGTCCAAGATTTTCAGGATCTTAGGCAAAGTGCCGGAGCTCTTCATCTGATCGAAGAAAACACGGCAAAACTCGTGTTTAGTGACTTTCTGAATGCATGATTGCATTCTTTTCATCAGTTTAGATTCTCTTTCGGGATCGGTTTCTTTGTCTGTTGGAATCCATGCCTGCCCTTCTACCTGTTTCTCTTGAGGAACAAGCTTCCGGAAACTTGGCATCTTTAGCTTTTTACCTCGTCGTGGCAAGACTAGATTCCAGCCCTCGGCTAAAGTTGGATTGTCTGGAAATTGAGTGTTTTCGGAAGTAGACATGGTAATTGCAACTGGATGCTTCCAACGACTCTGGAATGTGAAAAGAAAATGTAGTTTAGTTTCAGTGCACCATTATTGATTCGTGTAATGGCAGAAAATAATTCATAAATTCAAATTAGTTGAACAGTTCTAATGAAGCCAGATTGAGAAGTATACTGAAAATCGAACAGACAATCATGCATCCTTGAAATCGAAATTGAATTTGATGAATTTGCAAGGGAAATACTACACCATTGAATAAAAAAGGGATAATTAAAATCAAAATCAATGAAACTCAACTCTTGATAGGGAATCATACATTCAATTCCATTACATAACTCAAAAATCATTATATACTCTCACGTGCTTTTCATACAAAATCGTTTTGAAGAACAGGCCATGATGTTGTATACAATCAATTTTGTGTTCACATTGCTTCGAGAATTCAACAATCACACACGAAAACACACTTACATACCTGATCGATAGCAAAAAGCAGTAATCCACTCCGACAATTCGTCCAAATGTCGTAAACAGATCTCCAAGGGTTGGAGAGTGCCAGAGAGAGCCGTGCTTCGCTGGAGATTCGAACTCGAAGCGGCCGTTGGAACTCAAATACGCTTGGGAGGTCTTACCACCGGTGCGAAGATATCGACAGGCGTCTAACCTTTGTCGACTTGCGGAGGAGTTCACGTTTGACGTGCTCGCTTTTCCGACCTCCTATTGCCGTCGTCGACCATTCCTTCTACACTGATAAGTATGTCGAAGAAGAGTTTCAGCGGGTAGACGGTGGGAGGAGAGGTCTCCGGCTCCTGCTCGTCGCCGGCGATGGCAATATTGTAAAACACGCCCGGCGGCGGCGGTTGTTGGAGCAGAGATCGATGTTAGGGCTTTCTGCGACTCTAATTTTGAATTTATATATACAAGTATATATTAATATATTTATAATATTAAATTAGGGCTGGGCTATGTAGCGAATAGCAAGTCCGTTCGATCAGATACGTGTATATTTTAAATTTTGGGTTTGGCACACGATTTATCTAATTGAGTATCGAATTTACTATATTTAATAATAAAAATATTTTGATAGCAAGTAACAGAACGGATAAAACGGGGTAGTGCTAGATTATACTATTATTATATTTATTTATAATATCTTATATTCCTTCGTCCCAAAAAGTTAAAATATTTGAGTTCGACAGATTAAAAAAATAAATATTTTTATTGAAAACGTGATAAAAAAAAAAAAAAAAAAGCAGTTGAAGGTATTTTAAAAAATAAATTAAAATTTTTAAAAATAAAAAAAGAAAATATAATAAAAGTAATGACTTTGTTATAAATAAGTATTCAACTGAGGTTAATAAATGTTGATTCGTCTTTGTCAAAATTAATAATGAGTTAAATTTAGCATACTAAAAAGAAAAAGAAGAGTAAATTTAATGGACGAAGAAAATATTTTTTTATAATAAACCAAAATCTCTTTTATTTATATGATCTTAGAAAGATTTGAAAGTTTTGATGTTAATAGAAATTAGTATTTAATATAGAATTTATAGTTATATATTTATTATTTAATTTGCATTATTTTTAATAAAAATACAATATTTTTTTAATAAAATATTATATAAATAAAAAAGTCAAATAATATTTATTTTGAATTAATTTTAAATTGCAGCAAAATAGATTCTAATCTTTTGTAAATAAATATAATAATGTTTTTAAAATTTATTATTAATAAATAATGTCTAAAATTTCAAAAATATATTATAATTTTATATATATATATATATATTAAAGCCTAGTACTAATATTGAAAATAGTAAAACCTATGTTATGATACATTTTATTATTATTATTTGATATGTGTCATATAAGTAACACTAAATTAGTTTAACACGTCATTTCCATAATAATTAATCTTTTTGTATTGCACCTACAAATATAGATGGTAGTTTCATAATTAATATACTTTCGATTTTATTTTTGTGTTTCTCTCTCTATTTGTTATAATACTACATATAAATATATTATTATTTTAAATATATTTTATATGACGTTAGGGTTACCGTAGACAATCTATATAATTAGTAAATAATTAATAATATATTAATAAAATTAATTAAAATAATATAATTCAAATAATTATAGATTAATATAGTATATAAGAAGAACCAAGAATAAAAGTATAACATAATATATGAGAAAGAATATTATATAATTAATAAATAATTAAAAAATATATTAATAAAAATAACTATGATATAATAAAATAATTATAAATTAAGATTAATACGATTAAATTGTATAATTAAAATAAAAAAATTAATTTTAAATTTTAAAATATGTAAATTATAAATGATAAATTATATAAGGAAGAAGTAATGATTAATACTATATCCGTCAGTGTCTTGGTCACTGTAGATGCAGAATTAGGAGAAGTATAATTATAACTAATAAATAATTAAAAATATATTGATAAAAATAATTAACTTATGTATATAAATCATTATAGATTAAAATAACTAGGTAATTATTTTTGTGTTTGAATCTGATTTGTGCTTTAGACTTCTAACTGAATTTTTAATAATAATAATAATAACACGACCTAATTACTCAGAAGATGCTTAAATTTGTAATAAATTAATTATAAACCATGAACCGTACAAAAAAGTGTTGTTTTTGTTTGTTTGTTTTTCAACCGTGGAACGATTAAAAACTACTACTACTACTACTACTAATGATAAGCTAAGCAAAAGATGGATATGAAGCATGAGATGGATTTCTTCTTCTACGCGAAGCTAAGGAAGAGTGTTGCCAACATTAGACCTATAAATCAAACAGATCCCACCGGCTAACCGAACCGAACCAAATCAAACCGAACAGACCCGATCATGGTCAACACCGCTGATCAAATACAGCGCAATTGAATCTAAAATACATAACAATGGGAACTAAAGCATTAAAAGGGATGAATTGTTGTTAGCTGCACAAAGCCATAAATGCCGCCGGCGCCTGCATTGAATACGAAACACAAAAAAGCCGATCTCAGTAACTTCACCCGTAAAATGAGTTTGTCAGGGCACATTTAGTCTGTCATCTCAAGTAAAATGCATAGTCGTCTACGACAATTAAATGATGAAAATTATTGAGATAAAGGGAAAAAGAAGAAAAATGTAAGTGAATCTACCTTCTCTGTCCTAGAATTAGTCCGCACAAAGCCGAGATGAGCCAGGTAGTTGCTCTCAGCAAAATCATGTAATGTGCGAAATGGTCGCGTTCCATCGTGATCATTCTCACCAATCTCTGCATTCAATAGTCGTCGGCATTCTTCCCCATCCTGTTAGGGGAACATATTGTTAATCAAACACATAATTATTAGGGAGGATAAAATGTTTCAAAAGATGGAAACGATTAAATAAGAGCCGTTTGTTAATAATTTACACGATACAATTCTTGCTTCTATTCCTAGATGCAATAGGGAAAGAAGTTTTGAAGTCGGAATATACCAATATAGCCTAATATAGCTCATCTTGCCTAATGTCTAATCACTAAAAGGAAATAATGAGATGGAGATACCTGCAAGAATTTCAACATTTGCTCTTCAATTGTGCCATTCATCGCTAGTGTCTCCACATGAATCGGGCGAATCGCACCCATTCGATGTGCACGACTAATAACCTGCTCCTCCATACTGAACAGTTGAATCACAAAAAACTAGTTAATAAGGTAAAATGCAATCATATGATATTTCTTTCTTCATTTTTTAATACTCTGAACTGAAATTACAACTGAACTCAAAAGTTGTCAACCTCGTAAAATCAGTAGTTCATGAGAATCAAGGATACAAAGATTTGATATAAGAAGATGGGATTTGCAGAAATGGCAGGCTCAAGAAAACCATCTTCAACTCTAAAGAATTTTCCATGCTTGTTATTTTTGTCAAGACAAATAATAATTTTCTATTTTACCTTCGATCCCATATAGGCTCCATCAGATAGACATGAGTCGCAAAGCTTAGATCAAGACCCAGTGCAGCACTTCCATCCATCAAAAGAGCCAAACAATTCGCATCATATTGAAAAGTTGCTAGTGATTTCATCTGAGAAACATAGAAGAAAATTAGCCGCCAGGCATTTATGCCACAAAAAGCAAAAAAGTAAAACAAGAACAAACCTTATTGATTGAGTGCATTGGACTGTACATTCCAACAAATTGAATGCCCGCAATTGTCAGCTGGGATTTTTTTGGAAATTATAAGTCATTAATTTGGATAGAATAAATAATGCAGTTACATATTTGATTAATTAAAAATAAAAAAGAAATAACTACCTGTTGTTCAATAACATGGATATGTTCAAGAAACTGAGAAAAAATAATAACTTTCTCCAATGGAATCTGGCACCTTTCATTTCCAGATTTGCTGCAAGCCCCTTGATCTAGAGATGTGTTAGAATAGCCCAGGTCAGATGAGAATTGCTCATTAGACGTAACCGCTCCAATCTCACTGGAGTACCCAATCTTTCTATTATTTTTCTGTAGTTCTTTTAATTGGTGTACTAGATATGAGACTTTGCTACTAGATGTCGACTGCCAATCAGGATTCCAGTCATCCTGCATCAAAACAGTGCATCTTTCAAAATGTTATCAGGACTCAGGAGAATCTTAAGGGCACAAAAAAGAGAAGTTGTGGAAGGAAGATGGAAATCTTCATTCCGATCGCCTTGCACTCAAACATAGCGAGCCACTCCTTTTCCTTCCATTTTCTTTTATCCAAAATAGTCATTAAACAACAGTATCACACTTGAGCAAGGGGAGCCATAGCTGCTGGAATTTAAAATTGGAAATCTAATTTGAACAACAAATGGACTCAAATGCCAATCAATAATACCTTATGTCCCATGAGTGATGTTTTTAAGCATCAATCAAAAAACAGAGAAAAAGAAATGATTTTACCAAAAATTTACAGAGATAACCAAGTTCTTGAGATTTCAATGACATTCCATCTTAATCTAAGATGCTGAGAAAAACATAACAGTAGATATTTTTGGACAATGACATGGATACTGAAGGTTCTTTGTTTCAACAGACTATTACAGCACATACATCTGTCCACAATGCACAATATATGTACACAAATTCAAATAATATTGGGATACAACAAAACAAACTAGTTCAAGCATACCTGTTTATAGGAAGGCTGCAGCTCAATTAAATCTTTTGGCACAGGCCACTTTGGCTTAGGATTTTCTGGACGAGCTAGTTCTTCAGGACTCTGCATTTCATATGAGTTACCACAGCCAGGAAATGTACACTTTTCACTGTCTAGAGAAACGCAATCAAGGCACAACAGGTGCCTACAAGGTGTAATGACAGGTAAACGACACCATTCTCCGCACCTAACAAAATGAATACCAAGAAAAAATAACTGTTACACTTTCCAATGTTATGAATCAGAAACAGAAAGACGAATCTAAACTCACCTCATGCAGTTGCCACCATACAAGAGATTGTATTTTATCAAAGCATGTTCCTGGGACATAGGATCCAGACCATCCTCTACTAAGATATCCATGGTGTCTTGAATATCTTGACCAGCCTCAGACATTCTGACATGTCCCGCAACACAGCAGGATAACCTCACATTTTTTATGGTAGCAGCACGAAATTTCCATTGTTTTGGGTTCAATAAACTTTCAACATGAGATGGGTCGTTCCAGTCAGCCATTAAAATATTACGACGGACAGTTTCCACCAGTTCATTATAACTTTTTGCATGCTCTTCAGAAAAATCCAAATATGTAATTTTCTTTATGCAAGGTGGAATTGCTTTCAGATCAGTTTTCCTTGCACTGATCATGCACCTGTTAAGCAACTGCAGCAAACGCAACCTGCCCTCTTCCATCTCTGCCTCAAATGGCCTAAGGATACCAGCATCCCATGACTTTTGGTTCAACCCGTATGTCTCTTCTTTGAGGAACTTTAGCATTGGTTGAAGATAAGATAGCTGACTGTTAGGTGTATTAGGAGTAGGAGTTCCTGTCAATAGCCAGCGGCTTGTGGCAGTTAGCGAAACCAACATTTGCAATTTGTTTGTCAGAGTGAGACTTGAACCAAGTGTATGCCCTTCATCCAGCATCACCCTCAGCCAATGAACTTGCATTAGCACACTTCTTTTACGAGGACTCCACTCAGCACTCAACCGATTGAAGGTAGTTATTACAATATCATAGTCCCAAGCCAAATTGTGGGGAGGAGGTTTTCTCTTTTGATCGCTCCATATGTAAACTCTCAGTTGACCTGGTCTCACATGCCGTTCAATTTGGGTTCTCCAGTGATCAACAAGATTTGATGGAACAACTATTAATGTTGCACTTGACAGATACAACCTCACTGAGTTTATTGGTTCACATAAGGCAATCCTAAGGGAATCCAGATCAAAAGTCAGGTTCAACAGATTTTTCGGATAATACCACCTCAAATCACCCCTTACAACTCTTTTTACAAGGCCAAAAGCTTGAAAGATTCTGTGATAATCACGAGGCACTCTAGTATCAAATAGAGAAGTTCCAATCATTGGGCTCACCAACCCAATTGTTTCCATTTCTGCAAGCTTATCAGGTGAAAGTTTAGCTAGCCAAGTCAAGGCTTTCTTTGTTTCAGAATTGATAAAAGCATAGTGTTCCTTTAGCACACTAATAAAGAAAGACACATTTTCATCTCGCCCTCCATTTGATCCCTTGGCATGAAATCCTGGTAAGTATGTGATAGACTCCCTAACATCCCAGGATTCTTCAGGAACATTACAACTCTGATATGTAGGGTCGCTGTTCATGCTACAAAACCATGCTGTAGAAACATTTGCTCCACATTCACCAGAAACTTTCCGCCACTTGCTACAAGAATCACACTGGACCCAAGATTCATTTAATTCCACATCATCTGTCACTTTCTCTTCATTTGTATTCTTACTGAACAAGGTCCCTTGGGAAAAACCCACTTGCTTTCCCAAACCCCTTTGTTTGCGACCCTTAGAGCCATGCTTTCTCTTTTTTGAGCATTTATTAGATGTAAGAGATGACTCATCATAAGCTTCCAGAAGATTTCTCTTTGCATTGCCCCAGCTCCTCCCACACCTTATAGCAAATGTTGCAGGTGTCGAAGACACAGATTCGATGAACCTTTTTGGTTTATGGGACCATGAAACAGTGGATGCCAATGGTTGCTCAGATGAACCAAGAAGCATTGGAGAAGTTGATGAATTCCTTGTAGAAGTCTTCATTGGGGTGAGTTCATCAAGGGTTAATTGCCCCCTGCGAGATTTCTTTCCCACATTATTCATCAACTTTGACATGTTACTGCTGGTAGTTTGCTCAGCGCTGACTTCATAGTAGCCACACCTGTTATTCCCATCATGCGTGCACCAGATCACTTGCGCTGCATCTGAAGGTTCTGCCACCGTTCCCTGAGTCTTTAAAATTAGCGAAAGAGCAGTAATAGTCTTACCCAGTCCAGGTTCATCACAAAACATTCCTCCATGGAAATCCCTTGCTATAGGAATTTCACCAGCAACAATCTCACCAGAAACCATATTGATATTAAAATCAAATCCATCTTCTGTTTTGAAATCCATGTATAGAGGGTGTTGTAGAACTTGCGATTCCCTTTCACGCTTTAACATCCACTTAACTGCAGCCTGCTGGTGGGGATAGAGTTTAAGTTTCATGCACGGCATGATGGATGCCGCCAAATACCTTAAATGATGGCATGTCAAAGAAATCTTAACAAGAGTAACTGGATTTAGTGTAGACAGGATTTTAATCAAAATATCATCTGACAGCATCCAGATACCAGAATCAGAAGAAGAGTCTTCTGGATTTATTCTTGAAAATTCACACTCTACTTTCTTTGTGACACAAGGCAAATTCTTAAAAATTTCCTGAAGTTCAAAAAGCTTTTTGGGCCTATGATTGTTTGGAGCAGAGCAATGCCATCGACAGCCAAGAACGTGGCAGTCCATTGCATGCCAAATGCTATGATAATCATCAACGCCAAATTTCACCGACTTGGATATCAAGCTTCTAGTTTCCCAATTGCAGCTGCCAGGAACATGTACAAACTACATGAGAATGAGCAGCAAGGTAAAACCATCTACTGCAAAAAAGAAATAAGAACAAAGAAAAGAAAATTATAAAGGTTCAGTACATATTAGAATTGAAGCTTGACTCTTAAGAAAAATGGCAGGCCAAGTCAACTTACCATCATCTAACACTCATGCAATGGCTGGTTGACAATATTTCACTAAAGCCCATAAAAATTTACAATTGGTACTTGAAGATATTACATATATCATTTTTTCTTGCCAATACCCAACAAAAAGCAATCCAACTAGTAGTTTCAAGACCATTTGAGAAATTCAACAAGCAAACTAGGAACAAATTCAGATGCTCAAATATGTTTATGTGATTTAAATTTAATATGATAGGATATATGTCTAATATATCTATTCTTAGTAAAAATAGATCCAGTAAGGGACACAAATCTGCTTTCCTCTGATACAATAACTAATGAATCCAACAGCAACCAGTACACTCGCCTACATCCCCTTCTAATGCCTTCAGCCAAAACAAGGAACCAACCTGAAGTATTTGTTTGACAAAAAATCACAAAAGTACTCAATCTATGGGCATATTGCAACCACCATCATCACAAGTCGCACAAGCAAAATGTATTATCCCAATGCATGCTACTCTAATTTCATTAGCAAAGTAAGGAAGCCACCCATTAATCAAACCCAAGGAAGAATCTTGGACACAGTCTTTTCTTTATCAAACTCATTCTTAAATAGTATATGATGCATAATAAAACTTAAAATGAAATAATCAGGGTCGCATAGTATATATATATATATAATTATATACGTTCACCTGCCAATATAAAAGCTTCAAACCATGAAATTCAGCCGCGCACAAAAAATACACCCAACTCTATGAACCAATGAAATCAAAACAGTAATGCAAAAGCCAAAAACTCAATTTTGACGAGAGTGACTGCAAATAAAGACTAAAGTGAAAATTATATGCAAAAACGAACCTCAAGTGTTTGAATAGGGCGGCTGCAGTGGCGCTCAACTTGGGAAACTGCCATCCATCCCACAAAGCAATCGGCAAGTATACATCCACTAACACGACAACCCTAATTTCCCTACTTCCACCATCCAATTCGTTGTCGCGCTGCGAAACATCCACAATTCTCGCCACGATTCTCAAGCACTTATGCGTGACGAGGGCGTGCAATTGGTGCACCACACTAATCGATCCGTGCACCATTCCAATTCTACTCCACCGCTTCTTCACAGACGGCGGCGGCGCTTTGGAATCCGAGGATTCTGGCCTCCCAATGGGGATCAAGCGTACGTCATTTTGCGCCGCGAAGTGAACGTTGGGCGGATCACCGGCTATGCGGCATGTCGAATTGAGGGGAAGATAGACGCCCGCAGGAGCCGCGACCACCGCGCAGAGGTAGCCACAGAGCTTGTGGTCGGACGGAGGCTCGCCGTCGATCTCCATTATCCCTGATTGGGGGGATTTTTGGGGAGGCTTCTATCGATTTCGGTGACTTGTTGAAATAAAATTTGTTTTCGTTTTTATTGTTCCTCCAAAATTTTTCCAAAACACATTTATTTTTTATATTATATTAAAAATTAATTTTATATTTAAAATATTATATCAATATCTATCACAACTATTTAAATTTAAAATTTTTACTATCCCAAAATCCAAACTCCCAGACAAACACACCCTTCGTCTATACTCACAAGTCGACATCGAGGAGGACATGGGTTTGGGTTGTGAAATTACCGTATTACATAATAAATTTTTTATTCTAAAATAGATATAGTAGTAAGATTTTATGCACGTCTTTTTACAATATTTATCGGAACAAACCCTAAAATAAAATTGATCAATAATGATTAAAGGGAATAAAATAAACAGCTAATTGGATTTTTTACAAATTCCTCTTACAAATTTTTTACACTTGATTCTTATTTTTTATGAATTTTGTCACTAGTTACATGTTTCACCAAGTTTATTTGAAGAGATATTAAAGTTGAATTTGGTTTGCAGAGTATTAAATTCGACCAAAAATTTAACTGTGCGTACTTTCGGATAATAGCGACAAATTTCTACGTCATATAAAATAAAAATAAAAAGGTTAGAAGTTATGATTCAACCTAAAGGTCAAGGGTTGGGTTGAAAGACTACACTCTCATTTCCAATTTCTGTTATATTATATTTTTTTCTCTTCTTATTTTTTTTTAATTTTTTTCTAAAAAAGTAGATGAACAATTATGCAATGTATATAACTTTTAAATAAAGTATGGTGGAAGATATAAATACTTTCTATAATTATATCAGTATTTTTAGTTATTATCTATACATAGTGTATTTATAATAAAAAAATACTTCTTCCGTCCTAAATATCTTGCAATATTTTTTTTTTTTTGTATATCCCAAAACACTTTACAATATTTTCAAAATATGAAATAATTAATTATATTTAATTTCTGTCTCACACTTTATCCCCTAACATCATCTAAATAAAAAAATAAAATATATATTTTTCTTTCCATCACATCACCTAATATCTAAATTATCCTATTTAATACTACCCACCTAAAAACTCGTGCCAAAAATAAATGTTGCATCTCGTTTGAGACGTAGGAAATATTGATTTATATGTTTATTATTTTTATTTTAATTAAGAATAAATAACTTGATATTATTTATTTAATTTATTTCTTTATTTAATTTTAAATAAAAGTCTTCAATAAACTATTATTTCGTTATGTAAGAGTGTGTTTGTTCGAGGATTAGATTTTAAGTTTACTATTCATTTTTTTTTTCAAAAAAAAATTAAATCAAACACATATTTTTCATTTTTTATATTATATTAAAAATTAATTTTACATTCAAAATATCACATCATACAATTACTCAAATTCAAAACTTTTACTATTCAATTCTCAACTCAAAATCAAAACCCAAAACCAATGAAATATTTATTTTTTAATTTCTATATTCAAGAGGTCAATATTATACCCTCTCTTTTATCGGGTTTATTTTTTCCACGAATTTAAGGTATTTTACTATAATAGTGATATATAGTAATAATAAAGTAAATAACTAAAATAATATTATTAGAATTGTGTGATATAAAGATAATAATATTTGTGTAATATATTATAAATTGTAAAGATATTTTTAACGTTAACTAATACATACCATTACTAAAAATAAATATAGATACAAACCGAAATAAAAAAATAGATAAGTTATCGGGGGTGGGGGGCATAGCACAATTCTTCTTGGAGGAGGGTTGTTTGCCCGGGTGACTGATCCTGTGGAAATTCAAAATAAAGAAAATAAAAGCGCGAAGGGAGGCACGAAGATTATACTACTGGTTAAATGTGAGGGCATATGCAATGGTACACTATTTAAAAATACCTCTTAAATATACTGTAAGGACATCCGCAACCGTACATCTCCTCCACCACATCATCATTTAAAAAAATATAAAAAATAAAAATTAACAGCTTCGCTTCTTACAAAGATGCTGGGAAGATGCAATTTTATTGCCATGTGTCCTAATTTAATTGGGACATATGACATTAGAATGTATATATATGTATATATATTATATATTATATATATTTTATTTTTGTAATTTATATTGAATTTATTGTTATATTTAAATTTTGTAGTATTTTTATAATTCATAATATTTTATATTTTATAAAATGATATTAATATTGAATATATTTTATTAATTTGAAATTTAATATATAAATACAAATATTAAATAAATATTTTTTTAATAAATCAAAATATTGACAAATAATAATATAATATAATATAGTATAATAATTAAATAAATAATTAATACTACAATTAAAACTATAATTAAAAAATATAATATATATAGATAATATGAAAATAAAAATTTATTAAAAAATTAGAATGAGTATTTTTGTTGTGAATATAAAATAGAAGAGAATATCTCCGCTGATATAATAGAGAGAGAATGTGACGTGAAAAAAAAAAAATAATGAAGATACTAAAAAAGAATTGGGTATCTTCATTGCGGATATCTAAAGATGACCTAGATGAGAGGTGTGCAGATAGACTAATTCCGACTTCTCTAGGTCATCTCTGCGGCATAGGATTTGACTAGTCCCAATAAAAAAAAGCTGGTTGCAAATAGGTAATCAACGAAATTATTCTGTGGGGAACTAAACATCAATAAATAAATAAGCATAATAAAAAGAACTTAAAACCAAGTTCCCCGAAACTAAACTAAACTAATCCTCATTTATTTTCTTCCACTTAATCAATCTAAATTACTATCTAATTATATATAGGATCTTCTAGAAGCCCCATCTCCTTCTTCTCCCCTTCAATTCTCTTGTACAAAAACTTGTTCGTCACAAAGAGATACCCACAGAAATTGGCGGCGCTCATCGCCGCCAAAAGCCAGTAGAAATTTTCGAGCTTTGCCCTGTTGAGGTTATCGCCCAGCCATGGCTGCCCTGCTTTTGAGCTAATCCACTTCACAATCGTTATCAAAATACTGCTCATAAAGTTTCCGACGCCGGTGACCGTAAGATACGCCGCCGCGCCGAGGCTCCTCATCCCCGGCGGCATTTGGTCGTAGAAGAGCTCCTGCAGTCCGATCACCGTGAAAACGTCGCAGAAACCCATCATTACGTACTGCGGGATCAGCCACCACGCCGCCATGGGGAGCACCGCCGTCGGCTGGTCAAGGAGGCCGTGCTGCCGGGCGACGCGGAGGCGGTTGGATTCGAGCAGGGCGGCGACGGACATGGTGAGGATGGAGAGGACTAGGCCGGTGCCGATTCGTTGGAGGATTGTTATGCCGGAGGGGTGGCCGGTGAGGCGGCGGAAGGAGGGGACGAGGAGGCGCTCGTAGAGGACGATGGAGATTAGGATGGTGAGGCCGGGGAATACCTGCAGTCATTAAATTAATAATAATAATAATAATAGTCGTGTAATATATTATAATTTTAAATAATATTTATTATGTTTAGTATTATAAATTAGTAAATTTATTTTGGAATGGATGAAAATAAATAATAATAACCTATTGATTGTACAGAAAGAGTATTATAATATTTTTTTGTTATTTAATAATCTATTTATAATTTTACTATATTTCAATGCAAAAAGTAAATAGATAAATATGGATCGAAGAAATAATAATAAAAAATATAACTATTGTAAATAGACTAAAAAATAGAAAGAATAAGTCAGGATAAAGTATATTTTATATAATGTATTATAAATATAATATAGTATTAAAATTTTAACATATAATCTCATAGTTATTAATTCACCATTCATCCAGGGTGTGTTTGTTTGAAGGATTTTGGAGGATTTTTACTATTCATCCAATTTTTTCCCCCCAAAAACATCACATCAAACACCTATTTTTTATTTTTTATATTATACTAAAAATCAATTTTACATTCAAAACATCACATCAAACCCTATTTATATCACATCATACAACTATTCAAATTCAAAATTTTTACTATTCAAATCCCAATCCAAAATCCAAACCCCCAAACAAACACACCCCCAGTGTATTAATATTTATCTATATTATATAATTATTAAATATAATATAAATATTAATATGTTGTTTTTAATATAATATTAATTTATATTATAATTTTAAAAAATATATATTTAATTTGGTATATATTAAAAAAAAAAGGAGGAATAATATAAATTCTCTGAAATTGCACAAATTATACCTGGAAGGAGGCCGGCGGGACCTGGAAGGTGGCGGTGAGGTGGAGCCGGAGAGTGCTGATTTGCTTGGTGAAGTAGGTGTTCACCTGCGCGAGGACGACGGCGAACATCAGGCAGGTCAGCCATATCGGAATTAGCTGGAGGACGAGTTTAGTTTCTTCGATTTGGTTGATTGAACAGAGTCGCCATGGATTTCTGACTTCGCGCAAAGCATCCTCGCCGTCGATCATGGCGGCTTTGTCTAGGAATCTGAATCTAGCCGTACTGGTGAGAATCCGACCGCCGTAGAGGTTACTATCTTCCTCTTCGTTGCAAACGCCGCGCGCTTCCTTCGCCGATAGTCGCTGCTTCCTTGCGGCGGCGACGGCCACCTGCGCGAGCCTCGTGAACGGACTCCCCACCGGAACCTCCCGCCGGTAGCTTCCGCTCCCAACCAAAAACACGATGAGCGCGGCGGCGACCGCCGCCGACAGGATAGCGTAACCTACGCTCCATCCGATGTGATCCTCGATGTAGACGACCACCAGAACCGCCATCGTTGCGCCGAAGACGATTCCGACGAACCACCAGTTGAAGAAGGAGCTCTTCGCCGCCTTCTCCTCGGCGTTACTGTCGTCGAATTGGTCGGCGGCGAAGGTTTGCACGCACGGTCTGTGACCGCCTTCGCCGACGGCGAGAATGTACAGAGATGTGAAGAAAACCGTGTGCCGGAATTGCAGCGGAACGACGGAGACGGCGATGGTTAGCGAGATAAGGCCCTGTTTGGCACGCCAACAAATCAATTGTCATAAAATTTATCATTCTAACATCACATTCCGCGTGACGGTGTGTCGTTATTCGTAGAATCAACAAATTCCATTTCCTAAATATAGTCATCAAACAAACACTGCAGAAAATTAAAAACGAAAAATATATAAATGTATATATGAATGGAAGCATACAAGGAGGTAGATACTGGTGGAGGCGAGGATCATCCTAAATCGACCGACGTACGAGTCGGCGAGGAAACCGCCGAGCACGGGGAACACGGCGGAGACGCCGATCCAATTATTAACATTTCTCGCGGCGGTCGCCATCGGCTGGTGGAACACCTTTGTCAGGTACATCATCAAATTTGCAGAAACTCCATAGTACGCAAATCGCTCTGCTACCTCCACAGCTGGCAGTAACGGAAACATCGAGCACAGCTCCTCAACCAACCACAATAAATAAACACGAAAACATAAATGAAGAAGAAGAGGAGTTTAGCTGCACATACCGATGATAAAAATGGCGGATTTCCAACCGCCGCGAGAGGAATTGCTCGGAGGCTCCATAGCCATAGGAGGTTGGGATGGATGGTGGAGTGAGTGATTTATTCATTCATTCCCTTCTCCCTTTTTATAACAAATATCAATAAATGAAATGAATGGGATTAATTGAACCTACTTGGCAACTTTTGTCTCTTCCTTTGGAGGTTGGGAGGTCAGAAAGCACTTTAGAGTTTGTTTTTAGAGTTTTGATTTGAAATTTGAATAATAAAAAGTAAAAAACATAAATTTTTATCTCAATATATATATATATATAATTTATCAATTTGATTTTAATATATATTAAACTGATTGAAATTATATAGAATGAAAGTTGATAAAAAAAAATTATATTTAAATTAAAATTAATAATTTTCTACTATATTAAAACCAAAAGTGATTATTTTTCTAAGATAGTATTAATATATATTAAATTTTTTAATAATAATATTTTGAAAATAATTTTAATAATAAAAATAAATATGTAATATAATATCTATAGTTGATAAAAACAAATAAAAATTTGAAAATAATACAAGGTTTGTTCATCCAACATTTTTTATTAACACAATTTTTTATGAATATTAATAAAAAATATAATATTCCATCCGTCCATTAAAAGATTATTATTTTTCATCTTCGTATGTCCCAAAATAAAATTATTATTTCCTAATTTAGTAATTATACTACCTATTTAACATAATAGATATCTTTTAACTTACGATATATTACACAAATATCATTTATTTTATATTACACCGTACTAATAGGGATATTTTTGTCTTTTAATATAATACTAATATTAAAAAAATTTATGTGCAAAACATAAACACCACCTTTCCAATGGGACAGAAAAAGTATATACATATATTCATATAATACAATATTTTCTTCATCTCATTTAGCATGTTCAAATTATGTAGATAGAAGAAGTTAGAATAAGTATATTTAATAATAATTAAAAATATATTAGTAAAAATAATATCTTTTATAATCTAAATAATTATAAATTATAGTTATAATTACTAATTATTTTAATTTAAATTAAAAAATAAAAATAACTTCGAAACTAAATATTCAACAAACAAAATAATATGTATATGTATAAAAAGCATGTTTAAAAATCAATAATCCTCCTTCCGTAGTTAATTTATCTATTTTATTATTAATTCATCATTGTTTAGTAGTTGTATTTTACACATAACTTTAAGAGATTATTTACAATTTATATATTATTATAAAAATATATTATCATTATTACTGTTATTTAACTAATTTATTTTTTATTTTTTAAAAAAATTATAATTTATAAATTATTACAAAAATGTCATTATTATTATTTAACTAATTTGTTGTTTTTAAAAATAAATTTGACTATAACTTTTATGTATGTATACATATCAAATAATAATATTTTTTTAAAAAATACAATGAGTAAAAAGTAGATGGATAAACACATATCTGTTATGAATATATCTCATGAATATATATATATTATATTGTAAAAATTTAGAATCAAAACACCATTGATATTAATATAATATAAATACATTGTTTGTGTCTTTGTTGTTCGCTAACTTATATATTTATTCACTCATAATTTTTTATTCTAATAAATAGTAATTAATTTGTCATAACATTTTATATTAATATTATTTTTAATAATTTTTCTATAATATAATTACTTTATCATTATTATTATTATTTTTACTTATTTGACTTTTATATTAAAATTATTATTTATTTTCTAAATGTATACTATAAAAAGTATACTAATATAATAGAAAATAATTAGGGTACTAAATGGATACTCATCACAATGTTTATTATAGCCTATTCAATATATTAAATAATCATCTTGCTAAAAGTTTAAATTTAAATCAAATGATCATTGTGTGTTTGTTTGGGGGATTGAACACTATTCATTCAATTTTTTTCCCAAAAAAACATCAAATTAAACACCTATTTTTTATTTTTTTATATTATATTAAAAATTAATTTTACATTCAAAACATCACATCAACACCTATTTATATCACATCATACAACTATTGAAATTTAAAATTTTTACTATTCAAATCTAACTCAAAATCCAAAACCCAAAACAAACACATCCTTAATTAATGTTGTGATAATATACATTAGAATATATGATGGTCTAATATAATGTAGAAGAAAAAAAATGTGACGTGGAGGTTGAAAAATATCTTTTATGGGAATATACTCTTGTATATTTTATTTTATCAATTTTTATAAAAAATAATTATACATTCGTATTAAAATATATTTAATTTTTATATAAATTATAAATAATTTTTACACATAAAATAATAAAGAATAATTATTAAAATAATTTTACACATTTTTATTAAACGAGGTGTAAATTAAGCATCAGAAATCAAACTCATAACTTCAATCATATACACTGTCCCACCATCACTTACGGGATTGATTATATAGAAGATGATTTAAACATTTTTATCTTTTCTACCCACTCACTCCATTTTCCTTGCCACGTGCAATGCGTGCTAAAATGAATCACATTTACAGTCAATTCTTTAAGTCAAGGGCCACAATCTACACTACACAACACTACAGTTTCAACAAACCTCCGGGCCGGGCCTCCCTACTACTAGTCCCACGACCATTGCTTTTCAATCAGTCGTGCGTCACTGGGGTTGATCCACTGCCGTTTTCCACTCCGACCAGACTAGACTAGACCGGACCACTACACTTGCTGTCTGGTAATACTCTCGACTCCATTTCTACTGATAGTTTGGGGATTTGTGTTTAATTTAGGGAAATAGTTTTGATGCCTGCGAATGCTAGAGTTTCGTGCTTTTTTGGCGTGGAATTCTAAATTGCTGGATTGCGTGTACGTATATCTATTCCGATTGCGCGGACTAATCTGGCATGTGTTGATTTGATTGGATTGTGAAAGTATTGGGTAGGTTTTCTGCCATTAAGTGGATGATTTGATGTTATTGGGAAACTGTTGGACTGTGTCTGCTGTCGTATGAGTTTCTGTATATGATGCGATGATAGTTCCGTGGGGAAGTGATATTAGAAGTGAGGTCTCGCCTTATTTGGATTAACATTTATTTGTTGGGATTGGAATGAACGGAAAGCTATTAGGACTAGATTAACTTTGATAGAAATGGTATCATTGAGTTAAAACTGAAATGTTATCTGATGTATTCAGCACTTTTGTTGTGTTGTATATAAGCTGAATGGATAATGTGTATGGGACTGTGATTTAAATCGTCATCTATTGCTTGATGCGGAGCTTCTTTTGGTTATATTTTTGGTCATAGTGTGTGGTTTACTTCGTGGATTGTTTTTTTATTGGTATGCGGCTAGGTTATTGCATTCTGGAAACAATTCTTTCGTCAGTTGGTTTGGATGTGGATTTCTATTTGTGAATGAGTTTCTTGTTCTTCTAGATGGGTTCATTGTCTGGTCAACTTGTTTTACCTGCGAGTAATGGTTACAAGATATGGGAGGATCCTTCTTTCATCAAATGGAGGAAGAGAGATGCTCATGTCCCTCTGCGCAGCCATGAATCTGTCGAAGGTTTCTGAAAGCTCTCACTGTGCTTTTTAAATTCTCTCAACTAATAGGTTATATAATTTCTTTCTGGAGTTGCATTATGCATGCACATTGCTCTAGTTATCAAAGACATTTAACAATCAAACTCGATTTACCTTTGTACTTCTGTAAGTTTTAATCTCGTTATGATCGTAATTGCACAAATTTACAATGAGTGCTTAGGATCTCTGAGGTACTGGCATGAGCGCAACAAAGTGGATTTCTTGGTGTCGCAAACAGCTGTTTGGGATGACGATGCTGTTGCTAAAGCACTGGATTGTGCTGCATTTTGGGTCAAGGATCTGCCTTTTGTTAGGTCTTTGTCTGGACATTGGAAATTCTTTCTGGCCTCCAGCCCTACTAGTGTTCCCTCTGAATATTATAATGGATCTTTTCAAGATTCTTCCTGGTCTACTATACCAGGTAAATATTATTTTTCCTTTGTAATAAATATGGTTAGTTGTATGCTCGAATAAATTTGTTGTGCTAGATTCTTTTGCTTCTTATTGTTGCCATGCCGCTATTACAACTTCAGTGGATTTTATGAAGACATAGGCTTAGAGTATTCTAAAGTATGAAATAATAGCTTCATCTATACTTATGTCAGGATCAATGGTAATCCATGATCTTTGAGAATCCTGTTATTTCTTTGAAATCTATAAGCACAAAACAACCAATTAAGTGCAAACTGCAAAGAGTTTTGTTTCATCCACTATTTGCAAGTTAGGTGAATCATATAGAGCTGCAACATTGCAACATTTTGAATTGTTTATTTTATGCTATTTTAAAAATGCCTTGGAAAATCACCTTGCTGCAATGCTACATCTTTTTGAAACAGTAATAGAAAAAGAGAACAATGTAAAATCTAAATTCACTTTCTGTTAGTAATTGTCCATCGCTTATTTCACAATACTAAGGTCCAATGTGTCAATGCTTTCAAGTTATTTAATACCTTTCTGCAATTAGAAGGTCGAATTGGTTAAGCTGTAAACTGTTTGCTTATCTGGTGAAACAGTTCCCTCAAATTGGCAGATGCATGGATTTGACAAGCCAATCTATACAAATGTTGTGTATCCATTTCCACTTAATCCACCTAAAGTTCCTGAAGAAAATCCCACTGGTTGCTACAGGACTTACTTTGATATTCCAAAAGAATGGGAAGGTATGCTATATTATGGAAATCGTGAATTCCTTATAAAATTTCTAGTGCCTAGATGTACCTCCATTTCCTTCCACTTGCTTGTGTATTTCACAAAATTTACTACAGTCATTGAGAAAGTATCTTAATGCCTTTTGAATTTCATGCTCTCAGGAGAATATGCTGCCTGATAGTTAGAACTGCCCATATTTATCCTTTTCTTTACATTGATTTGATGCAAGTACTTTGTGATAGATCAATTCAATATTCTATAATGGCTCTTGAGAAAATTGAGCAGAAGCACTGCCCATATTTATTTTAGAGTACTGTGATATGCTACACTTTGAACTTTGAAACACAATAAACTTTTATTACAGGTAGGAGGATATTTTTACATTTTGAAGGAGTGGATTCGGCTTTCTTTGCATGGGTAAATGGATGCCCCACTGGATATAGGTTTGTTGCCTCCTAACACTACATGCACAGACCAACCAGTGAATAGGCATGTTACTGTTCTGCATATGTTTAATATGAGAACACTTCTTTGAATTTGCCAGCCAAGATAGCAGATTACCAGCTGAATTTGAGATCACTGACTTTTGTCGTCCATGTGGATCTGAAGAGAAGAATTGTCTGGCTGTTCAGGTCATGCGATGGTCTGATGGTTCTTATCTTGAAGATCAGGATCACTGGTGGTTATCTGGCATCCATCGTGATGTTCTTCTTCTTTCTAAGCCTAAGGTTTCTAAATAGTTGTGGTTTATTTATTTATTTTTTAACTGGAGCCAGTAGTGCTAGAAACTGACCTTTGCTAACAATAAACTTCAAGTTGTGAATAATTGCTAGTTTCCATGCCATGAAAATTTTATCTTCTAGACATAATGTTTTGTTCATTTGATCAAACATCACTCCTAAACATATTGGGTTGCTGGCATACTGCTATAGCTTTGACAAAACTTGTTTTGATGTTTCAATTCCTCAAAAATAGAGAACTTAAAAATAGAAAAGAAGGCTAAATTCCTTTTCATGTGAATCTTGTATGACTCTATGGACTAGCTGCATTCTCTTGCATATTTCACTGTCCTTTGTTGATTGGTGGATCCTATCTGCAGTTTATCATTCTACGTCTTGTTCTGGTCATTATTGACTCTGTGAATTTATTGTGATCCAAGTTCACATTAATCTGCAGGTCTTTATTGCCGATTATTTTTTCAAATCAAGCTTGGCTGAAGATTTTTCATATGCAGATATTCAGGTATCATATTACTTGCATACAGGAAACTAAGCTTGTTTATCTGATCTTTTGTGGAGTGTAATTGATTTGGTGTATAGTTAACTTATTAAATGATGCAGCTAGTTTTTCAAGGGTTATGTTCTCTTACACTCTGGTGGATTAAAAGTGTGATAGTTCGACTAAGAATTGAAGTGTGGGTTATACGGGGGGCTACAGACTATAATGTTTGCGGGCTGGTGTTTAGTACTGCAGGATCTTTACTGCTAATTGTTTTAGAATTAGCAGAACCAAAACCTGCAGAATGATCTATTTTACCAATAAAATAGCTTTTTAGATCATCACATCTATTCTTTGAGAACATATCAATTAAAATGAGGATGATTCATCTAAAGTCCTTACCATCAGAACTTATTTTCGTAATTCATGCCTTTTTGGAGCAACAATATAGAAAGATGGAAAGGTAAATATTTGATGAAGAAGACATATGCCTTGATAGTTGAAATTAGTTTACTTTCAGAACTGTAAACAATTATGAAGTTCATACATAGCAACTCCATGAATTTGTTTGTTATTGGCTTTTACCAACTATTCAGGTTGAGGTAAAAATTGACAACTCCGCAACGAAGATGGACAACTCAACAACAGAACCTGGAAACTGGTTTAAGCCATCTGAAGACAAGTTTACTGCAAGCTTCACCATTGAAGCTGAAATTTTTGACAACGGGAGTTTGTACACCAGCAAAGGACATGGAAATCTGCAAGCTAAAAGTGTGGCTTGTCTGAAAATGACAAGTTGTGTGGATTATTATCTTGGTTTTCTAGGATATCATCTCAACGGGAAACTGGAGATTCCCAAGCTGTGGAGTGCTGAGCAAGTAAAAGCTTTCTGGCCTAAATTTAAATTTAGCATTCCCGGTATTATTGGTTTATTATGCAGTGCCTGATTACTTTCATTTAATGATGAGCTGTGCCAGTTAACTTCATCGTAAATCACAACAATTTATTGGATACAAAGTAATGTCCATAAATTTTTAGACTTGGGAAGCACACTATTTAGCTTTGTCAAAGCTACATTACTAAAATTTATGCATAGGGGCAAATTTTAAGATCGTATCAGTAATTTTTGTACCCGATTAATGGCTGATTGAATCAGCTCAGTATGATATGGTGGTCTGAAAGTTCCTATTCAGCTAGGATGTAATTTTTTGGCACACTCAACTTACCAATCAGAATCTACTTGTACAATAGGCAAGTCTTGAATAGGTAACTAGCATGGAAAGTTTGGATTCTCTTGCACTCTAATTTATATCATACAATGCTTTACATTCCATTTTTAAAGAAAGATTTCTTTGCAATAATATGTGGGCATGGAAGAGAAGGCTTCTAAAATATGGTTGCTATTAAGTAGATAAATGCATGGGATTATTTCTCTGGCAATACTATCTGAAGTCTTGGACTCATTGATTGTCCTATTATGATATATTTTATATCTTGAGTGTCTTATAGATCATCTGAATATTGTGACAGCCAAACCTTTATACTCTTGTTGTCACGCTCAAAGATACATCAGGGAATGTCGTTGATTGCGAATCATGTCAAGTTGGAATCCGACAAATATCAAAGGCCCCGAAGCAACTGCTTGTGAATGGACAACCTGTGATGATAAGAGGAGTAAACAGGCACGAACACCATCCGCGTCTTGGGAAAACAAACTTGGAGTCATGCATGGTTCAGGTTGGGTTTTTTCCTCCTAGTTTAATGTTCATTTCCAGGAGTTTCAAGTAGTTGTAATTTGCAAAAATTCTTGTGTTTGCTATGTTTGTCTAGGATCTGGTTTTGATGAAGCAAAGCAATATCAATGCTGTCAGAAACAGCCATTATCCTCAACATCCGCGGTGGTATGAGCTTTGCGATCTCTTTGGGGTTTATATGATCGACGAAGCCAATATCGAAACACATGGGTTTCACCTTTCTTCGCACCTAAAGCATCCTACGGGAGAACCAGTTTGGGCATCTTCCATGTTGGACAGGGTAATAGGAATGGTTGAGAGGGACAAAAATCATGCATCCATCATTTCTTGGTCTTTGGGAAATGAATCGAGCTATGGGCCTAATCATTCTGCACTAGCTGGTATGTGTCGCTGAGCTAGTGTCTTGCTTTTACTTTATTTGAAACAATGCTCTGCCCTATAATAAGTATGTCTTTTAGTGATTGAAAGTGAAAGCCAGCTAATGGAGTTGCGTCTGGCCATTTCAGGTTGGGTACGGGAAAAGGATTCTACTAGAGTCTTGCACTATGAAGGTGGTGGGGCGAGAACATCTTCAACAGATATTGTTTGTCCCATGTACATGCGTGTTTGGGACATGGTTAAGATAGCAAAAGATTCATCTGAATTGCGACCCCTAATATTGTGCGAGTATGTTAACAGTTTCTTAATGCTCACAATAGAAACTTTAATGAGCCTCCCAATATAATGTGGTATGCTGATCGAGCTGCTAATTGGCAGGTATTCACATTCGATGGGAAACAGTACTGGAAATATACATGAATACTGGGAAGCGATTGATAATACGCACGGTCTACAGGGAGGCTTCATCTGGGATTGGGTTGATCAGGTAAAAGAAGCAAGTGAAGTTTTACATGTCACAGTTTTATATTCTAGTGGCTTAACTAAACTATATACGAAAGTAAATATAAGATTTTATGCATAAAACTACATATCACAGTCAATTATGTTAGATTTTACTATTCTATGGTAAGTTTGGCACGTGCAAAATTTTAATTAGTGCACGGATTGAATGATGTCGAAGCTTGTCTAATTACATTTTCGTCTTTGTATAGCGAGTGTTTTAAAATAAAGTATATGAAGTTCATGAGTTGTAACATAACATTAGTTGATACGTCCCTCCTTGCTCAGGCTTTATTAAAGGAGGGTGGAGATGGCTGCAAGCATTGGGCATATGGAGGTGATTTTGGGGATACTCCGAATGATTTGAACTTTTGCCTCAACGGTCTTATATGGCCTGATCGAACCCCTCATCCCGCTCTACATGGTAATTTTAGTGATTGTAAATGATTATCACTTAGAATTGCCTTTGAAGATCATTTTATTTCGTCGCTGTAATTGCAGAGGTGAAGTATGTCTACCAGCCAATCAAAGTTTCACTCGAGGATGGGATATTCAAGGTTTTCTCCTAAACTAATCGAACCGATTTCCTTATTGAAAAATCTTCTTACCTTAGAATCTGATATATTATGTATATATATATACTGTAGATTACAAATACACACTTTTTTAGCACAACTGAAGGATTAGAATTCCACTGGGTGATGCATGGTGATGGTAGCGCCGTGGGTTGTGGAGTTCTAAACCTGCCCACGATAGCTCCTCAGAAAAGTCACGATATGGAATGGGATTCTGGCCCCTGGCATCACCTATGGGATAAATCAGATGCAGCAGAAATATTTTTAACTGTATCCGCACGGCTTTTAAGCTTGACGAGGTGGTCTGAAGCTGGACATATAGTTTCATCCACACAAGTTCTGCTACCTATGAAGACGGAAATTGTTCATCTTGTATGTATTCTTGTTGCAGTCAACTTTTGGTCATCAAATTCGAAATGTCTGATGAATTTTATGGTTTCAGATCTCAGAAGGCGAGCCTGAATCGTTCTCTATTGAAGATCTTGACCTTGCTATAAAAGTTAAGAACCAGAACCTGTGGGAGATCATATTCAACAAAGAAACCGGATCCATCGAGAGCTGGAAGGTAAGTGTCTCCATGCTTATCGCATACCGGATATGCTATTTTCCCACTCGAACATTTCTTGCGTAATTTTGTTAACTTTCTTACCGCTTATTATCATTAATGGTAAGGTCGATAATGTCTTGGTGATGAACAAAGGAGTTTTACCGTGTTTCTGGAGGGCGGCAATAGACAACGACAAGGGGGGCGAGGAAAAAAGTTACCTTTCAAGATGGAAAGCTGCGAAACTGCACACTTTGGCATTCAACAGCGACAGTTGCAAGGTTCTAAACGCAACGGATGATATGGTGCAAATCGCAGTCGACTATCTTGGCATTCCGGAAGGCTTAGAAACATCTCTTTTTGAAGTCAAAATGCTCTACTCGATTTATGGTTCCGGCGATGTCATACTGGATTGCCATGTAAACCCGAACTCAGACTTGCCGCCTCTCCCTCGCGTGGGGATTGAATTTCATGTCGACAAATCCATGGATCAGGTCCAGTTCTATGGAAGGGGACCCTTCGAATGTTACCCCGATCGCAAAGCTGCTGCACACGTCCGGACTTACGAGCAAGATGTGGGAAGCATGCATGTTCCCTACATTGCTCCCGGAGAATGCGGAGGCAGGGCCGACGTCAGATGGGTGACTCTACGAAACAAGGATGGCTGCGGCATCTTCGCCTCGGCGTACGGAGGATCTCCGCCGATGCAAATGAATGCAAGTCACTATGGCACCGTAGAGCTTGAGAGGGCAACACACCATCAAGAACTAGTAATGGGACAAGACATTGAGGTACCTATCGTATATATAGACATCATTCATTTTTACAATATAAAAATTTGCCGTCACTATTCTTTAAGTACACATTACATAAGTTGTGCGTAATAGTATGCAAATTATGCTAGCAAGGTAAGTCATAGTAAATAGCTCTTATGTGATAAACAACATAAAGAGGGATCTGATGCTTTGAATTCATAATCTCATGAGTATAAGTTCAGATCGTACACCAATTTGATCACCACTTATTAGTTGATAAATAGCTCTTATGTGATAAACAAGATAATAAGGGATCTGATATTTTGAACTCATGATTATAAGTATAGATTGCACACCAATTTGATTACCTCTTGTTAGGCGTACATAGAGATCATTCTTGAAATCGAACTTTATGTCCATTGTGAATCTTGTGTTCTTCTTTGTGCAGGTTCATCTCGACCACAAGCACATGGGAATAGGCGGAGACGATAGCTGGTCTCCATGCGTGCACGATAACTATCTCATTCCTCCGACACCGTACTTTTTCAGCGTCAGATTCTCGCCGGCGCCGGCCGGCGTCTCCGGTCATTCAATTTACACCGAGCAGCTTCAGAATAACTAGCTGAATCGTTTAATAGGCTGTTGATTGTATTCAATAAGGTTTAACTTTACTATAAACTCATGAGCGCATATGGAGAAGACAAGACGAAGATGTGGCCTTATTTATTTCCGTTGGATAAGAGCCTTATATATATATATATATGTATCTTCCATCATCGTTCAACCATGAATGGGTAAAACAGGGCAGGGGAGAATTGTTAGATCCCCACAAGCAAAATTCACCTTAGGGGTGTGTTTGTTTGGAAGATTGGATTTAAATCCAACTATTCATCCAATTTTTTTCTTTAAAAAATGTCAAATCAAACAATTATTTTTTATTTTTTATATAATATTAAAAATCAATTTTACATTCAAAATATCACATCAATACTATTTATATCACGTAATTATTCAAATTCAAAATTTTTACTATTCAAATTCCAATTCAAAATCTAACCCCCAAACAAACACACCCCTAATTTGACCAAACCCTAATTCCCCACATTATTTATTCAGAGTCAACATAAACCCACCCAACCGCAACGAGGAGTTAGTTCGATTCCTTCATCCTCAAATTCAGATCAGAGAAAGCTTAAAGCTACAGTCGAGCTAATCCAGGTCGTGATTTGTGGATCTGTAGGTATCCGCCATGGACGCCGTAAAGAGGAGAGCTATAAAAACGCTAGTTGGAAAACTGACCTCAGTATCGGAGCAGACGCGGACGGAGGCAATCTGCGAGCTGCGTCTCCTCTCGAAGAACGACGCCGACAGCCGGCCGCTGATCGCGGAAGCCAACGCCGTGCCGTTGATCGCCGAGTCGCTGTACGCGCCGGCGGTGATTCTGCAGGAGAACGCCGCCGCGACGCTGCTGAATCTCTCAATTTCTTCCAAGGATCACCTCATGTCGTCACACGGCGTGCTCGACGCGCTCTCCCACGCGCTCCGCCATCCGGCGACTCCATTCGTCGCGCAATGCGCTGCCGCCACCATTTTCAGCCTGTTGAGCTTCGAACCCTACCGCCCGATCATAGGCCACAAGAGAGACATAATCTTCGGCCTGGTGGAGATTGTGAGGAGCCAGGGCTCGGCCGCCCGGTCCATCAAGGATGCTCTGAGAGCTCTTTTCGGCGTGGCTCTGTATCCGCTGAACCGGGCTCAGATGGTGGAGCTCGGGGCGGTCCAGGCCCTGTTTACATTGGTGGTTAAGGATGGGAGGGTAGGGCTCATCGAGGACGCGACGGCGGTGATCGCGCAGGTCGCCGGATGTGAGGAGAGTTGGGAGGTTTTTAAGAAGGCGTTGGGGATGGAAGTGTTGATGGATATGCTGGATAATGCGACGGGGTCGAGTTTCAGGACAAAGGAGAATGTGATCTCGGCGCTGCTGAATTTGGTGCAATGTGGGGGTCAAGAGGTTGCGAATGATGTGAAGGGGAAGATGGAGTCGAGGGTTGTTGATGGGATTGTCGAGGTGGCTGAGAGCGGGAGCGAGAAGGGGAAGAGCAAGGCTGTCGCGCTTTTGAAAGCTCTCGACATTCGGGATAATGGGAGGCTCGAGTCTTATTCGAGCCTCACTTCTTGAGAAGAGGGCTTTTGAGGTAATGATTTTTTTCTTGTTCTGTGTTTGTAGATATGTTTGTTATGTGTATATTGTGTTTGTGAATTGTGATCAAGATGGAGATTTTAAGTGTGTTCATTTGAAGTTAATGGTAGAATGGAATCTCATATATATTGTCGAAAAGGTGCGAACAAGGTAAATATGATAGTTTGTGATTTTTTTGAAGAGTGAATGTTTTGGTTTGAAGAATGCGACCCTAATCGTTGTTTTTTTGGGTTGAGCCGCCTCTAGTTTTGGCAATTGTCTGTTAAGTTAGAAAGAACCTATGGTGCGAATGATTGTTTCGATTCAGTGTGATGTCCTAGGAAGGGCTTTCGATGAGGAACTTTATTACAAACAAGTTTTTGTTAAGATATTGATCTTGATGAACATTAGTGCAGCTATTACTTTTTTAGTCTCCTAACTTGTACAAACAGCTGAATCAATTTCATCAAAGGTTGCCTAATTTTTCAGTAGAAGAATGTGAGTTTCCGCAATGAGTAAATCTCGATTGAACCTAATATCCTGCAACCTAGGTCCGATAAGGTAAGTTGGGACCGCTCCCTACACCACCATATCATCCTTATGGGACCAAAAGAATGTGAGTTTAGATATATGATCAATGGCCAATCCAGAAGAGCGGTTCACTCAAGTTGGTTTCATTATAATGAATGTATGACTGACTACCCAAATGGGTTTGAATTACTTTTAGTTGTTGAGGATTTGGTCCTTAGTGGCCAAGTTGTGTTCATAGTTTTTTTTTTTTTGTTTTTGGTGTGGGTGGTAGTTAGGGTGCTTGTTACGGCCAATCAACACATGAAGTATAAATTAATAGGACATAATGTATAAATTAATATTGAACATATTATAATACAAATACAAGTTAAACAATACATCATAATTGGTTTACACAATATTTCAGTAACACATGCATACTATGAATTGACAATATATTCAGATTTAGGGGTATCTTCAATCTAGAGTACAAAATTTCATTGGGTTTTTAATTAGTTGCAATTGACAATCTCTGCCCGAACTTAATACCCAGCAAACTAAACCTAACACGACAAATCATACTAGAAGAATTATGTTTGGTGGGTGAACCTCGAAGCTCCGGAATTTGAACTCATGATCTCATGGTCAGAAGCTCACTTCCCGCACACCAGCCATCCCTTTAGGGACGTCTTAGTCTTGTATTTTAGTTGAACATCAGGTATGCTTTGATCAATCATTTATCACGGTAACAAATTTACTCTCCCCACACCACCAGACTGACCAATCATTTAATTATGTAGTATTTTTCAATAATAGAGATTTTTCTACCAAATTATTTTCATATAATATATTACCTTTTATGATGGAACTGAATGTGTTGTTTAAATAGCATTTTATGTTGCTTCTACAATTATGAGTGATTGTTGTATAAATTCATTATTATTAAAAACATTCATGTAACTATACCATACCAAAATGCACAATTGAATCAACAAGCAAGATATGAGCTATTAAACCTCAGTTTCAGACATGTAAATTTATGAAAATTACACTGGAAATCATTATTGTATATATATATATATATAACTTGAAAATCATTACAAATATTTGAGAAATTTAAATGAAAATGTTTTAAAGTAAAAATAATTTATATCTAGTATACAAAATAAATAAATAATTATTATTTAAATAAGAAAGTCAACACACTAATACATAAATGATAATAAAAATTCAAACTAAACAATGAATTTAAAGAATAATCTAATTTCACTAATAATATACTTTTTTTATTATTAAATACAATATTTAAAATCAAGTAGAGTTACATTAGCATCTATCTACCCAACTAACATAAAACGCGACTGTCTCTGTTCTAAAAGTTATATTTAAAAATTTTGAAAAAAAAAAGAAAAAAAAAATCGGTCAAGATTATGAAAATTTTGGATAAATTTTGAAAAATCAGGTTTTCCAGCAATAATTTATATCTTGCCAAAAACATTGCAAGGGAAATTTCACTTAGGCATATGATAAATACCCAAAATTTAATACCATGGATACGAGTGAAATGTTGTAACAAAATGCAATATTAGTAACCAATGAAAGTGTGTGCTAACCTGAAAATGGACTCTATCAGCAGCACAAATTGTTTTCTGAGGTTAAGCCTTTCTCCTCAGAAACAAAGCCAGCAGATACGACAAAGCCGAGTCGACCGACGACAGCGCGACAATGAGCAGAGCAACGATGACGAGGGTCAAGAGAGCAGTCCTCAGCTGCAGGAAACATAGAAACAGAAAGAATCGAAAAAACTACTTCCCGGGAAAGGTCGACAAACATTAATCAAATCAAAAGGCAAACCGTGCTGCGAAAGCTTGGCCATTCGATGTACTTCAGCTGGCCTGGTTGTTCGGCTAAGAACACAAGTAAACTTCGAGTGTTCCTGCAAGAAATTGCTTGCTTCAGTTTTTTACATTATTGAGAATCGAATCCTAAAGAATCAATGAAGTATTATCGAACTTCCTAATCTAAATAAACTATCTAACAAAGTTAAAGCTCTACCAGAGAGCCTCTCGGAAAGGATTTAGCCAAAATGGCTCTTTGCGAGAACTTTGGTGGCTCGGTTCATAATTTCTTTCAGCAGATAAAATACGAGCAGGGCGAGGGCGTGAATGCTGATGATGAAAAAAAGGGATCTCCAGACTTGGATTCTGCAAAATGTATTGGAAGAAAATTAACAGTCGAACATCGAGTGTCAAAATCTCTATATCGGAAGTAGAAATCAACTATGATTACCGTCCTTGAGATTAATCCAGCCCCATATCGAAACTTGTTAAATCCATATTTACTAAATCGACGATGATCCTGGAATGGCGGAAAAGGGTAATCTACACCCTTTGGCAGATTCCTGATTCCTAGAACATGAAAATTCAATAATGTAAAAACAAATTCAGATATTCAACAGCATAATCTATAAGATGAACACGATGAAAATTGAGTTAAATAAAGATGAATTGAACATTGCAACCTGAGAAATTTAACATCCATGCTGAAATGGTTGCCATAGATAGGGGAAGCAAACTAGAATCCAAGCAACAGTGCTGCAAAACGAGGTGGTGCATTCAACAATGTATCGATAACCACGTAAACATCACAGAGATCGTACTCGATTCGAAAGGGGAAGATCGCATATGAACAGCATGAGATGGATCGATAGAAACTGAACTAATTCATCCACAACATGTAATTGATTCAATCACACAGATATTCAGAATGCAATTTGGATTAAATTTTGCAGGTGCAGTTCACGAAAAGCATGTCCAGATTGTCTCCTAAACAAATTCTGCCACCACAAATTCCACTGGACACAGGAATGTTCGTTCAATCGTTGCCAAGAGAAAATTAATAATCCCTTAGGGTTTTTCGATTGGATAACATCAAACCATGGAAAAAACCACCAGAAATTTCAGCACGAATACAAATCCCTTCTTCAAGAGCAAAAGCTTTCTCTGAACATTAACGCCGTGAAATTTTCAATACACCCAATTATTTGTCCCCAAATTCGAAAAAAAATAAAATAAAAAAATAGGGAATGGTAATTCTTAACGGAGCTTAGATGTTGCCGCAAAGGAACTTACGCTGGTGCGCTTTGGGATTAACTGAAGTGGCCTCCGGCCGCGGCAATGGAAACACGGCGGGAGGCGGGCCGAGCAGCTTGGACGCAGGCTTCTCACGTTTTATGGGCAGTAAAGTAAACAGAACTTTTATACTGATACTTCTTTTATTCAGAATTATTAATTAATTATATTTTAAATATAAAATTAATTTTTAATATAATATAAAAAATAAATATTTAATTTAATATTTTTTAAAAAAATTTGAATGAAAAGTGAAATTGAAAAAAAAAAAAAACCTAACAAACACACCCATGTATGAAAAAACAAAATGGCAAAGAAATAAAAATACGTTTTTTCTCAAAACCTCTGCAATATCCCTCTTACTGTCGGCCCGAATCGAAACCCTTCTCTAACAAACCCTATCCAACCTTCACCATCGCCATAACTGCAGAGCTGTCGAGCTAATTCACAATGCAAAGCTCCGTTGTGACATTGAACATGGCGTCTCCACCGCTCCTCAATTCCAATTGTTCGTTGAAATTAAAGAAGCCGAACGCCTTGTTCTTCTCCTCGTCCACCCTAATCAGCTCCAGACCATCAACACTCTCGATTAAAATGCTCCCGAGAAAGCTTCTTTGCAGGCCTGCTGCTGGGAAATACATCCACGATGACTATCTCGTGGTATTTATTTGCTTTGGGTTTTGGCTGTTTCCTTGTAGTTGAATTTCTGAACTTCGTTATTTTGCTTCGGTTCTGAGCATTGATTTCTGAAAGTTATTGTAATTGGCTGGTTGATTATGCATCTTTTGGCATTGTTCGATTACAGTATGATGATCGCCTTTTATTTATGGATTCATTTAATCAAATTTCTACAGAAAAAGCTCTCTGCAAAAGAAGTTCAGGATTTGGTTAAGGGAGAGAGGAATGCACCTTTGGTTCTCGATTTTTATGCTACATGGTGTGGTCCTTGTATTTTGATGGCGCAGGAACTTGAAATGGTAGGAAATGTTACATTTCATTTATTCGAGATTTCGATGTTCTCTTCGATCTTTTTTCTGATGTAGTATAGATTGTGTTAACAATGGCTTCCAAATGGTAGGAAATGTTACATTTGTTCAGGATTTCAATGTTTTATTTTGGATTTGTTTCTGATGTGGTGTAGATTGTATTAAATTGCTTCGATAGAGTTTATTGTAGGTGCTCGAAAGAAAGAACACTTGTCACATTTCTGGATTAGAAGCAATGTAGTTATTGCCGTAGTGAGGTTCTAAGACTATTATTTACTGGGGTCGGGCTAATGATTGATGGTTTAGCTGTTGATAATCACGACTACGTGTAATGATAAAAAATTTGTCGAGGTAGGCGAAAATGAGTTGAATTTGAGTGTGTAATGATAATTGGCTGATTGTCGCCGTATTTCTGCCGGAAGCTTTTATGGGCAATTTTGGTACACTTTAGGCGTAGTTTTTAACAGTGATCTTTCGGTCGTGTGTAAAGTAGAGTGCTCTTTGAATACATTGATTCGAGTTCATCTCAACTCGGTTGCGCCTAAATTATGAAATGGTTTATTAGAAGCGAACGTTAAAAAGTTTGTGTTTATCGATTGAATTTTCTTTATGTATTTTGTGTTGTTCTTCGCTCGCTCTAATCTCGTTTTATCATACCACAGCTTGCGGTCGAGTATGAAAACGCTATAATTGTGAAGGTCGACACGGATGAAGAATACGAATTTGCTCGCGATATGCAGGTGATTCTCTTAAACACCGATGATTAATTATCGAAAATAACTATTTCTTACTTTTTACATCTTTTTACGATAACACGAAGTAATCGTGGCTGCAGGTTCGTGGACTACCGACGGTGTACTTCATCAGCCCCAACCCAAACAAAGAAGCCATCAGAACAGAAGGCCTCATCCCGATACAAATAATGCGCGATATAATCGAAAACCAAATGTGACGCATGATAGGACATTGAAACATTGTTCTTAACAAATTTCTTCGTAATACTCGAAAACTTCGAAAAAGAAGTTGAAAAAACAAGCTTATTACAAGTTTTGCATATGCTGATCATAGCTTTGCAGAAATTCCATCTGATAAGGATAATACATCCCCGGAGAAACCTCTGTCGGCGGCAATGTCGACGAAAAAACTCCGACCGGATAAAACCCGTCTCGACCGTGCCTCTCCATCGTCTCCGCATATGGCGTGCCTATGAAATCATCGGTAACCTCGTGAAACCTGTCATCGTAGTCAGCGGCGGCGATGCAGCGCTCGGCATCGGAGTTTTTTCCGGTGAGTTTCTGGACTATGGATCGGAACCGGGAGGGGCTTGTCTTGACCCTCATGGGGCTGGAGATGTACTTAACTTTGAGTGCATTGTTGCTGCTCTTTTTGGAGGTTTCTTTCTGGCCGTCGGATTTGGGTGATCGGCCTTGAATTCGACGGTGGCGATGAACGTCCATCGTTGATTTCGTGGAAGGATTGAGGTAAGGCGATTTGGTGGCGCAGGTTTCGGACGTATTTATATGCAGGAAATTAATAATAATAATAATTATTATTGTTAATGTTGATGGACTCCAATTCCATTGTGAATTTCTGGGAAGGAGAACGACGATGGAAAATCTAGATAAGAGATTTTGACGATGATATGAGTATCTGTGGGAAGGGCAGAGGAAGTTACGAGGAGCAGAAGCTTCTCTCAAAACCCACTTTCGTACTTCACTGCATGTCCAATGATAAATCAATGTGTTTCCTTTTTGAGTTGGAAAAAAATTTTGTTTGAGTTTGGTACGAAAATAATGTTCGATGAAGTATTTTGTAAGAGAAAAAATACAAGTCCAAATAGTAAAATTTGAAAAAAAAATATTGTTAAAAAAATATAATAATAATTCCTCAGTTCTGCAAGAAGAGCACCTAGACAGGCACGAGTTGCTTGGAGGAGATTGTCGGGATTTGAATTTATAACCTTACTATCACAAGTAATTATATTATATTATATATTGTTAGTTTATGTCTTTGTATACATTTATATATCTTTACGTTCATCTTAAAAACTATTTATTACATGAAAATACTAAATAAAAAAAAATATATATATATATATATATAAGCAACAATAATATTTGGTAAATTTAAAAAAGAAAGAAAATTAGAGTGGATGTGTAATATTAATTGAATTCTCTTATTTTTAGATCAGAAATTCAATTTTGATAATGGCTATATACGATTGTAGAATATATAAGATGTTGGTTGATTAATTAAACACGTGCAGCAGCCACAGGTGACCTTCATAACTAAATTAATTACTAAAATTTTAGTTATAGTAAATTAAAGTATCAAACGATTCAATAGCCAATAAAGTTTTGTGTGGAAAATCCTCGGCTAGTCAATCTGTACTTTTACGTCTCATCACATATTATTCAGTTAGTAATAAGATGCTCATTTCTTTCCGCTCTAAAATATTTTCGTAGCTTTTGCAATAAATTTAAAAGTTGGGAAAGAATTATTTTTAGTTTCAATATAATCAAAATTTGTCAATTTTAATTTTAATATAAAAATTTTATCAATTTTGGTTTTAATATAATCAAAACTCATCGTTTTTTGTCACAATATAACCAAAATTTATCAATTTTTATTCCAATATAAAAAATTTATCAATTTTAGTCCCAATATAACAAAAACTCATCATTTTTTGTTCTAATATAATCAAACTTTATCTTTTTTTGTTCTACCGTCAACAAACTGACGGAAAATATTGAAGTAAAAAGAAATCAAACCTTATATTTATATTTGAAGAAATTGCACAATCTTGCAATTCCACGTTAGCATTTTCCGTCGGTTTGTTAACGGTGGGACCAAAAAAAGATAATGTTTGATTATATTGGGACAAAAAAATTATGAGTTTTAGTTATATTTGGACTAAAATTGATAAAAATTTTATATTGGGACCAAGAATGATGACTTTTAGTTATATTGAGACCAAAAATGATGAGTTTTGATTATATTGAGACCAAAATTAATAAAAAAATTTATATTGAAACCAAAATTGATGAATTTTGATTATATTGGGACAAAAATAATTTTTTTTCTAGAAAAATAATATAAGAGATTTTAACATTTTTTTTATTTATTTATGTTATTGACACAATTTTATGTATTTTATATTAAAAAAATATTGATCCATATTGACACAATGTGACCATTCTTACCGTGAAACCCTTGTAGATCAAGCGGTGAGACATCCTTATATATAGTATACAATTAAATATTGATTGAATAAATATTTTTCAACAGATTATGTGCTTTTATGTAATATTATCACTGTGTCATTGTCCTTAGTGGCTATTACTTTTTGGACTATTATTATATGAAGTTTGGCTTATATATATATATATATATAAATATATATGTATGTAATTGAGGAAAGGGAATTTGAGTACGTTACTAAAGTCAGAAGATGAATCCACGGGAAATTTTGTGGTCATCATTAAATCAGAGTTAATTAGGAGTCAATTAATACCAATCAATTCATTAGGAAAAAGTAATAATAAAAATAAATAAATAAATTAAAGGTTGGTTGCGTGTTTGAGTCATGTCCTATTCGTAGTTAAAATAGTAACGTCCTCTTTATTTTTTTATTATTTTTTTTTAATATGAAAATTAAGTAATCGTTTACTTTTTGGGTGTATTACGAGTAAATATAAAAACTCAAAAGACTTTAAGTAAATATAAAACTCAAAAGACCTATAGGTAGGGATGGCATAGTACCGAAAATAACGGTTGATACCGATATCGTACTGAAAGTTTCAATATATCAAATTTTGGTATACCGAAATTTTTGACACGGTACCAGTATATACCGTTTATACCGAAAATTTCAATTTCGGTTCGATACCGGTATATACAGCTTATACCAAAAATTTTGATTTCGGTAAATACCTGTATATACCGATTATACCGAAAATATAATTTTAAATTTCAAAATAATTAAAAAAATTTATAAATACCACAATTCTCCACCACAAAAATATTATGAAAAAATCAATAAATTTTCAATAGTTTACATATTTTTTTTGTTATGATTTTTTTAAAAATTAATAATTATTATTTATATTAATAATTAAATTATTTAATAAAAATAATATCGGTACAGTATCATACCGAAATACCGAACTTTCTGAAAATTTATACCAATACCGTACCGAAAACTTCGGTACGATATCTATACTGTACCGAAATTTTCGGTATACTAAAATTTTCGATATTTTCGACACGATACGGTACAATAAGTCGATATCTAGGTATGTTTAGTAAAATTCTCCATCCCTAGTTATAGGTATTGAAGGTTTAAATATATAATTTTATGATTACAATTTTATTTTATTTTATTTTTATATTTTTACCCTTTGTATTTTATGTATATATGGAATGATATATTTGTAACTTATATTAAAGTTAAGTATATTTTGATTAGAATTAAAAATATATATATATTCTTTAATGAAATATGAAAAAAAAAAAAAAAATTCTTCGTACTCGTTCCAAATTCAAAGTACCATATGTAGAAATAAGAAATCTCATTTGTTATATCATTTCTTTTTCATATAGATAGATATAGGATTTGAGATAGAAATATATATATTTTTTTATGTTGAATTGTATAAATTGAATAATGAGTATTTGAATTTGAATTAAACCAAATACATATTATATATATATATATATAAAAAGATCCAACACATATTTTTAAATAACGACCGTGGATTCTCACGTTATAAAAAAAATAATAATAATAATATATTTTTATTGAAATAGTATGTATAAGTGAAATGAAAGCAAACACATTTTTATAAAAGAAAATAATCTCTTCTATCCTTAAAATGATTGTGATATATTTATAAATACGGCTGGCAGTTACTGTATTGAAGTAAAAAAAAATCAATAAAGTACTTCCAATATATAAATAAAGGAGGCTTGATAGTGTAGGGGTTTGACTGATGATCGGACTGGAATTTTTGCACATAAATTTGATATTTGTGTTATATATATTGTAAGTTAAAATGATTATTTATTATATTAGGTATATAATTAAAAAATATGCTATTGTTTTGAGATGAAATTAGAAAATAAATTGGGTGGGGAGAGAGAATATATTTTTATTAGTTAAAAACACTCATATGGAAGATTCATCAGTGAGAAAGGATGAGTATGGTGTTGAACTCCCCGGAGCTCCCAAGATCGTCCACTCCACCAAACCCTAATTTGCAGAGCCAATCCGCAGGAAATCTCCGGCGAACGAGTCCACCTCCGCCGGCGGCAGATTGATCCACAGCTCGATCTCCTCCCCGCTCCTGCTGTTCATCAGAATCGCCAGATTTCTCAGCAGCAGCACCGTCGTGCACACCCAATCGGGAATCCCCCAACCGTAGTCCACCTCGTACACCGGAAATCTGCACCAGCTGCTGAACAGAACCCCCTCCACCTCGCCGGACTCCACCGCCTGGCTCAGCTCCTCCATCTCCGCCAGAAACCTTGTCTCCGTCTCGCTCACATACTCCGCGTCCACTTTCCTTATCGCCCGCCGCAGCCTCGCCGCGAGATCGAAAAGCTGCGGCGGAGCATCGCCGTCGCCAGCGGCGGCGCCGCCGACCGCCTGCGTCAGGAAGCATGCGTTGCCGAAGGCTTCGTTGAATTGAAGCGACGGGTCGGCACGTGACCTTATGTTCACCACGTGCACGCCGTTGAACGCGGTTTCCCGGCCGCCGCAGTCCAGCGGCGGTGGGATCGATAATTTCTTATCGAGAAAATGTTTCCAGACAAACGCCGACAGGGATTCGACCCTCGTCGGATCTTTCACCGTTTCCGACCTCGCTGAGTTTCGAAGGAACGAAATCTTGTCCTTATCGAAGATGAATCTCTTTGTCACCAGGCTGTCGTCGGCGAGAAATAGCGCCGGTGAGATGTCATGATCGGAGAGGTCTCTCGCCGGGAAGTGCCGCGCGACGGCGCCGAATTTCCGGCGGGATTCCGGCGCCTCGCCGCCGCGACAGATCGCCGCCCACGTCGTGAGGAAATCCAACAACGAATCGTTGTCGACGACCTTGTGGGCGGCGCACGCCGCCACCGCCATTCCACCGCAGTCGAAGAAATTGACCTGCACCGCCACAATCGGGCCGTCGCCGGCGTAAACGCCGCCGAGTGGATCGATCGGGAGGAGCTTCTGCAGAATCTCCATTTGAGGATCTCGCAGCAGATCGGCGAGTCGAGCACCGGCGCGGGCTTCGACGAACTCGGCGCCGGTGTCGTCGCAATCGACGGCGAAGTTCTCCGGGTCGATTTTTCCGGCGAGGGGATAGAATACGGCGAGTGTCTTTGATAGGGACTGGCGGAGGCGGCGGCAGACGGCGGCCGGGTCGTGGTTGGAGGAATTCCGGTGGTAGAAGAAGACGAGAGAAATGTAAACAGGCGCAGCGAGCTGATCGAGAATGGATAGTTTGTGGGTTTTGAGGTGGTCGGGAGTCGGCGCCGACGGCCGAATAATATCCCTGGAAATGATCTGAACCGTACAATCCATGTTTCCGATGAGGTAATACAAGAATGTGTTTTGTCTTATTCGATTAGTGATAATGACTTAGTTGCTATTTATAAGCTTGTCACTACTTACCGTCTTCGTAACTAAATGGGTCATCATAGAATAGAGTATTCAATTGGTTACTCTTTATAAATAGATAAAATATACTCCCTTCGTACAAATGTATAGTTTATAAATAGGTAAAAATATAGATAAATGACTTTTTTGTCCTTAGTATAAAAAGTATGTGGCAATTATGTAATAATAATGAAAAAGTAGGGATAGTTTTACGATGATATGATTGTTTATGAAAATGAGACTATTGTTTTGGGACGGACAAAAATGGTAAACAAGATTATTGTATTAGGACGGAGGGAGTATTATTTCCGATCCTTTTGAAAATAAGTCTTTTGAAGTTTCGTAATAAATTACGAAAAATAATACTTCATCCGTCCAATTTCTATTGTCCTAAAGTATATTTGCACGGTTGTTTAGGTGATTGTCTTTTTATTATGAATAAACAAATTTGTCCTTAAATGTATGGTAGAGATTAAAAGTAATAAATGAATAAAAGATAAAAATATAAAATTTATATTTAAAAAATGAAATATGACAATAGTTGTTGAACTCCCAGACAGGGACATTAGTTTGTGTATGGAGAAAGTAGTATATCGTTGGCTACTTGAAAGTGTTAAAAGAGGTTTTTTACATTTTTGCCATCTCCCTTTTTTTTTTGTTTTTAATAAATGTAATTATATGTGTAATTGTATATTTGTAATTGAAGTATTTTGATATTAGTATAATTACTTTTTCTAAAATTAAAAAGAGATAATAGTTTGAAATAGAAAAGACTGTTCGGATCATATGCTAATATAATAAATTCAACAGTTTGCTATATAATTAGAAGTTAATCATTTTTAATTTATGATATTAAATAATATAATTAATATAAATATATAATTAATTTTAGACATTCAGAGCGTGATACTGAATTTAAATGATTCAGTTTATAATCTAAACTGAAAAAAAAATAATAATTTGAATTGTGACGAAGATGGTGTTAGTGTATATATATTATATTTTTTAATAATATTTATAGAAATTGATACGTCTGAAAATTAAGTGAACAAATCCTTACAATTTTGATACAGATCCATTAAAATAATAAATAAAAGCTTAGAATTCTAAATGCAAGGCTCTATTCTTTCTAAGTTTTTACAATATAATCATCCAATTTTATTTTTTTAAAATAGATTTTTATTTCTTTCTTCACAAAATATATAGTATAAATTATTATTTACAAAAATAAATTAAATTTAGAAGAACACACTCCAAATGTAACCAACAACTTTTGACTTTGTTTACTTTGATTATGTATTTATATTTATATTTAAATAATAATTATATATAATATTTTATTAACTATATTTTTTATTAAAAAAATTATGAAAATTGTATATTTTAAAAAAATTAAAGTAATAAAAAAGCTGCAATTTGTTTTATTTTGATATTGTATCAATAATGCTCTTAAAAAATATTATATTAAATATATTTTTTTATAAAATACTTATTATATTATCTCCCTCATCTAAAACTATGTTTATTCGATTGGATTAAAAAAATGTGGGCAAAATTATAATCTTTTTCTTTTATAATGAAAAAATAAAAAAAAAATGATTTTTAATAAAAATATATATATATATTTGGATAATAACAAGCAAAAAAACAATAGCATAAATTTAGATATAGGAGGAAAAAAGTATTATATATTCATTTTTGATAAATTTAAAAAGCTCAAAAAAAAATTATACTCAGTATTTAATTTAATTGGAGCCTGAGTTAGGTCCGGCGTTCAAGGGGAGGAGTAGAGTAGTTAGAGTTATACTAATCCAAAAAATAAAATCATTAAATGTAATTATCTTTCCTAACTACGAATTAAGGCCATGCATACGATCGTCCTATATCTATCTATATATTAGTATACTAGCGGGAGGCCCGTGCTATGCACGGTGCAGTCAAGGAAAAAAAAAATACAATGTAAATACTGTATATTAATTTTTACAATTTATTTTAAAATATATTATTAAAAATATTTTTATTAGATTTTATGTTTATTTTTCATGTATTTTAATATTTTGATAAGTTTAAGAATAATAAATTTTTATAAAAGATAATAATTAAATAAATAACAATGGCTAAAGATTTTTAAAAAGACAATATTAATTCAATTTTTTTTTCGGTTGTCATCTGAATTTATTTTGAGTCATTGTTTAATAAAAAAATAGCAATTTTTTTTTTTACTTTTTCTTTATCCTAAAAAGTATAAAATGTTATTTTTATATATATTTTAAAAAATTTGTACCTGGTCAAATGAACATACAATTGGATAAAACATAAAGTATTATTTAAACATAAATTATAAAAACTAAATATCTAATAATAAAAAATTATGATTTATTTTATATATTTGAAATAAAATATGTAATATAACTAAAATAATACTATAATATTATAATAATATTTTTAATATGGAATAAATAGATATTTAATATAATATTTTAAATTAAAATAAAAATTCTTCATTCTATTTAAATGATTCTATTTTTTATTCATTTAAATTTTTTACACCATTCTCAATATATTATTTTTTCACAAAAATTAATATTTAATATAAAATATTATTATTTATATTAATTATACAATTATTTATATCTCATATAAAATAATTTTAGATCAAAAAGACTAAACAAACAAACCAAATAATGATAAACAACTTATATAGATCAAATAAAATTATAAATTTATTTCATTTGGCTTCATACTTTAAAGGAACAAAACATTGTGTTAATACAATATCCAATTTAAAATTAATTTTTTATTTTTATGGAGTAATTTTAATAACTTATGGGACTTTGTCATTCAAAAAAAATTAAAAGTGTCTATTTTTTATTTTAGTAAAAATAATTATACCAATACCAAAATAAATGTCATTATAATTATTTACTAATTTTTATTTCCTCCTTTTTTTTATGAATTATAATTAGTAAATAGCTAAGAAGATTATTATTTTTAGATTATTATTAAAATAAATAATAATTTCATTAAAATTTAAAAATTATAAATTATTAAATTTAAAAATATAATTATATTTTTTTTAAAATGAAAAATTATATGTAATAGACGAAATAAAAAGTACGAACAATATATATGGAATGAAAAAATATATATTTTAATATAATGTCTATTAATAAAAAAAAATGATAATTTGATTATCAAATGTTATCTAAATAAAAAGTTACTTAAGGATAAAATAAATAATTACAATTTTTATTTTTATTTTAAATTCAAATTTCATGCATATGATTTTTTTTTTTTTTTCTCACACATATATATTAATACGATATATACATATACCTATAAACATATTCATTAAATAGGTAGAAATTTTTATTTTATATTGTAATAAAACTCATAATGAAGTTCAAACATATATATATATATATATAAAAGATATATAAGATTGCATAAATATATATATATATATATAAACTCTTAAAATTAAATAAGTCAATCAATGTATTAACCAATCAAAATTTTTATAAAGAAATGCAAAAATTCTTTTATTTCATGCTTTTTGTCAAAGTGGAGCCTACAATCAACTCAAATATATAGATATATATGATATAGGATATACATTTAAAAATAACCATTAAAATAAATATATATAACAATTATTATATATGATTCATATTTTTATAACCATAATCAAAAGTAATGGCCAATCAAATTATTTTAAAAGAAATACAAAATTGCTAAAAATTCAAGTTTTTTGCACGAGTGAACCCCACAATCAGTTCCTATAATATTATATATATGATATGATTCGATTCTTATATTCAATACAATCCAAAATAACGATTTGATATACTCTCATCCGTCCCATATCTATATATCCATTTATTTTTTTGCACGGAGTTTTAGAAATATTAGTATTATATTGGGATAAAATACAAATAAAGATAAAAAAATTAAATTAACCCTATTAGTATTGTATGATATAAAAGTAATAACATTTGTGTAATATATCAGATAGACAGTAATGAGAATGACCAAAATGAAAAAATGAATATATTATTAAAGGACTGAGGAAGAATATACTATTTTCTTTTAAAATAAATAATAATAATAAAAATTAATTAATTTTTTTATTCTTTTATAACTTGGGTTTAGGGTTTTTGTATTTTGGTGTTTTTAATGCAAATTTAATTATTTAATAGTATATGGTATTTTAAATTAGAGATGAATATTAAATGCAATATCAAAATTAAAAATACAACCCCCATCCGTGTATGATTATTTGTTTTGCCAAATCTTTAGCTATATGGGTATATTTAAATTTAATGATCTAAATCTTGTAGGAATTAAATACTCCACATAGCACAATCTACTACTAAAAATAATAATAAATAAAAAAAATGGTTAGAGCTATATAAAATACATTTTATTATTGACATATTTGTAGAATAATAAGATAATTTAAGGATAAACTTGTAGCCGTAAAGTCGTGAATTAGGATTATGGATTCAAAAGTATATGTATGGTTAAATATAAATTCTAATAAAAATAATAATATTATATTAGTTGATTGTAAGTATAAAATATAAGTATTTGAGTGAACTACTAAAAGAAAAATTACTACTTGATAAATTAAGGGTGTGTTTGTTTGGGGGTTTGGATTTTGAATTGGGATTTGAATAGTAAAAATTTTGAATTTGAATAGTTGTATGATGTGATATAAATAGGTGTTGATGTGATGTTTTGAATGTAAAATTGATTTTTAGTATAATATAAAAAATAAAAAATAGGTGTTTGATTTAATGTTTTTGGGGGGAAAAAATAGGATTAATAGTAGAAATCCAAACAAATCCCTCGAACAAACATACCCTAAATGTATAAATAATTATATTATAATATTTATAGATATAATATTAAAGAGTATAACTAGAGAGTGTAAACGAATTTTATTATAAATGAAAATTACAATTTTATTTTATTTATAACAAAAAAAAAAAAAGGAAAAAAGGCAGTGGTTTATGGATGATGCTTTGCGGGCCCATTAAGTTTGATCCAATTAATATAAGGAAATGTGTATTTTGTTAGCCCACTGATCACTGAACTGAGCAAGCTATTCTCGTCCATGGCGGCCGTAGGCGGCGGAGGCGGAGTGGAGTGGCACCAGAGGCCGCCAAACCCTAAAAATCCGATCGTATTCTTCGACATCACTATCGGAAACATTCCCGCCGGTCGCATTAAGATGGAGCTCTTTGCAGATATTGCCCCCAAAACTGCGGAAAATTTCAGGTATAAATCCTCTGGTTGTACGCACTATTGTTCCTATTTGTATTGTTTGCTGGAATGGCTTGGATAAGCGTATTTCGGAAAAATGTTATGAGCTTCGACGTTTTGGGAACACGTTCACGTTTGTGCAATAATCTTCGCTTAGTAGTTGCTTTAAATTTGTATATATATATAAATTTGTATATATATATATGTTTCAATTTATAGATGGAGTATGGTGTAACGAATATCTTTAATTAATTCTGGAGAATTTATGATTTCATTGTGTTTATGGAAATTGTCTGAGCAACTGTCTTGCATTATTCATTCTCTTGCAGTTCGAGACATCTGTTAGGGCTTTTAGCGAGCTTACAGCTTCAGTTTATTGTTATTAGGATCTGCCAAATAACTTTATAAGTTTATATATATATATATATATATATCGTAGTGTTGAACTGTTGATTAGAATACTGTGCAGAGTGAACTGGTTTTCTTGATTTCACTGTTTCTTCAACTCTTCTTCAAATGAAGGATTATGATGAAAGTTTCTGGTTTCTTTGGCAATTTGGTCGATACATGCAATTGCTAACACTTCTTTTTTTTTTTAATGTTTTTCAGGCAGTTCTGCACCGGCGAGTACAGGTGAGTCTACACCTAAAGTTTTGGTATTATGTTCATTCTTTTATTGCCTGTTGATTGAATTGCAACTCGTTTACTTTAGATAATTAAAGTCTGGGATTAAATCAAAGCTCAAGGATAATTAATCTCTCATATGAATGTGTGATTAATTCATCCCAGTAATTTTTGTACTAAATGTCTATGCTATCCTATATTTAATCAAGCAAAGTAAACATTGTATTAGTTAGAAGATTATATAACATATTGTAATAATATTAGGTCCCATTTGGTTGGACTGATAAGGGGTTAAAGTTATTTTAAATTGCTTTATCAAATTCATTCGTTTCGTTTGGCAATGCGGATTAGTTTCAAATCTCATTGGCCATGGATTTCAGATCCACACCCCCTTTAATACTTCAAATGCTTCCTTCCAAATAATGATTCTTAGTTATAAAATATTTTAAATTTGAAATAATTTAAATATATTCATTTAAAATTCAAGCTCGAATCCAAATTCAAACAATCAAATGTGGCTTTAGTGATAAATAGACCCTTAGAGGAAAAGGATTTCTAACAGTGCCATTCAAAAGTGTTTTCAAAATAACATTTTCATTTGTTTTCCAACTGGTCAACATACATCTTTATCCTTGTCATATTTTGATGTTCTGTTTATAGACAGAAAAAAAAAAAGAAAGGGGAAACGTTGTTACATTTCAATTGAATCGGCTGGATTCATGTCTTAAGGATTGGGTCTTGTGTCCTCTTCCATCATCCCATTTTTCTACAACCTGATCTATACAAAGTGGTTGCATTATATGCCAGTCTTTTTACAAGTGTTTGGCTGGTCTGAATTTGCAGGAAAGCTGGATTACCTGTTGGTTACAAAGGGTGCCAGTTTCACAGAGTGATCAAAGATTTTATGATTCAAGCTGGTGACTTTTTAAAGGTCTGTTTAGCTTCTTCATCTTCCTCCATTTTCTTCGAACTGTTCTAAGAACGTTACAATATAAGGCTATTCAAAAAAGAATCACACGGTGAGTAACATTACCCTAAATCATTTAAAGCCGTTCTCCAGGGTTAGTATAACCAAATTTTCACTGTTTTTAAAACACATCAAGGAGTTTTTAACACAACTACTGTATCATTCAGGTGTGGCTAATGAACTTTTTAATATATTGCGCTGTTATCAAATATTCAAGTAATAATGTTGCACAATCTGCATTCTGTAACGACATATTTGTAGCTAAAATGTATTTGTTTGCAGGGTGATGGTAGTGGCTGCGTGTCCATATATGGAAGTAAGTTCGATGATGAAAATTTTATTGCAAGACACACCGGGCCTGGTCTCTTATCAATGGTAAGTCTTGTCTATAATCTCTATATGGGGTTTGCATTGCGTTTTTAGTAGTTAAACTATTCCAAGTGATTAAACAAAGGTATTTTGAAGTTTGTTGTGATTATTAGTTACAACAAAGGTATACCTATATGGCTATACTTGTGTTAATGACATACTTACAATGGTGCACTATTACTGAATACTCGATTCTTTCGGCAGGCAAACAGTGGCCCGAATTCAAATGGTTGTCAGGTACAAGATCAAATTCTTGCCAATGGACAGTTAAATTATATAGGGAGTGCCGGGGATTCACAATCATTGGCGACTATATTTGTGTTGACAGACAGTTTTCGCTAATACTTCTAACAGAAAGCATATTTTGTGTGTGGCAGTTCTTCATCACTTGTGCTAAGTGTGACTGGCTTGACAATAAGCATGTTGTCTTCGGGGTATGATCGCTGGGTTCCTACACATTCTAAAATTTTGATCCTTGTACTGCTGACTAAAAACAGTCCTTTTCTTGCCCCCATTTTGTGTGATATCTGATGCAGAGAGTGCTCGGAGATGGACTCTTGGTCGCAAGGAAGATTGAGAATGTGGCCACCGGCCCCAACAATCGACCCAAACTAGCTTGTGTTATTGCCGAATGTGGTGAGATGTAGAACAACCCCTAATGACAAACAAAAGAACCATTTTCCACCATTTGGGATGATCAACATTCAGTAAGCTTAGTAAAAAGGCATATATGTTGCCGGCTTATCTATCGATCAGTGGCACAACCATAGTCTGCCATTTAATGTATGATTGAAGAAACCAAAAGCAGGTTATGCATTTTTTTTATGCATGGATGGGTTCCATTGTACCGAATCAAGCAAGGTCTAGATGGGGCTAGCAAATTTAATAGCAAAAATGCGAATTGGTAATTCTTACAATCACTGTATTGAACACAAATGCTTGACCTGATCACTGAGATTTCCAGATTGAATTACGCAGGCAAAAGCAATCTATATGAACCAGTGCGAGCTAATAAGAACAAGTGGTCGATATTGTTTGGTGCAAACATCAAGCAACAGATTTGGGGATTTTGTACTGTTTCTTGAGGAACTGAGAGGCCTCGGAATCGCATCTGTGACACAGAATTCTTATCAGTGTCTTTGTATCGGCGCCAAGTTTGCCCCTCCCGCCCTGCAATTCGAGCTCACTCGCAGACTTCAAGTCCTCGATAAGTTCGCGTGTCTGCATTGGACAGTACAAAGAAAAATGCACATTTATGTAAAGGGTTTAGGGTTATAATATGGGGTGCAAATTCTAACATATATTAGCCCTGTTGAGCCAAATCGAGTGTGGTGGAAAATGTTCACATTAAACTACGACTCGGACGAATATATAGGTTATCGATTGTCTCCAAAGGGGGCTTACCTCATAGCCGTGCAACTTGATCACCTGCCGAATGCGCGCTACCTGGTTCTCCACCACTCCACGAGGAAGTCCATCTCCTCCAGAAATGAAGAACTCCTACAACAAAGAAATTATTACATTTGGTATTCGAACAAAAGGACGGGATGAGTTGGGACATATATAAATATGTATATATATGTATATATACCTTCAGAGATTCCACATCTTCTTCGAGCAGCTTAGCATCAGCAGTAGTGAACAGACGCGAGGGGCCTCCATCTAACACTACACGGATCAAACCATCCTAGAAGATACAAAAAGACGGGCATCAAAAGGAAGTAACATTTACTTCTTCAGTAATTTAGACAGCATAATGGAGACGAACCAGCGATGCTTGAAGAAGTCCTGTTACAACACGATCCCGGAGTGGCTCCACAATGATATCACACAACTGACTGAGTACCTATAGCAATTTTATAACAAATAAATATATTAGCAGTGTAGGAGAGACATCCAAGGTTTGAAGAAGCCGTTGCTTGTGAGGTCAAGACAGGCTGTTAGCTAATAGTCAACAAATCTTTATAAAACTACTTTAAGATTCATGCAACTTCCTCGGACTGATCGATGAAGTTACAGCTTTCACGATTTCTCACCAAGTGATTCATTAATTTGAGTTCAAGCAGAAATAAATCATACCGCATCAAGAGGCTCAATCACAGCTTCCAACCTCGACAGAGAAACACTTGGCTTATATAGGCCATCTATGAATGGCTCTCTCAAATCCCAGAAAACTATTTTAGTTCCTGAAAGTAGAACCCTCATTAGAATATTGCATTGCATAAGCTGCAGAATTGAAAAGACAAATGCCGGGCAAAATGTACCTGTAAACTCACAGATCTGGTCAATGGCAGCATTAATGTCTTTCCGGCTTCCATCAAAACTGTCCTTTCGGATTGAATTTTTTGACTTAGCTTCTGTAGGTCTTTCTGTATGAACGCAATATAATCAAACAACCTCATTAATTGGGTTTGTTTAGTTGGGGTTTGGTTTTGTGTTTTGTTTGAATATGGCTTGGATGTTATGCTTTGTGAAAGAAAATAGTTTTATAGAGAATCGTAAAGCTGCATAGTTGATAGTACATATGAAACCAAATTCCAACATTGCGCTATAGCAGCTAGAATGTATTGCTTCAACATAATATCCTAAGTGTGATAATTAGACCTGAAGATAAATGTAAGTATAACTTAAGTAGAATGTAGATTGGCCATTTTCAATTTAAAAGTATACGTATTACTTACTTGCAGGTTGACCTTGACACTTTTTAGTCCATCGCTCCCAAATGCTATCCTCCAATTTATTTAGCTGGCTAATTGCATACTGACATGAAAAAGGGTTAAGTTAGAATAATTAGAAGATGTATATAGTATCAAGTGCAACAAACAATGGTGAAGTGAAAGAATGCAAATAAGCACCAACAAGTGACCCAACACATATTAATGCAGACTTTGATGCTTCATGAAAGTTTCAATATTCACAAACAGATAATAACTCCATCCTTAGCACGCACACATGTTTCTGTAAAATGCATACTTCATCTATTAAGGGCATCTTTTCTAACAATGGCCCACATAAACATATTTTAAAAATATTCAAATCCTAACATTTCTTCACAACCACAGCATTTTCTAAGGGAATTTAGGAACCATATTTTCTTATAATAAAGGCATCCAATATGAAAGGAACCAGAAACAAGAAAACAAATATATATGAAAATACATATAACTCAATTTTCATCCTTCTTATTTTCAACTTTTTGGGGAAGGGAATGGAAACGTAGTTGGGCAGTGTGACAACATAAACATATACAAAAATGTATTATAACTTGAACTCACATAAAGGGTATTCAATTGAATGCATAGCACTGGTGTCGTAGGAACCATATTTTCTTATAATAAAGGCATCCAATATGAAAGGAACCAGAAACAAGAAAACAAATATATATGAAAATACATATAACTCAATTTTCATCCTTCTTATTTTCAACTTTTTGGGGAAGGGAATGGAAACGTAGTTGGGCAGTGTGACAACATAAACATATACAAAAATGTATTATAACTTGAACTCACATAAAGGGTATTCAATTGAATGCATAGCACTGGTGTCGTAGGAACCATATTTTCTTATAATAAAGGCATCCAATATGAAAGGAACCAGAAACAAGAAAACAAATATATATGAAAATACATATAACTCAATTTTCATCCTTCTTATTTTCAACTTTTTGGGGAAGGGAATGGAAACGTAGTTGGGCAGTGTGACAACATAAACATATACAAAAATGTATTATAACTTGAACTCACATAAAGGGTATTCAATTGAATGCATAGCACTGGTGTCGTAGGAACCATATTTTCTTATAATAAAGGCATCCAATATGAAAGGAACCAGAAACAAGAAAACAAATATATATGAAAATACATATAACTCAATTTTCATCCTTCTTATTTTCAACTTTTTGGGGAAGGGAATGGAAACGTAGTTGGGCAGTGTGACAACATAAACATATACAAAAATGTATTATAACTTGAACTCACATAAAGGGTATTCAATTGAATGCATAGCACTGGTGTCGTAGGAACCATATTTTCTTATAATAAAGGCATCCAATATGAAAGGAACCAGAAACAAGAAAACAAATATATATGAAAATACATATAACTCAATTTTCATCCTTCTTATTTTCAACTTTTTGGGGAAGGGAATGGAAACGTAGTTGGGCAGTGTGACAACATAAACATATACAAAAATGTATTATAACTTGAACTCACATAAAGGGTATTCAATTGAATGCATAGCACTGGTGTCGTAGGAACATTTATTTCAATTGACTTTTTGACATCTGGGAACCTTGTATCTGTTAGTTCCTTCTTAACAAATGCTTTGATTCCACTTTCTTTCCTATAACGTGTAAGAGCAGGCACCGGCGGTATTATGTCTTCCTTGTCAGCTGCACGATACCAACGATTGAAATTGCACTAATAAGAGGCAACATCATAATGATGAAATTGAAATCACACATTCTAACAGAAATAGATAGTTATATGGTTAAATCATATAAAATCATCCAAAAAAGTAATCAAATTGGGACCGAAACCAACTTTGGAAATAAATTAAAAAACGCAAACCAATACGTTCTCAGGACAAGTTTTGATACCAATACCATCAGCCAGTAATCAGTAACTAAAAGAATACATCCTATAATAAGAAAAGGAAGTGCAAAATGTCAAGAAACTTAAATAATCATATCTGAGATTAAATCTGCTAGTAGCTGCGGTGACATATATTTCTATCCATTCCTTAATCTAAAATTAAAAAATTCTCTGAGATCAAATACAGTGGTGGCCGAATCAAATGAACCACACCAGGTCAAAAGTTCATATGTAGCAGCTGTTGGAACATATGGCATCCATTATGAGATCAAGACATTACCTATATTGTCAAGAATATGCTTCGTATACACTTGGAATGCATTGTCAACGCCACGAAAGAGGCTACTCAATTCAGTTGGCCTCATTGGGACTTTAAGAGCAAAGAACTGATCAACTGTCTGCCAATAGGAAAGAACATAAAAATTAAAGCCCCATCTGAGCGTTTATAATAGAATGGTTGGAATTACAGGTTTATAAGTGTCACCCAATGAAAAAAAATATAAATAATATCCGATTAGTTTCAGCTAATGAAGCAAGGGTATATGTATTTGCATCAGCACCTATACACAAACAACATTTATAGAGAGAATAAAACTTTAATGATCAACCAAATAAGAAACTAAAATGGAACAATCACATTTATAATCGACTCTCAATAGCTTGTAATAACTAAGAAAGAAATGAGTCAGGTTTGAACTTTGGGAACCATTTCAAACATAAATAAATGAATGAATAAGCTTAGAAAGAAAAACATAAAGGTGATTGTGCTGTGTGCGAGCATATTAGGATGTAGAGACAACCATACAAAGAAAATTTCACAACCATTTTCATGAGTGATGCTCCATGAGTGAGTAGATAAACAAACAAGACCAACCGATCAAAGCCTCAAAACAGAAAACAGGTATAATAAATCCAAATTCTGTAGCTTCACTTTATGTTCCCTGACACCTGATCAAGGTTGCAAAATAAAAAGGGCTCAAAAAAAGGGACACCTCACAGACACACAGATGGTTGCTTAAATGTGTATGTGATTTCCGAAAGAATCATTCAGTATCACCTTAGAAGGACTAAAAACCATGTAAGAGATATTAAACCATTTATTAGTGAGAAGCAATTTAAAAGAGAACTAGGATATCACAGAATCATTGAACTGGAAGGACACCAATAAGATCCAGGTTCACAGAAATATTGAACAAAAACAAAAATAATAAATAGAGCATGAAGCAAAATTGAAAGAAAAATAAGAGTATACTTGTCTTTACCTCCTCAACAATCCTGTAGACTTCAACAATTGAACTTCCATGCCTTTGCTGAGCTGAGACCAGGGCCCATTTCTGAAAAAGGCTGCAACTATTATTTGCCCACGAGAAGAAAAAATGCATAACTATCATAATCCAGACAGTACTAGTACTATATAAGACATGATATATCCCACAGTCAATATAAAGAGATTATCAGCACCAGGTGACGAACTAAAATTATTATCAATTGTCATCACAATTGCTAGGAGCAACAAAATTTATCTAGGCGACCTCATTACAGAGATATAGGATGCTCTTTATCACAGAAAACTGTCAGTCTTAATTTGTGTTCATAGTATACTGGCTGTTTCTCTTTTTCAATAAAAATGTTTAGAAAAAATATCATTGTTGTTATGAATTCAATCAAAGCACTGCTGCATGTGGAAAGGATGTCACAGAAGATTAGATACAAATGATAGCGTAAGTAATTACCTCCTGTTGAAACACACGTTCAACCCAATCTGAGATCCTTGAAAGTTGTGAATTGATCCACCGCAGAACCAAAGTTCCAGATATAGTATCAATCTAAATAAAACCAAACAAATGTAAAATAAACCAAGCAAACTTAATTATGAAGAAAAGTAAAATAAAATTCAATATTAAACTCTCTTATAATCTCTGTGATGTCTCCCACCCAATGAGAGAATGAACTACGAAGAAATTTTTCTGCTCGCAATTCAATTCAATCAAAACAAAATGTCACATTCTATCTTTTCCCACACTATAGACCATGGGACACCCTCATCCCTCTGTAATAAAAATCCATAGTGAGGGATTCGTACACTTGCCAATCTAAAAAGGCACCAACATCTACCTTGTCAATCGACCCCTGCATTAATGTAATAAGGATCTTTGGCAGCTATGGGTCCTAAAGGACAATATTCATTGTGCAGACACCATATTCTGTGTACAGAGCTCCAGTACCATAAGCTTGTATTCTGAACCCCAAATACAATATACTAACCATTCTCACAGTGTGAATATAATATAAGCTTTATTTATTAAGCAAATATTTGTGTCAGATACCTCGTATAATTGCAGATAATTATTAAATAGAAAAATATAAGAATAGCTTCAAACATTTTGAAGAGTCACCTTGTACACATTCAGTTTCTTGAGGTAAGAGTCAGAAGATCCCTCTTCACATGTAGATGTGATTACTGATTTGATACTTTGTTCAAGACTATCAGCAGCCGGGAACACAGACACAACATCTTCTGTAAGATGCTCCGCACTATCAAGGAATGGTTTCTGGAGGAATAAGAAAGTTAGGCTGCCAGTTTATACAGTATGGTGATGAACTATTAAAGATGTATACTCACCAGTTTGATGCCATAAAGCTTGTGGAGAAGAGATGATGAAACAGCACTGGCATTTCGATGACGGAGGGATAATATGGGTGCATATGTCGTTGTGTCTTTTCTTAGAAGCATCCTTATCTGGTCAGCAAGCAGTGCTAAGGGGTGCTCATGTGTCGTGTTGGACAATGCTTCAACTTCATGTAGAGTCTACAAGGAAGAAAAGCCAGATAAAATTCAGAACCTTCAGTAATTTCTCTGGAAGAAAAGAGTGCATATATAGCATATTCATTTATTGTTAAATGCAATAAAGAATTCAAAAGAATAATATAAAGTAAAACAAAATTGTACAATTAGATTATACCACCTACCTTGGCAAACGCATGTTTAATTGAGGATGATATATAGGCCTCAATTTGCTCAGCATCTGAGAGAGCTGTATCATTCATTGCCTGCATAAATTCTGAAAGGTAAGTTTCACCTCAGAAAGTTTCTTTCTATATACTTCATTTCCATGTAAAATAAATTGACTAAAGCAATAAGTATTTAGACATAGATGACGAGAATAACTTCGCACAAATTGTAGCAATTTCCAAAGTAAATAAAAATAAAAGGTTTGCTTCAAAATATGTAAATAAGAAAATTTGTAAAAATTGATACTTCAATGTACAGAGCTCAACATTGAAATAAACTAAGGCCAATGATAATACCAACTCCGATTCTTCCAGGAGAAGCCTCCGAACAACCATAGCAACAACTACTGTACTCTCCATTTTTGATCCCTAAAAGAGCAGGAAACAGATATGAGCATCAAACAACTTGGTTAATCACATAGCATGTAATCTCAGATCTTGATTGTGATCTATAAATAGCACCACCATAGTCCATACAAATGATCAAGGTATATGATAAAACAAATTTTCTGATTTAGAATAAGTAACAACTACATGAGAACCAGTTTGTACAATGTGCAGTGTAAGATGTTTTATGTATTTAAACACACTATATTTAGGTATGCTAGGGGATATTAGTTCATATATGATCGGTGCATCCTATTCCTATGGATGTTTACAATCGCTGTGTTTCAGAGATAGTCAAGAATAGCATATTTTGTTATGACGTGGTCTCACACCGGTCTCGCACTATTCATTATATTTTTATCCCATCAAAACTATTACATCAAGTACATATACTTCACTTAGAATTTTACATCAAATATACTATCTATTCAAAAGATCGCAACAAATACCTAGGTACATCGCATCAAAAACCTATTTCAATTCATTTTTCACTAAAATTTTGAATAACCGTGGTGATATTTTTTACAGATCAAATATGACAACAGAAATAAAAACTACACAGAAATAATGTTAAAGACTACCAACTAATCAAAATTCGGACAAGTGGCCATGTAAATTAGAAAAATAAAAAAGTTAAATTTGCTTAATAATTAATTTTGGAATCAAATTTCAGATATACCTCAGCAAAATGAAGATGATAATCTGACAGCCGAGTATCAGCCCATTTTTGAATAGGTAACAGGAATGACTGCAATAAAGTCAACTCCTGAGAACCATTCTCGCTCTGGATTCTGCATCTTAAGCTTTTCAAGTGCAACCTTTCTTGTGGGCCACGTTGCTCCTTTAAAGGTATTCTCTTTAACTGATCAATAGCATGTTGCAGGATTCCTTGCTCACCGGTGAGGACGAACTAAAAGTAATAAAGAGTTTGGTTAATTTAGTAAAAGCATCATTTAAAGAATGCATAATCTAAATGGTGCCAACATTAAATTCATCCTAGGAAGATTACATGGTATATGAAAAATGGAAACTTTTAGCACTACTAGATTGCTCATAATCCGATTTGCATGGTAGAAATAAGCAGAATTTAAGATTATTGAAAGTCGAATGTGACTATGCTTTTCTGCATACTTGATTGCAGGTTCTTGACACCCCCATACCAAATAATAAGTTTTGCTACAACAACAACAAGTAACAAAAAAAAAACAGAAGATTATTTTGGGTCTTTTACATTGTCTTCTTTCCTTTTCTGGGTATTTCTCACTGTAGGTGTTCAGAGTTCACTTTAGGTATTTCAACTCTGCATCATCACCAACATCATTCCTAAGTTCTGTCCCTTCTGCCTACACATTATTCTTCTCCTCTGGAATCTTACTAACCAAAATGTGACCAATATCATCATAATAACTATTACTATCTCACACCAGCACCCCACATTTTAATAATATAAATTATGGCCTATAGCCAACAATTAAACAATTTCAAACTCTCCCTATTTTGAATATTTTTTTTCAATATAAGTTATCATTCTCATTCTCAGAAATGTTCACAGTCGAATTGTCGAGCATAAAGGCATAGAAAGAGCCAAAAATAAAAATAAAAATCGTGGGGTGTGGGGGCATCAAAGAGCATTAGAATCATATTGGAGACGGAATGTAAATCATAAAAATGTGGTGCCTGTGGTGAGAAAAGAGAGTCAGGGAGTGTTTGCCATCATTCATCCAATCAATGTTATAAATCAACTTTCTAACAGAAAATAAAGGAGTAATACCTGCCGAAATAACACCCAAGCATAGCAAGTATAATGGATTGTTTCTGTTATTCCTAAGATACGCCAGGTTGACTTGAAAAGCTCCAACATTTCTTCCACTTCCTGGAACAAGAAAACTGTGTCATTTTCAAGGTTATTCTACAATCAGACCCACAGAACTATCCTTTCCTTCAAATAAATGCTCTTATAATATCTTTTGTGATGGCAAAGGTTGCAAGAACTCTGTTAAGTAAATTTCACCTTCGAAGAATTGACACAATCCAACATAGAGACTACGCAAGTCAATCTAAAAACCTTAAACTAAAGTTCCAGCACAATTCTACCACAAAAGCAGAAAATATCATAAATAAGAAACTATTTGACTCACTTCTGTGAGCTTGCCCTCATCCAAAACATCAAAAACGCTGAGCAGTAGTTTCTCATACAATCTGACATTGAGGTGATACCCATCCGCCCAGTGGCATATTTCACCAGTCAAATCACCTCTTGCAGGCCTTTCTGCAAGTGGAATAGCAATATCTCTAAGGGACCTCAAACCATCAGTCCTCTGAAGATCACCAGTAGCTGATGGAAGGGACTGAAAAGATATGTAACATTCAGCAATTGGTGCAAAAGGGCATCGAAACAGTCTATGCAGCGGATCAAGATTTAGAAGTAAATAAATACATCTAGTAAGAGAAGTCCACATGGCATGAGGTATCAAAATCAGATAAATAAATTCTGAGACTAAAAAGAATTCTTGTCAGTGCAATGTGTTTCAAAAGGAACAGGAAAGAATGAAGCTAACAAAACTGATGGATGAGTTAAACAGGAAAGAAGAGAACAAAGGAAGAAAAGCCTACATACATAACAGTTAAACAAGTCGTTGTTAAGCGAAGCAGGGTTGAAGAATGGCAGAGGGAGCGCATAAGCAGTGCTATATGGAGGCTAGAACTTTCAAATCGTCAATCATGCACTTATCTCAAAAACAAGAAGGCTATTTACTAATTAAAAAAGTTAAAAATGTTTCAACACACCTCAGATTCTTCAATCTTCGCCAGAAGAATCCTCAAATCGCTTGCTTTTCTCCCAGACTCACCAAATCCTACAACAGGGTGATTTACAAGTCCTTCTTCCAACATATTTAACTGGACTGACACCAAAGTAAGAGTATTAAGGTCATTGGAGTTTTAAGTATCAAGAAAATACAGCATCCATTGAATAAATATCTATACATTACAACTCAAACAAAATCAAATCTCGTGCTTAGTTGTGGTTTGTTAACTACACTACACCCTTCCAGAAGAAGATCAATTTCAAACCTCCAAATTTCCGAACTCAGAGACATTTATAATAATGGTCAGAAGAAATAAGAGAAAAAATAAAGGTAAGAAACAGAATTCAGTTCGGAGGGTGGGATGAGCAAAACAACAGAGAGAAAGAAAGCTCACTTGTCTTTTCTGCCATTTGATATAAGACTTCTTGTCTGAAAACTCCGAACGTGAGATGCAACATAGTAACTCCAAGGGAACCAATAGAGTATCCATTCTTTTTCCAACTTTTCCAACCATAGCACTTAGAAGTGCCCGTCTTGTTCTGATGTCCATTTCTTCTGAAATCTATGCACACTCATCCAAGTTTTACAATCAGTAAGTAAACGTAATTAGGACTTCAATAATCTCACATAGTCACATTGCAAGTTGCAAAGTAGCAAACAAAGAGAAGCTTTTTCTGTACACAAACTTCAGCCATCAGGGAGTTTCAGATCTAATCTGATCCAGGTATTGTATTGGAACTGACATACATGTAGAATACAAAGGAATCTCCTTTGTTTTTTTTAGTTTCTTCATAAGCCTTATCTATTGAGGGAGCAGCACAGAGTTGCAAAGGAAAAAAATTAGCCAATTATAATTTGATTTTCCTGTCATAAGTAGTTTCATCTGAATGTTAAATAACAAATTCAAGTGGTCAAGCAATGAGAACAAAAGTCAATTGTGAACACATTCATCTGATTCATTAAGAGGTCGCTACATGCCAAGATTTTTAGTTGTATAAGACCAGCACATGTCAGAACATACAATTTCCCATAACCTAGTGAATCAGAACAACAGATATTTGAACATGCATGCAACAAAAACATTTCATGTACCTCCATCTGAACACGCATGGTCTCCAACAACCCAACTAAACCATGTGAACTTTGAGGCTGCATTGCAGCATTTTCAGTTTTACTTCGCCCTAGTTTCCTCATCAATCTAGATTTCTTGTCTTTCTTTTTTTCCTTTGATGGAACAATCAGGCCACTGTTTTGGATGACAAAGCATGACATACCAAATGATCACTGATCAGTTATTCAAATAGAAACAAAAAATTTCGAAAAACAGAGGGATAATGATACCCTGAAGCTCCAGCAGCAGCAAGGAGGATTTCATACGCAGTTTCACGTAGATCATCATCTGTAATACCTATGATTGCAACCAAAAAAAAAGATTTTATGTTTTACAGATTCAGTTTTTGAATGCTGCAAGTAATGCTCATGAAAAATTAACCAACATAAATACATTGTTGAGACTAATATGGCTAAATCCATTCAAAGAATTCACACAGGCATTTGAAAGCAGACTAAGAGGGCATAAATATTATTGAACAGTTCAATAATATTTACCAGTGAATGCAATGAATGGTAAGAACCATGAAATCAGTGAGTATGTGAAATGAACACTAGAAGCAACATTTACCAGTAGCAAATGTAGGCAATCCCAGAACAACATCTGAGGCATCATTTAGAACTCTTCTAGAATATCTACGGCTCTCAATCTCATCCAGAATATCATCCTCGAAATCATCAATGTCATCCACGGTAAGATCTTTAGGCTGCGAAGAGCTAAGAGACTGGGACTTTGACAATTGAGGTGATTCATCAACTTGTTCGTTATCAAAAGGCTCTGAAATAGAAAGGTTGGACACAAGTGGAGTAGAAACAACGGCAGGTACAGGTGGAGGTGCTCTTCGGGGAGGAGAACCTGAATATTCAGGATTTGTGGCTAGAAAGAATTCATCTGTGGGACCTGCATTACTCTTTTTGAGGCAACAAAAAAAGTTAATAGCATATACAGCTTTAAGAAAGTGTAGGAGTTAAACCAAATTTATTGGAATAGATGTAAATTTTCCCATGAAATAAAGAGTATCCAATAACAAACCTGCATCAAAACTATAGCATTCAATGAAGGTAGACAAAGCATGCACCAATAAAGAAATTAAAGCAATTCTTGGATTCAACAAAAAAAAACTTACCATGCTGGGGAACAAAGTACCATCATGGTACTCTCGGATTGCTTCGGATAGTTCGAGCATGTCACCTATAAAATTTACAACCCAAAAAGAAAATCACAACGTGCATTTCAAAATTCAAATCCAAATCCATCCAAAATCAAGAAAAATACTATCCAAATTCAGCCAGCACCTTTCTTGGCACAGTTAATGACATAATCCACACTGACTTGATCCAGATCCACATCATCCAATGTGACTGCACCTGGAGGCATTACTACCCGCTTTATCAAGGTACCCGATAGCATGAAATCTAGGAGGACCCGCCTGTCCCGACGGTACCGTTGCAAAAGTTCGATCTCATTGTCCCTATGTTCAAGATCCACAACTCCTTGGTTACTCATAGAAAGTTCAATTTTACTCATCAAAGCTTATAATTCGTTAACAACTAAGAACAACATAAAAAAGCCAGATAAATCTCTTAAAACGAAGCTACAGACAAAGAATCTGCACTCGCAATCGGCAAAGTTTAAAAGTTGACCTAGTTCACCATAACTACTAAGAATGACAAAATCTGAGAATTCAATCTAAAAAATGCTCGACGAATGAGATACAAAAAAAACAAAGATCCAAAGCTAAGCGAGGGCACTTACTCATCCATATCGACTTCACCGCAAAAACGTCTCGGAAAATCAGCAATTGAACCTGTATTCTGACTGCCCCTACCAAGATTTCAGCAAAGCGGTTTCTTAAAGAACAAGTAAAAGCTTCACGAGTCCCAAAAAGGCAATGCCCTTTAGGATTGAAGATGAACAGCGAATACAGAGAGATCCTTGTAAATCCAAGTCGGCGTGTGAGGTGTAAACATGCAGGCGGTGAGAGGTGTCGAAATCAGAGAGGCATTGTGAAAGAGTGAGTGAGTTGATGGATGAATGGTGAGCGGTGAACTGTCCTCTCGTCTCTCCGGATTGAAAACTGGCGACCGTCAGCAACCAAAACCGTTTACTCATCCCAAACCATTTCTGTTATTTTTAATAAAACTTATCTACAAAAGGGTTTTTCACTTTAGGGTCAATTTGTTTGTTGGGGGATTGGATTTATCAAATACCCGTTTTTTGTTTTTTATTTTTTATATTATATAAAAAATTAATTTTATATTTAAAATATCACATCAATATCTATTTATATCACATTATACAATTATTCAAATTCAAAATTTTTAGTATTCAAATCTCAATTCAAAATCCAAATTCCAAACAAATTCAAAATTTTTACTATTTAAATTTCAACTAAAAACTATACTATTCATTCAAAAATATTTTAAAAAATATTAAATCAAATACTCCACCGTCAGTCTATCCATTTACTTTTTTTTATCTACGTTAATTTTTAAATATTAATTATTATATTAAAATACATTAAAAATAAAAAAAATGACAAAAATATTTCTATTGGTGTAATACAAATGCAATAACTTTTGTAAAAAAAAATATACAAATATAAAGATATTTTTAATATTAAAAACATTGACGCCAAATACAAACGGATAGATTGACAGTGAACGAAAATAATATTTATTTTTTATATTTTATATTGTACTAAAAATTAATTTTATATTAAAAAATCACATATATCTATTCATATCACATTATATAATTATTTTAATACAAAACTTTTATTATTCAAATTTTAGGTCAAAATACAAACCATCAAACAAACACACTATTGCTCTTCATTTCATTTTATTGTTTTTTAAGAAAAATAAATAAAATATAAATTTTTATTTTTAAATCCATTTAATTTTAAAGTAAAATTTTCACATGTACCAAATATTATTTCTTATTTTTAAAAAAATAATTATTACTTAAATTATAAATATATTATTACACATGTAATTATTTTATTAAAAAATTAAAATTAAATTTAGTGATAACAACAGATAAAAACAAATATATTGGATAAAAAATGATGATTTATATAATATATATTATTTTAAAATATATTTATTTTTTATCATGAATTTTAATAAAAATATGTAAATTTTATATTATCATCGTGTGGCTTTAAAGGTTACATTTACGGTTAATCTATTAATTATTATATAAAAAAATATAGCAAAAATTTTTTTTTAAAAAGAATTATAATAACTATTTTCATTAATGTCTTATAATATAATATAAGGACATTTGTAAAAACAATTATATAAATATAAAAATATTTAATACAATGACATAAAATATAGGACAAATGAAATATTTATTTTTTAATAAAAAAATATGTTTATTCATAGAAGTCAATTATGGTATTTATTTTTTTATTTTCGTCAATCTTATTTATGTTATTGCTTGTTTTTAGAAAATATATATATACTTTAATATTATTTTAAAATTTTAAATTTATAAAATTTCAATATAATTAATTAGTTTTAATTTATAATAATTACTTTGAATAATATCTTTTTAATTTACAGATTATACTTTTCTAAATTTTTGTCCTTTTTTGCAAGTAAATATGAATAAATAAGTTAAAATGATATTGTGGTGAAGCTGAAACACAACCGAAGTGTTTGGCAAATAGTTTTTTTAAGAGCTTTTAGCTTATTGAACAGATTTTAGTTGTTTGACCGGTCAAAAGGCTAATTTAGGTGTTTCGGTAAATTAGCTTTTTTGAACTAAAAAGTTAATTTCTGAAAAGCTAACTTACCCAGCATTTTGAAATAGTTTTTTCTGTTAAAAAAAATTATTTCTTATATGCCCTAAAAATCTATTATGCATTTTATACAAATAAATATATTTTGATTATTTATTAATTATATTATAATATTTTATTATAATATAATTTTACTTTTATAAATTTAAAATAATTAATTTTTACATAAAAATTATTTTAATTGTAAAATATATAAATTTATTAAAATCAACATAAAATAGAAACTATAAATATTAATAATTTATTTTTATATTAAAATTACATTATATAAAATTTTATACTAAAAATAAATTAAATAAATTAAATTGATTGAAAATTATAAATATAATGAACTAATCGATAACTAACATAATAAATATATATACGAAAAATTTATTATTTTATATATTACATTATTTTCAATAGAAAAAACTATTTATATATTTTAATAAAAATATATTATTTTTTAAAAATCTAATTGTAATAAAAATAAATACTTTTATAACACTTTTACAATTTTCAATAACTAATAACAAATTTTTTTGAACATAATTGAATATATTAGAAACAAAAATAAAATATAAATATCTTCAATTGTCATATTTTACGTATAAACAACTAATATCAAACAGTTGTTTTACCAAACATTTTAATACAAACATCTAATCGAATCAGTTAGTCAAACCAACTAATTAAATAAGTTAACATCTAACTTCTATCGGTTAATTGTCAAACACGCCTCATATGTCACATCACACATGTTAAATTCATGTTAGTGATTTTTATTGATTCTGTTTTTAACAATGAGATCAAATATAATTAAAATTATTTATAATGAAAATAAAATTAATATATATATATTTATATTAAGATCAAAATAAATTCTTTTATATTTCAAAGTGATTTTTTTTTACTCTATATTAATCAATAAGATAATATTCAATTATGTTTTAGTTTATTATAAAACTCTGAACGATTCATTTGAATTGGGACTAAAGGACTATATTTTTACTAAAATTTATAGGTTGTATTTGTTTGTTTTTTAATAGATCCGCATTAAGTAGACACAGATTTACTATTTCATATTTTCTCAAAAATATTAAATTACCTAATTATTTTTTATATATTATATTAAAAAAAAACACATTGATATACTATATTTATATAAAATAAAATAATTATTTCAATTCAAAATTTTATTATTCAAAATATTAAACCAAAACACATTTATCAAAACTAAATAAAAATATCAAAATAAATTCAAAGCACACCCTAACTTACAAATTAAACAATTGAAAAAAAGTAAAAACAAAATACTACTAGTACAATTATGTTTGCCTTTTGGTTTATTTGATTTACATCTGATGATTTGAACTAAATTCCTAATTTAAATAACAAATTAATTTAATATTTTATATATATAAAAAATAAAAGAAAAAGATCAAATCAAATTTTACTAATAAATTCCATACATGATTAACCCAAAGCAAACGAACCATATTCGCCCATACATTTGAATTATAGCCTATAATTGAGAATATAATATTTGACCAGTAAAATATTACTCCTCTGTCCCAGATACACTGTAGACACCATATTTTAATCAGTAGATAATTAAAAATATATTAGCAAAAATAATTATTCTATAATATAAATAATTATAAATTAAAATTAAGATAACTAATTAGTTTAATTAAAATTTTAAAAAAATTAAAATTAAAAAATTTAAAATAAAATTAAAATGTATAATTATTTTCCAAGTAGACACCATATTTTAGGAGGAGTGTAATCAGTAGATAATTAAAAATGTATTAGCAAAAATAATTATCCTATAATATAAATAATTATAAATTAAAATTAAGATAACTAATTAGTTTAATTAAAATTTTAAAAAAATTAAAATTAAAAAATTTAAAATGAAATTAAAATGTATAATTATTTTCCAAATAATGAAAATGACATGGTATGTATCACGGAACAAACTTCAATATGGACCTAGTATCCGGGACGGAAGACTAATATACTACACGAAATGTGGAAAAGTATTTTTTTTTTTTTTATTTTGTAGAAAACATTATCAAATTTGACTTTGATATAGTATTCTTATTATAATATGAACGCTCACCGCATAATAGGATTAGGGTTTTGTTTCTGACCCGAACTTCTCGCTGTTCTCAGGTATGAAAATGTTGATTGCTCTGCCCTTTCGTAATTTTATTCTAGTCGCCCGTCGATCTGTAGGAAAAGCCTTGCGATCGTAATATAGCTGCCGAATTTCATGATTGATTTGCTTTCGAGGTGCTTTTTGTATGATTGCTCGTTTTTTTTTTTTTCATGCTATTGTTGCTTAGGCACGCTTCATTTCTGGATTCGTTCATTTGTTAGAAGTATGTATCTATTGTATTTACTAAAATGTTGCAACTTTTCTGGAGATTCGTTACCTTCTTTTTTTTTTTTTTTTAAATTATCGTTTGCGTTTGCGAATTCGGTTATAGATCTGATTATGTTAATCGTTTCTGGGATTATTAGGTGTATGTCTATGTTCCATGTGTGCCTAATCATTTGTTTGCTTTAAAATTAAGCTGTATTAATTTATTTGGTTTGATCATTTGAAATTCAGCGCATTAATTGTTCTTTCTGTTTGGTTAGGGTGTTGTGAAGATTGAAATGACAGTTGGTAAAGCTTGATTTGTTTGGAAAAGTGTGAAGGCTCAGTCGGTATAGTTTTTCAGATTTAGTGAAGAACAGCAGTATGGTGTGGTTTCGAGCTGGATCTAATGCGGCAAGGCTTGCTGTCAGGCGATCTTTGTCGCAAACTAGTCATGTGTCACGAAAATTGATCAATCCTGTTCAAAAACATAACTTCCATAGCACAGTGTTTAGGTCGAAGGCTCAGTCTGCACCTGTGCCTCGTCCTGTTCCATTATCCAGGTTGACTGACAGCTTTTTGGATGGGACGAGCAGTGTGTATCTTGAAGAGCTGCAGAGAGCCTGGGAGCAAGACCCCAACAGTGTGGATGAATCATGGGACAATTTTTTCAGAAACTTTGTTGGGCAGGCTTCAACATCTCCTGGAATTTCTGGCCAGACAATTCAAGAGAGTATGAGGTTGATGTTGCTTGTGAGAGCTTATCAAGTTTATGGTCACATGAAAGCCAAGATAGATCCATTGGGTTTGGAACAGGGGCCCATTCCTGATGATCTTGATCCAGCAAATTATGGGTTTTCGGAAGCTGATCTGGATAGAGAATTTTTCATTGGTGTTTGGAGAATGTCTGGGTTCTTGTCTGAGAACCGTCCTGTGCAAACATTGAGGGCTATATTGACAAGATTAGAACAAGCTTATTGTGGAAATATTGGATATGAGTTCATGCATATAGCTGATCGTGAAAAGTGTAACTGGCTGCGAGACAAAATTGAAACACCCACGCCAACTCAATATAGTAGAGACCGACGTGAGGTTATCCTTGACAGGCTTATTTGGAGTACCCAGTTTGAGAACTTCTTGGCTGCCAAATGGACTGCTGCCAAAAGGTTTGGGCTTGAAGGCTGTGAGACATTGATACCTGGTATGAAGGAGATGTTTGATAGGTCAGCTGATCTTGGAGTAGAGAGTATAGTTATTGGGATGTCACACCGTGGAAGGCTGAATGTTTTGGGAAATGTTGTCCGGAAACCTCTGCGGCAGATATTTAGTGAGTTTAGTGGCGGTACAAAACCTGTAGATGAGGTCGGGCTTTACACTGGAACTGGTGATGTCAAATATCATCTTGGAACTTCTTATGATCGACCAACAAGGGGCGGCAAGAGAATTCATTTGTCATTGGTTGCGAATCCTAGTCACTTGGAAGCAGTTGACCCTGTTGTGGTTGGGAAAACTAGAGCCAAACAATATTACTCCAATGACATTGACCGAACAAAAAACATGGGTGTTCTAATTCATGGTGATGGTAGCTTTGCTGGTCAAGGTGTTGTTTACGAGACCCTGCATCTTAGTGCTCTACCAAATTACACTACTGGTGGAACCATTCACATAGTTGTGAATAATCAAGTGGCTTTCACTACTGACCCAAGATCTGGAAGATCGTCCCAATACTGTACTGATGTCGCTAAAGCTCTGAGCGCTCCTATTTTCCATGTCAACGGTGATGATGTGGAAGCAGTTGTTTATGCCTGTGAACTTGCAGCAGAGTGGCGTCAGATTTTCCATACTGATGTTGTGGTTGACATTGTCTGCTACCGCCGATTTGGACACAATGAAATTGATGAGCCATCCTTCACTCAACCCAAAATGTACAAGGTATTTGATGTGATGCTTGAATCTTTATTCTATTTATAACAGTTTCTGATATGGGTTTCCTCATTTTAGATTTCTTTTCGTCACTTAAAGCAATACAGTTATCAACTACCCTGATTTCAGTTCATACTATATTCCTTACTCACTTCTATGATTTATGTAAAGTTGCCTGATGAAGATTATACTTTTCTGACTGGCTTCCACAGGTCATTAAGAGTCATCCTTCAGCACTTGAAATTTACCAGAATAAACTTCAGGAATCCGGTGAGGTCAAGAAAGAAGAAATTGATAGGATGAACAAAAAAGTTTCTACTATTCTCAATGAAGAATTTGTGGGCAGCAAAGACTATGTACCTAAAAGAAGGGACTGGCTTTCAGCTTACTGGGCTGGTTTCAAGTCTCCCGAACAACTTTCACGAATTCGTAACACAGGGTAATTTTAGTTTGTTAGCAATTATTAGTACTTGTCACATACGAGATCATCAAATCATTCTGCATTTCAGGGTCAAACCAGAGATTTTGAAGAATGTTGGCAAGGCAATCACAACTCTTCCTGAAACGTTCAAGCCCCACAGAGCTGTCAAGAGAATTTTTGAAGACCGTGCAAAGATGATTGAGTCAGGGGAAGGAATTGACTGGGCATTGGGTGAAGCACTTGCCTTTGCAACGTTGCTTGTTGAGGGAAATCATGTGAGATTGAGTGGGCAGGATGTTGAGCGAGGTACTTTCAGCCACAGGCATGCTATTCTTCATGATCAAGAAAGTGGGGAAATATACTGCCCCTTGGATCATGTTATGCTCAACCAAAATGAAGAAATGTTTACCGTGAGCAACAGGTGATTATAATTGTTGGTTATTCCTCATGCTGTCTTGCATGAACTATACTTGAATCATGATGATTTTGTTTGCACTTCGATTCTCCTTTCTTCATATTTGTATAAAAGAATGCCATGCCCTTGTGTGTTTGTCTCTGATTATTATTATTATAATTTCGTCTTTTGCAGCTCCCTCTCGGAGTTTGGGGTTTTGGGATTTGAATTAGGTTATTCAATGGAAAACCCTAATTCTCTGGTTCTCTGGGAAGCTCAGTTTGGTGATTTTGCCAATGGAGCTCAGGTGATATTTGACCAGTTTCTGAGCAGTGGTGAATCCAAATGGCTCCGTCAAACTGGATTGGTTGTCCTCCTACCTCATGGATATGATGGTCAAGGCCCAGAGCACTCAAGTGCACGTTTGGAGCGTTACCTTCAGGTTCAGTTCCTTTTGCTACTCCTTATTTGGTTGAAAGCTTGAAATTATTTTTAATAATTCATAATTATACAACCCACCCATATGCCGAAAATGTGGTACATGTTAATTAGCATTTGTCTTTTCTTTTTGATTGGTTAATGTAAAACTGTTTTTCATATGCCGAAAATGTGGTACATGTTATTTTTCATGACCATAATTAAAAGTCCATTTTTATGCCTACATGGTGGGGTTTGAATAATAAATCTCAAGATTTGGAGCTTGAACTCCATTTCCAATATTGTTAAGACTGTATTGAATATCTCATCTGTAAGGTCCGAACTAAGAGGTGCTCGGCAATCGGCATTTCTGATGCTTGCCTTTTCCATCATAGTCGAAAAGCTTAATTGTAGGATCTCATTGATGCACTTTCATTTCTCACAATTCTCGACTTGTGAAGCCTTACTTAGGGTTTGTTTGGTTGTAGCTTGAAATTGTGTGTTATTTGAGTTTTTGTATAAATAGTATTTTGATGTGATATTTCGTGAGGGGAGATAATGTGTTTTTATTGAAAACTGTACGGAGTGAATACTGTTGATTTCAGTTTAAAATCACAAACTAACAAGCCCAAATTTTTAGTAATCACATACTAGAATGTTCACACTCTTCATATCACTTATGCTTCATCAGTCGTTTTTCAATTTCTTGCCATATTTGTTTACGAATACTTTTTGACTTAATCGTAAGCTTTATTTTCTGGATTATTCATTTCGACTACCATCTTTTTCACAGATGAGTGATGATAATCCATATCTTATCCCTGAGATGGAGCCAACCCTGAGGAAGCAGATTCAAGAATGCAACTGGCAAGTGGTGAATGTGACTACACCTGCAAACTATTTCCATGTCTTGCGACGTCAGGTAATTCGATCCAACTTGCCAAGCCGACCCCTGTGCTCGTAGAGACGCATCTAGTTTATGAAACCTCTTAACATTTCGAAATTCCAGTTGCATAGGGAATTCCGTAAACCTCTCATCGTGATGGCGCCAAAGAACTTGCTTCGCCACAAGGACTGCAAATCAAACTTATCTGAGTTTGACGACGTCGAAGGCCACCCAGGCTTCGACAAACAAGGAACCAGATTCAAACGCCTCATCAAGGATCAAAACTTTCACTCGGATCTCGAAGAGGGCATTCGACGACTCGTCCTATGCTCCGGAAAAGTTTATTACGAGCTCGACGATGAGAGGAAAAAAGCCGGCGCAAAGGATGTCGCAATTTGCAGGATGGAGCAGCTCTGCCCCTTCCCATACGACCTCGTCCAGCGCGAGCTGAAACGCTACCCAAGTACATTCGAATCACTAAATTCACATAGCGTTGCACCATCCCCGATCTATATATATATATATATATATCTAAACTGATCGTTCCTTGCAATGACTTTTGCAGATGCCGAGGTGGTCTGGTGCCAGGAGGAGCCGATGAACATGGGTGCGTACAGCTACATCCTACCCCGTCTCGGCACTGCAATGAAATCAGTGTCGAGAGGCTCTGTGGAGGACGTCAAGTACTCGGGACGACCTCCGTCTGCCGCCACTGCCACCGGATTCTACCAAGTTCACGTCAAAGAGCAAAACGAACTCGTCCAGAAAGCCCTGCAACCCGATCCGATCGTTCCGTGAGATCGAATCGACCTCGTAACGGTTAGTCTTTTCCTTTCTTGTCTTTGGAGCTGTCTTGAAGTGTTTTTGTGGTAATAAAGAGAATGTTTTGCATGACATTGAAGACATCGTATGGCTAAAATTTTGATGTCTCAAGAGTAATTTTTCTTTCCTTTCTGAGAAAAAACAGTGGTGTTTTTATTTCAATATTCATCTTGATTTTGTATAATCTCTCCATACCGATATGTACTCCCTTGTAATAAGAAAACAATTACTTAGCTGTGTTTTTTTTAATTAAATTTTTCTAAATTTTATTATTTTGATGATGAGGATTATTTTTATTTTTATTATTATTATTTATTATTTAAATATAGAACTTAGTTATTGTGCTGAATTTTTTTTGTTTAGAACAATTATACAAATAGAAAGGTCAAAGCTTAAAAAACCTCATTTTACATATTTTCAATGATTAATCAAATATCATTATTTTTTAATTTATTAAAAAATATAAAATATTACTTTGGAGTGAGACGAAAATATTATTTATACTAATATAATATTTGAACTGTTATTGTTATTATTATTATTATTATTATTATTATTATTTTAAATGATTTGAGTTGTTGACTAAGTAACCTTTCTATAAATAATATAAATTGTTTGGTTTCACATAAAGGGTGTGTTTGTTTGAAGAATTTTGGAGGATTTTCACTGTTCATCCAATTTTTTTCCCCCAAAAACATCAAATCAAACACCTATTTTTCATTTTTTATATTATACTAAAAATCAATTTTACATTCAAAACATCACATCAAACCCTATTTATATCAAATCATACGATTATTCAAATTCAAAATTTTTACTATTCAAATCCCAATCCAAAATCCAAACCCCCAAACAAACACACCAAAAAAGTATTTTTAAGGGTATTTTAAACTTTTCTATTTATGTAAATTGAATCGTCAATATAATCTTATTTAATATTGAGAGTATTGATCACATACATACATTCACTCACCAACCAGAAAATACGTACATACATACGTTATACATACCAGCACATGTGTATGAGCTGCGCTGATGATAATTTCGTCAAAACCACCAATCTCATAAATTAAAAAATAAGTGGTCCTATTTTCACGCCATGTGCGAAAATATCTCATTCAGAATCTTAAATTAAATCAATCTTAGTATTGTGATATTCACACCAATAATTAATTCACACACATTATTGATAATTGCGTCCCGTTACTATTTTCCTAATCCAAACTCCATTTTTTCTTGATAAGTCTGTCTGTATGAAAAAATAAAATAATTAATAAATTGAAAAGAAAAAGGCAAAGATGGCCCTGAATTCTTATAGCAGGTCGCAACAAAAAACGCTCCCTTCAGTTTCACTCCCTTCCTTCCTTCCATCTCGCAAGAGCAAGAAGGTACCCACCCGCCCACCCCCACGTCCTCCGCCCAAAATTCCCCACTGCGCTTAGATGTAACTGCTATATCTATATATTATATGCCTATATGTATGTATGTATCTATGTATGCACGCCTTCTTGAGGTGGGGTGTGCGCGCGTTTTTTGTGGACTGTGGATTTCGTGTTTTGATTTGATTTTGTTTTGAATGTGTAGAGAGGAAACTGAGGAGGGAGATCTGATGTACTTGCTGGTGGATTTTAACTTTATTCACAGGCATGATGATTGCTTTGGAGCATAAAGGTAATTTTGATCCTCTTTTTCATACCACTTCGCAATGTCTTGTTAATATTCACATATATTGATTGATTGGTTTCTCTGCCTCTGGGTTAGGCGAACGAGGAATTTGATTTTGGGGTTTTCGTTGTGGATCCTAGTTTCTTTCTGTTAATTTACGCATTTGAGTTTGCGATTTCGGGAATTCGCTGCCGATACTATACTCATTTTGTTAGAATGGCGACGATTCTATTCTATCGACTGGATCCTATCTTTTTTTTGTGAATTATTTATGTCGGTGGGAGGTTTCTTGATATTCCCATTGTGTAGTTAGTTGCACTTGGCGGATATCTCATTGCAAAGCGTTTATGTTTTGTGATGCATCTGTTATGGGTTTATCTCTAAAGCTGAAGCTCTACTTTGAGTTATAGAAACTATAGCATGGTTCCAAAAAGAAATGGGGGATGCTTGATGTCGATGTTTGGGGGAGGGGTGGGGGTGTCCGAGGATTGGTGTCTAGTAGTTCTTTTGTTGTTGTTAGTGTGTTAATTTTATTCGGTTGTGCATTTGAATATGGTCCATGGCTAAATTGTCTTACTTATGGAATAAAGCTAAGTTGGTGTGCCTAATTCATCAGCAGAAAGGAGCATCATCTCCTTCTTATTGCTAATGTAGAAGAAATATAATTGTCTAGGGTCATGGATAGATGTGATGTTTAGGGAAACTATTAGTTGTAAATACTTGGTGACTACATACTGTCGATAGAAAACATGGTCTTATTGTCCCATGAGAGAAACACATTAGAGAAGCCGTAGTTAAATAAAATTAAATGTGGTGCAGTGCATTGAATGAAGCTGTAAAAATTTGAGAAAGCTTCTGTTTGTGTGTGTGTGTGTGTCAATAAACAGCTATGAGATGTTTGAGCCTTGTGGTAGTGTTTTGGTAAAATGAGAATGAAGTCTTTGTACCGAGTGAAGGGAGCATTTTCAATTGCCCCTCTCCCTTTTTTTTGTCATGTTCCTGTATGCTATAGTTTGATTGGACATGCTTATTTGATTGTTGGTATGTGGTTTATGTGGATGGTTGACTAAGGAATCCGACACAACTTAAGTTGTTTTCGGTGGGGGTTTAGAGATTTCAATTTATATATTTTGTTTGCGGCGGGTTAGAGTTCCATGAACTCAAATCCTCCTACAGCTGGATTGAGTCATGTCACATCAAGTATATCTATTCATATCATATAATAAACATTTAAAATTCATGAACTCTACAGAACTCTTTAATTGTTACCTGTCCCATAATCTCCGGACCGTTGATTACGTATAAACTTCTAACTTCTGAGCCAGTTGGACTCTACTTGACCATAGACCTGAACTCCTGACCTGCTTATTTGAATGGCTTTTATTTGGACCTATTCCAAATTTAACATGTCCATCAGCTAATGTGATATGTGGAGTTGCCATAAGCTCATAACCCTTTTCAGATTCAATCCATGATTTGAAATCTATTTTTATTCAAAAAAAAAATTCCTTAATGGCATGTGGTTAGTCCGTCATCCCCTGATTTAAAGGAATTTATGCATATATTATATTTTTTCTTTAAAAAGTAAGCAATAATGATGAGTAATCAATTAAAATTTTATATAAAAATCGTTCCTATGCTGAAAAAATATTAAAAAACCAAAGAGCCCATGTTGCAGCATCAGCCCATGCAATCAGCCTCATATTTATAATCTATGGCATTTCTTTCTAGTATAATAAAATTCCGAACCTGAATCATGGATCAACCTGTGGCTGTCTACGAATATTAATTTATTTGAAGAAAAGGTTAAGATGAACTCATGAATTTAAAATATAGATTAGATGTACAGGTTTTTAGATTTCACTCTGAATGTAACACAATAAACCTTTGTAGTAAGATGCTAAGCAAGTCATTAGCTATGATTCTCTGTAGAGGATAGTTGTTTTTTTTGAAATAAACTTATCCGTGAAAACCATTTTTCACTTCAGGTCTGATAGGATAGTCATACAATCTCTTCCTTATTTTGATGGAATGGAGATGATGAAAAGTTTGTCATTTTTATTTCTCAGAATTTAGGTTGGATGGTTTTTTTTGTCACTCATAGTGTTACTAGGTTCAGGAGTAGGCTTACTACAAAGTATTTATGTCATTTGATTATAAACTTTCTGTTTGTGCAATTAATAAAATACCCTGTTAAGTAATCTGGTCATTATGTACAACCCGAGTCTTTTTTGAGATCCTTGTTATCCTTGTTCTAATCCTTGTTGTTTCTATTTCTGTATGCTGTTACTATGAAATGCAATGTACTGCAATAGTGTTCTCAACTTTTTTCCTGGCTTACAACTTATATGTTTAGTGTTTATTTTTTTTACCTCAGTACTCAATCTTTATATAATTTACTGAATTTTTCATGATGAAGAGCAACTTAATTAATGATGAATCATGGCTATTGAGATATTATTTAGGGATGGAGTAGCCTTTTTTTCTTTTAATCGACTCTTTGATGATAGTAATGCCAAAGATTATTAAGCATTGAAAACTAAAAGAAATAAGTAATTTGAGGATCCAACTTATGATAGGATTAGCCCCGTGTGAATGAAATCATGTGCTAATACCTCGGTGATCAACTCTATATCCAAGTGAAGAATGATATGGAATTGTTTGAGAATAATTTCTCTTATCTGTTTTTCTTTTACTTCTCCCCCTTGAAAATTTCAACTCATCTTTTACTATTTGAGAAAGTTGCTTCGTTTATATCAGCTAGCTTTCAAGATCTCCATGTTGAAATTTCTTCCTCCAATCTTTTGACACGCAGATGCTATGCAGAGGAGTTATGAGGCATCTATAAAGTGCCTCCAAAATAAGGGCCACCCTGGCCCTGTTCAATATAATAATAATTATCTTGAAAGCTCTCCAGAGCTCCCAGATGAACCGGGTGCTCAGTCAGGTGGTAGTGTCGTAGATTCAGACTCTTTATCAAGTGGCGAGGCTTCAGATTCTACTAAAGAATGTAAACAGCAGCCAATCTATCATCATGACTTTGGCTCATGGTCTGGCTACCCTGACTCTAACAGTGTTTCGCTCTGCCAACTGAATGCCTTTCAGGGCCAATTCCACCCTTTTGTGGTTAATCACAGATTGCATTATGCTCCAGTAAACATGTTCCCTCAAAACTATCCATATGAGTGCCAATTCCAAGATTTTCAGTATTTTGTTGTGATTGATTTTGAGGCCACATGCGACAAAGAAAGAAATCCTCATCCACAGGAGATCATTGAGTTCCCTTCTGTAATTGTGAGCAGCTTTTCTGGGCAGTTAGAAGCGTGTTTTCAGACCTATGTTCGACCAACATGCAACCAAGTCCTCAGTGATTTCTGCAAAGATCTGACGGGCATACAGCAAATTCAGGTTTGTATCTACTCCTCTATAGTCTTATTTTGGGTAATAGCTTCATCTTAATTTGCTTTTGGTAATAATAGTAATCCTAGTAGCCATGGGTTGAATTGCCACTCATTTCTTACCAAAACGACAATTCATAGCAGATTCTTGTATTTTAGGGCAGTCCCAGTCTTGTTGTGTGGCCTTTTTTATGTTCCTCACACTTGATAATATGCCCACTTCATCAGATGGGGAATCAGTACTATATAAAAAAGAAAGGAAAATCATCCCGTTTTTCCTCTCCTATACTATAAAACATCTTCACTGAAAAATTGCCTTGACTGCTTATTGCGACATCACTTAACATATGGACTTAAGAATGTATCGATTTCTCATAAGCTGGTTAAAATTGCTTTGAATTTTTCATTCTATGATCATGTAGAGATATATAGTTCTGGACTAATAGGGTAGCCTGTGAAAAGTGTTGAAATTATATAAAAGGTGATTGATATTAAATCTGGCAGTATCTGGATGTTTGAGATGCCCATTTACTTTGTAATAGGTTGCAAGTCATTGTCCTTCCTCTGGCTACTATTTTTCCACACTGATCCTTATCACTAATCTTTGACTAAGTTAGTAACATTTCGGCTTTCTAGGTGGACAGGGGAGTTACACTAAGCGAAGCTCTTCTTAGACATGACATATGGCTTGAGCAGAAGGGAATAAAGAATGCCAACTTCGCCGTTGTAACATGGTCTAACTGGGATTGCCGGGTGATGCTGGAATCTGAGTGTCGTTACAAAAAAATTAGAAAGCCACCATATTTCAACAGGTATATTTCGACTTACAAGATATTTCTCCTTGTTAAAATTCTTCGAACACTGTTTACTCTTTTATCTTTGGCCAAGTGAAACACTAACATAGTGTGGATTCTCTTTGGCTAGATGGATTAATTTGAGGGTTCCTTTTCATGAGGTTTTCGGCGGAGCCAGATGCAATTTGAAAGAGGCAGTGGAGAAGTCTGGTCTCGCTTGGCAGGGCCGTGCTCATTGTGGACTAGATGATGCCAAAAACACCGCCCGCCTACTTGCCTTAATTATGCACAAAGGCTTTAAACTCTCGATTACCAATTCCCTTAGTTACCAGGCCGGCGACAGTACCTTCTTGTGGAAGCCAGTACCGGAGAAACCTCTCTTTGTTTCTCCCCAACCCCAAAAGCTTCGGATACTGCGCCCTTCACTGACACAGTACAATCGCTATTGCTTCTGTGGGGTGACGAGCAGCAGAGGAATGATCCGTAAACCGGGTCCTAAGCAAGGGAGCCTTTTCTTTGGATGTGGATACTGGACTGCAGCTCGAGGTGCTCGCTGCAATTTCTTTGAATGGGCTTAGCCATGACTAGCGGGCGGGCGGGAGGGACGGATCCTATAATACTAGCGCGCATATGCATTTTTATCGTGTACAAAGAACCGTATTGAGTTTGCTGGGTTGATGTCCCGGAGGGAGGAAGCAAATATTGTATGCCTTAGTGTTGGCAAAACTGGTTTGTGCTTTTTTCTCTGTTGGGTTTGTTGTGTAGATAAAATGGTCTTCTGGAGTTTGAGCGAGCTGTTGCCCGCCCAGACTAGACTAGTCTAGACTAGTGAACCATGTTGTCGATGGAAAGGCCTTAACCATATATATTATGATGATGTGGGCGAGGAGATTGAATGATCGAACATGACGGTATCTCTTTCTCTCTCTCTTTATCTTATCTATCTATCTATCTATATTTGCATGCTATGGACATGTTTATTTTTAATTATTGTGCTCGGTATCCGGTGGTAGAGGACTTTGTTGAGTCCCTTGTATATGTTAGCTAGTTTTTATCTTGTGCTATATTTCTGCTTTGAGTAAATTTGAGTAAGTATCGATCTAGTTGGTTCGGGTATTAGGTGGTTAAGTTTCATTCGAGTGCTGAATATGATCTGATGAAAAACTGAAACTGAGGGTGGTGTTTGTGTCCTTGCTGTTTTTTAGCGCCTTTGATTGGATGAATCGTCTTTCTCGAATTTGTCTTGTTGTTTGATGATTGTGTTTTCCTTTCGCGCAATGTGCACATGAAATTTAATTAGTCTTGTGTCATTTTTGGAGCGTTTGGGTTTCAATGCTGCTATTCATTTATTTATAACGTGGGAATCTGCATCTGCGTGTATCAGACGAACTATATTTTATCTCCGTATTATTAGATCATTTATGGGACTCAATGTTATTATTCTTAGTAGATGCATTCTTGTGATCTTTTTGTCATTACAATTTAACTTGCCATAGGGGTTTAGAAGTAAGTAAGGAACACTAAAGATGATGGCCCATCACCACAGATTTTTTTTTCTTTAACGAGTGAACTTGTAGTTGGTATTTCGGCGGAATTTAATAATATGCAAATTACGATAAGACAATAAATTATGTATAAAAGATAAATTATATTGAGCGAATCATATATGACAGGCAAAATCTTGAGGCGTAGGAGTTTGAACCTATGACTTTACGGTCACGTTTATCTCTCACGAAATTCGCAATTGCTATTCGAAAGTGTGCACAATACCCTGCAAACTAGGTCTGATAGGTCTACAAAGCTCGTTATTTTGACCCAGTTACAACTTTCAATTTTGAAATATAGTCTACTTCATAGAATACACTACAAAAAGTTAATAAAAGTTATACTTTATTGATATAGTTTTCAATAAAATATTTTATTTTCTTTTAAAAAATTATTACATTAAAATACTTTATAAATATTATATTTTAATAATAATTAATGATAGTTTGTTATTAAAAATAATTTCTCTTATAATGTGTAAAAATTTTTTTACAAATATTAGTGTAAAAATATTATTCACTAAATTTTTTACTTTAAAAATATTAAATTGAATATTTATTTTTTATTTTTATATTATATCAAAACTATATTTATATTTAAATTATATCATATATTATTCTCATTTAAAATTTTATTATTTAAAACTCAAATTTAAACCCCAACAAATTTGTTTTAGACAATAGTATTAGTAATTCTGAAAATAAGAAAAAAAAAATTTATATGATGATATTGAAAGAAATGTTTTGTATAAAATACAAATATTTTACAAAAATATTATCAATAAATAATTATACTGCTAAAATTTTAAAAAATACTTAGGTAAAGATAAGATAAATATTTTAGTTAGATAACATATAGTCAGGATTTCACTTAAATGAGATAACATCAAATTTTAATTTTTTTTTTTTCAAAATTTATTTAATGCCAATTATAGGGATATAATATTTTTAATTATAACTATAATTTTATTTAATTACGCATGTCGTCACAAACTAACAGAACAGACGAAGGTAGGCGCCGTCCCGCTACAGCCTACAGCTAGAGCGTCTTAAAACGCGTGCAATGTCACGTGCCACCATAAAGGCAGCGGCGCAGTGGACCGCTTTTTATTTTGGTGGGGTCGTCACGAGCCATGTCGTGGTCGTGGATCGCATGTTTCATTGTCGCGGGTCCCACGGCTGCCTACGTGGACCAATGGGAGCTCTTTTTTAGATGGAGCATCGTGGACCGCGCATTCCCTGCTCTCATCTCTCCCCACTCCCTCCTCCTCAGCCACAAACGCACCACGCGAATTCCCCAAATTGCCCCTCCGAAAGGTCCTTCACAGAAAACCATATAAAGCTTCCTCTGCTTTTCATTTCATCCATTTCTCATTCTCAACGTCGCCGCTGCTGCTGCTGCTGCTTTCGAGGTTTTGCGTCTGCTGCTCTGAAATTGATGCTACTTTGCGTTCTGGTTGTGGATTTCTGCGCTGTTTTAAGATTGAGGTACTTGCTGCGGCGTTAATTCATCGATTTCTTATGCTTTCTGACTTTATTGGATGTGTGTGTGTGTGTGTTTTGGATGGAATATGTATATATATATATGCGAGGATGTAATTGTTGAAGCTATTGTGGAAAAGGTTGGAGTAGTTTGTGTTTTTTATTGGTTTTGGGGGTGTTCTGAGCTGAGTTATGGTAGTTTGATTTACATTTTGTAGAGATTGCTTGTTGTGGTGTTGGTGTGAGACGATAGAGTTGAGTTGAATTGTACGAAGCGGATGGGTTAGGATTTAGGAAATGCGAATTTTTCTGGTTGAGACTTTGCTTGAGAATGAAGCTAGACTTGGGAGAAGGTTTTGGTTGGAAAATGTAACTGTTGTTTGATGTTAAGGCAGTGTTTAAAGTTTTGAAGCGGTGAAGGAACTTTCTCAGGTTCGAGCTTGGAAACGAGTGTTTTATTTAGCTATTTTCCTTCTGAGTCGATTGTCATTAGCTTCGCATGTAGATACGATGGTGGCTTGTATGCCACGACATTCTTTTGCTGTGATAGTGTTTTAATTCCAGATCTTTTAGAAAGTATTGATTGTGTCGAAATAGTGGATAATTTGTCTAGCGGTTGAGAGGATTCAAAATTAGCTGTAATCTGTAATTTGGAACTTCACCTGATCATCGATTGAATCTAGAGAGTTTGTGGAGCATCTGCTTCACCTGAGTGAAAAATCTGAAGATACTTTCGTTAGTCTAAGTTCTAAAAGAAAATCATAGCAAGGTGTTGTCAAACGTTTGTATAGTGTATTTCAAAGAACAACATATTACCACAATGTCTTTTGTGAGTAAACCATCATCAGTTTCTTGTATGTATGTTCTATCTCTTGTTCTCTTGTTGATTATTTCATGGGGGTGCCAGTGCCATTGATAACTGTTTTTCTTATGTGGTGTAGATGAATCCTATGAGCATGGAGTGGCATTTCGGTAACAACTTCGGTGATTTTGCTGTGCCAAAAGATGAGGAAATATTCAACTGGTTTCCATCACCCAATAGTTGGTTAACACGGGGCAAAAAAGTTGGAAACTTCGACTACCCCGAGAATCTCACTGTATCGGAGATAGAAGAATTTCTTCACGCTGGCAGTGCATTCTCTAGAGAGGTTGAGCAACTAACTGCCCCGAATGTTGATCAAGATTCTCGTCATGCTTTTCTTGAATGGAATGCTTCTCCTCATGAACATTCAGATCCACAACTCAGTGATATTGCCTTGATCAACGAGGAGGCTGATGACATTTTCTTGTACAAGCGTACACTCTGGGCTTAAGATACTTGCTTTCATGCATGTGCATCCATATAGTTTAAATATTTCAAAGTTTCGGAATCGAGGTAACGGGTCAACTTTCCTTTGCACTTAGATACGCAGCATTTTGTTTCCAATAGATTTAAGCTCAAATGCCTGTAGAAACTATGAGATTGCACACACCCTTACTGCAGCATGTTCCTCACTTCCCGTTGACTCAATAAATCCTTGGTTCTTATAGATTTATAGATTATATTGAAGTTACTTTGAGTTGCAGTTAGGAATCAGAAGAAACTTATGACACTAGTATTTCGAACCTAGATACAAAAACTATTCTATTACTGCTTTACTTCTACAATCCCACGTTTCATTTACTTTTTGCACATCAATTTCATATCATGTTTTGTCATCTTGCTTGATTGACTTCCCATATTGAAATTCCTCCACCATCTATATGTATGCAGTCGCTCCCTATTTGAAGATCCCGCTGAAATAGATGGAGATGAAAGTTCATCGAAGTTCACCTGGGATTCAAGCAAAGATAATGTGATTTCAGTCAATCTATCAGGAGAGTGGAATCATATTCAAGACTCTGCTAATCCTGAAAGCTGTGGTCCTCCACCCGAAAAAGTGAGTACTCTGTCAATCCATAGTATCCGGAATGTCGAAAACAATGCCGCCCCCCATTTCAAATTGCTAAGAATATAAACCTTGTTACATATATCTTTTGGTTAGAAATCACTCCTATTAAGCTCAATTTGATTCCTACCACTGTATCCTGTGTTTTTGTAAAACTTTGCACCTAAGAAGGAACTTTTCTTCCTTAATTCGAGCATCTCTGTAACTGTAACTAATCTTCTATATCTTAGTTCGAAGAACCAGAATCCGGCACGCATATGGCCGAAGAACACTCCAATGAGCATGAGGATCGATTCGAAGATATATCCATGGAGGAGTCTGTGTTATTAGAGCTACAAAGATCAACCTTACAGGTATGTGATAAAAAAATCCTTACTAATCTGCACTTTTACCATTTTCCCTTCATCGCTACACATACTCAAACACTTTCTTTATTATCATCTACACCCCACAGTTGACGAAGAAAACCAGACTTTGCTTCCGGGATTCTCTCTACCGCCTTGCAGAAAACTCACGACAAAATACAAAACAAAATCGCAATGGTAAAGTAGCGACAAAGAACTGCAAACCACACTCAAAAGGCTCGTTTTCCAGGCAAGCTTTCACCAATTGTCGATTTTCTCATCTTTCGACACTCACATTGTAACTATAATCAAGCGATCCGCCTCTCTTTTAATCTTCAGGCTGCGACAACAATCCAAATTACAAGAACCAGGCACTAATGCAGTCGACAGAACTGTCGCCACTCTGTTATTTAACATCTTGGAGAGAGAGATTTATCAAACCAGCTCAGATTTGTTCCAGCCGGCATCATCTGTATCACCCTGCCCCGGCACCCTCTTCATGCACGATGCAGAAGCCCCGAATGTGGCATTCGCCCGACCAGGCCTACCATTCGGTTTTCATTACAATCACTCGTCGATGCAGTCATGAGGTATACTATAAGCTTCATCAAATATTTTTTGGTTTTGCTGCATTTTTAGAGGTGTTTATGTTTTTCTTGTGTTGAAATATGTTTTTGAATGTTCATATCATCGTCTGTCTCCTGTGAAATTCAATGGTTTTATAAGTAAATAAGTAGTTTGTGACCTCTAAGGCCATCCCTTATGGTCTGTTACTATATATCTTTGATAGTAAAATATTTGATACGACATATGTATATATTTAAGAAGAACCGTTGGTTTGACATCAATATATAATAAAAATAAATAATATATAATTTATATAACATTGTATGAAAAATTGTATCGATAAATTAAAAATAATATTTTGTATTGAAAAATATATATATTCAATATTGTGTTAATAAAATAATTAATTTGATGAACAAAGTCATTGTTTTGTAATTTAACCCTAAATTATTATAGTTTGTTATGTATCTATAGATCGATTATCCCTGTTTAAATTAATTCCACATTCGGCACTCACTCTTATACAACAATTATTATACGTACCATTGAACATGGGTTCCAACCGGGAGGGGATCGTCGGCCCCCTTACTTTCCACCCCCGACGCCCCCTCAAATACAACAGTGTGTATATTAATATTATATTGTCGGTTTCGAAAAATGAATTTTCGCTGTGGCTTCGAGTTCGATTGTTCGTGCGTCAAAATCAAGCAAAATAGATTCCGATAGCACTCCAAATAGCTTGTCCGTTGTCAAATTGGAAGCGTCTTCAACAATGTAGCTATTGTATGGCTTTCAGTCTAAACTATTGATTCTATGGATTTTATTTAAAATCTACTGAAAATTTAATAAAATATGCAAGAAATGTAAAATAACATAAAATAGACTTAAATTAACAATGAAACACGACAAATTTGGACATAATTTGATAAAGCTATTAAAATATATAAATAAACTATTGAAACTAAAAAGATAACATGTGTGTTATGTCTGTGAATTTTACTAAATATAACATAAAAGTACAATTAACTGTTAAATTTTAGAGAAATGGTAGTTATTTTTTCTAACCACTCTCTCCAGGTGGATATGACCTTCGAGTGTTCCTTCAAGGTCTCATGTCCTTTAATTACCTTCAACTTTTTAAGATTGGGAGTCTTTACTTTCGGAAGGCTCTAATTTGCTTTTAAACAACTTGACATCCTAGGAGGCTTTACTTTCGGACCTGTTGCGGGATTTAGGAGCCTCTTTCTTATTTATGTTTCTAGCGAAACCTCTTTCATCTTAAAGTATTTTTGGACTAATGTTCAACATACATATTTACAGTGTGTATAATAAATCATAACATTTATTTCAAATAATTTTTAATTTACACTCCGGAGCTTCTTCCTATTTACATATTACATAATACATACAGATAGTGTATATATCAAACCATAATATTTATTTCAACTAATTTTCAATCTAACACTTTGGTACTAAAATTAAGTTTTAATGTAAAGAAAAATTTGATTTGATATTTTGAAGAAAAACAATTTCTAAAAATTATATAATGACAAGTCAATTAATTATTTATCTATTTGATTAAAAAATATTTAATATTTTCTCGTATGCATAATTAGATTAGTATTTATATCCAAACATCAATTTTGGAGGAAACAAAATTTCATGCTGTTAAAATAAATTTCTCAACACGTGCAAACTTTAGTTTAATGCTCCCTCCGTCCCAGATACCATGTCCACGTTGCCGTTCCTGTCTGTCCCACGTACCATGTCACTTTTATTTTTTGGAAAATGATTACACACTTTAATCTCATTTTAAATTTTTTAATTTTATTTTTTTAATTTTAATTAAACTAATTAGTTATCTTAATTTTAATTTATAATTATCTATAATAATTTTTTTCACTAATATATTCTTAATCATCTACTAATTACACCCCTCCTAAAATATCGTGTCTACGGTGTAGCAGATACACTGGAACGGAGGGAGTATAATTTTATACAATAAATAAAATACAAATGCTATTATATACTTTACCCAAAATCATATATATATCAAATATTATAGATATAACCATAATATTAAAATATACTCCCTCCGTCCCAAAAGAAGTGTTTTATTGAGAGTTGACACGAAAATTAAGAAATAATAGTATTTAATTGAAAGTGGGTATAAAGTAGAATGTTGCTGCTGAATAGCATCCGCTGAGTAGGACGTGGATGATCCTGCTTCCTCTCTCAAGTGTTCCCCGCAAGGTCTTTCGTTTCGCTCGGAGAGGGTTCCCCAAGGGGGACTGGGGATTCCCACAGAGAATGGGCCAAAAAAAGAACGAAAATAACTAAAGAGTATGTTAGAGTAATAATTAGAGGTAGTATGAAAAAGTAGGAATAATTTTGTTATAAAGTGGTGACCACGACTACTAAATAAAAAAACAAGACAATTGTTTTGGACTGACGAAAATAGAAAAATAAGACAAATCTTTTGTGACGGAAGGAGTATAATATTTTTGTGTTTAAATTTGATCTTTTATTTGATTTTAATTTGAATATATTTTAATATAATATTTAAAAGAAAATCATATTATACTATTTTAATTTGGGATAAACTCAAATAAATTTTACAATATAATAAAAATTTATTATTTTTATATTATACTCCCTCCTTCCCATGTAACATGGGTCTATTGCAGTAGACACGAGAATTTAGGTAAAATATAATTAGTAAGCAATTAAGAAATGTATTAGTAAAAATAATTATAGATTAAGATTAAGATAACTAAATAGTTTAATTAAGATTAAAAAAATTTAAAATTTAAAATTTAAAATATGATTAAAGTGTATAATTAATTTTTCAAAAAAGAAAAGGACAAATTATGTGGGACTGACGAAAATAAAAAATAAGAACAAATTATATGGGACGGATGGAGTATATAAAATGCCTCAACTAATAAATAAGTATTTTTTTATTTTTTTTTTACAATTGTTTATATACTTCAAGCAATTTTATTAAACAAACACATCCTAATATAGTCCACTCTCGATTTCGGATCGGGTATTTGATCATCTTATCCAGCACTGAACCCGACCCATTTTCCCAATTTTTAACTACAAAAGGGTTTTGGGGTTTTAGGTATTTAAATATCGATTCAGAGTCCCGGCCTTAAACCTCCCTCCATACTCTCTGCAGAAGTTACGATGGTTGTGATGGAAGACGACGCTGCTTTGCCTGATGATTTTTTGAAGGAAAAGGGGTAAGACTTTGGATTGGCGTGTTGCCTTCATATATAAGTTAATTTTCTGCTATATCGGTAAAATATTGATTCTGCTGACTGCAGTTTGAATATGGACAAGCAAGCCCTTGCTGCACCCGTGAAGAAAGCTGTCGACAAGTTCCAATTGATTCCTGAATTCCTAAAGGTACAGTTTTACCGTTCATCAGCCATTCAATTTGAGAAAAATTAACAAGAGAGGGGAGCGAGTTCGATTGATTTAACTTGGAAGCTTTACCTTTTCGCGGACGTGGGATGTTTTGGTGATTATAGAGGAGAAAGTATTAATTTTGTTATTGCTGATGATTATCAGTTGTGTTTAGGACTATCGAATTTTGCTTTTCTTGCTTTGCACAAACTAACATGTATAATTCTGAACAGCTTTTTGCGTGGTCTATCTTGCTCTGAAGATTTGATGGTGGTTATGTGACAATGTAGGTGAGAGGTCTTGTAAGGCAGCATCTGGACTCCTACAATTACTTTGTGACGACGCATATAAAGAAGATAATTCAAGCCAATAATCTTATTACCTCTAGGATCGACCCTAGTATTTTTCTGAGGTGAAACCATTGTTCATGATCTGTAATGGTTTTGCTTTATGTTCATAGAAGTTATACTTGCTTGTATGTTATAGTCAACCAAATCGCTTGTTTTTCTCTACGTTGTATATTATTTTCTTGTCTTTGTAATGCTCATGTTTACAGGTATCGTGAAGTTCGCATTGGTGAACCAGTGGCAATGATTAATGGCGTCAATGAAAAACTTACTCCTCACAAGTGCCGGCTCTATGACTTGACGTGAGCTCTATTTTCATGTTACCGAGTATATGCGATAGGATCCTTGGACAATTTTATTTTGATTTGAAATATTTTTGAAGTACCAAGATGCTGTGTGAACTCCTGACATATTCCTTTTATATTACAATCTGTAATAACTGTTTCTTATGCTCTGGGCAACTGGGCTAAGGTCTTCTGCTTGGATAAAAAGGCATTTTGTCAGGAGTTTGTTGGTTGCAGCAAATTATAGAAGACTAAGCTAAATACAAACTAAGCTTATATCCTTGAAAATGATCAACAATTCTGATTGTTCATGTTGAATATTCTTTGCACCATTACATTGTTATTTAATGAATAGTTTAAATACAAACTAAGCTAATTTTATAACTATTTCGATTATTTTTTGCCTGGGAATGAGAAAGCTCATATTTATGGCCTATTGGTTTTTTATTGTGCTTCTAACTTATCTTTTTTTTTTTTTTGCCATTGGTTTTAGCTATACTGCTCCAATATTGGTGAACATAGAGTATTCAACAGGAAAGTCAAACGCTATCCAGAAGAAGGTTATTTGAATTTCTAGTTTGCTTCTATTTTGATGAATGCACAAATATGGAGATTATTTAGGCAGATATAGGAATAATCTGATGGTTGCACACACTTGTTCTTTGGGTTGTATGTTTCAGTCGGACATCATTATTGGGAGAATGCCCATCATGTTAAGAAGCAGTTCTTGCATCTTGCATGGGAAAGATGAAGAAGAACTTGCGAGATTGGGTATGCTATAGAATTCTATGTGCATTCAGGTGCACTTTATTGCAATCGTGGTGATCAGGAATTATTTGCATGGTGATTTTTTAATCTCTCATTTTCTATGAATGCCTTGTGTATCCTTGTAGGTGAATGTCCGCTTGACCCTGGAGGATATTTTATCATTAAAGGAACAGAGAAGGTGGTGCTTCCATCATTATATATTAGTTATTTTCCCTTGTTTATGACAATCTGAAAAAAGATTCTGAATAGATGAAGGATTTTTGTTCTCTTAACTGAAATATTTTGTAGACTCTACTGTTTCATTTAATTCCTCGTTTCTTGCAGGTGATTTTGATACAAGAACAACTTTCAAAGAACAGAATAATCATTGATACCGATAAGAAAGGCTTGTAAGTAGCATTCACTTAAAGTTTACTTTTTTTTTTTTATCGGAATCACTTATATATATATATTTTGAAAAAAAAGTGAGGGGAGGAGATAATTATAGGACATATATTTTTTATTTATCTGAACATATATGGTTCTTTTAAGCGTATGATATAGTTGCCCCTACATGAAAGTGCGCAGGTCAAGTTTACTTGCCACACCACCGGGCCATCCCTTACGGGATAAGTAAAATTTTCTTTTAAGCACATGATATGGTTCTAGTACATTATGTGAAGCTTATCCTGCAGAAATATATTGGAGTCAATGTAACTTAAGCTTCAAATAGCCAAAAAAAACCCCACTACAGGGTAAAAGTGAAGGGAGGAGATAATTGTAGGATAACTGACTTAAATACTATTTGGCAGGTTCTACATAGTCAACCCAATCAGTGAATAATAAAGCGTGTGTTTGCATGTGTTTTGGACTTGAAAATTTATGAATGGAAAATAAGTTTTGGATGTTATGCTTTCAATGGAAGATGGGTTTTGGATGTGATGTTTTATTACAGGATAACATATTTCACTTTGGATCATTGGATTGCATGGTTGGGAAATGGTAACATAAACACAAACAAACACACCTGAAGTTTCTTTTCTTTTTCAATTCGAATTGGGCATTGTGTAACCTGATAGTGATGTAGACAATTCAGAGAAATTTGAGTTCTTCTCAGTTGTCACACTGTACATCAATTATCTATCAGATGTATACTTTATACTAGTATACCTAAATCAAAAGGGAATAGAGCAACATCAATCACCTGGTGTTAAAGAGGAGCTGGTTTTATCTTGGCGTTTGCCAAGTAAGTGTGGATAATAAAAAAATATAAGACCTTAGTCCCTAGTTATACTGATTTGAAGTAAGTACGAGGTGGTTAATTAGGGAAGAATTCTGCGTTGAATGTCCTGAAATATGGTTGACTGTTGTCACGATGAGTTTGTGATGACATAGGTTTTAGAGATTTTGAATTTATTTCATTTTTATCAACATTTTATATTCCTTGACTATGTTTCTGAATGCATCATCTGTTTTTTGACTGAATCCTTTTTAACCTCATTCTCACAGTGTGCAAGCATCTGTTACAAGTAGTACAGAGGTAACGAAAAGTAAAACTGTTATAAAAATGGAGAAAGACAGGATATATTTATACCTGAATCAATTTACAAGCAAGGTGGTTTTCCTACTTATGAGCTTTCTTTTCCTGCTATGCTACTTTTAGATCTTATAGGGAATTATATTTCCTGGTGGTTTTTTGTTCTATAGGTTCCTATCATGGCAGTTCTAAAAGCAATGAACATGGAGAATGATCAAGAGGTCATCCAGATGATAGGAAGAGATCCTCGGTTCGGTGAATTTCTTTGGCCTTCAATTGAGGTACACAATCTAATGTTGGTTTAATTCAAGTTCTTCCAAACAAGCTAATGCAATTGCCATGTTAATATTATAGTGAACCGTGAATCTACTTTAATTGTAATCGTGTTGCTTCTTGTGAAGCTTATGTATGTGATACCTTGATTTCAGGATTGTATGAAGGAAGGTGTATACACACAACAGCAGGCCCTTGCGTTCCTTGAACAGAAGGTTTTTTTTATATCTGGAAAAAGTGTTATTTTGTTCTTTTAAAAACATATTAGTGAAAGTATGCATAGTTTTCGGGATAACAAAATTTTATATAATTAAAAATAGCAACTAAGTGATTAAATGTGCAATTGATGTTTTCATAACTTACTATGAGAATTTTAGATGGTATTCAGATTTAGTTAATTGCTTTAATCTTCAGCCGGAGGCAATATTAGATTAAGTGTTGATTGATATATAGCAAGAGAAATGTTAAGGTAGATGTTGGTGTGGCGGCAGACTTGTTTGTTGTTGAGTTCAAGAAGCACACTTAACTTATAGATAGGCCTTGAAGATGGACAATGGATTCAATTGATGTCCTTTATGCACACAACACACTCATACGTGTTTACTCATGCGCATGTTCTTAACAACACACACATTATTGATCACTTACATGGTGAAAGCATTTACAGTAGAATGGTTTTACATTTTTGCATAACAGAGGTTTTTGATTCCTATAAAAAAACACTCTACATTGCATAGCAAGTTACTTTACAGACATCCATATTTTCTTATGCCATTTGTTTACTTTTTAAGCTTGTATTTAAATGTATTCTAGGTTAAGAAGCTGCCGTTTTCTACGCCAAATGATAAGGTTGGGTTTTTTCATTTTTTATTTTTTGGTTTAAAGTCTAATGTAATATCCGGATATTTTATTTTATTTATTTATTTATTTTTGTTGTGGTTGTTGGTTTCCACAATTTCTTGTTTGTTATCTTCATTTTCTATTTAGGAAGGGCGTGCTCTCAGCATCCTACGGGATATATTTCTCGCCAACATACCAGTAAGCTCCATAACAAGTTATCCTGCATAGCTCATTTTACTTTTGCTAAGCACCCCAAGGTTCCCTAAAAATTTCTCCTTGCAGGTGCATCAAAATGATTTTCAACCTAAGTGCCTGTATGTAGCTGTAATGTTGAGACGCATGATGGAGGCTATCTTGAACAAGGATGCGATTGATGACAAGGTACACCACGCGATTGTTTTAGTTCTTTATATTTTTCTCATTAGTGAGCATGCATGGAAGCTCTTAATGAGAACTTGAACAAGAGAACTCAATCTGACAAAGGATGTTCCTTTGGCCGAGTCAGGGCTGTATAAATTAGTTTTGAACTTATCACAAAGTAATTTTTTTTTTAAAAAAATGCTCTCGGATAGTCATCTTGAAACAATTATGCAGCATCCAAGTTAAATCTTTGTAAGAGATCATTTTGATTTGGCATAATTTATTACTGTATTTATTGTTGCCTATTAAATTGATTTTTCATTTATTTATCCTTAACTTCCTTATTATTGTAGGATTATGTTGGAAACAAAAGGTTGGAGCTATCTGGCCAGTTAATATCTTTGCTTTTTGAGGTAATTTTTACTATTACCTTTCTATTCCAATAATTTCACACGCAATGGTCAGTACAAGTAAATCATTCTCTGAATCCTGTCTAGGACTTATTCAAAACAATGAATGATGAAGCTCGCAAAACTATTGATAACGTATTGGCTAAACCAAGTCGCTCCAGTAGGTTTGACATTTCTCAGGTTTGTCTTGATGTCTTCCAGAAAATTTTGGTACGCCTATATTGATAGAACAACATTCGTTGTGGGGGAATCCCCAATAATAGTTCGCAATAAATCTCGTGTACCATCTGTTGTGAAAACTGTGAAAAGAAATATTAGCGTGGAAGATGACCGAAACCTGCATGATACTCGTCCTCATCATTGCATCTAGTTTTCATTTTCATCAAACATTTCTTAGTGACATCGTGCAGCAATTCTTGAAAACGACATGTATGCATCCGTATATGCGGTCCAAGTATGTAATATAGTTGGGCTCCTGGAATATTATGCCCTTGCCTTCTTGTTTCCATCAAGATTGGTATATGGCCTCAGGTCTGGGGTTTACATCAGATTGGTACAATAAAGCCTGTCGTCTAGATTACAAAATTTTTTTGGGACAAAATTTTAGTTTTTTCTTCAGGTGTATCTCTCTTAGGAGGGAGAGATGATTATTTGATATTGGGCGGGGAAACTTTTGCAGCAATTGGCTTGCTCCCTAGATGCATGGACTCTTAGTTTGCTTGATGCTCTTTGCCAATAATTCTGCTCCTTACCTTTCCATTATGTTTCTATTTTATCTTTTGTCTGTTATTTTACTTTTATCTTTCAGTTTAAACCCCATGACCTACAATATTTGTGTTTCAGCATCTTCTAGATTAGGCAATTTGTTTCAAAGTGCTTCTACAATCCATCCTTGTTACTCCTGTTAAATAAAAATGCTGTTTATGCAGTTTTCATCTGTTGACATGTCATTTTTTATATTATGTTTCAGTATATAATGAAAGATAGCATTACTGTTGGTCTAGAACGAACTCTTTCTACTGGGAATTGGGATGTGAAAAGATTTAGGATGCACCGAAAAGGCATGACACAGGTGTAGAGAGCCCTGCCCACCTCAGGATTAATTTCATATTATTTTATGATCTTGCATGTGTCAGATTGAAATTGAAGTTTTTAACAGGTTGTAGCTCGATTGGCATATATCGCAGCATTAGGTTGTATGACAAAGATCTCCCCACAATTTGAGAAATCAAGAAAAGTTAGTGGACCTAGAGCTCTGCAACCCAGCCAGGTGAAGTGATACATTTATATTTGTTTATCATATTATTATAATAATAGTAATAATAAATTAATAATAATAATAATTATTATCATTATTATTATTTTCCTGTTTATCCAATGTTTACTTTAAATTGTGCATCTTTTCTGCAGTGGGGAATGTTATGCCCCTGTGATACTCCAGAAGGTGAAGCTTGTGGGTTGGTGAAAAATCTAGCGTTAATGACTCATGTCACAACTGATGAAGATGAAGAGACTCTCCTTAAAATTGTAAACTTCTCTCTTTGGCTGCTACATGTTTTAATTATCAGACTCTTTAAAAGTGTACTAATATCTCGTCTGTATAGGAAGCTCAGGTGGCTAAACATATTTATTAAAGTTATTAATGTGGACACTTCTACATGTTTTGTGCTTTGGGCAGCATAACTTGTTTTAATCCCTGTTGTAAAGTTTTTAATATGATACTTTTTTAATATAAACAGTCAGATTATGTGACTTCTTAACTATGGAATGTGGCTCATTATCATATAAACCTTTATCTACTATGTAGGGTTGACTATATGGCATGACTGTGTAAATACTTGGTGGTGTGCTGTAAAAACCAATTATTTTTACTCTTTATGTACTAGTACTGTCTATACCTTTGGCTTCTTGTAGAGTTTTATAATTTGGGTAAATTTCTAGAGGATGTGATGACAGGGTTTTTATTGATTGACTTACCTAACCATAGACACTAAAAAGCTGTAGTTATGGCCAATGATCCCAAAGCTACTGTTTACTGAATTAGTTTCAGTTTTTTGTACACATGGCACAATGAAATCAGGCAATTGAAGTCTACTATTTAGCCAAAATTTGCTCTTTAAGATCCTTCTGGTAGAACTGTTGTATATTTGACAATTTTTAGGTTAGCTTCCTCATGATATTATAAGAAAGTTGAGCTAGTTCTGAAGAATTATGTCTTGGTACCCTTTTCTTTGACAATGTTTCCACCTTAACTCATTCAAGCAATCGGATAAATATTTTTACCCAGAGCTACTACTATAGTTAATCCAACCCATGGCACCTCTGTATTTGTACATTTCTTTCCTGACTCGGGCTGAGGTTCCTACAATATGTTGACTTTCTTCCACTGTCAAAAATATGATTTGAGTTTGAAATAATTTGGTGCGCAAACTGTTCTTCTTTGTGAAACCGTAATTTTGCATGGTTTATGTGACAGATCCATTCTTTTGGAGTGGAAAAGTTGGAGACTGCTTCTTGTGAAGACCTTCACATGCCAAATACCTATCTGATCATTTTTAACGGTCTTATTCTTGGGAAGCATCGGAGACCACAAGTATTATATCTTCCAATACTTAAATCTTTCAATATTGTTAACTAGGCATTGTGTTTTGCTTGATTATTTGCTGTGGAACTCATATGTTTCAGAAATTTGCTAATGAAATGAGAAGATTGAGAAGGTCTGGAAAATTTGGAGAATTTGTGAGCATTTTTGTGAATGAAAAGCAGGTGACTCTATTTCTCCTTGTTTTTTGTACAATTGACTTGCAGTACAAGCTATCATCCTGATGCAGATACAAAGGTTTCATCTAATGTGTCATTGGTTGATTGGTATATATTTGTTTGACCAACCATGCTGTTTTGTTGCTAGTCTGCAGCTAATGAATTTACACTTATATCTACTTGAAATGGATTGTGAATGCTGAAAACTATATACCTTCATTGTAGGTTGCTTATATAGTTGTATGAGCACATGATGCATAGTAAAATATGAATCTTTATTAAATAGAAAAAATAGCAAACAACGGAATGTCTTCTGTTCAACCAAAAGGTTCCCAAAACTCTAGATGATCCCTAAGACTTGTGACTCTAACCTATTTAAAGACTTTTTTATCGGACCTTAATGGCCCAATAATTTTATTGTCAGACCCAACAATAAAATTGAATACAAAATCCAAAATACTCAAATAATTAAAGTGCCGCCAAATAATTGAAGTGCTACTATCAACCTAAAGTGGGTTGCTTTCCTCCGGACCCGCCGCGAGTAAACTACTGGCATCCTTCTGACATTGCCAAGATTCGTCGGTATCAGCACATCAAGTGGCGACTTGAGGCATTTGTGTATTTAGAATAATAGCTGAAAAAGCAATGTTCTATTATCATATCTATTTTCTTTAATTTTTCTAGCTTTTCACGGAGTTGAAAACTTTTTAATTTCCTTGAATCATTAGATAATTCATCATAAGAGAAGTTTGTTTGAGCTTATTTGTGGTCTGGATTCTTTATGTTGCAATAGATCTATTATCAGAGAATCTCTGAATCTTTGAACTTTGTTCTGCCTTAATGTTATTCAGATTCTTCAAGGTGAACTGATTTTCTTAGAATGAATTTTCTTGCAGCGCTGTGTTTATATTGCTTCTGATGGTGGTCGTGTATGTCGCCCCCTTGTAATAGCTGACAAAGGTGTATCAAGGATTAAAGAACACCACATGAAGGAGTTGCGGGTAAGAGTCACACAATCTCAAATATTTCTCTTCTTCATTTTGACCATGCTGTTGAAAAATTTGTTTGTTTGAAGGATGGGGTTCGCAACTTTGACAGTTTCCTGAAAGAAGGCTTGATAGAATATCTTGATGTCAATGAGGAGAACAATTCCTTGGTTTGCCTTCCTTTCTTGCATATATAATAATTATTTTAGTTTATATGGTCAGTTTCAAGTCCTGTTTCATGAAAGCAAACATTATCAGATTGCGTTGTATGAAGAGAACGCTAACGAAGAAACAACCCATATTGAAATAGAGCCACTTACCATACTGGGTGCATGTGCTGGATTGATCCCTTATCCTCATCATAACCAGTCACCAAGAAATACTTATCAGGTATGCTGCATTTTATCTTCTGGGAAACTTTTAGCTTTGATCTCCGATTGCCTCAAGTAATAGATCTGCTAATTGTTTCTGCATTTTCAATTTGAAGTGTGCTATGGGAAAACAAGCTATGGGTAACATCGCATATAATCAGGCAAGCTGTTTTTTGATTGAAAGATCATAAGTTGTTTTGAGTATATTTCAGGAAACCATCGTCTACAAAGATCCACTTGCGTTGGTTATGGGTGTCATTGAAAATTATTTTGCAGTACTGTTTTTGAACAATGAAGTTTTGTCTTATATTTTATTTTTTGATTTTGTTGTAGCAGCAGGTTATTTTTTATTTTATATTTGTTCTCTTTTTCTTATGTTAATAGTTGTTATCATTGCAGTTATGGAGAATGGACACTTTACTCTACCTGTTAGTCTATCCACAACGACCATTGTTGACAACCCGAACAATTGAGCTGGTTAGTGGATCCCATTGCTGCTTACATTGCGCAAGTTTAGATACAAACCTTGATGATTTTCTTTTTTCAGGTCAACTATGATAAACTTGGAGCTGGACAAAATGCAACTGTTGCAGTTATGAGTTATAGCGGATATGACATAGAGGATGCAATAGTAATGAATAAATCATCTTTGGACCGTGGCTTTGGTCGATGTATAGTTATCAAAAAGTAATATATCCCCAACTAATTGTAGAAATACCCTGTAAAAACTTTCCCTGTCTGATAGGTGCATTTTATGCTTTTCTGTGGACAGAATGTCAGCTATTAAGCAGAAGTATGAAAATGGCACATTTGATCGGTTAGGTCCACCAAAGAGAGAAGGCTATGAAGCTGAAAGAATGCAGGTAATTGGGTGAACTTCTTTCACTCTCAAATGATTGTTTTAGGGTTTTCGGTAAACTGAAGTTACAGAAAGTTGACATCAGTGATGTATGATTATACTTGTATAGTTACACAATTACATATGGTTCCTTTCGAGGTAATTGGCTTTATCATGTAGATATTATAGCATGAAAGTCATTCTTTTACACAAGGTTTACATGTGATTTTCTTCCTTATAAAAACTAAGAACATCATATAACGTTTCCCATGCCTTCTGCGATGCCGATAGAAATTTACTGTTATCAATGGAAGCACTTTATATCAATAACTACTAAAGTTCAAAAGTCTCTTTATTTTCTGTTCTTCAATCTTTGAATTGCCACTTCTTGCATCATGGCCTGTGATTGTAGGATCAGCATCCAGTGGTTGCCATTTTAATCATTTTCTGAATGCAGATTTTAGATGATGATGGATTAGCAGCCCCTGGGGAAATCATTCGACCTAATAACATTTTTATCAACATGGTGTCACCAATAAACACTAGGGGACATGTCACATCTCCGAACCTTCTTCCTAGGTAGAGCTTCTGTATAGTTTTATGTTTTCTTATATCAGTGATCATCTGATTGTGTATGTTGACACACCCAGTGAATACAAGCCAAGCACACAGAAATACAAAGGTCCTGAAGGAGAGACGCCTGTTGTAGATAGAGTGGCTCTCTGCTCTGACAAAAATAATAATTTAAGCATCAGATTCATGATTCGCCATACTAGAAGACCAGAGGTACACATTTTATTCAGCTTGAAAATGGAAACTCCACTAAAATTCCTTGCTAAATCTTGTGATGATAAATTTTTTGAATTAGCTTGGTGACAAGTTCAGCAGCCGCCATGGGCAAAAAGGAGTTTGTGGTACCATCATTCAACAGGAAGACTTCCCCTTTTCGGAACGTGGAATATGCCCTGATTTAATCATGAATCCCCATGGATTTCCAAGGTAATTAGTTTGATCTGCATGGCTTTCTGAATTTTGTTCTTAAGAGATCTTGAATTTCAAGTCTAACATTTGGTGTATGTGCTTCTCTCATCCAATATGGATGCTGGATGCTCTGTTTTATAGTCATTCTTTCTTTGTGTTCTGTTGGAAGTGAAGCTGGATATGGATTATGTGAATGGGTGGATCTTGGTCGCTGAACAAGTTTACTACTGTGATATAGACATGTAGGAAGGCTTTTTTGTATTAACATTCTCATTCAACTTACGGTTTAAGAATTTAGCTTTGTGTGAAGGCTCTGACTGGTATAGCTGCACTTGAAAGTGATCCAAGGTATACAAGTTAACGAGTGTCGGTTGGGTTAGTGTTTGCTATAAGCCCTCAGAATCTCATGAGCCTAACTCCAAAATTGTAACAAATGGCAAACATGCCACGTTGCATTCTTTTAATAATTTTAATAATGCGGGTGAATGAAAGAACTAACTTCATCTTTAGGAATCATACTGTTCCTTGTCATTATGGATACAGCTGTTAAATATTCAATCTATATATATTGTATTTGTTCATGTCTTCAAACGCCTTTTTCCAACAGCATCTCTATCTTCTGAATTATAGGCAGCTCAGTTGGAAGTAGCTTGAGATTTAATGCTTAGTAATTCCCTACGGTGCACTAATTTTATAAGCTTATTTTCATGTAGAGCATCATAGCATTGCTTTACCTTGAATTATTAAGATATTGACCATTTGGTCTTTTATGCGTCATCACAATATTAAAGCTACTACACAACTCTGTAGGTGTGGTTGGATAGTATTATAATGTTCATAGTAATTTAGCCTTGCACTGACCTTTTCTTAATTCATGAATGAATTATCTTCAGCCGAATGACTGTTGGAAAGATGATAGAACTTCTCGGTAGCAAAGCTGGAGTTTCCTGTGGTAGGTTTCATTATGGAAGTGCTTTTGGAGAGCCTAGTGGTCATGCGGATAGAGTTGAGGCTATAAGGTACAAATCCTACATTTGCATCCTCCCAACCCATGTCCCTGGATATCTGTCTTGCATTTCCTCAACTTAGACCTCACATTTTATTACGATTTTTAATGTTGCAGTGAAACCCTTGTGAAGCATGGTTTCAGCTACGATGGAAAAGACTTCCTCTACTCGGGTATTTTATTGCATTTAAATTATAAATGAGTAAAAGTTATCATTATGTAGTTTGTACGCAATGAGTATGTTTGCTAAATTTTCTGCATACTACACTTCCTAAGTGTTTTGATCACCTTGAACACTATATATTGTCACCTTCTTTGAAAACATGGCTGCGAATGGACAACTACCATTGTGGCTTGTCTGTTTGTATAGGTTATCTGTTATGATCAGTAGATTGTAATATGCATACATATTGTAATTCTGAGGAAAATGTGAGTAGTAGATAGGCAAATCATGTGCTTAAAAAGGAATTTGTGTTCAGGATCTTAGTTCAAAGTTTTTTATTGTGTTTGTGCATGAATACTTCGTTTGAATTATTATATATTTTATGTATATTGCAGGCATCACAGGGGAGCCTTTGCAAGCATATATATTCATGGGTCCAATTTATTACCAAAAGCTGAAGCACATGGTAAGAAAGGGTTTTACATATATGCAAACTTACGAATTCTCATGTGCCTTATTTGCATTTCTAATCATGATCATTGTACTTGTGTTTGAACCTCAGGTCTTAGACAAAATGCATGCTCGTGGAAATGGACCCCGTGCTATGATGACTAGACAACCTACAGAAGGGAGGAGTAAAAATGGAGGTTCGCAAATAGGATAATAAATATTTTACTTGATTTCTTTGATTTTTTCGTGGCATGTTCTGATTGTTTGGAAGTAACCAGGTTTGCGTGTGGGAGAGATGGAACGTGATTGCTTAATTGCGTATGGAGCCAGCATGCTGATATACGAACGTTTGATGATTTCTAGTGATCCTTTTGAAGTTCAGGTAAACATCAATCAATTTACGACAACGCATACATGCTAACAAGCATGCCGAATTTCTTACTCCTTTTCCAAGCAGTGATTACTGATAGTCAGCTGTATATGCACTCCCAAGAGGATTTATATTAGTAAAGATTTTAACATAGTTATAGCAGCATTAGCTTTCTTTGCAAATGGTTTTAAGAAGGTAGTCTGTTAGCTCAATGTTTATGGAACCTAATCAGTAAATCACATCCTACCATTTAGTCCTCATTTTATGACATATTTTTGGAGCCAACAACTCAGATCATTATAAGCTTCTAGTCGGTTATTCTGTGACCTCTTGCTTGTACACTGTACTGCCACTTTGCAAAAAACACATGAATTAAGATTGTTGAATAGTTTGTTTCCATTGACATTGGTGCTTGCAGGTTTGCCAGAAATGTGGTCTTTTGGGGTACTACGATTTTAAGCTAAAGAGAGGCATCTGCATGACATGCAAGAATGGACAGAATATGTCTACCATGAAGCTACCCTATGCTTGCAAGCTCCTATTCCAGGTAAATGTGATTCTTTGGAAAAGAACCTAGTCATAAATTGAATTAGCATCATGGTAGGCTAGTGTGTATCGAAAAACTTCCCCTTAAGTACATCTGAGCTACATCCAGCTGCGCCACCGAATAGATTGAACATTCTAAACTAAAGTTCAAAATAGTCCCTAAAGGCTATAGACCATACACTTCCACATATCTGTATATTTGTGCATTACATCTCGGAACACTCCTGTTATAGGATAACTGTTCTTCTTGCGACGCTTATCACTCTTAGGTTTACATTTGGTGTCGCTAGTCGATTCTTCTTGCTGGAAAATAGAAATATATAGGGAAGGAAAAAAGGGGGAGCGATAGGATAGGATAGGATAGGATTGCGATGTGTGTCGATGTTTGGTTGTGTGTACAGAATGTGTTAATTTTATGTGTTTCTTTGCTGCTTGTCGTGTTTGTTTCTCAGGAGCTCCAGTCAATGAATATCATTCCACGCCTAAAATTAACTGAGGCTTCTTGAAACAAGACTTTGTTGAAATAATTGGACGCCTGAGACTTTATGCCTACAATTTCTAGGTAAATACCATTTCTGTTTTAATCTTTTTTGTTTTGGTTTGGACCATGAATTTCAAACGATATACCATGAATATACATGACTTTTTAAGAAATTCACTTTGCTCTTTTCCTTTTCTATTCAATTTTTACCTATAGCTTGTTGAAATACAAAATACAGCACAGTTTACAATATAAGTACAAATACCAGAAGTTAGATACAAAGACGAATATATAAAATATATGTTAACCTAATATAAATAAACATATGAATTAACAATAATATTTGATAATGCACCAATGTAATACAAAATAATACGAGTCTAAATTTTAATGTGTTTTCGTAATATTATGTAATTTATAATATTAATATAATACTCCTACCTAATAGCATTTTTTTTGTAATTTTAAACAATATACTTCTTTCTTTTTCAGCTAATTTGTCTTTCTTAGTCGCGAACCAAAGTTTAATATTGTGTAATTATCAAATAATTTAAAAACATATTAGTAAAAATAATTATGAAATAATAAAAATAATTATAAATTAATATTAAGATAACTAAATAGTTTAATTAATAAAATAATTATAAATTATAAATTTTAAATATGATTAAAATATATAATTATATTTTATTATAAAAAAAGAATAAATTATGTAAGACGATTGAAATAGAAAAAATAGAGAGGCGAACCTATTAGCCTGAGAACCATTATTGATCTTTTAAAATGTGTGCGCCGAAAACATTAAGCATAACCACTTTGAGAAAGCGCATGTTTTTTTGTTTAACAATTGACTACTAATACTAGACTGACCAAACCACTTTGTTTATTTAATTAATAACCATACCAAACCAAACCAAACCGCACTCAACAAATATAACCCACTTATTATTATTATTATTATTTTATTAAACTAAAATTTATAATCAACGGCTGATACTACTCCGGCGACCCATCAACGGCTGTGGATAAACTCCTTTATCTTCTCAAACAACTTCTCCGTCTCCGCCGCGGTGGTGGCGTCCATGTCCACCGCGATCTTGTTCAAATAAAAGCTGTGCCCTACGCCGCCGCTGACAAAAAGCTCCACTTCCTTCCCCACCTTCTTCATCATCTCATAGAACTCCATTTCCGTGTCCTTTATCAGATCCTGCTCCGCCACGCAGAACAGGTACGGCGGCAGCTCCAGCTCCTCCATCGGCGGCGCCGCCTCCCCCATCGGACACGTTATCGGATGGTCCTTCGTCGCCCCCTCCGGCAAAGCCAGGGCGATGAATTTGTCCACCATATCCAGCGTCAGGAACGGCGTCTCCGGCTGCTCCAGCTCCGACTTGCTCCGCCGCGCCCGGCAGAATCCAGGGTGGATCGGAATCGCTCCGGCCACCGTCACCGGCGCCGTACCCTCCTTCCCCGCACGCGCCGCCACCTGGTGCACGATGTTCCCGCCGGAGCTGTCTCCGATCAGAAAAACCCGACCCAAATCCGCCCGCTCCTCCAGCCACGGCTCGCTCACCTCCCCGCCGGCGACGGCGCGTAGCCACATCAGAGCTCCGTATCCGTCCTCAATCGCCGCCGGGAGGCGGTGCTCCGGCGCCAGGCGCAGGTACACCGACACCACCACCACCCTCGCCACGCGCGCCAGGCGCGTGTACGGCGCGTAGTACATGTACCAGTCGGCCCGGCTGATGCAAAACCCGCCGCCGTGGAAGTGGAGGAGAACCGGCAGCTTCTCCGGTTCACCCTCCATCTTCTCCGGCGAGTAGATCCGCACTCTAAGCCCGGAGGCCTCGTCCGCCACCACATCCGCCGTGGCCACCCCGTCGACGAATTCCCGGTGGGCCGGCGTTGGCTCCGACATGAATTTGACCTCCGGCGGACCGGTCCACGTCCGGTCGACCGTACCGTCGTCGTAGACGGTGAGCCAGCCGGAGACGGCGTCGACGATATTCCTGCCCTCTTGACCCATAATCACAAATTCAATAAATTTATTTTCGAAAATGGTTCATGCAAATTCTTCAGCAATCCCTCCATCATATTTATAGATGCAATTTTCGAAATTCAAGAATAATACTAATGTAAATTTCACACTCAACATTTTCATTTCCAAGAAATTGGCCAGAAAGTGCCATAATATCATTTTTAAATAATTATATAGTTCTAAGACCAATAGCAACCAACTTATAAATGAATTAGTTTGTAACAGTGTGTGTTACTCTGTAGCAAATTTCAACTTATTGCATAAATCCAATGGATTTATTGAATTTGGGGGTTAGGGCTCTGACCCAGTCCTACTCTTTTCTTTATAAATGAAGTTTGTTACAGTATTAATCCATGACCATTAAATTGAATATTGTAATTTTGTTACTTTCAAGGGTGTATTGTGTAATTTATTTGATGCTGTTCATTTTTCAAAAGATATCACATCAAATATATTTTTTCTTTCACAAAATATCAAATCAAATACCAATTTTTTACTTATTTTTTATTTTAAAAATAATGTATAAATAGTATGGCTGAATTTCAATAATTACTAATGATGTATAGAATAATATAGGTATAAAATTGAGAAGAAAACAGAGGTAGGATTGTTGGGAGTTTCCAATGAAAAACATGTGTGGCCCCAAATGTCTAAGAAATTCAATTGACTACATTTTTTAATTTCCCAATATATAAATAAATAAATAAATAAATAAATAAATAGTGGATCACACCACATCACATGTTACATACATGGATATAGTCAACTCACGGGTCACCTATATTATATACTATTAAACCTAAGGAAATGTTTGTTAATTTTTATGTTATTAATAAATGATAGTATTACGCCTTAATGGTCTTACACTTGTTAGTAAATAATATTTTGTAAAAAATAATGTATTTTCATTTGAGATTATCCACAATTAAATTATATTGAAAACAATATATATTAACACAATATTTGCTTTGCTTTCGTTACTGTCAATTTACTATTTTCATAAAATATTATACTCCGTTCCAAAATAAGGTTATCATTTTCTAATTTAGTAATTGTACTACATATTTAACATAATAAAAACCCTTTCAACTTACAATATATCATATAAATGTCATTATTTTTATATTACACCATACTAATAAAGGTATGTTTGTCTCTTTTACTACAATCCAATATAATACTAATATTAAAAAATCTACGTGAAAAAAACAAACGATATCTTTATTGCGGGACGGAGGGAGTATTAAATATTAACTATTTTATTATTTTCAATATTTTAAAATCCTAAAATTTTTTAAATTTTTATATAAACGAACCCTATTTCTTTAAAATATAAAATTTATTTTCATAATATTTGTATTTAAAATATTATATAAGATTTTTTAAAAAAAATTTAAAACATACTCCCTCCCTCCCGTCCCATAACAAAGTATCCATTTTTTCATTTTAATCAATCCCATAACAAAGTATCAATTTCCTTTTTTAGTAACTGTACTATCTACCTAACATTATAAATACCCTTATAACTTACAATATATTACACAAATGTCATTACATTTATATCACACATACTAACAAAGTTATTTCAGTCATTTCATCTTTATTCCTACTAAATTCCAATATGATACTAATATACCTAAAACTACGCGTAAAAAGTAATTGGACACTTATTAATGAGACGGAGGAAGTATTTAAAGTTATACACAATTCATATAAACATAACTTTATTAGTCAAAGCCTTGTACAATTGATGAGACATCCTCGATTAGGGGTTAGGACCCGAGTTCGATCTCAGTCAAACCCTTATAAAGTTACTCTTTTGTAAATTTTATTTTTATTTTTATTTATTTTTATATATATAAAAAATTACATAAAAAATGGTATATTATTGACCCAAATAATTTTACCAAAAGTTCAAAATAATTTTGAAATATTACAAATACGGCCCAAACCCATTGTCCCTTGTTTGGGTGGAAATTAAGAGGCCGGAGGCCCAAATATAAAAATCATAGTTTAGTCCAACAATGTGGAAGTATTTCAAATTATAATTAAATTGAGAATATTATTTAATAATAATAATAATAATAATAATAATAAAATTTACAAGAATAAAAATATCATTAAAATAAAATCCTTCACAATTAAGATTCTTACAAAAAAAAAAAAAAAAAAAGGAGTATATTTATTTTCTTAATTTAAAAACAAAATATATATTAAAGTGGATAATGAATTATGCATATTGTTTGGTGGGAATATTGTGTGAATTCCACTATGGAATAGTAACATTTTTGATGCAAACATAATTGGATTCCCTATCCATTCATTATTGATTCTTTTATTTATTTTATGTAAATGTTTTGACATCATTTAAATTAAATTGGAATCGAATATTAACTTATTGATCAATTTAAAAATTTTCCCAGTTAATTTAAGATACTTTGAAAGTTCTCTTTTATTTTTTTTATATTTGGATAGTGCATGATAGAAAGAAAATTAGAGATTATGTTCCTTTGAAATTTAATTTAAATATAAGTATATAACCTCTAATTTTGTTCCTTCATACTACGTAATAATTTCTTATAAAAATATATGCTCATATTTTTTGGCATATGTTTAATATGGATGCCAATTTTTGTCTTTTTTTTAATATTTTATAGTAAAAAAAATATAAAAATACGCAATTTTTTTACTTAAATGAGAAATAAATTTTTTCTTTTTGTAATGGTCTAAAAAAAATCTAAAAGTAAAGTAAAAATAAATTTAGATAATAAAAATAAGATTATTTTCTTACACAAAAATTTATATTCAAATCACTATTCGCACTCAAAAAGAACAAAGATAGAATTATTTTAAAATTAATAATAATCAATTTCTTTTAAAATAATGTAAAGGATTACATTGTCACAAATAACAACAAATCATCTAATGAATTGATCTTCCCTAAAAAAAAATTCAATAATTGTGCAATAGAAAAGAATATATATATATATATATTTTTTTTTTTTTTTTGATGACGTACATAAGAATTAAATAAAATTTAGTAACCCTATACATATAATAAACCCACCAATGTAATTTAGTGCAAATATATATATAATCGAGCATTATAGAGATCAGGTCCCATTTAATAATTGGATTAATCTAAAAATTGATTGCATAACATTTAAAAATGATTTGTTGGACAAATAATTAACAAGGATTATGGGCACTCAACAAAATAAGCTAAATGTGTTGTTACTTGATATTTAATCGGGTTACAAAAAATTGAGTAAATTATTTATATCAAGAATTTTGAAATTACACTGTTATGAGAAAACATGAAAGAAAACAATTAAAGAACACATATATTTTACATGGTTCGGTGACGGTGTATCAGCTTACGTCCACGGGTAGGAACCGGAGATATTTTATTATACTGATTCATACGACTATGAACCATAACTATCTATTTATAAGCATACCAAAACATCCTATACCCTAAGCCTATTTGTTATTAATTAGGATAAATCCAAAAAGAAACCTGCCAATTGAAACAACTATTTCGCTTTTGTTTCGAGTCGGATAGACCACTAAATCCAAGTCACGTTTCAATATATATATATAATATATGTTTACAAAGGAGTCCTCTAGCTAGCAAGAAATTTGAAATTAAACATATTCTATTCCCGAATTGAAAGAATTTGTGTTAATTTATGGGATCAATTTACGCTGGGATAATACATGAAACTAGTAGTGAATAAGAGTTTTAAAAATTATTTCTTACATGAAGTTATTATTATTATTATTATTACTATATTATTATTGTTATGGATAAACTTTTAACTGAATAGTAACGACCGTAGTTCTTACGTTATTAAAATATTATCCTCGTCCGGCTCTAAGAGTCTCGCTTACTTTTTGCGTATTGATATTTGAATAGTAATTATTTTATCAAATGTTGTACAAATTAATAAAAAAATTACAAAAATACTTCTATCAGTGTCCTATAATACTAATAGAAAGACATTTATACAAAAAATTATATAAATATAAAGATATTTTTAAATAATAATAATAATAATATTATTATTATTATTATTGACCACTCACATGTATATATAATATTTATACATGAAATGAACCACTCGATCCCACCCCCAATATTGTGGACACTTTTATCACTAGCTATAGTATGTATTGCATTCGATAACTCTTATTATATTTTGTATATATATACTTCTAGTTTCTTTACTATTTTATTTTTTTTATTTTTTAACTATTATCGCAAACTATTTCATATTACAAAATATTACATTTAGATCACAATAAAAAAAAAAACTCCAAAATACATTCTTCATCGTTACTTTTTGATATTCGATTAAATTGTATCCTCGTGCATCTTATATTACAGTCTTCTTCAATATATCTAGTGGTATTAATGGGTTCGACGATTATATATATATATATATATATAAATATTATGTTTTTAGTAGTTCAGGTAATTTAGTCGCTTTGATGTCGAACCCTTCAATTCTAAGAAAGAATATATATTTAAAAAATATTTGTGTTAAAATATCAATAATTTTAATAAGATATAAGTAGCCAAAACAACCATTCATCATTAATTAAAATAGTCTCTCCTTAATTAACCTAATTGCTACTTTAGGAGGACCTTTTTGTAAAGGAAGCAATAGGGATATTATATAGTCATCGAACAATAATTTTGCATTTATTAAATATGGAAAATAAAATATAAAAACAAGCGTTTGTTTATATGAGGTTCGGTTTTATGTTTTGATTTTGAATTTTAGTTTGAACAGTGATTTGATATTAATGTGATATTTTATGAAACTAAACACTGTTTCTTTTGTTATAGCTAAATGTACATATTTTATTATTTTTGTAGGTTTATAGAAAAATATATTTTATATTATAGTAACAATATTTTTTATATTAATATCAAAATATTATTAATTTTTACATAAATTATAAATATATTGTTAGAAATATTATTATTATACATAAAATATAAAAGAGTACAAATATCAAAATATTATGACACTTCTACTATCTAATAAATAGTTTTATTTTGAAATTGATTTAAAATGAGCTTGTTGCTTGAAATTTTAAAACCGTGAATTTTATAGGGAATTTGTATTAAATAA